ATTTCCGCACATGCCCGGCTCCCCCCGGACTTCCCCGCCACTTTAAAAGACTGGGGGAGCGGAGCGGCATTGAAGACCATTGACGTCCCCCATTTTCACAAATCTCCCTTTCATCAATTCTGACAAAATCTACTAAGAAACAATTGCACCAATATCAACATGGAAGTGCCCCTCCTATCCCCCAGCACCATCAGCGACACCATCTTCCCCTCCACCCCCACCGCCGTCCCCGCCTCACAGATCGACGCCACCTTCTCGCAAACCACCAACCTGACCAGCAGCGTCCTCAACGCCCGCATCCACTCCCTCAGCGACGAATACTTCGCCTCGGCCGCCAACCTGCTCACGCCGACGCCCGCGGTCCGCAAGCCAGGCGTCTACGTGCACTCGGGGGCATGGTACGACGGCTGGGAGACGCGCCGCCACAACCCGAAGCCATTTCTGGGGTGTGTGGGGACCATCGAGGGCGTCGAGGTGGACACGGCGCATTTCAGCGGGAACGAGGCGCCGGAGGTGGGGTTGGATGGGTATTTCGCGCCGGGGGAACAGGGCGGGGACGCGGTGAGCGGCGACGGGTTCGAGGGGTGGAGCGAGGTGCTCCCCAGGAGCGCTTGTGGGCCGGATCGGAGGCAGGCGTGGAGGGTGCGGGATCAGGGCAGGCAGTATACGCATCTGAGGTTGAAGATGTATCCGGATGGCGGGATTGCGAGGTTAAGGGTTTATGGGCATGCCGTCCCGCCGCCGCTGGATGCTGTGATGGCTGTGCAGGGGGACGGGCCGGGGTGGAGGAACTCTCGAGTGCGTTGCATGGGGGAGTTGCGGTGGAGTGCTCGGACCAGCATTTTGGGGTCAAGAGTAACCTCCTGCTGCCATGTAGAGGAAAGGATATGGGAGATGGGTGGGAGACTGCTCGGTCAAGGGTGAAGGATCATGTGGATTGGGTGATTTGTCGGTTGGGCTTGAAGGGGAAGAGTGTGGATAGGGTGGTTGTGGATACGAAAGACTTCAGGGGAAACTTCCCTAGAGCAGTGAGAGTGGAGGGATGGGTTGAGGCTAGGGATGAAGCTGGGGCGGAGCCAAGAACAGATGAAGACGGCTGGATTGAGCTTCTGAGGGGCGAGAGGCCATGTCAAGCAGATACCGAGCATGTATTTGAGGCGCAGGACCTGTCAGATTCCATCCCAACGGGCGGAAGAGTTCTTACTCATGTGAAGATGACAATCATACCGGACGGTGGTGTGAAGAGGTTAAGGATATTTGGTAGAAGAGCATAAAACCCATTTTGATCCACTGCTTGTACCGCTGCTTGTAACACTGTCGGCCTGACGACCACTTCCCTGATGGCGGGCTATCGTGAACAAACGAGTTGCTAAACTGTACGCAACATCGCTCCCGGCAACGGAGGCAGAAGTCAACTTGTGAATCGCTGTAGTCCTTGGCAATTTCCCACTGGGCAGTAAAGAACTCAGACATGAGTCCGCAGACCACATCGTATCAACATATCAACGAAAGTAAAGCAGACCTATATCCACAACATAGCTCCTTTTCATCGCTGCCCAGCCTTGCATATCTGTGACAGATTGTGCACCATTCAACGTTGAGCTGTCCTGAAGGCCACGAGCTGCTTAAATCCCTCTTTCATGGTTTGAAGCTGTCCTGGCTCCTGGCGGCCACTCACCAGAAACTGCTTGACACTCTTTTCATGGTTGAGCATCACGCTGCAGCAGCACCTCAAGCTGTTCTGGCGGCCGCTGGCCACAAACCGCCTGACAACTCCTTTCTTGGGTGAACACCGCACTGTGGCAGCAACCCAAACAAAAACAATGGCGCACCCTTCTTCTCTGGCTTCAACATCCTTCAGTCAACAACATCTACCGCTGCTTTTGGTACCACCACAATTCTTTTGCGCTGTGCTCGTCTTGCCGAGAAAACATAACAAATCAAGCTCCAACTTCACCAAAATGCCTTTCAACAACTTCTGGCGCACGTTTTTTGCCATCGCTTTGACAGCCGCCATTTTTGCCACGATTGTGGCAGTACTCTGCTTCATCCATCGCAGAGAGACACGCCGTGCTCAGCAAGCAGAGGCACAGGCGCAAGCACCAGCACCAGCACCAGCACGAAATGGGATTGATCTGCCTGTTTTGAGCCGGAACAATGACTTCCGCGAGTCAGACGAGACCCTGGTTACGCCAGCGGTGAGTACATAGTGACGGCAAAATGTGAGCGAAGATGCTAATCATGATATAGCGGCCGCTTGTGCCTGCATTCTTGAGGCCTCCCATACCAAGAGCAGCAAATCGCTGCCCTGTCTAGGAGACAGACAGAAAGGACGCCAAATGTGTCAAGCATAACATGGGACCATCAAAGTTGTGGCAACGGGGAACACCATGGTCAATCAGATGCTCAGATGACACCAATAGGGTGATCCACGAAATGTTGCGGGAGGATTGTTTGTCGAGCAGATTGGATGCGTTTTTGTGTAGCTTCTTTATGCTTAACATCCGAAAGATTTGGAAATTGCTTTTCCACCAGATCGAGAATGAGCTGAGCCTGTTGCACTGAGCTGGAGTCTTGCAGCAACAGCAACTGAGCCCCATCCAGCAGGGCATTCAACACTACTTTTTGTGCAGAACCAGACATGACTTTGATGTGATCAAAATGCACTTGCATCGAGTCATTCGCCTGTTCCACCGTCATCGCCAACTCTTGAGCTGATGGTTGCGCAGGATGGTAGAGAGGCATCAGCTTAGAGGTCAAGAAGTCTGCATCTGCCCATGAAGATCGATGATCCAACAACTGATCAAACAAAACAGCAGAGAGACCATGTCGGTGTCGCCTTCGAAGAAGTGCCAGTGTAACGGCCCTCGTGGAAGCCTGCCAAGGTTGTGAAGAACGGACGACAGAGGACATCCGTCCTGTTTTGGACATGTAGGCAGAAGCCTGAACCAATTGTTGAACTGCGGCATTAAGCCTGCTTCTGCGCAAAGCCTCTTTGATCATAAGGAAAGTGAGATGAGTCTCTTGAAGGACCCATTGAGATGGCTTTGAGGCCATTGGAACCTCAGCCTCCCCTTGGAAATCTACCACATCCACTTTGCGAGAATAGAGAACTCCCAACCATTCCCATACGACCTCCTCCAGGCCATCAGCATACAAAATTGGCACAGCGTTGCATAGAGCCCCAGGTGAGGACAAGAATCTATCCTTGGTAGCTGGATTGGAGGAAGTAAACCACGCTGATATCCTCCTGCCCAGTCTGAATTCATCCTTGACCTCCCCACTCTGCAATGTCCTGAGGTAGACCTGCATGCATCTGTCAACCAAATTTAGGTTAGCTTGCCCTCTCAACATGGCTTGATCCATCATAGTGGCAGCCTGAGCCGCCTCAGTCTGTGGCTTTGGATGGTGCGCTGCATTCTGGGCTAGCAGTGGATGGTGAAGCAGGGACTGTAGATGATCCATAGTGGCTCTTGCGGAGGAATTGTGCGCAGCAGGACCCGAGACACATACGGTGGCTTGCCGCATGTTTTCCCTCGGCTGAACCGGAGGGTGAGCATCATCAAGTCGACGCTGGAAAGATGAGCTGAGAAGGGAGAGTAATTGTTTATTCTCCTGGGGTGTGGTTGGCATTGGAGGATGGAGCTTTGCTATCCACGAGCGGACATAGAGAGTGGGAGTGAGCTTCATGGCTACTTGCTGGGTGGGCCACTGCCCAGCCCCCGACTACCTGACCCTACTATTTTACTTCAATGACATTTGCATCGCAACCTTAGGAGAGGTTGGTAGAACAGTACATGCATGGGCCGTTTGTGGTGTAGCAAGCGTCATTGCATTCGCCAGCGCGGCTTCACAACAGCTGGTCTTGGCAGTGGTGTACGGGGCAGAAATTCACGAATTATTGGTACACTTCATGTTCTGGTCCATATTGTCTCACTTCCAGCTCTACCACTCCGCCTTGACTCGTTCGATCTTATTATCTTTTCGGCGTCAGGCTTTGCAGCCAGAGCTTCTTCTCTGCAATCCCGGTGACAGTAGGGGAGGCAGACTTGTTCAGGCTTTCGACCTTGGGACCAGTCTTCTCTTCTGTTCACCCTTCCATTACCTCGTCTCAACTTTACATTCCTTGGCCGAAATTCCTCCCAAATAGTACGAGCATGTCGGAAGTGCAGTCTAGACCCTCAGCGCCCCGTGGGAGAGGCTCACACCGTGGCGGCAGAGGTGGTTTCAGAGGTGGACGAGGAGCCAGCAAGAATACAAAGAGCGATGGAGAAAATGCTCCAGCATCCCTCGAAGACCAGGGCGAAATTGGTGAACTCAAGATGAGACATGGCAGCAAGGTTTCTACAGTGCGGGAGCTTTTCCCTGATTGGACTGTCGAGGACGTGGTCTTTGCTCTGGAGGAAACTGGTGGAGATCTCGAGAGCACCGTTGAAAGAATCACAAATGGTATGGACAATGCTTGTGCACTTGAATCCATCTCTAACTCTTTGTAGGCAGCATCTCCCAATGGGGTGAAGTATCGAAAAAATCCGACCGATCTCGTTCAAAAGTGAAAGAAGCGCAGGGAGTGTCCCAAGATGTAACTGGCAATCGAGCTGCTCGCGGACGAGGTGGAACAGAAGGGCGTACGCGTGGCCGAGGCACTGACCGTGGACGAGGCGCACGAGGGGGCAGGGCTGCCAGCAATGCAAATGGCACCAGGACTTCAGAAAAGACTGTCAAGCCGGCCCAGGATGGTTGGGGAGACACTGCTGGAGGGACCGCAACAGAAGCTACAGGATCGTGGGCTGATGCTCCCACGAACGGGGATTCTGCAACCGTTGATGTACCGGCAAGCTGTGAAGCATCTAAAGAACCCATCGCCAAGTCGGAAGAAACGAAGAGCAATGTCATACCCTCAGGCAAAGTCTCAGGCTGGGCAGGTCTTTTTGCAAAACCCCCTCCTGAACTTCCGTCGAAGAAAATGTCATTGCCAGCACCATCCCCAGCAGCCGAAGAAAGTCTTCCGCAACCAGATGAAAGGGACCACGATGGAGTTCCTGAGCAGCAGCAGCAGCAACCTGAGCAGCAACCCGAGCAGCAACCCGAGCCTTCGATCGATGGCATCTCGAGTGATATAGTGGACGCACCATCCTTGGATCCAGCACTTACGCTCACACCTTCAAAAGATGAGTTGACTCATGATAACCTGGAGCACATTCCAGATGTGTCACAGCCTATCACTACAGCTACAGCGGCTAGCACCGTGGCCAGTACTCAGGATCCTCACAGCAATCTGACCAGCACGCAGCCAGTTGTTCGCCCAGGCATGTCTGGTTATGCAACAAGCGCGATGAAAGCGACGTCTGGCACCGGACGCACATCGAGCTTTCAGCGTAGAGTTTTGGAGCAGCAGGAAGCGGTTGTGATGCCGGATAATCACGCGGTTAGCCGTGCCGCCATGCAATTTGGTAGCATGAACATCAATGGTTCTCCCGATGATGCTGGGCTGGACGAAGACCGAGAAGAGCCAGAGACGAGGACTCAGCTTCCAGACGATTCTCCCGTTGCTCCGAGAGCTTCTTTGCCGCCACCGCCTGCTGTTCAACCACCTGAGCCCGCAGCAGAGCCTGTCCCTGCAGCACGACCTGCGCCTGGATTGCCTCCAGCGCCCCAGCAGCAACCTACTTCTCCGACCCAAACAACAGCATACGCTGATCAATTTGCTCGGTATGGCCAACCTGTGCAGAAGGCATATGATACCTTCGGGCAGCAATCAGCCCAGCAACCAAAAGCCCAGGTTCAGGACGCTTTTGCCAGCCAGGCACCAACGCAAACTCAACCAGCGGCGTCAGCTTCGGCCCCCAACGAATACTCTGCATTCTACAATCAAGATGCTCAACGCAACATGACATATCAAAACTACTATGGATACGGACAGAATCAAGACGTTCAACAGCGTTCAGGAAGCGCTTTTGGTAGCACGGGGACGGAAAACCAGCCACAATATGCCACAAGTCGCCCTCAGGCCGGTTTCGGACCGCAAGACGCACAGGACAGCGGCAACAATACGCCTAACCCTGCACTTCCTGGTCAGCAGCATCAACAACAACAGTCCCAGCAGATGCACCAATCTCAGGGTTCGCAGGGCGGATATCCTTATGGATATGGCAATGCGGGCTATAATCAGCCTTATCCCCAACAATATGCGGCTTACATGAATCAAATGAGCCAACATCAGTACGGTCAGAACCGTCCCATGTTCGATGACGCTCGCCGCTACGATGATTCCTACATGTCTCAGAGCAGCCAATACGGCGGCTATGGTAGGCAATATGGTGGGCACTACAACAAATCAGGCATGTACAATCAGCCCCAGCATCAGTACTCGTATGAGCACTCTTCCTCGCCTGCGAACACGGGCAGCTTCAATGCATCCTCGATGGGACGTGAAGGAATGTATGGTCGAACCGGATCTGCTCAGCCTTCTGAATCACAACCAGCTGCAGGTGGCAATACCTTTGGAAGTATGAATGATCCATTCAGCAGAGATCAGTCTGGCTTCGGAGGGCACACCCCAATGTCGCAGCAGCACTCTGCCCAGATCGGGCTCGAGGATGCATCAAAGGGATATGATCCGGCCAAAACGGGTGGTCCGAGCCCGATCGTCAAGGCTGCCCATCGTCCCGGTTCTGCGGTGAACAATATGCAATCACAGCAAGGTGGTCAGTCTGGTGGATTTCCGCCCCCCCAATCGCAGCAAGGCAGCCAACAAGCTTTCGGCGGTTATCCGCAATATGGTGGATTTGGCGCCAACGTGGCTGGTCATCAGCAGGGCCAGAGCAATCATCCTCAAAGCACTCAGCAATATGGCGGGTATGGCGGCAGTGCTGGATTTGGAAACTACGGAGGCTACGGCAGTGGACGTGGTTGGAGTGGAAGCTATGGAGGTGGTCACTAAAATATCGACCTCGTTCCAAGGATCGTGGATGGCCAACCACATATAGGCTAATCATCACTCTCCGCTTCCCAAAACGACTTCGCTGGCGTCTCGATGAAATTGAGGATGGAGCAGCTGAGGTGGTGTTTCTTTTCCTTTTCCCGATATCAACGCCACATGGCGTGTACTTGTATACTCTAGCTGAGGGTCTCGAAAGCAAAACTTCAGATTGACAAACTGGAAGGCTGGGTTGGGTTTGCAATGATTCAAGGGATACCAGGCAGGCTGGCTAGGTCGAGAATGTCATGCCCTGCTTTGCTGCTTCTGATCGCGCAATCGCCTTTGTGACTGCTCAGCTCGTGCTTGTAGACTCAGGCGAAGAACTCCCCTTGCAACTTCATCGCTCCTCAGCTGCTTCGTCCTGAGCAAGAAGGACATGGTATTTATATCCGACCTCGTCAGTGACCCGTTCGCTTCTGCAGTAGTATTATCAGCAATTAGAAAGGTGAAGAATCCGGTTGGGCGATCTTACCGTGGCTGCCCTCTCCTCAAAGTCAAGCCACTTTCATGGAAGCTGACCCTGACAACTCGAAAGCCCACTCATGACCGGGTTTTCTGAGCGCGTGCTTACGCTGCCAGCCATCAGAGGCTGGAGATATTTTCACGCCCTATCAAAGCTTAGGCCGCTTCTATCTATTCTTCCTCTGCTAGCAGTCAAGTGCATTTTGTGTCATTTGGCAAAACGCAACCCCTCCGACACCTCAGGTACCATTGGTAAGCCCAGGCATTCCTTCCATACCACCCACTTCTTGCCAGAACTTCGCGAAATTGACTCCCTTCTCCTCAAAGATCCTCTTTGCTTCCCTCATGGCCGCAGCTTGACGGCCGGGAGTGAAACCACCAGGTGAATTGCTCTCGTATTGCACCAGCTCTACCCATCGATAGAACAGATCTTCGTGGCCCATGGCGGTCAGCTTTTCCTTGAACCGTACAAGCGTGTCTCTCTGTTCTGCAGTCTGGGGCCGGTCCTCTCTGGCGACATGCCAAATCATCCAGCCGCCCAAGGGCCCACCGGAGGGAGGATAGAATACGAGGACGGCCTTTTCGAAGTCCGTGAACTCGAGCTTCTTGGCTTCAACCAATGCGTGTGCGTCTGTGATGGCTCGGAAATCGAGGGTCCAATCCTTATCCTCCAACAAATAGCCAGTCTTTCCCAGATACTTCCTTTCCAGCGCCGGCATTATTCTGTGCTTCAGCGTCAATTCGTCGTCAATAGTCCAATCCGGCAACAGCCCTTTGTCCCATACTCGTGACTGCCGAACAATGACCTCTTTGTCCCGGAAGCCTAACGCCATACGCCATTTCAATGGGCTGGAGTATCTGGTAGCCGCAAGACCGAAGACGAATCGCCATGGCCAGGACCCGAGCAGGGCAAATAGCATGTAGTCCCCCATGAGCGTCAGTGTCCTTGACACTGTGATGCTGAATAGTTCTGACCGGGTGGCCGCTTGGACATCAACAGCGGTAGTTGAGTTGTGTCCCAAAGTTCCAAGGATCAGGTCCAGGTACATCGGAACTGCATAGTAAAGCCTCCAGACCAGAACAAGAGAGAAGAAGATATTCATACAGACAGGGACGAGGAATACCTGCCGTTTCAGGGCTCGAGGAGTCGTGTCGACATGAACGATGTAGACATGATCTTTCGAGAGGGTACACAAGAAGTGCGACGACAAATCCTCTGGGGGTAGCTCAAAGGGTGGCGGAGGTCCCTTGTATTGCTGGGATGCAATGTGAGAAGCCTTGATGGCCTGTTTGGTAGCTGAACGTGCCATTTGATTTGACCAGGTGGCAGTAGCTCGGCTTCTTCGAGAGAAGACGTGGGTTTAGCTTGTTCTGATGTCCATCCCGGGGCCTTTGGCAGCCTTCACTGTCTCAATCACAGCATCTCACAATTCTTCAATACCGTATTGGCCAGAAGAGCTTGGGAGGACTGTAGTGTTTGCCTGTGAGATCAGAATCGTAAGCTGGATTGATTCAGATAGGGTTTCCGTGTATCTAAGAACATCCTTCACGCTACAGTAGTGGCTGTTATGTAAAGCTACTTGCCCAATTGAGCGGGACCTGTCGATCTCAACAACCCCAACATCAACATGTGTCACACCGAGATGTTGTCACAAGAATTCCTGTCATTTCTAGAGAGGCTGCCGCCCAGCGAGTCAGCACACACGGTCAAAATGTGACGCAATTGATTCCTCGAAAAGCGACGTATCATCCACCATGCCTCCGAGCAAAGAGCGCAATGCATCTCACGCTGCCAGGCGTGCATCTGACAACCGCGCCCATCCTTTGCGCAAGCCTGCCTCCAGCGACGATTTCTTCACCGACAGTCTGCTTGATTCATCCAGAATACCAACTCCTAGCCCATCCAAGAAAAATACGAACAACGCGCTAGCTTCTAGGCCCAGACGTGCCATTGGGAATACAAGAACACTGAGAGATGCTTGGGACGCGACTGCCAGTTCCGGACGTCGGTCATCTGCTGGGAGTGATCTCTACTCCAGACCGGAGATCTTCAGGTCGACGCCCGCTCAAACGACAGGACGAAGTCCGGCGGGTCCATCAAAGGCGCAACCTACATCTAGTCCACCTCGAGGGAGACATGCCTCGGTCCCCACTGCCAGCCCAACCTCTGATGCTTCAAGTCCACCCCGAGGTCTTAACGACGTATATCAGCGGATAGCTGACGAGGAGAGGCTAGCTGCACAGGAAGGAGAGATCGAAGAGGACGATTTCACAGATAGCACAATGTCACACAATGATTATGTCGACGAGGACAGAGCGCGACTTAACCGTATTCGCAGCTCACAATCACCTCTGACTTTTCGAAGCTCCAGCCGCAATACTCCACAACCACAGGCAGCTGACGCCGATAAAGAGAATCAGCGTGAGGAGACCGGGCTGACAGATGCATCTGGCATGAGCTTTCTGGAAAACATGACCGACCAAGTCCTGGCGGCCAAGTTGACGCCTCATACGCAAGACAGAGCGCGAGATCGCACACGTCTTGACAAAGCTGTTCAGAAGACTACGCCCCTAGCGTTCAGCAAAGCCCAGGTTGGCTCCAGACATGCACTGACGGCGGAGAATCTTCAGAAGTCCGCCGCAAGAGATAACTCCGCATCTGTACACGGGTCTTCGAACGGTAGCATGCGCAATGAGGATACAAACCCCCCACCCAATGTGCCCCGGACTTGGGGAACGAAAGGAAGAGTAGATAAGGACTGGCTCCGCAAGATTCATGATCGAAATGGGAGTCCTGCGAATGTTACTCCCATTGGTGACAAGCAACAATCTTCGCAAGTCGACTGGACTGCCGCTGCAGCAGACGTTCCGCTGCCCAGTGTGGAAGAGAGCCTGACACCGCGACCCGAGCAACCGAAGGATTCTATGCCGACATCTCTATCCAAGCAATCCTCACTCGACAGAATACGCCATTGGGAGTTGAATGACTTTACGGGAACTAACCTACTGGTGTCTGATAGCCCTCCTGTCAAGGTCCGAAGCAGCGTTCCCGATCAGATCAAGGATAGAGAGATCGAAACCCTCGAAAAGCGGGCTGTGACGACGAATCGATTGGGTGAGATCAGAAAGAAGAATTCACGTGAGCTTCTTGTGGGCAAAGCAAGATCCCAGAATCTGGAAGCGCAAAAGGGAGTGGAGGATGATGCATCTCCAGAGAAGGAGGCCATGACTAGATTTGAGGAAGTAGGGGAGCCAATACCCGATACCCCTATCGTGGTCTTCAAAGCGTCAGCAAACGGGATCAAACAGAATCACAATGCCAATGGTCGTCCGATACAGGACAGGAAGGATTCTCGAGATAGCTTGCAACGATTAGCCAGAGCAATCAGTGAGAGTCCAAAGCCTAGCTTGACGCCCGAAGACTGGTCGTTTATTAAGAAAGAGGAGGCCGAGTCTGCCCAACCAGAGATCCGTAAGCTGCAAAAGATGCAGGATGAATCACGCAAGTCCTCCCGAGAGGTGGCGGATGCGACTTCTCCCTCTTCCGTCAAGAGGTCTATATCAGCAGATGCCGCCAGAACCCCAATTGTGACTGGTGCATGGACTGACACAATACTTCCCAACACGATCAAGACCGTCAAGCACAAACAAGCACCAGTCAAATATGCTCAAACACCCCATGTCACCGGCGGTTGGATAGATACTCCTGTGGTTACCGGTAAACGACAATCTTCCTCCATTATACCAGTGCCTACAGACAAAGTACCCGAGAGGCCTGATGCCGATCTAGAAAAAGACCATTCGAAGCCCACCAATAATAAAAACGCAGATACCAAACCACCTACTAAGCTAGCTCCCAACCTCCCCCGAAGCGCCCTTACAAGCCTTCTGACAAAAGCCAAACGAAAACTAGCAAGCGCCGACCAGCAAGACAGTGCCACCAACCAGGAAGAGGAGATCAATAACAATGACACGCTCAACCTTGGTGATGCAACCATCGAGTCTCTCGAAGACCTCCTCACTCTCGACAACGCTGACATGACAACCCTGCTACGAATGGGCGCAGAATTCGAAGCACGGCGAGAGATCGATTCCAATACGTCTCATCCGAGCGGGGACAGAGCGGCAGACAGAGACACAGATGCCGGCTCTGAGAAAGCAGCAGGCACAGAGACAGAACTACTGGAGCGTCTGGGCACCAAACTGGAAAGATTGCGAACAAATATCCACGACGCAAGGAAGGGGATCTCGAAGCTGGAACATCAAGTCTCACAGCCGTCGCCGCAGACTAGCACTGGCAATACTGGCAATACTGTCATCATATCCGCGAACGGAGAGCTGATAACAGGTCCATGCCAAAGCTGTGGCTGTCCTCGCGGAACATCCTCCATCTTCACGACGTTGAATACGACATCAACTTCCAACCTCTTCCTCCCCGTCCGCCTTCACATCCCCCAATCTATTCCCCTCCCCATCCCTCGTCTCTGGCACTCACCCCAGAAGCATGAGCCATGGTGGCGGCCTCCCAGACCTACAGCCCTAGGCTACGCCACCCTCGCCCTCTGGCTATGGTATCTGACCGAAACCGTCCTCTGTAATTGGGGCGGCTACTGTCATCCCGAATATGCTGAGTATTACGTCTGGCCGGATCCTCCTCGGGGAGGGTATGACGGGTACGAGTACGGAATCAACGGGAGGGGAGAGATGAGGTGGGGCTGGATTACGTGGACACTTGTCAGGAGCTGGATTTTCGGAGGGCTGGCGGCCAGGTGGATGGGAAGTCTTTGGTGGTTGATCAGGGGTTCGCTCTGGCTGATGGTGAGGTGGGTGAGCATGCTGGCCGGTTGGAGTGACGGGTTTGCCTCGGAGGCTGTAGGGGCTGCTTCTAGAGGTTCACGAAGTGATGGTCCCGTCGTGGGGATGGGTGAGGATGAATTCCTATAACCACGCGCATTCTTCTGGATATTGTCGCTTACAGAGATCGGGGTCGTATTTGGGAAGCATTGTTCCATCTTGGCTGTGTGATCGAGGCATGGCCTGATAGCGGTGGTATGCGCAAATCCTAAATACCGAGTCGAGTGCCCCCCGGCGCCGCAGCGGAGACGGGCTGCACCGCTGCAGTACCAGTGCCGGTACCAGTCAGTACCTTTACTCATACCTACACCTAGACACAGCAACAAAGGAAGGAAAGAAAGCAAGCAAGCAAGCAAGCAAGAAAAGGTCTTGCGTGCGCGTGCACCTGCACATCCGTGAAGCAAAGCAAAGCAAAGCGAATCAATCAATCATGCCTCATCCCGCCCGTCCAACAGCTCCACCCCCGTCCAATCCCTTTCCGTTCCATTCCATTCCATTCCATTCCATCCCATCTCTCCTCTCCTCTCCTCACAAGTTCATTACTACTTCTACTGAATTCTCCCTAGCTATCCAAGCCAGTCAGTTAGTCAGTTAGTTGGTCAGTTAGTTGGTCAGTTAGCCAATTAGTCACTCCTGCACTCCCCCCCCCCTCCCTCTCCCCCTCTCCGGCCCATCTCTTTCCAACCAACTCTTTTCTCACTTCTCACTTCTCACTTCTCACTTCTCACTTCTCACTTCTCACTTCTCACTTCTCACTTCTCACTTCTCACTTCTCACTTCTCACTTCTCACTTCTCACTTCTCACTTCTCACTTCTCACTTCTCACTTTGGGACACCTCATTTCTGTCCTACCTGCTAGGATCGAGATTGGGATTTGCATCGGGATCAGGTGCGCGAGTGAGCAGTTGATCGGTTTAGAGAATGCTTCGTAGCTAGCTCTCGGGGGGAGAGGAGGAACGGAAGCGGAAGCAGAAGCGGAGGGAGAAGGGATGGCGGAGGTAGGATTGACGATGGCTCTCTGCGCTGCACTGCATGTATTCGGGTGGAGTGGGGTGGATTGCATTGCATTGTACCATAGCGTTGCGACTGAGCGGACTCGGGTTCGGGGGTTTTGCTCGATTATTGTGGTGCTGGTAGTGGTGGTTATCAAACCGATCGATCTATCGATCTATCTCTCTGGTTTGCATATCATGCATACAAGTGTAGGACTGACTGGCTGTCCTGGGTTGGTTCAGCCGAATCGAATCGAATCGAGCTGAATCGAGTGGCGGATCTGGATTGCATTTCAACTGCATTGCTTGGGTGGCCAGGTTGGGAGGAGATGAGGTGAGAAATATACAGATCTACTACGAGAGGAGGAATAGCGGTCGAAAGCGTAGGATACAGAGGTGGAGGGGTGAAGACAACCGATTCGTGGCTTTTTTTCCCCTAAGATCGTTCCTCGCTGCGAGGCAGGATTTTACATCACGGTTGCTTCCCACCCAGCGGATTAAGTCTATCGAAAGTGGCGTCGTGATATCATGAATGAGTTGCGAGTAGACCTGCGCTCCTCCCTCCTCCCTCCTCTTTTCATTCCCACACCTCTCCCTCCCTCATTCCGCTACAAACCCCACCCGATTACACCCTCCATCCCAGCAATCCCACCGACCTACATCCTCGCAATCTCCTTCCCCCCCACCCAGTTAACCACCCAGGTCAACAAGATCATGACCCGGTTCCTCCAACTCCGCGTCCACAGCAAACTGCCACTCCTCCACGCCAGCCACGCACTGCGCCCCGTCCAGCCCTCGCCGTCCCTGCTGTTGCCGTTTTCCGACTTGCGGCCTTCGATGACGCCGTCGTGCGCGCCCAGGTACGACACCAGGGATTTCTGTTGGTATTTGAACGGCGCGACGGCCTCGGATGCGGAGATCACGGAGGGCTGGTGGTGGTGATGATTGAGATAATTGACTAGGTATTTTGCTTTCTGCACGGCGACTTCTGCCGTGGTGGGAAGGGAGCGGTTGAGCATGTCGGCTGCGTCGCCGAGGGCGAAGACGCACTCGTAGGCTTCGGGATCGTTGTGGTTGTCCTTGTCGGAGACAGGAGGTTTCAGCACGCGGAGATGGTCGTTTGTTAGGATTCTGCGGAGTCCCTTGGTGGTTTGGCGGGTTTGGCTCGCCAGCTGCTCGATGAGAGGGATGTGTTTGTTGCCGGTGGCCCATATAAGCATGCCGTATTCGACTCGGCCTTTGTCTTTCAGGTATATTGCTTCTCGGTCGACGCGCTCGATCGTGCTGTTCGTTTCGATGGCGACTCTCCGCCTGGTTAGGGACTCGTTGGCGTATTCGTACAATTTCTTGTCGTAGGCTGAGAGGATGTGTGGCGCAACATCGTAGATGCTGATGTGGATCTGGTCCGCAACTTCAGGGTATAGATCACGAAGTTCGCGCTTGGCGAGGTCGTCTAGTTCGGCGGTGAGCTCGATTCCTGTGGGACCTCCGCCGACGATGGCGATGTGGAGGAGCGATCGGACTTTGGATGGGGGCGTGTTGGGCAAGGAGGCCTTTTCGAGGAGGTCAAAGAACAGTTTCCGCACCGCCATGGCGTCAGACACATTCTTCATGAAGAGAGCATGTTCGGATACGCCGGGAGTGTTGAAGGTATTCGGAACGCAGCCGGGAGCAAGGACCAGGATATCATATTCGATGTCGAACTCCTGCTGGGATAGTTCCGGGTCGTCGTCGAATGCGGGAGCACAATGAACCGTCTTGGCGTTGAAGTTGACATCTAGGACGTTGGCTTTGATGAACTTCTGGGCGGAGCGGGATTTGGAACGGACGGGTTCTTCGGCCAGGTAGAAATTGAATAGACCACATGCTGCGGATGCGAGCAGAGGGGTGTAGGCGGATGTACGCCGGGGTGAGATACTCGTTACGGCATATTGGTTCGTGTCGATGTATTGGGCAATGTAGAAGCCTGCCCATCCGGTACCGACGATGACAAGGCGTGGTTTACCGTCCGACATGGCCGCGTAGGGTTGTGCTCGTCCAGACAAGGGACTGTTACAGATACAGCTGTTCAAAGCAAGGATTAGATGTACAGCTTCAAGGGAGATGCCGCGCGGTCCCTGGACTAGAACTTGGGTCTTGGGTCTTGGTCGGATGGAGTGCGTCAGGGGGAGATTGGTGATGACAGCTACATTATTGTTGCCTTACAGATAAGGTGTCAATCCAACGCCAATCCAAAGGTATGGAGATCGCCTGGATCTGGAATGGGTAACAACAAATACCAATGATGGGGATGATGGAGATGATGAGTTGGCGGCCTGAGCTGACTCACTCTAGCTTAGGCCAAGACTGATTCCGCCACCGATTTCCACCCCTTCCCGCCCCTGACCTTCCTGTCCTCCCTCCCGTCCTCTATTCTATTCTACTCTATTCTCTACTCTACTTCGCTCCGTCTTAGCCTTTGCTTTCTCCTCCGGGTTGGGCACCAGCTATGTATTCCGCGTTCATACTGCTCTGCTAGGCTGTTGCTTCCAACATCTTCTAGCTGGGATGCAGATATACATCGGACAAGTACTCTCAGAGTATTGAATGCTTTCTTAATGAGTGTCTGCTTGAAAATCGGGAATATGATGATAGGATATCTCCTCCGAGGTTATTCTCAGCCGCTGGAAGATGCGCCCACTGTGCCCGCAGGCATGCTGAGAGATCGATGCGTGAGACGTTAAAGGTTGGCCAGAATGACCTCTCTGTGATGGCCAAAAGGATTGGGATTGAACACAATCCCCCTTTCGATCAGACATGGTTACGAGAGCAAGCCCTTCCTTCTCTCTGAGGACATTATATTGCTTTCCATCTGTTGTTCTCTAGCTCTATTTATCCTTATACTCAAGGTATTTCTTCCGCGAGACCTTACAGTAGCCTTTCTCGTGGCTTCAACCTTGCTCTTCTCCTCTTCCCGTGATGAATATTTCTATGTTCACCCTTTCTCTGCACTAAGGCTCGAGCAGACTTTATATGTGAACAGTATCACGTCCTTCATGTGATTTACAACCTCTGCTGCACAATGGATGGACTAGCAGTCACACGGCCAATTCTCAACGTGACGCAGAATTCGAGATCTCAAACACCAGTTTCATCAGTACTGATCCTCGACTAAATTCAACCTAGCATTTGTATCTGCTCCAGTACACCGAGAAGACAGATTATGGCTTTACTGGGCCCTGCACTGGTCCTGCGGGGCATGACCTTTGAAGCTTATGATGGATAAATGAGGAGAGGAATGAGAGTTACACGATACCCGCTTTCCTGAGAAGAGGCCACTCGACGCCACTCTGAGGAGCTGCTTACTGCATTGAAATTATGGAGGAGGACGACGAGGGGAGGCGGGTTTGAGGCGTGTTGACAGAAGTGAATACTAGATGATTCCGTATCGCAATTGAATTGGTACAATGTATTGTATCTTATATGTAATGGTTGATTCTCCGGAGCGGCGCTTCTTTGCCTGCCTGCCTGACTGCCTGCCTGCCTGAGTGAGTGAGTTCAAGACAAGCAGGGTACGGAAGAGAAAACAATGAGACGCACTCTCGACCTGGCGGGATGGAACAACTGTCTAGGTCCACGAGGGCGTATTCAGAATCCATGGATGTTCCCAAGGAGCACTCCTCTACAGAAAAGGGGGAATCCAAAATCAACAACACCCCCAGTGAATCTAGATACGAATTATAGTAATGAGATAAATGAAGAAAGACATCCAAAGGCAAAATGAAAGGTTTGAACACGTCTCACTAATGCTCTCACCGATCTGCAATGGTATCCTTGGTGGTAGTCTGTATAGCTATGAGCTTCTCTGCTAAAGCCACACCAATAGCAGCAACATGTCTGATGCTAGCAGAGCCAACGTAGAGACTGCAAAAAAAACCCAGACCAATTTGATGTTAGAAATGGTTCACTGACCATTCCCTTGTCACACTTCATCTTCTGATTCTGCCTTCAAATCCAGTAGAGCTCTTCTCCCGTTGCGTCCCGCCTTGCATCAATAGGAGTAGTTGTCGTTTTGGTCGTCGTCATCATCTTGGTGTCTTAACCCACCCTGAACATGTACAATCGCTTCGCCAGGCCTGTCGTCTCTCTCCTCTGGTCGCACCGCCAGATACCTCTTCCTGCGCTGTTCCCAAAAGACCCAATTAGCTGGGCGTCCGCTGCCTAGTTTACGTTCCCATTCGCCCCACTTGATATCAAGTTCTCGAGGGCCAAGCTGTGTTGGCTCACCAAAGATGGTTTTCCAAAGCTGTCGACCGTGCTTACACATTTCCGCTGTTGATGGAGGCTTGAAAGGCCCTCTGTAGACATGTTCCGCGGGTACGTTCGCTGCATCAATTGCTGCGTCGTCTGTTACCCTCTCGCTGTCATGTATTCCAGCTACCGGTATGATGATTGGGAAACTTTGAGCTTGCTGGGCAGCCATGGCACAAGGGAGACTAGCCATGGCAACACCGAGGTCGAGGTAAATTTGTATTCTTCGTAATCGCTTGCCAAGCTGCGCGAGCTCCTCAAGGATGTCTTTATGATAATCGAGATCCTTTCGCCAGTCTGCATCCTCCCGATCCAGATCAAGAGTCAAGTCTTCCAGGCGAGGACATTCCTTCCGTATGCGTCTTACATCCTCAACCGAGAGTAAGCCGCGTCTGCAATCAAACACATATGCCTCCCTTTCGTGTAGTTCGAGCTTCTTGAGAGTTGTACCATGCTTCAGAATCGTGTCAATCGAGACCACGCCCATCCAACTCCATAGGCTGACGGTCTCCAACGGAGCACAAGTAGCCAAGTATCCCTCGAGTAGACGAGGTATTTCCGAATGCTTACTGGCACTGGACAGATTTAGGGACAGGTGTTTCAGGTTTGTAAGGAGAGCCGGGGCAGCTTCGAAATATGTGCGTTCAGGCGTGCCACGAGAACATTTCAAGTCATCCAGATGTGGAAGCGAAACGTGTTTACCCCATTCGACTAGGGTCTGCTTGCTAAGGGCGAAGCCATCGAGAACAAGCTTTCGAATAGAGGTATTAGGTCCGCGGGAGTTTAGGAAGAATTTGGCAGCAGCTTCCCGCTCTCGTACTTGATCTTCGAGTGTTGAAGAACGTCCCATACAACCGGTGCGACCTCTACTGAACGAGGCCAGTTCGAGATTCGGTGCATTAGCGACAATACGCTGAAAGGCCGCAGTTCTTAGATCGATGTTTGTGCCGAATGAATCTACCCACGCGCCGCATTTGATGCCCCGCAGGATGGGTGAAATTGCCAAAGCCTGCTCAGCTGGATCGGTGTGGTCAAGTTCTTCTTCACGATGATATCCCCATATATACAATTTGACTTGAGGATGATAAGTTTGAAGTGCCTGCAGCAACGGAAGAGGGAATTGGACTGTGTCAAAGTCGAAGCTGACCTTTGTGAGACGCGCTGCCTTTGTGACAAGCTTAACGAGAGGAGCCCACATTAACGTGAGATCACATGACCAAGGTTTTGGGTGTCCAGATAGGCGGTCGGTTCGGTCCATATACCCAGTCAAAGTCAGGTGCCGCACATTTCGGAGCACGAGAGGATCCTGAAGCCACGTCTGAATTCGCTTTTGGGTTTCTTTGAGTGTATTATCAGTGTAGCAGATGGTCTTTCGACGATGAGCGACCAGCTGGGTGGCGGCATAGAAATGCTTGTTTACGAGAACAAGAGATCTCTTGGTGGTTCGAGGAGACTCATCGTCAACCTGGCAGAGCCTTTAATCAGCCTTGTCATCTTGGTATCAAAGCAGCCTCATTAGGTGGTGGAGCCGTTGCGAACTGCACGCCACCAAGGAAGTATGTTGACAGACACCAGTATTGTGTCACCAGGTATGCTAGCAGCATCGAAATGACTTACATATTGAAGGATTTCGACGAGAATTTCAGTGCCCAGAGAGCTTATGTTTGCCATTGCTCACAGTTGTAGTCAGAGGGTTGTCACTTGAAGCTGTATTACCGCAGGTGCTGCACAGCTAAAGTGTGTCAATAGTGTGCTTTGATGGAAGCGATGATCTTGATCGCATAGGCAGTAATTGTGAGCCTAGGGATGATGGTTGAAATAGGATGTCAAGAAAGCTCCAGCAAACCTTGAATAACGGCAGGCAGAAGTGCGGTTGCCTGACCTTGGTGCTCGAATGCGCTTCGATTCTTCAAAACACTGACCCCTTCTGCTTTCAAGCAAGGAGAACTGGTTGGTATGAAGCGGTGTCACACAAGTGTACGAAGGAACACATTCAAGGAATGTTCAGGGTAACGTTCATGTACCGCTCAAACGCCTGCTTACTTATATTGAGTGCTTGACGAGGTGTCATACCCGACAGAGGTATCTGCAACCACTTAGAACATATCATCGATAAGACCTTGAATAACCGCCATGTAATTGATACAATGAGAGCACCGTTCTTCAGGCGTGACGGGCCATTTCCACCGGCAAGCACTGTCACTCCGAGTGCTCTCAATCAATGATTAAGGGCCTTTCCCGCCCGCAACCAAGCCTCAGCCGGATTCTTATCCGGGGTGACGCGGCTAGCTGCGCTGGGCAAACTCTCCTCACCAATCATTTCTGTCATCCGCAGTCCGGAGTTCGTTGCATGCCATCCAAGCCTCATAAACACGAATCACACTGCCTCCCCTGTTACTCGTCATCATTCATCTCCTCTCTTTCCCACGTCGACCGCTACTAACAAGTAAACCACATCTACTCCTCGAACCGCGATTTCATTCTTCTTAAAGCCTCATCTATCCTGCGCAGCCCCCTTGATTCGTGGCTGCCACTAGTACACATCCCCCTCAAATCATCAGTACACGCCACGTTCCTCTCCAACCCGCAAACCCTCTCGAGCTATACAAACGCGAACACCAGGATGTCCGACAAATTCAACAATAAAGCCGGCCAACCGCCCTCCTACCCCCAACCAGCCCACCACGACGCCGGACCCTACTACGGGCCCGGCTCACCCCCACCACCCCAGAACTATGGCGCCCAGAACATGTACGGCCAACCGCAACCCAACCAATACGGTGGAGCACCAGGATCGCAACAGGAATACTATGGCGGCGCACCACCTCCCCAAGGAGGTTACTACGGTGGAGGCGGCCCAGGGCCACAACAGCAGATGAACTATGGACCCCCCATGCAAGGGCAGCAGGGAGGTCCGGGATATAACAATTATCAGAATGGAGGAAGACCGGGAGGTATTGCAAAAGGGGGGTTTTGTGCGGCGTTTATGGGTGCGTTGGCTTGTTGCTGTTGTCTTGATTGTTTGATTTAGGTAGACATGATGAGGTGGTAGCAGGTGAAGCGCTATCCGTGGCAGTGGTGATCGCACCAACAAAAATTGGCTTTAGAAATGGCGGGACGAGGTTATGACAGCTGCATTCTTATGGCGATAATGGTGTTGGGCGTACCCCTAAAGCTTATAGCGCTTGTCTGAGAGAATGCACAGCAGAGGGAATATGTCTTTTCATAATCATAGAAACAACAATTTCTCCAGCCATGTAGTCATGACCGATTTTCCCTCTAGACGAAGAACTAACCAACATCGCCCAATCAGTCGCTGCTTCCACCCGAACTAACATACACCAGTGCCTCAAAGGGTCGCAATATCATCGCACTCGACTCTCCGCCTTCTCCTCCTCCTCGTCGTAACTGGGGCTCGTCTTCATAATTCTTCAGCTTGACCGGACACTGCAAAAACGACCTCACCCCCTCCGGCACCTGCCACTCCGTCTCATAGTCCTTGAAACTCATCACCACCAACGCCTTGTTCCGCTCATCAGCAGACCTAATAAATACCACACTCTCCTCGCCTTCTGGGTCCAGCATCTGAAAATCGCCATACACAAAAATATCCTTCAACTCCTTTCTCAATGCTAGCACAGCCTTCCAGTAGCTGAACACACTATCCGGGTCATCGATCTGGTTCTCCACATTCCACTCCGTATAGTCCGGATGTACATCCATCCACGGCTGCGTCGCCTCCCCCGTGAATCCCGCGTTCCTGCTCTTGCCGTCCCACTGCATGGGTGTCCGGGCGTTATCCCTCCCTTTCTTGCGATACTCTCTTAGCATTCTATCTTGAAACTCTTTGTCCTCGGGATACTCCACCAGGACCTTATCGCGCCAATGATTCAACGTTTCGATATCCCTGTACTTGTCCAAACCCCACGATCTAGGCAGGTTGATTTGGCCGATCTCTTGGCCCTGATAGATATACGGTGTGCCACTCTGCAGCGCCAGAAAGGTCGCGAGCATCTTAGCGGAGAACTTACGGTATTTCGGGGCATCGGAGGCGAAGCGCGAGATACTGCGCGGTTGGTCGTGGTTTTCGAGGTAGAGGGCATTCCAGCCGTGGTTGGTGAGCATCATGGCTTGCCATTTTGAGATGATGCGTTTCAGTTCCTGGAGGGTCCAGTTGCGGGGGAGGAATTTGTCCTGGGTCTGGCCGTCTATGCTTACTCTGGTTGCAGCGGAGGTTAGTCGGAATAGCAAATTGAACGGAACAAACGAGATTGGTAGGAGGACCATACAGCTCAAAATGGAAGATCATATTCAACTCTTCCCTTTCCTGTCCTACACTTTTCATCACCTCCTTTTCGTCCCCTACCCCTGGCATCTCTCCAACGCTAAATGCATCATACTCCTTCAGAATCGCCCCGATTCCCTGCAGAAATTCGTGCAGTCTCGGCCCGCAGGAATGCAAAGCGATAGCGCTCTGCCACGGACTGGTTGGATCGGTAACAGGGGCATTAGGAAGGCCGGGCTCCTTGCTGATGAAGTTGATGACGTCCATGCGAAAACCGTCGACGCCGCGGTCTAGCCAGAAACGGATCATGGAGTGGACGGCAGAGACGACGGAGGGGTTCTCCCAGTTTAGGTCAGGTTGAGATGGGGCGAAGAGGTGGAGGTAGTATTCATGTGCCGTTTCATCCCATTGCCATGCTGAGCCTAGGGACGGAAGAAGTCATTTAGCTTTTTATAGCGGCATTGTCTGGAGGTAGAAACATTAAGCCACTGGCGAGAAGGATGCCGGGGGAGACGAGCCGGGGAAAGGGAGTATTGAAAAGAGAGATTATGTTACCTCCAAAATAGCTCAGCCAGTTGTTCGGCGGCTGTCTCTGCCCGCCATTATCGTATTTGGCAGGCCGCCATATGTACCAATCCCTGAACTCGTTACCTTTGCCTCTACTTGACCTCGACTTCTTGAACCACTCATGTTGATCACTAGTATGATTGACCACCAAATCCATCACGTACTTCATCTTCCTTGCATGCAGCTCCCGGATCAACTCATCGTGGTCCTCCATTGTTCCATAGCCTTCGTGGATGTCGCGGTAGTCAGAGATATCATAGCCCATGTCGATTTGAGGGGACGCGAGGATAGGGCACAGCCAGACAGTGTCTGTGCCGAGGGACTGAATGTAAGAGAGGTGCGAGGTAATGCCGCGGATGGTGCCAGTAGGCCTGTTGGGAGAGTGAGACTGGAAGGAAGAGGGGTAGATCTGATAGATGCTGGACTCTTTCCACCAGGTGCGGTGAATCCCTGTAGGCGTCTGAGACTCCTTCCGCGGAGACATGATTGTTGAAATTAGGGAAACGAAGCGAGACCCGATGCAATGCTGTCAGGGAAAGAGAAATAGAGCTTGATCTTTGTAATTCCGAAGACAAAGAAGCACAACCGAACAAATATGTCAAAGATGTAGCAGAAAATCAGAGGAGTGAGATGGATAGAAGAGACATAGAAGAGAGAGTTCAACAAGCTGGGAAGAGATTCTGAGATTCCCTTATCCTGTTGAGGCTCTGTATCCGTCAAGATACATAGTAGACCGTCAATCGTTTGCCTAGATATACATAAATCTTAACAGAACAGTAAGTGGCAAGACACCACCAGAATGAAGTCAATGGCGCACAACCTCTCTCGACATCATACAGGGTTGATAGCCCCCCCTGTAGGCGCGTGGGTAAGCTCAAGCTGTCAACAATACCCCGCGTCGAAGGCCTGGGCACCGTCATTGCAATCCGATGGCGACCGAGAGATAAACCGAAAGTTGTGCTTGTACTCCGTAACTGTCGCATTTAATTAACCGAGACTGTCGTCGATACCGTCTTTAGCTCTAACGCCAGCTGTAGCGTCATAGCCTAAGTGTAGTTAGGGCACAAAGGGTCAAGATAGTTGCGTATGAATTGGTGCATCAAGACCTGTTGTATGTACTATGGGAAAGCTGAACCAGCAGCGCTACAGAATCATTTTAACCGAAGATCTTCCGGGGTCACCTCGTGGCATCAAGTTGAAATCTGAAAGTGTTTATATATTATTCGAAAGCAGCTTTTTTCGTCGTCCCACGCAAACTCTCTGTGGCTCAACGGCAGGCGGTAAAACTGGCAGCAGTTAAGTTTTCATAGCGGATTACATCTCTCCTTCCAGTATCGAACTTTCACTGTTCGAGAGTGGGGTTGTACATGAAGCGAACTTTTTGCATTTTTGTCAGATGGAATTTCTAGATATTCTGATGTACTGGTTTCTTTGAAAGGGCCTTTTTACGTTATCATTCAACATGACTTTTGGATAGCTATTTGCTATTTCCATTTGACAGGAGAAGGTTGAGTGTGTTGCCAAGAATGTTATGCTTATGTAATCACTTCCACGCCTTGGCAGTGCCTAACCGAGATAAGAGCAAGATTTTAGCAATGGACTCCGCCTACGCATGCTAGCTACGGCTTCAACACCTAAAACATCCAACGCAGTAAGGACACTGTATTCCTCTGCGCGTATGACGAACTGCAAAACCCAAAGGTGAACGGCTGTTAAGCTCCGGATTGTTCTAATGACCCCAGTTTCTACTAGTTAGGCCGAACTGAGCAAGCCTGGAGGTTTTCCATGTTTTGTGCTGTACGAAATCTTGCAGTACTTTCTCACATCTAGAAAGAGCTTCCAGCTTTCCCACAACAGTTCTATCCATCTGTAAACCATGGGCTTAATATCTATCCTGCGTCAACGATATGGAAACTTCGGATTTAGGTCTTGATCCAATCGTCCTCAGTGGCTGGCCGTCTTGCAAAGAATGCATTTCGTTCTCAAAAGATGGGGAGCTTGCTGTTGCTACCGGTGAGATTGTCCACATTCTGACTCCCAAGCAGAGTTCGAAGTCTGGCGTACAGAAAGATCCAGGAATCGTTGGGCTCCGGAATTGGCACTCAGCTCGAATCTGTATCAACGTATTCACCCAGCGGGAATGGCCAGATCAGCATCCGGCTCCCTCCCGTAGTTTCTCTCTTGGCGAAGAGCAGTCCCTCTCCATCGTCGTCGGGCTTGCTTGGTCACCACCTGGACTGGGGCCACATAGGAGAAGCGTGCTCGCTGTGCTGACGAGTAATCATGTTCTAAGCATTTGGGAATCAAACGGTACGATCGGAGAGTGGACTAGAGTAGTTCTGGTCAATCACTCTTTAGGCGACTACCTCGGTTGGGTCGGCGAGGCAGGTGATAATCTTCACAGAGAAAAGACGAGAATTCGAGCGTTTGCATGGAGTCCACCGTACGAAGTGTCTCGATCTCCTGGTGGGAGGAGTCTGACATCAAAATGGGGCGCATGCTACCTTGCTATTGCAACGGATGAAGAAGCCATCACCCTCTTGAGAGTGTCAAGGCGCAGAAGAGTGGGCCGAACGGAGTGGGACGTGAATGCAACTTGTCATACCAGTCTTCCCATTGTATCTACTCTCCGAGATGGTCCTCATCAAGGATCCTTGTTCCAGAAGGCAATGACGAGTAAATCTCCGGTGTCAAGACTGTCGTGGTGGGACCCCGAAGACAAATCTTCTCGGAATTTTATCCGAATCGCTAGACGCGATAACCAAACCTTCGTAGAGGTTCAAGGGAGCTTATTTGAAGCAAGCAACGGCTATGTCAATTTCTTGGAGCACAATCTCGCTCTCAATGCAGTGTATTGGGAGGACCCAAGGCAACAAAATGGCTATCGTGGTCCAAAAAACAAACACATAAGTGACTATGATCAATCAGGGAAGAAGAATGGTCATCATGATGCGCAGGTCAAGTACGCTGCTGATGACGACGAATTGAAGAAGATCATCATGGCCGCCCTCAAGGAATTCGACTCAAACCATGGCCTGGATGGCAACTCAATCGTACGGGAATGGGGTTTTGCCTCTAGCGATGATCGTTATGCAGCCTGCATTAGCCTTCATCCTTCTGACATGGTGGAATATAGCACGGCATCGCTTGAAAAGTGTACCGTCTTATTTGCTCCCAGAGCTGAGCCCAGAGAAATTAACGAACCTTTCCGAATACCTGTAGGCAGTCCCGCGGATGTGCTATGTCAAGTGGCTAATTGGGTCTTCTCTGCTTCGGGGGATGTCTCACTCACATTGCCAATCGATAGAAATATTCTTGGCATCTTTGCGACTTATGCAGCTCAAATCGACAACGAGATGGTGAGGCACCTTGCCGGAATGGCTTTCAATCGGTTACGCGAGACATCAAAATCCCAGCTTGATCTAGACGAGCTGGAGGTCGACGACCCCGTGCCCGCCGATTTTTTGTCAAGCTCTGACATGGAGACATGTCTAATTTGCGAGGCCCTTATCCCTTTCGAGGAAAACGATATTGGAAGAGCACGTTGTGAGACTGGGCACCCATACAGTATGTTGCATCAGGAAGTACTCTTACTCAATCGCTAACCAAAGACAGCAAGATGCAACTTATCTTTGCTTGCAATACAAGAACCTGGGATTTCTAAATACTGTTCTCGGTGTGATCGACAATTTCTAGATGCGGAAGAAGTTGAAACAGACCAGAATTCAGCTGGCCCGAGCTTGGTTGCACTGCTGTTTGAGGAGTTTGATGTTTGCCCATATTGCCACGCCAAGTTTCGCAGTTGACTGGAATGTGGATTCCACATGACCCGAGCACAGTAAAAAGATATCCTGCTCGGTGACATCCAGAACTTGTCTCTTTGTTGGCGATTTCGATTCTGCTTTGGTCTTTGTGTCTGCCGGCAAACGCTTCAACATGCTGAAAACAGAACAACCGGATCCGGCTTTTAGACAAGATACCGGCAACATCATCTGTAAAATGTTCCTCACATCTTGCTTCGACCCTCACAGATATGGTCAGCGATATGGCAGAGCAACATTCAATCAATGAGGTCGTTGCAAGCCAAGTGCGCAGCAACTCTACCCCAGAGCCATCGCTTCGGCAAAGTCCTTTTGCAAGTACAGAAGAAGCCACCTCTCGTCTAGAGCTGGAAGAAGATGAAGCGCAGGTCGAGCGTATTGATCGTCCTGCGACGCCGGCTTCTGCGACAGACGCTGTAGATGCCGATGAGCATCAATCTCCGGTCCCAAGTACCAACTTTTCTGAAGCAGCTACGTTGCTCACCAGAGATTCCCACTACACAGCAAATACTGGTGGGAGAGCTGAACAATCATGGCGTGGAGGCATCGCCAATATCTGGAATCCACCCAGTACCTTCTTGTCCAATGACCCTTCTGAATCAGGTTCGTCTGTGGTTGGTGAGGAAAGCACTACTTCTTCATTAAGGGACGTTCCCCAGGTGGAAACTCCTCCCATCGAAATATCTGCCGCGCCTGTCACAGGACCTGATGAGCCTCGATCATTCTTCGACAGTGATTCGGAGAGCGATGGGGAAACAATCCTCCGTACCGCAAGTCGAGCCAGCAGCCTTCGTGGTCAGCGTCCAAAACTCGTTGAGCACAACTCGTCCAATGTGAGCCTCGGTAGAACAAGGTTCTACCAGTCTGCTCGACTTGCCCCCCCTCGCAATCCGGGTCCGTCTCACAGCAAAGCAGAGCAGATTTTAGGCATCAAGCTTAAGAATTTGCTTGACTTGACACCCGTAGGAGAAAGCTCGAATCCACTTGCTTCAGCCAATACTGCCACCTTGAACGCTCTAACGGCGAATGCAGTGGCAAAGGCATCTACTACAGCTCTTGCACCGTCGACTCCGGCAACGCCCGCCTCGTTTGATTCTTCATCGGTGAGGGAAGTTCCCAATACTCCCACAAGGGTTGAAGCCCTCGATACTCTACCTTCGCCTTGGGGTGGTTTTGGCACTCTGCGTCTGTCTGGGCAAAATGCTGATCGTGTGGGAGCGTCTCCCTTGGATGCTCTTCGATCTAACCCTGTCACACGAATTGACACAGTCGGGCTACATCGATCCACCTCAGCCCCTCCACTGCCCTACCGCAGAAACAGGAAGGTCACCATCCGTCCCGTAGATATGGAAATCATTCAAACGGCCCATCAAAAGAAGTTCTTCAGGGATTCTGTGGTCAGTACGCCGTATCCGACACGTCAGCAAAGCATCGCCATTGCAGATGTCGTCCGAACGCCCACTATTCCGAGGAAGGGCAGTAACACGCTGGCGCCGAAAACAGAAAAAGACTCTATTCAGTCACCCACTGTCGCTCAGGTATCGCCTCCAGAAATTCTGATCCTTGAATTGTCCCTCACAAGACAACCACTCTCGACCAAGATGATCACCATCCCAATCTACGACCGTAGCACCTTTGACGACTGCGCTCTCTTCTCCAGCCTCCGAAACAGCTATAACCACACCATACTTGGCTTCACTCTGCGCTTCCTCACCGCAAGAACTCTCTCATACACCACTTTCATCTTTCCATCCTCACCTAGCACCACAGGACCAGCCATCCCCTTCGACGCAGCCGACTTCCTTAAACACCTTAAACACCCCAAATCCGGCCACAGACGAAAGACCTGGCTCCAATGGCTACGCAAACATCAACCACGCTCCATCGCCAACAACAACAACCCGGGCCCGTCATCGCGAGATCTAACAGCTCGCTCAGGCAGTATCGTCACCGCAGCCTCACCAGCGACCTATTTCTCCTCGGAAGGTATACCGCGAACACCCGCTTTCATTGATCCACGGTCCCCTCCTCCTCATCCTCCTCCTCCTCCACCACCACCACCACACTCAAACCCCATCTCCCCTTCAAACGCCAACGCCAATGCGAACCCCAACTCCTCACTCCTCTCTGCCCCCTCCTTCACATCGTCTTCTCAGCCCGTCGTTACGACAAATCCCGTGATAATCCTCCACCACTCCTTCTCCCTCCCGCGCATCGCAGCCGCCATCTCCCTCGTCCTGGCCCTAACCGCCCTCACAACGATTCTGTGGGTGTTGTTCGGGACGCCGGGCGTTAGCGCCGCAGACTCCCACGCGAGGGAGCTGCTGAGGGATGGCAATGGGAGTGGGATGGGGAGTGGAGTTCCGAATGGAGGTGCGGCTGGGACGGGGAGTGGTATAGGACTGGACAGTGGGAGTACGGGTGGAAGTGGAGGTGTTAGTGCTCTGACAGGCCAGGCCACGAATTGGGATTGGAGAGTCAGTGCGCAGACGCGGGTTCTCACGGGGCTGGTGATGGGTGTCTTGGTGTTTTTGATGGGAACGACGGGGGTGTTGGGCTGGGTTGGGGGTAGCTGGGCTGCGCTCTGATGGAGAAGGTTGCATGGGAGGGAATGCGGGCTGAGGCGAGCTGTGGCCAGGGCGTGGGTAGGGGCAAAGTGATTGGCGCTGGCTGCTGTTATGAGTTTCGATCAGGCGGAGGGGGTGACTGTGCTTCCAGTCGGGTTTTCTAATTGGGTAAGAAGACAGGGATACTGGCTAAGACAGAAAGATGAAAAGGACGGACTATGAAATCCTAATCAACCTGTAAATGTTAAGATGTGACCGAGTACTCGAGCACCAAAAGAGACTTTATGGCGTACAGGTATAAACTGGCCCAAGGAGAAAAATTCTGCACATGTCCTGATCATATCAGAAGACTTGCCAATGGTGATTTGCGTAGCCTCCAATAGACGTGTGCCATTCGGTATGTGAGCTACCTACCCAGTCGTTCAAGTGGACTAGCACTTCTGTTCTCCTGTATCAGAATTTGCTTCCTGCTCGCCTTCTCGTTTCTTCTCCAGATATGTGACTGTGATCATGACATCCGCACCTCGCCACGCTTTAAAGTTCTAGACCACGCTCCATTTTATTCCCTCACCCGAATAAGAGGGAGGTTGTGTACGGCTATATACAAAGTGTGGGTCTCTCCCGCTCCTTTCTTTTCTATTAGCTTCGCCTATTCTAGGGGGGACCACTTCTTTCATACACAAGCCATCTCCGGCTATTGTTCACGACCTCAATTGGTTATATCATGGGGTCACGACCCCAAGAACGAGTTCATTCCCTTATGTGCCAGCTCCACACCCAAAAACGTCGCCGCATTCGCCGGCACCGCCCTCGCCAGGGCGGGTCCGAATCCAGGAAAAAAGGCCCTGAACCCTCCACTCCGATACACACCTCTGATGGTACCGCTTATGGTGGGCCGGCCCTCGGCGGACTGCAGCCGCGATTTAATTGTATCGATGGGGAAGACGGGGATCCACATGGCTACGCCTGCGGCTCCTCCCGCGACGATCACGGCGGGAAGGCTGAGCTGACCGGTTGCGTTGCCGTTGGCGTCTTTCGGGGTCAAGCTGCGCTTGACGTATTCGTAGGAAGCGAAGTAGGCTGCCGACCCGGGGCCGTCACGCGCGAGGGTCATGGCGGAGCCGCGGAACACGGAGCGCAGACCCCCTTCTTTGTAGAGTTGGCGCACCACGTCTAGTCCGCCGGAGTATTTTGGTTTCTCGCCTGGTTTCAGCTGTTTCTGGCCTTGGATCTGGAGGAGGACTTTGACTCGCTCGAAGGGCGCAGTGATGAGCGTCATGGGGATTGCAGAGAAGAAGCCCGCGGTGGCGAGCTGGCTGAGGCTGTATTGCGCTACGCCGTTGCTGGTGCGCGGGACTGTGGAGAAGGATTCGACGAGTGATTTGCCAACGCCGTAGCCCCAGAAAGACACCATGAACATGGGCGTTACACCCACTAACGGGGCGGAGACTCCTGCGTAGAGACCTCGGGCTAGGCCCTCACGGGCGATGGTTTTTCGTGCCACGTCCAATGCCGACGAGTAGACTCCGCGTTCCGCGGTCTGCATTCGTACTTTGACCAGGTCGAAGGGGGGCGAGGTCGCGGAGTTGAGAGCCGACGGTTGCTTTGGCTTGCTGAATGTCGGGTTTTAGATCTGATGGCGAGGGGAGTTTGTTCTTGAGATCTTGTGGGGAGGGGAGGTCGTCTTTTGAAGTGGGGATTGAGGGCGCCATTGCGGGCGAGATTGATGGAGGAGGAGGAGGAGGAGGAGTGGGGAGAGGAAGAAGATGAAGTGAGAAGGTCGTTCGCAGGTTGAAATCAGGTGAGTGACACTAAGGTAGCTAGGGGCGTAATTGATTTTCCTGATAGCTGTGTTCTGTGCCCACGAGAAACCTCAGTTGGAGCTCCGCAACAGGGTCGGAAATGGTTAAGAGTGGAGTGATTTCTCTGCAGGAGTCAGAGTTCAGTTGCTGATCATACACAGCATCTATCGCTGGCAAGGATTTGGTATGATGCCCTTCGTGTTCGTTTTTTGCGCATGTTGCTTGGGATGGTGAATAAATTCGTCAGAAAGATGTAATTGCACCCAAAAAAGTCCCATGCACATGCGGAAAAGCCAATGCCGCGGCTCGCTGCGTACGAGTTACTACTTATTAGCTAGTAGGGAGACCCCCATACTTTCTCCCTGCCAAGAGCCGAGCCCCGATGCCTCTTTGGCCAGATAAATGTCTCCTAGGGACTCGGACTCGGAGGATGTAATGACATGTGGTGACATGTGGTGGGGCCCCTAGTAGAATAAAGAATGCTAGGAGGGCCATTAGAGCGCGCTTAGATTAAGCCTGACCTTGAGATTGCCTGCAAGACACAAGGACAAAGATACATAGTATCCCACGCGCCGGTGGGAATTTGCTGCATTTTAGCGTGCCAAGCATTTTCGGTCTTGGCATGACTTTTTTTCCATTTTCGGAGGATCGGCGCCATCCATCCCAACTTCTACATGGAATTGCGCAGGTCTCAACGCCAGCCAAAGCCTAGAACTATATGGGAAGAAAGAGGTGCTCCTTCTGCAGCTAGGGACCCCAAGATCACCCAGAGAACTGACCGAACGGAGCAGCAAACGGCTCTCAAACCTGTTGCCATTGGTCCTCTTCCGAAAACGCTCGAAATTGACGTCAATCAACTCCCTGACCTCCCTGCGTACAAACCGTTGTTAGAATTATGATTCGAGTGCTCAAAACCCCTTCTAGAAGGTCTCTCGGAGCTTGATACATTCCAAAAACTCCTTACGCCTGCTATAATCGACAGAATTATCAAATCAACGAATAGCTATGCCAAAAACGCTCGCGAAACGAATCTTGACGAAGACGATCCTGAATCCTTTTCCAGACCCTGGAAACCAGTCAATAAAGTCGACATATAGCGATACATCAGTTGTTTGCTTTATATAGGATATCACAGGTTATCCAAACATGAAGAATATTAGAGCAAGTCAGGTTATCTAGGCGCATTCCTGAGTCTAGTAAGATATGAGCAGATTTATTGATATTTTACGCTTCGAGACTATACGACTGCTCCTCGTCAAGAGCATGAAACTTTTGCTTGGCAAGTAGAACTAATTGGGTCTATTATCAAGCAAAATTGCAAGAAGAATTAGTATCTAAGCTCTCATTTGGCTATTGATGAGGCTATACTAGCCTATAGAGGCCGCAGTACTCATAAAGTCAAGCTCCTGAATAAGCCAATCAAGAAGGGCTATAAAGTGTGGGTACTTGGCGACGCTGGATATGTATATGATTGGTTATGGCATAGTCATATTGAAGGACCAGAGGATATCCCTCAAGAGGGTATCGAATTCGATCGAGTTATCGAAAAAGAGCTTACAGAGCTTACTACAGTACATCTAGCACCAACATTTACTCTTGTTATTCGACTAACATAGCGTTTACATCAAATTTATTCAACGCGCGTTTTTTGCTTCTTTTTAAATAACCTCTTTCTGAATGTTAATATTGCTTAATTATTACTTGCTCTTTATATTTGCTATATAAGTACTACTTACAAAAACGCTTAAGGAGTCTTTGTATAGATTCTAAAGCTAAAGGAGCATAACTATAGCCTTGTTTTAGAATTCTATACTTGTAAAAGTTGTTAATAATACGCTTGTTTTTCTATAACAAAGATAATAATGCTATTATAGGCTATATAACTACTTATAATCTTTAAAATAATATAGTTTTATAACTTTAAAAACGACCTTCTCTTATATTAATAAACACTTAAATTATTCGCTTTATATTTAGCAACTTACCCTTTAAATAGCTCTATATCCCTTGTGCTATTAATAACTATAATCATTATATAAATAGCGTTAATTAAAGTAATTAATTATAGAAGAACTTCACAGCTCACAGACCTTACGAACATCACGTTTGACGCCCTTTATAATACTATATTCTTGATATCTATGTAGTTAACAGCTATCTTATTTGGAAGGGGGATATAGCAGACACAAAGAAAAGAGGTCACAACGCCCGTTTCGAAAAGCGCTTATTAACGCCCTTCTCAATACGCCCTATCCTCTACTGCCTATCAAGTATAAGAGCAAGTCTATAGCCCTGCCAAATAGAGCAACTCTTGATCATTGCTGGCAGCCCTTGGAGAAGCGTGGATACTGTGTATGGTGCAAAAAGAGCGCTTAAGAGGAGGAGAAGAGCAGCAGGCCAGCGTTAGCCGAAATCGTCAATTACGCCGCTTCTAAGCGTACGAAACTGTCGAACGGAGGATGTAGAAGCTGCAACGTATATCTATGCGTAAAAGGGCGTTGTTTCGAGCAATACCACTGTCAGTAGCTAAATAATTACTTGCTGGCGCTTTTTGCTCGATTTCTATATATGCCACAGGCAATTTTGGGGCTAAAATGCAGCAAATTCCCACCGGCGCGTGGGATAGTCGTCTGTAATTTAATGAAAGCCTTTTTGTCTCCTATCACGTTAGTATTCTCCTCATTTGACAGAATAGCTGCCACTTCTATTACTCGGTGCCGTTGAAAAGTCTCCGTGACCGCTAGCCAGCATTTCATAAATAATTGTTGGCATCTCTGAGCCTCAGTGGCGGGCACCGGACCGGAAGACCATCATTACTTATGAATGCTTCTATCAGTCCAGTGTAGACTTCTTGGCGGCACCGAGTACTACATAGTAATGATACTTAGCCCGACTATTTACCCCTTCTCCTGCCAAGTTGTACCCTTACGGAAAGTCTCTCCCCAGAGAAGATCACTCTAAGCCGCCCAGAAGTTCTCCCAACAACAAGTCTCTCCCTAAAGCGAAGACATGAGCACTTCCTTCTTTGCTGTCCCAGGCTAAATATCGTATATAATCTGGCCGTCTGCGTCTGTCCTAAGGGAAGGCGGTAAGTAACATAGAGTACGTCGTCGAAAAAAGACAGCTCACCATTTGCAAGAGGAAACTTGTTACCAACATCAATACTCTTGCAACCTGACGGAACACCACAGCAAGATCCACTTCCTAGTTTAGCAGAACTGAGGTCGTCGTCTGAAGTATCAACTGTGCCTTTCACTGTTTACCAAAGGGATGCTTGGTTCTCCGCGCATAGAGTCAAGAACACACGTATTGCATCGCCACCATCAATAGGGGCATTGCAACTTGCACACCAGATGATTCAACAACCCCCTTGTCATAGTCACTGTTATTATGTCGTCCATCAGGCTGATTCTAGAGCTGAAAAATGGGAGAGGCTCGTTCGTATTCATGTGCCGCAACCACGCAGGTGGTAGGGGCGAAAACGAGCTCCCGGAAGCCGGAGTCCATAGGAAATGAAGCTGCAGTCAACCCAGCCCCATTCTCCTTTCCCACGACCCAGGATGCAGCCTGTTGACAAATCTCCACACTCTGCGGTCTTTGCATGCATCCTATACCTTCTGGGGTATTGTTAACTCCGGGGGTATTTACACATTTAATGCATTTCAATCGCCCTATGGATCCTCCCTACTACTTTGCTTCTTTTCTTAGGTGAACGCGCGTTGCTAGGCCTTATTTTGGAGAAGTTTACATCGAGTATTGTTTCAAAAACAACATGCTGACGTGCAAAATGGCTCCAGTGGCTGGTCTAATGCTGAGCATGACAAGGGAGGGAGGGGAATGGCCCTCTTGCGTGGGACATCAAGCAGATTTTAGTTATTTGAGATGGCTTGTCCTCTACTTGCTTTTTATCTTGCGTTTCAAACACTGCAGAGTTTTCACACGGTCACAGTAATCACCGTTCACTCTTACAATCTTGCCAGCTATGCATTCTCATCTCTTCTCTTGCTTTTGCCTTTTCGTGGTGTTTGTCTTATTTGGGCGAGGCGTGACTGCCAGTGCCCACATTGCCCATTCTCCAAGCGCGGCCTCGGGCTCAAACAAGCAATTTTTCTACCAGCCATTCAGAGCTGCTCGCCCGAGATCGGGTCTCGCAGCTCGAAGCATTGACACGGCATTAAGGCATGATCACGAATTACACTATGTCGACGGCACGTTTTTGTTGAGTTCTTCGGCTGTCTCTGCTAACCGGTGATAAGACTCCAAGGCTGGACAAGCTTCCTCGTTTGCTGCCCACGTTAGACTGTCATCGAAGCTGCCGACACTTACGTTGGAAGAGCTGGAACATCATACTGAAAAAATCGAATGTTACGACAACAGTGTGACACTCACTTTTCCCAGCTTGGAGACCGTCAAGCTTGCACATGGAGAGTTCATCAAGGCCAAAAGCTTTTACTTGATAACATCCCACGAGGGCTGCAACAATGACGGGGAGCGAGATGTTCACCTGTGCGTGCTTCTTTCAATACCTGGGTCAGATTGCTAAAACTTCCGGCGTCTCTACTGTCTCGTTGAATGAAGATATCAACAACATCGTTCTCTCAACCACTCCTATGCCTTGGGAAAACATGTTTCACAAGATGGATGTGCGTTTTGGAGATAGTGCGGAGACTTTTGAAGTCCGCCGGCACAAAGACTTGCAGGCAAGGCAGGACACAGAACCGAGAGCGCTACATCTACGCCTATCACAGCGTCTGCCACGTCAAATAGCATAGCTTTCCCTCCGGCGCCCACTACTACTCCCGGAGACTTCAACGTCTCCGGGAATATTGCCTCGGAGCTCATTGATACACAAATCCTACCTCCGGATTTTAACGTCGATGGCCTTCTCGCTGTGGCACCAGAAATGTGGGGACTTGCAATGACATTGCCCTATATTTCGCTTGCTAATAACTCCATATGGCGTCCAAAGCATGAACGTAAGGTGCAAAACTGCAGCGTTCAAGGTACCATATCACTCTTCCAGGGCTTTTTCAGTATCGAGAACACGAGAGAAAGTGCATCAGACGAAACCATGATTATAGAGTTCTTTACCGAGGACGGCTACTTGGAGCTTCGGGCGGATAATGTTGCCGCGCATATCGAGTTGGAGAGTTCGATAGAATCTTCGATTGAACTGGCCGCGGTGGAGATACCACTGCCGTCGGTTGGCTTGCCGGGCTTTATGGTGAGTGTGCGGGAGTGAGATTGGAACACGACACCAAAGTTGACTTTGTATGCAATAGATTCCTGGTATAGCCACCGTTGGCCCAATGTTAATGCCTATCATCGAGATAGGAGCTCAATTTTCAGCGCAAATCGATTTTACCTACGGGTTCGACCTCATGGTTCGTTTCGGCCCCATTGTCCCATTGTTTCCCATCACATCACGTTGTGTAGACGAGCATTTACAATACATTAAATCTCAGGCTTACGCACTCCATCTAAACAGATACCCAACAACTCAACCATCATCATCAATATGGCAGAACTCGCTAATTCCACGGAAACAGGCTTGTAAGTAGTGGCTCATAACACATTCTCCAATAGCTGCACAGGCTCAAAGTTCAAGCAAAGAACCTGACTAATCTTACAACAGCCGAGACGCCTCCCTCGCCCCCCTCCCATTTCAAGCCTCCGTCCCCTCCCTCACCGTCACTCTCTCCGTCGGTTTCCTCCCCCGTCTCCTCCTCGGCATCTCCATTGGCTCTGCCTCTGTAGTGAGCTTCTCCGCCGGCGCGGGCGCCATTTTCGGTCTCCCGAAACTCGAAACCAGAATCTCCCAGGTCGCGGATGTCAACGAGCGGTGCGAAGCCCTCAACACAACCGCCGCAGACGACGACGACGATGACAATGACGATGCATTCGACTTCCTCACGCTCATCGAGCCAAGCGTAGTATTGGATGTTGAGCTGATCGCCGAAGCGGATATCGATGTCGGAGTGACGATTGATATCAATGCCACGTATCCGTTGCTAAGCACGGCTTTCCCATTGCCGACGGCTTGTCTGAGCTACGATGCTGATGCGGAGAGTTATGCACCTGCTGCTATAGCTGATGCGAGGAGTTATGCACCCGCTGCTATAGATGCCACGGTTGAGGAAGGGGATGGCGGACAGGGGAGTGGCGGGATGAGGTTGGGGGTGGGGAGGTTGAAGATGCTGGTGAGTTTGCTGGTGGGCGTAATGGCGGTGTTTGTTGGGATGTAAATTGAAATTGAGTTACTAGGTTATCCAAATCGTTGAGATACTCTATAGGGATGTGGAATCTGCAGGGGAGGGGAGGAGGAGGAGGAGGAGGAGGAATAGGAGGGAACAGTGTTTTTTCTCGTTTGTTCGCCTTACGATGAAGGCTTTTTTTTGGGAAAAAGCCTTTGAATGAGAAAAGGAAACAACTTGCTAAATCATAGGGATAGCTGATACTATCTAAGCAATCTCAAATATGATCTCTGCCTAGGTAATTACTGATCATTGTGGTGATCCCTACGGTGGATCCTCGAAGAAGCCATCCTATATCAACCAAAAGCGGTTTAAATACTTAGTAATAACAAAGACCCCCAACCTTTCTCCACCTTCTATAGGAGGGGTTGGGAGGAGCTGCAGGTCAAGGAAAAAAAGGGCATTTTTTTTCGCTAACCCATTAGTGGTCCGAAAGGCGCTCATGATTCCCCTACAAGGATTTTAGATAACTGCTTGACGACCTATATGGATAGCCTCTATGTAAGTTCCATCCTATTCTCCTTGCCAGTACTTATCAAGAAGGAGAATTTCATCACTGATGTCCTCCTACGTGCGAAATTTGAAATTGCTGTCACAAATTGGGGACATATAGTAGTACTTAACAGACCTCCGGACCCTGCACATCTGATACTAGTACATAAGCGAAAAGAAGCCTCAAAAAAAACCCCCCGAATGCTGAATGTGTGTGGAGTGTGTTGAATTTATCCATGTTCATTTGACGTTTTTGATTTATCAATTCCTCCTATCCTGGGCGATATGCTGCCCGCGTGGCAGATGCAGGCTTGCTCTGCCCTGCCAGGCGTGACAGGACCAGAATCGTGTCATTCAGTGGTGATCTAATTTGGTTATGAGATTGGGCATCTGGCCTGACTTTCAAGGGTGACCGATTCGGCGTTCCGATCTTTGGAGTATTGGGTTGGAAGGAGTCACAAATTATGGAATCAACTTCAATTCACGTCTAGTTAGCATTCATCCCATCATCTCAACAAATCCTGGAGGAGTCAAGTCTTTCTTGAGTAGCAATTTTTTCGGGACGGGTCCTTGAAGGACGTAAGACGACAACTTCATTCAATTTTAGCGGTATCATATACAGAGTACAATTAAGATAAGACCAAGATAAAAAGCTTAAGTGTTTGAGCAGAAAACCTATATAAAGAGAACGTCGGGATTTATCTTGTATCGGAGGCTCAAGCAAACCCCCGATTTGATGTTCAAAGACACCTGGGTTGCTATACAGGTGGACGACGTCTCGGTCGGTCCGTAGGCGTTGTGAACCATCAGATCCGCCCTACCCAAAGATGCAAACTGTTCCGCAAGTGAGAAAGGGAAAGGCTCACTGGCGCTAAGAGCCGTCTGCCATGTAGTAGTAGGGCTGTGGAGATTCCGTTTGCCGTAGCGAAGCTAGGTCGTATATTCGGATGGCGTGGCGACTATGAAGGTAACTCCTTGATTGGCGACGGTTCTGCTGATTGCTTCGGCATCACCTCGTTGCTGTCGCGACATGAAACACAGACTTCCTCCGAAGCACGGCGCTGTTAAAATCTAGGTCAGGTTGAGGTCGAAGGTTGGCCACGTTTGCTGAAGCACCACCTCTCTTCCAAGGTTGAGAGATCGAGCTATGGGCTCGGTCCAGTTACGCAAGCCCTCATGCTTCAGCGCTATGCCTTTAGGCGCCCGAAGACCCGCTCGTGTAAAGGGTGACCGCCGGATCATCTGCGCTTGTGGAAATTGTGGTGGTTTTACCTTTTTCCTCAATGCTAGAGACGTCGACGACTTGCATTCCCGACCTCTTGACCTTACTCACGTACTGTTTGCTGTCCTTGTCTACAATGATAATGTCTGACTGGCAGTCATGGACCATGGCGAGATGAGCCCAAGGTAGAGACAAGTCCCTGGCACGCATGATGGCGAGTAGGGACGAAATCCAAGCGGGAGTAAGTTCCAGCAGTACTGCGACTGGCCATGCAATAGTAACATTGGCCGCTTGCAGCGCGGTAGTGACGTCGTTTGTCTAGGCCAAAACTTCTGTAGATATCCTGTAATATCATACTGTTATTTCCTGCGGCTGCGATTAAGCGATTTGATCCACCCCGTGAACGACTGTCTCCAGCCAGTGAGAAGGCCAGGACAGGCCTAGGTGTTACAGCACCATCCTAGACGGAAGGATATCCGAACCCCGCGGCCTAACAGCTGGGCACGGAACAGAACTAAGCGATCATGCACTACCAAGACTAAAGCAGGATTAAGGTTGCTCAGCTCTGCTCACCACTGAGCAGGACTGAGAGCATATGAACCTCTCATCTATATAAGCACGCTCCTTTCGCAGATAGTCAGATAGTTCTTCTTACTCCGTAGTCAACTCATGTTATCAGCTCATACATAGCCTGAAGACATTCAGAAGTATCTTTGATTGCACCCCCTGTTCTACCCAACCAACCTACTTAGACCCAACCTGTAGTTGAGACTCGTCTTGACAAGTTGAGCCCTAACACTAGGTATGCAGGACCAGGGTATCCATCAAATCAAATGAATCAAATTTAGCGCCGATTTGGTTCATTTGATTCATTTGTCAAACGAGTCAAATCTTAGTAAGCAATAATTTTGTTAGTATAACTGTCAAGGATTTCTATCTCGCAAAAGGAGTCCGCCAAGATTTTTTATTTTTCAACAAAAATATGCATCTAATTTAATTAATTTGGCAAATATGATTTAATTTGATTTGACTAATTTGATTTGACTGGATACTAGTACCGTACACTGGATATCTCGGCAGGGGCTATATGCAAGAAAACACCGTTAGTTGCAGTACTAAATCTGGCTGAATCGAAGGACTTCTTGGATCTCAGCAGGTGCAGCAAACAGGTCAGGCCTATCCAGCGACAAGTTCAGATCTGCAACAAACGCTTTCATCAAGCGTTCATAGCTCTGAGCCAAAATTTGGACTCCGGCCAGACCAGTGTATCCATTTAATCAAGCCGTGTCAAATGGTAAATCAAATCAAATTCTTGGCAAACAATCTAAATCCGTGCTTTCGTTGAATGAAATCCAAGACTTTGAGATTTGACCCAGTGGAAATATTAGAAGTTATTTTAATGAAAAGATATGGTCTTGGCGGACTCGGTTTCTGAATGGAAAATCGTTGACAGCCCTCTATTGCTTATTAACATTTGACTCCATTTGACAAGTGAGTCAGATTAAATCAAATCGACCTCTAGGCTCTGGGATTAGATGGACAAATCAAACGGGGTCATGATCTGAGTTATTTGATTTGATGGATACACTGGGCCAGACGGTGGAGGTCTTTGCGTACCACAAGCGTCTGGAGACACTCGCCGTCGGCGTGATCCAAAATCTCAAGCGTAAGGTCGTAGGCCATCTTGGATGATGCCGATATCAACGGAATGCAACGCAAAGTTGTCGTCGCCCTCCCCAGGTGTGCCGATTTAAGCAGACCTTGTCTATAGTTGACAAAGGATTGGAACAGAAGCTGTGAGATGTTGATCTTGATACATTTAGCCTGTAAGACAGACAGAGAGTCAGCAACATTCCTTAGTCTTGATGAAGGGTTGTTCGGCGCTGTTACTGTTTAAGGAGTAGAAATACTTACTCATTCACGAGAACCTGAAAGGGCACTTTGGAGTAAGCCAAGGCTGCATATGCCTTGTCGCGTACACCCTGCAAGATATGGGTAAAACTGGCCGATCATTGTGTGCGAAGTCGTACTGCGAGGAAGTTCACGATGACGTCCATCATCTCACTCTCTGTTTGGTTTCCATCACCTATGCCGATAGCCAAGTCTTCTGTCAACCTGCTGTGCAGAGTGCGTAGAGAAGCAAGTTGATTGATAGCTACGGTGGTAGAGAGCGTAGATCTATGTACAATTGGCTGTATTGTACAGCGAAATTAGAAGCGAAATTGCGTTGGAAATTGACCAATTAGAAGCAGTAGAAACGCAGGGATTACGCATATGAAACGCGGCCAATTGGCCCTCTCAGAAGGTCAACATCTTCCAATCGAGAATATCGCACAAGTAGCACTTGAAAAGCAGCGAGATAGAAGGAGAATGTCGTGACCCTGCATCGTCGACAAACTCTCTGGATTTTCCCCTTCAGCTCGGCACTTACTCTCAGAAGGGCACGCTTATTCTCGAATACTCCCAACGCAAGTCACGAAGTCACCCTCGACAGAGTTAGGTTCGGCAGTGGTGGTGGGAACGTGGCCATCTCGGTCTTCCCGAATTGCAGCTCGCCATGCTGTATCTCAAAGTACTATCATGCTCTCCATTGGTTGTTCAATATCAACTCAATACTAGTTCAAATTAGTCCTAATACCACTCAAATGCCACTTGAATATATTCAATTGCTTCAGTAATCATGCAATCAATTAAAATCAAGATATCTCAAGATGTCTCAAGGGATTCAAGGAATTTAAGAAATTCGAGAAATTTAAGAAATCAAGAAATCAAGAAATTCAATGTTACAGCACGTGAACGCACTAGGCACCGACAGGCCTTGGAGGCTGCACGGACCCTGTGTGAGGAGACCCTGGAACTAACCAAGCCCAAGGGGCTTGGCGAAAGGACACGCTCATGCGGAGACAACCTTGAGCAAGGTGTTCATGAGGAGGGACTGATGAGCAACGCTCACGAGCGCTCATGAGTGAGCAGCCATGAGCACGAATCTCTTAGCCTATATAAGCACGCTCATTTCCCAGATAGTTTCATAGTCTTCGTAGTCAACTCATGTTATCAGCTCATACCTAAGTTGAAGACATTCTAGTATTGTTCACTGCACTTCCTGTTCTACCCAACCAACCCTTTGGACCCAGCTTCTAGTTGAGACTTGTCTTAACCAGTTGAGCCCTAACATTCAAGAGATTTTAAGTAAATCAAGATATTCGTTTCTTTTGAACTTATAAATATATATTATAGATAAACCAAATATTGATAAAATATGTCAATAATCAGTTTGGAATAATACAAGAATAAGGCTTAAATCATAAAACTAGTTTCTAACAATTATTACTAGTCATTTTTTAAAAATTAATGTTTTATTGAATACACTTAGATATACTGGATTAGTACTTGAATGGTACTTGAACTGTTGAAACGTTTGCCCATTTAAGGAATGCGCTAGCGCTGTGTCAAGTGCATTCAGAGACTCAGAGTGTACTCCGAATGTACTCTGAACGTACTCTGAACGCACTCTGAATACGCTTGAAATATACTTGAATTCATATTGAGTATCTAGTGGTGAGCACCATAGTAGTACTTTGGGAATTGATGCACTTTGGATGCTTGGTCGTGGTTGGGGGAGGTGTAAAGCTGCTGGAGCCGCTTTAACAAGCTCTGGAAGGACATGCCATCTGCAACCAAGGGATGCAAGCCAGCGACGAAGTAGTGCTGCTCAGGTGACAGCGATAGGGGTATGCACCGTATGGTCCGGCTGCGAGCCACGTCATCCACGTGATGGTCTTGGAGTAACTGTATAGCTTTGTGCATGTCCTCTTCTTCACCGATCTGGGCGACTTCGAGGTGTAGAGCGCCGGTATCCACGAGGGCCCAGTATTCGTCAAATCAAATAAACCAAATCATGACCCCATTTGATGTGCTTATCTAATCCCAGAAGTCGAATTGATTTAATTTGACTCACTTGTCTGTTTTGTAGGAGGACTCTCAGGGATTTTCATCTCACGGACAGCGTCCGCCAAGATCTTTATCTTTAAACAATTGGTTTTTGTCCAGAATTCCATTTGACTACTAGCACTAATGTGCTAGTAATACTAAAGTCTGGGTTTGATTTGACGAAAGCACGGATTTGGATTATGTCAAGCTGTATGGGCGCTCATTCGTTACGCGAAGCCCTGCGTTTCGCATGCGTTAAATTGGTCTTTTTCTCCTGCAATTTCGCTGCTATTTAATTCCACTGGGCTGTACGTATATTTACCTACGCTACTCCCTTTAGATAGATGGAACTTGCTTTCTACGTATATTCTGTAGATTATCACACAGTTTATTTGACTCAATCTCATTCAAATGGACACACTGCGACGGCCTGCACTGGCTTGCCATTTTGCTCGATTATGCCCGTCCTCAGTATCTTGTGTTGCCTGACTAAGGAAAGGACAGCCCTTTGGAAATCTGGGATCCGTATTCTCTCAGTGATATGGGCCCAGGCTGTGTGATTAAGACTGATTTTAACTTTCAAATATGCCCAGACAACCTTTGATTCAGACCAGAATTTGAGATTGACCTCTAACTAGAGATAATAAGATTGGACTTTATGCACGCCGAGCATGCCAAGCTCGTAGTATCCTGCGCACGTTCTGCGCATCAAAGGGGCATTCTACTACTTATATCATTCTTCTTGTACATAGACTCTAGTACTCTGCGCTCAATAAGTCATTCCATCGACCCTCCCACTCCGCTGGGATCCTAACAGTAGTGCATATGACAGTTGGGTACATTACCGGGGTTGAAAAGCTCATCAGATTTGAATTTGATTGAATATCGCAGAAAAGTCGTCTTTCCATTCATAGCCTGGGATATTTTAGGATCCCAGGGGAGTGCAAGGGCAATAGAACAGTAGGGGGTCGATGAATTGACTTATTAAGCGCAGAGAACTAGAATCTACCTAGAAATAAGAGAGATCTAGATACTAGGAGGCCTTTATGCGCATAGAAGAACGTAGAACCTTCTTCACAGCTGCCAAATAAGGGAGCTATCAAACAAGGAAGTGTCAAACAAGGAAGGTGCTAGACAATGAAATGATGCAGGATCCACCAGAGTCCTCCTGGCCCTCATAACGTGCATCATGCTGGGCGGTCATAACAGGATAACAGATCAGTGAAAGACGTGATGCAGCTCTGCTCGGGCATAGTCAGAGTCGAAGTATCTCAGCCGGAAAAGCCCTAACCTTGAAGTACTACAGCTACAGGCCGAATTTTTGTAACCCCCCTTGTCAAATTAACTAACAAGCGTGTTTTTTACACACACCTACCTTGTCAGCATGCCTGTTATTATTTCCCACAGATTTTGCTCATCTTACAAATTCTGCTCATTCTACTCCGTACGCATTTCAACAATTCTACATGATACTAATAAGCCTGATGATAGGACGAGCTTCAAGCGGCTATTAATGCTGTATAGTATGCTGTGTCTTCTAATTATCTTAAAAAGCTGCTTCAGTGGATGCAGATGAGATGTCTTTTTTAGACTAGTCCTACTTAGGCTACTTTGCTGGTGCCTGTACCTAATTCTACATAGTACGTTTTGTACGGATAGTAACGTTTTCAGCAGGGGGAGTACAAAAATTAGGCCTGTAGCAGTAGTAAGTGGTCCACGTCCGACAGGCTCATGGCCCAGCGACAAGACCCGACTTTTATCCGCGCCTTGCCACAATCTAGGGATGGCCCCGATGTAAGTAGACCGAGGACTTTACTGGGAGTAGCCCGAATATGACGAGATAGCCACTGGGCTTCAACGTCCGCCAAGCATTCTTCAAGGTCTGTTTTGAGAACAGCGCCAGCGTATTCCTGTGTCACTGAATCGGCCTCCTTCTGTGGAAGACTAGCGTTCCCGGTAATTTAGTGCAATAATTCTGCTGCAGTCCTGGCAAGAAGAACATCAAGTTCAAATTGTCCTCTGATCCTTCTTTGCCTGCATTAATCTTATCAGTGAACCTATGAGTTTGCAAATGACATCATCTGATAGTACTGAAAACAAAGATCATTCTATGACTTTGACCTTTATAAAGTGTGCATATTTGGTGCAGAAACATCTAATGTTAGGATACTCATCACTCAAAAAATCTGATGTTCCTTTTGTCAAGACAGCAGCCAAGGTTATTGCACTGGAGTCACTGGGGATAGAACGAGGGAGATCACAACCAAATCGTATGACTGCTCTACAATTATTGAAAAACCTACGCAACAGGATCTTGGCGGACGTCCAGCATCTCGAAGACAATTTATCTGCCCCCACTATGTCAGGCAGAGAATCACCAATTAGACGGAGAAGTTGCTTCTCGACTGTATGAGCAAATGTTTGGCAAGCTGAAATCAATTGCTTGTATGTATCTGTGTACTAGTAACAATCAGCAGAAAGTGCGTAGAAAGCAAGTTGTTTCACCTAATCAAGGGTAGCGTGATATACGGACAAATTGGCTGCACGGTACTCCGTACAGCGAAATTAGAAGCGAAATTGCAGTAGAGTTTGACCAATCAAAACGCACGGATCATGCAGTATGAACGCAGCAGATCTGGCCAATAGGTGCTCACAGCGTCTGACGTTTTGTTCTCCCACTCTGGACGCCAGAATGCTATGTGACCGGCTCGGGCAGAAAATTCACTTTGGTCGCAAATCGAAGACGTGCGTACGGCCCCTCAATCATAGATGAATGATCAGCTGATGCCTCTCGAACGAGGTTGCGCACATAGAATCCCGCCATGCGTTCAAATTGCCCAGCCAGCTCGCGTTCGTCCTCCGTAGCATGGCTGTTGAGGGTCCGGGGATGCGACATTCCACACGACAGTCGCAAGCGGTTCTTATCGTCTTGAGCTGAAGCTCGGGAGAGAAGAAAGCATTCAAGTTCCTTCGACCTGAATAATAGCATTCTCCAGATTCGGGTCACTTATGAAGACATCAACGTGACCTACCATCCCCACCGTCTCCGGTGATGCGAAGAGGCAAATGACAAGGGCTTTCCCTTGTCATTCTCGCCCTCGCAGAGAGACGGATAGACAGCAAAGTGCTTAATTTTCGTGGATACATGAATGGTCCAAAGCTGCCCATTATCCAAGAAGGAGTTTGCCAGAAGGACACCTTGGAAAGCTACATCAAGCAGTAGGGGATGAAGCAGCAGTCCTGACGGTTCGACAATATTGAGAACTCCCACGGCAGCACCGAGCTGTCTTTCTCACTGTCAAGCAGGGTGAAGAAACGGCTCTATTCTCTCTCGAAAAGTTGCGCAGGGCGCAGACATAAGTACAATTCGCGGTACGGCACATCGAAATTAGTAGCTGCAGAATTGCATAGAAATTGACAACCAAAAGCAGGCGAAACGCAGGGGTTTCGCGTAGAAAATCAAATCAGTAGGCGCTCATAGCGTCTGACACTACTAGTAACTCACCAGCGCAACGAACGGACCAGCCCATTGATACACAAGATGTCTCGAAGCGGTGTGGAACAGAATCAGCTCATGCATGGAATTGTGGTGTGTAGCTACTAGTAGTATCTAGGAAATCTAAATGCAAAGTTCGGATGGGATAACTCAGCGGGCGCAAGGCCCCACAGCGGCTTGAAAATTGTCTGGGCGGACATTAATAACTACGCCGGACTTTTAACAAAAGTTACTACTAAGTGGTGAGGGCGGGCTGCAACCAATAATATTTTGAATATTTTGAACACAAGCCACGAGATTCTACTGTTCGTGATCTATGTACATAGTACTACTACTAGTAGTAGTATGTTCACCTTGCTCGGTATGCTCTCAGACTGAATTTCTAAGCCTCTTGAGCGGCTCATCGAGCTCAGTACGCTCGTAGGGGCTCCCTCCAATGCTGTTATTGCGAATCCAGCGTTTGTGGCGATGGATGGCCATCGCCGCTCAGATATTCCAATTGGGAAACGTGCTCTGTGAGGCGGCTGTGATAGTCCTCGGAGAGTTTGTGCTGTAGACCTTTCAAACATCCAAATCCTTTGGGAACGGCTTGCTGGAGCTAAGTAGTATGGTGGCGCTGTAACGCTCGTAGGCGAGCAGCGACACCAATGGTGGTAGGAGATAATAAGAAGATTTGAAAAAGGCATAGAATAAGAAGATGCAACGGTGTTGGAGGAGGGAGAGGAGGAGTTGAAGAAGTGAATGGTCCAAAGCTCCTCTTCTGAGAAGGAGAAAATGAAGGATAGTTGGAAGAGGAGATTTCATGGGTCAAGGTGCCTAGAAGAACATTAAGACTTTTGAGTAATATTACTATTCAAGATGGCTACACTTTATATTGATATTCATGTTATAGTAATTCTAAAATCTAGAAATACTTAGGATTTCAAGAGCAATCAAATGGCTCTATTTATAAACCTACAAGTCCAATAACAAGAGTAACAAGAGTAATGCAGAGGAAAAAGCATTAGAAGATCAATTAGTTTTGGAGCTGCTTTCGCCAAGGGTGCAGCAAGATTATTGCGCTAATTTAAGCTTAAACTGCGGGAACGCTATCTAAATACAGAAGGATGCCCATTTAGCGACACAGGGGATATCGTAATTCAGGTTGTTTGAATATTTTTCTGAACAAGATCAGAGAAATAAATCAAAGATGGTGGGTAGTAGGAGTGAGAACTGTCAAAAGATTTGGGTCTTAGCTCCGGGCCGCAAAGGCCCAAGCCTCAAGAGTCAACTCAGGTCGGGACGATGCTTTACCCAAATGGTAGTGGAAATGGTCGCATTCAAACTTAGATGAGCGTATCCTTACAACGTTTCGGCTTGAAGCAAATGGTTGGACATCGACCGGTACTACTCTGTCCACACTAAAATTCTACCAATTGACAGTGATCACATTGTATGGAATACGAATGTAACTAATCAGGTACGCCTCCCCTTTCACATTGAGAGCCCAAGTAAAGCTGTATTTCGGTATAGAATAACATGGTCGCGGCCGTAACCGTCAAATTCCCTAGTATAAATTCAGCAAAAAGTATATGTACCAAGAAATCGCAGCTCAGAATTTCTCGCTTGTGACTGCTCTCGAGACTCCGACCAATATCCAAGCTAGGAAACGCACCAGCGTCGTGAGACCCCAGACGACAAACTGCAGCATCAAGACCATCGCCTTGAGAGCCGATCTTGTCACGCCAGGGAGCTTCTGACCTTCGCGCTCACCACTCTGATAGTGGCCTAACTTCTCGAGATCAAATTCATCTATTAAAATTTTCTTCGGCCGGTTCTTGTCTGTCTTCTGCTTTCTACTCCAAAAGCTTTTCTTGCTAGCCTTTTTAAATTTGTCTTTTGCCTCTTTATCACGTACTTGCCTCATAAACTTGGCTTCCTCTTCGGCCTCTTTCCTTTCCGCTAAAGTTGCGTACAGTACGCTTCCAGCGTAGCTCTTTCCAGCCACACTGCCGCCACCAAAGACACTGCCAGGGGCGACAGGTGAGAGTCTTGGCGCCGAGATATCCATCTGCGCCATGATCGGGTTGGTGAACTCGTCTGCAACGGCAACCGCAAATATAGCAGAAACGAGCGAATCGATGGCATAGAGGCTAGGCATCAGCTGGAGAATCATTTTTGCTGAGATGTGGAGGGTCATGGTGCCAAAATCAAGAGACGCGAGAGGCTCATCAGACTCATGTACCGGAAGCGTGGACACCCGGTTGCCGGCTGGCATCGAGAATGTTGGCGGTGAACGGTTGGGATTGGTAACTAGAATGACGGGTGGCGTGGTTGGAACCCCTCGGGGTGACGAAAGTGCATGAGACGAAACAGTGATATGAAGTACGGGAAGGTCGGCTTCGAAGGGTTGAATGGAAGATTGCGCAAAGCGAGGACTCTTGTTGGGATCTCGGCCAATGGCAGGATGTGCTAGTTCATATCGTCGTGCAGTCTCATTCCATTTCAGCTGACATGATTCTTGCGCTGCTGCTCTTGCAACCGCTTCGGCCTGCATTTCATCACGGTGCGTAGGAGCTAGTCCATGTTGCTCAGCAAGCTCGTTGCTCTGGTCGATTGCAAGCATAGCCGCTAGCTTGGGAAAGATGTAGGTGACTAAACCATCATTCGGTGGAAGCCGTCGAGCCTCTGCTTCGAGCGATAGCAGAAGTATTGGTATCTTCACGGTTTGCTTTCGAGGATTTGTTCGGTGGATGCACAGCTCATTTGTACTATATGTTTGAAGAGTGTAAAAGGGCACTGATGGCATTGACCCAAAGGTAAACGTAGCAGGCTCAGTGCTAAGGAGAGTCAACTCTGTATTCAGGCTTCTTGACAAAGGACAATTTACCGTGACATTTGAAGGTCAAACCCCGACATGACAGCATCCGGCTCTTGGCCATTTGTCGCTTCCCATAGTCTACCAAGTTCCTGAGCAGAGGAGAACTTCGGAACTCTAACGGCTACATCGTCCATCGGGAAATCAAGAACACTTGAGGGCGCTGTCTTCACACCCCCAAGTACTTCATCCAATTGCGAAGGTGAAATGAGATGTGGACTGTATTCTTCTCTCGATGCAATCTGTCCCTGTAAACTCGTAATTCGTTGGGGATAATACGGTTGTTGGGCTAGAGGGAGATTTGGATTATATGTAGGAAACATTGATCGCATTGGCACAATTGGTGAATTTGCTTGAGATTGTAGATCGGGGCTGCTGCTTGTAACAAGTGTCGGCGATGCGGAGTAAATTGATACCGGAACTGGAGGCCGAGGAGGAGGCGGATGTTGTGCTGGGGCTCCGGCATTGTCAGGTATCCCAGTGCCAGCCTTTGGTTCTCCGTTCAACCCAGGATCTCGGTCTTTCAGTGGTGCAATACGTGCTTGTGGTAAAGGTTCAATCTTGCGTGGCTCCTCGATGATCTGGATGATGACGGTCTCGGCGTTAGGCGACTTGACGAGCTGTTGTAAAGGGAAAGATCCACCCGGTGCACCAGGTTTTGACTTTGCTTTGCGAAAAGGATTAGAGCCGTGAGTGGTACTAATTCTCGGCGGAGGTGGAGGGAAAAGCTGGAACTGAGCACTCGATGCCATTGTTATGGCGTAGCTGGCGTCCAGGGGAGAGTTTATTAATATATGTCAACCCTTTCAAAACCCACAGAAGGCTGAAGAACAGCTCCTGAAAGATGGTTGAATGCGCCAGGTCATGGGATCCAGACGCAGCGTAGACAACTGGGAGGAAAGACAGAGAAAGAAAGCGCAGGTTCTTCGCAGGAGCACAAGACAAGACAAGGAAAGACAGGAGGAAGTGGAATATTTTTGGATATCTGGGAAGCCGAAGGAACTGCTGAATCCTGGACTTGGCTGGCGCTTGTGATAGCGGAGGCGGAGGAAGCGTTTCAATTTCATCACAGACCATTCCATATGAGAAGTGGTTCCTGACAGGATCGCGTAACTAGTTTGTGCCCAAGTAACGGCTTGAAAAGGCCTTGAACGCGGTCGGTTGGGAATCTTGTGCAAAATGGTGGAGTTAAGTGGTCGATGCTGCTTCGAAGCGCCGGCGCAAGGATAATTATGATTGGTGCAAAATGCGTGTGGAGCCGCTCATCACATCTGTGCCGAAGATCCCTGTTCGGGAGATGTGATGAATCTTGCCCTGTAGTCCAACATCCAAAATTAGCAATTGAATAGGATGCGTCTCTTTTCAAGTAACCCATTCCCAGTCTAGATCAGTAGACTAAATTGCGGATCGTGTTCTTTATTACTCTTCCTAACCGACACTTTGATTGCTTGTTAGCAGCATTTTCTCAGTTATCTCTTTCATAAAAAGATCAGAGTCACTTCAGATCCAACAAACCTAGCACAAAACTCTGCATTATGAAAGCCACGGCAATCGTATGCCCTGGATGTGCCATTCCAATGGCACACGCGTATCAAAGATCTAAGATTTAGGGCCGGTTTTAAAGGTCCCAGAAGGCTTCGTCCACATCCTAGGCCAACCCAGTATCATATTATGAAAGTCTTCTATACGGACTTGCATTCCGGGCTGCACATTAATACGCCTTCCAGGCTGGTGGCTCGTGCACTGGCTTGTTACCAATCGGGTAAGAGAGCCATCTGGATAATCCAGAGCATATCTCCAGAACTCATTGAAGCACTTGCTCAGCGCGGAATCTTGATCCTGACTGTTTTGCTGGACACGCTACCCGTTGCAGATGAATAAAGCCTGTAGACTGGTTGGCAGCTCCCTTGTGACGCAGCAGCAGTGAAGAACAGCAAGCGACGCGAATATCTAGATGGTGGATTCGAGCAGGGTATCCATCAAATCAAATGAACCAAATTTAGCGCCGATTTGGTTCATTTGATTCTTTGTCAAACGAGTCAAATCTTAGTAAGCAATAATTTTGTTAGGATACTAACTGTCACGAATTTCCACCTCGTAAAAGGAGTCCGCCAAGACTTTCTATTTTTTCAACAAAAATATGCCAAAATATGCCAAAACATACAACTTTTCTGCCAAGACCTAATTTGATTAATTTGACAACCGTCATTTGATTTGATTTGACTGGATTCACTGGATTCGAGTATGTTCCCACACGGACTAGCCCACATTGTAGCCTTATCTCTTTGCCAAACGACTGTCGCAGCGATTGCTTTGGAACGAACTCGGGAGAATTCGAGTCGAATACTCCCATTTCCTGTTTTCATGTCCATCGCAGATTGTTGAAGTCTGCCAATAGGAGAATAGAAAAACCGCTAACAATACTCTCTAAGATCTATTCCTTGTTGATGTGTCGCCGGAAGTGGCAATGAGGTATATTGGGAGGCATTGGCGTTATCAGTCCACGCTGAGGCCAGTATACGCAATGAATCGAGGAGGGCGTCAGCTACGACGAAATCTTGATCAAGCACAGCATACTAGTAAGCTCCTAGACTCTCTCAAAGGTGTCGTCCAGCATATATGGCATTCTAGTCTGCTCTTAGGAGATGATCCTTGTTTGTTTCCGAGACAATCTCTCCTCTATATAGTTTCAAATTCCCTTTGACAATCGAGGTTCGTTTTTCTCGCCGACGACATCAATCGTGGGCAGTGAGCAAGCCAAACGGGCCACAGAACTGACCCAGTTAGCTGACACATGATAGTCAGGCTATTGCAACTTTTGTAGAGGCCCATGGTACGCCTCTAGTGGTTGCATTTCTGCCTGAAGTTCATGCGAGCTATATGGAAGTAGGTTTAGACAAACATGACCAGCCTGTCTTCAGTGCTGACTATGGGTTCTAGGCTGGACTCCCACTTGGTTACATCTTCGCCCAAAGTGATGAACTGCCTGCATTGCTCTCCACAACGGTGCAACCAGTAGCTAAGAAGTACAAGGGCAAGATTCAATTTGGCACGGTTGATGTCAAAATATTTGGGTCACTCGCAGATGATCTGCACCCTGAGCTCAATAAGAGTGGCCGGCTTTTGCGGTTCGAGAACCTATCAGGAATCACCGCTGTCCACCCAATCTGCGCCAATTGTTATCGCGTCAGAAACTGGACACGTTCATTCAAGACTTCCTTGATGGATAGCTTGCGCCCACCATAAAATCCGAGCCTGTGCCTGAGATTCAGCAAGGACCTGTCACAATCGTCGTCGGCCATACTTATGACGACCTCGTCATTAACAACGATAAGGACGTTTTGATTGAATATTACACCCAATGGTGTGGACCATGCAAGGCATTAGCTCCTACATACGAAAAGCTTGCTGAGTTCTACGCCGCGAACTCGACCAGCAGGGATCGGATCACGGTTGCAAAAATTGACGCGGAGGCCAATGACGTTCCCGGCGACCTCCGAGGCTTCCCGACGGTTCAAATCTTTTCAGCAGGTTCGAAGGAGTAACCGGTGGTCTATGATGGTCCATGGACGCTCAAGGACATGGCTGACTTTTTCAGAGATAATGGTAAACACAGGGTCGATGTGAATCCAGAAACCGACACGAAAGTTCAGATGTGATTTTCGTCACGAGTAGCCTGCTACCTACAACTCAATGTTGGGAACAGTGACTGGATTTGGAGACAATGGGAGGGAATCTTCAAAGACCCTTGAAACCTAGGCTGTAAAGCGTATGAAACATTGCTTCTGCAAAACCCAGTGAGTGGAACGGACAGATAAAAGGAAAGTTGTTCGCAATGAAGCTTATGGATGGAAAAAGAGTTTGTGTTCCAGATCTCCTGTGGTATCAGCGCCTCCTTCATCAGACTGCCTTGTCTGCATATCCCTCTTGAATGCCTTTTCGTCCTATATTAGTGGTCGAATATCATCACCCTTGACTTGGTTTTTCGAGTTTCCTCGATGAGCAATGGTTACGTCTGTAACGGCGAGGTTGAATCCCCTACTCCCAAGGAGCTTTTACAAGCGGGGCTGGGGGGGGCTTCCAGCCTTGGTTTATCGTCCGAAGCGCCGCTGAGATGTCCAATGTTAACTAAAGCTACTGTACTGTACTAGTAGCACATCCTCCAGTTGCCTTGACCCTTGGCTCAGCCCAGAGTATTGAACTCTTTACGCCGACTGAAAAGGGGCAATCGGCCTGCCGCAACTGTCCCAGAAGGTTCCCCAGATACCCGGGCACAGTGTGTCCATTTGAATCAAAATGAGTCAAATGAAAATTTCAACAGAAGTCTTTTATTTCGAACCATTTTTGATGAAAAGATAAAAGTCTTGGCGGACTCTCCTTATGAGATGAAAATCTGTTGGACCAAAAGACCGCGGCCCTCAAAGGACCGATAAATGGCTTATGTTTGACAAAATCCTTAACAGTTGACTCCATTTAGTAAATAAGTCAAATCGAATCAAATAGTGTTCATTTTGGTTTATTTGATTTTGATGGATACATTGCCCGGGCATCCTCCCGGCGCATAGGTACCGAGTGACAGGGATAAATTCAGACCTGGGTCTCGCCATTAGATACATTCAAAGCGGCCTTGAACACGAAGCCATCTCCGCAGTAGATCGAGTCCGAGCAGGAAGAATAGCAAGCCTCTTACCTGTGGTGAAAGCTAATTGGGAAGAAGCTGCACGCACCTCAGAGAATACCGTCAAGCTGCTTCCTAGGCCCGACTTTTGTGAGATGAGCAGGGAGGACCACCGGTTCTTCCTAGCGAAGCTCTCTGCTCTCTCAGGCAATAGCCGCATCAGTACCATGAGGGCTGGTTGGCACGCGAAAAGAGCACTCACAGTACTCGAGCTGGCCGGGGACTGACTTAGGGGAGCTAGAAAAAGAAGATCTTGACTTAGCATGCGAGTATTCTTACTTCGACACAAACTTCGATCCATTGACACTGATATGTCCGGCCTTGCCACACTCAAAGAGTCATTGAATAGCCTTGTCCTAAATAGTACCACGTAGCGGTTAAAGCTTACACAGAGTCTAGTCGATCTGGAAGAGGAAGTTCACCAAATTCATGGCTTTGAGAAATTCATGCGTTCTCTGCCAGCCGAGTCATTCCAACGACTTGTAAAGACAGGCTCGCAAGCTGTTGTTGCATTTAACGTTACGGCAATCAGAAGTGATGTTTTCCTTGTCACCAAACAGGGAATCGAGAACATGCTGGTCAGGGACCTCAAGTATGCAACTCTGAGGTGGATTTCAAAGGATTCACTTGGAGAGGGTCGGCTTACGAACGTCACTTTTTCAAATATTTATGATAATATTTCCAAACTGCGAAAGCATCTTGACTGGGTCTGGGACAACGTGGTACGACCGGTTTTAGCCAAGCTTGGATTTCTTTCAGCCACCGAGCAAGGAAGATTACGAAGATGCGGCCGGCCGCTCTCGGACAGGTTCCTTTGAATATATTGCCTTCCACGTTGTTTTTTTGTATGCTCCCACTTTCAAAGCAATCGCGATGTCCCAGGCCAAACAATTGAGCTCCCAGGTCAAGACACCTGGCAAGACCCTTATTGTAGCCATGCGCAAACTCATAACATGCGAGGAAGTCAACGTCGAGGAGGAAGTCAACGTCGAGGAGGAAGTCAACGTCGAGGAGGAAGTCAACGTCGAGGAGGAAGTCAACGTCGAGGAGGAAGTCAACGTCGAGGAGGAAGTCAACGTCGAGGAGGAAGTCAACGTCGAGGAGGAAGTCAACGTCGAGGAGGAAGTCAACGTCGAGGAGGAAGTCAACGTCGAGGAGGAAGTCAACGTCGAGGAGGAAGTCAACGTCGAGGAGGAAGTCAACGTCGAGGAGGAAGTCAACGTCGAGGAGGAAGTCAACGTCGAGGAGGAAGTCAACGTCGAGGAGGAAGTCAACGTCGAGGAGGAAGTCAACGTCGAGGAGGAAGTCAACGTCGAGGAGGAAGTCAACGTCGAGGAGGAAGTCAACGTCGAGGAGGAAGTCAACGTCGAGGAGGAAGTCAACGTCGAGGAGGAAGTCAACGTCGAGGAGGAAGTCAACGTCGAGGAGGAAGTCAACGTCGAGGAGGAAGTCAACGTCGAGGAGGAAGTCGATAGTATTTCCATGAGCGTGGGTGAGGTGGAATCCAACATCCCAGAAGTTCTCCCCACACCTCGCAAGTCGACCGTTCTTGGCCTCTTGGCCAAGGGGGTGTCGACTGTGTATTTCGGCTGCCATAGACAGACAGTTGCCCGCGATCAGTCGGACAGTGGCATCCTGCTCGCCGACGGAGCGGACAAGCAACCACAGAGACTAACGGTTCAAGACCTCGTGACCACGTCGCTGCCCGACGCCACGCTGGCCTATCTGTCTGCCTGCTCGACAGCCGAGAACCTGTCCGAAGATCTTTTGGACGAGGTCATCAATCTGACGAGCACAATGCAGATCATCGGGTTCCTGCACGTGGTCGGCACGATGTGGGAGGCGGACGATGACGTCTATTCTTTGAGAAGATCGTGAAGCAGGTGAAAAAGAAATGTTCTCCTCTTGCTTACGGGCTTGCGCTCCATCAGGCGGTTGAGTTGGTGAGAGATGGGGATGGGGACGAAGGACCGAGGATAAGAAGCTGCTAATATTGTCACCCGCTGGGCTCCGTTCATTCATATGGGTTGTTGAAGTATATGTGATTTCACCATGATACTACTTGGGATATCTCCTTCGATGGAGAAAACTAAAAGAAGCGACATCTTAAATGCTATAAGCAACAGGTACATCCCTCTGTCAATCACCGTAGAGCATGGTTACAAACGCCCCATAATTCTGGTCCAAAATTAGGTACTACTATATGATTGATTTTTAATCTCGGCTACAGTAGTACTCCTTCAGCTTTACTGGCATAATTGAGTATTCACCTTTGCTGAATTGAAAAAAGGCCTTGAAGAGGTAGTCGAACAGGCAGCCTTTCTACCTTGTACCTGGCTCTGTGGAGAAATCATCATCAAAGAACCAGCCCGTGCGAGTACGCACTGTGAATCCCGCGGACAGGCGAGTCTCTTCACGCGTTGAGCATCCTGAAGAATAGAAGACTGGATGACCTCTTCTTAATTGGCGATCAGACAAGCAAAGATCCGGAAAGAAAGGCTGAAAGAAACGTCCCTAAACTTGCCGCGCAGAGAAGCATAAAATAACTGCATCGTGAATTTCTCTCTCGGATTTTGAGAAACGAGCAATTATGTAAATATGGGGAATCAAACGAGTTTCTATTGCTAATTTGGAAAAAAGATCGAGGGGATACAGTCTATAAGATGATTTTCTGCTTGTTTATTATTATCAGTAATGACAGTGGATTGAAGATTTCTGAAGAAATTGATCAGTTAAAACCATCCGTCTGTCTTGAGACCGGCATTTTTGAGCATTTTGGGGGGGTTTCCAAAACCGTGTTCGACTTCTCTGGGGCTCCGTGATTAGACAAAACGGCGAGGTTTGGGGGCTCCAGGCTTAGTTGGGAGGGCTGCACCACGGACTGAAAGACTTGCGCGCCTTGTTAAGGTGCTTGCATCCATCAATGCGGAACTCGCACCGCTTGCTGAACAATCAACTCCTCTTACTGTGTCTCTTGGTAAGGGCCTTACATCTCTGGACGAGAGATTTGCCCCTTTTGGTAAGGAACTAGCACCTCTCACTAGGAGACACGCGGCCCTTGCTAGGGCGCTTACATCCTTCTGCGAGAAACTCGTACTCCTTGCTGAGTAAGTAAACTCTGGAGGCCTTGCATCTCTTGACAACAGACTTGCCCTTCTTGGTGGGGAACTAGCGCCTCTGAATGGGAGACCTGCGACTTTTGGCCCATTCTTTTTTAGCATTGATCTCTGTAGATCCGAAAATTCCCGCGGAATCATAAAGCCATGTCCAGCATGTACACAATCTTTGATATCGTCTGTGTCTTCCATAGTGGCCTCAATGATCTCGTCTGACGCTAACCCACGGCTCCTGATCTTGCCTGACGGTGGCTCAAGGCTCCTGTCGGATACCTTCCATTTATCTCCCGCCCGAAGTGTCACTTTTGCATCTCCGCCACCAAAGCCGCAGAAGCTTATAGGAGTCTTGATTTGAACCTTGCGATAACAGATCGCGTAGATGCGTTCGCCGCATGTCTTAACGTCCCCGTGGACCTCTTGCATGTGCTCATGTCCCCCTGCAACACCAACATTCGGACCACCAGCCACAACGCCGGTAGGAGGGACGATGTGTGGTTGTGCCTGGGCGGAAGACCTGCCTCCTTTGCGGTTCTCGCGGTAAAGCTTTGCGTTCTGAAATGTACGCACCCCGATTACAAACCAGCAGTCTTGTTTCTATCGTCCGAGCCATCTTTGGACATTTCCATCGGCGACGAGAGTCTCAAAGATCTCAATCGGCTGGTGTAACATGTAGATGTAGCCTCCTTCAGCAGTAGCACGGAATTGTTTACTACGCTCCACCTTGAAGGTGACTTTCAGAATCTCCGTGAGTAGTATCTGGAACCATGACTCTGATTTATTGTTGAATGAAATATCGAGATTAGCGTCGTATGATGCGCGCCGGTGTTCTGCTGTGACTCTGTTACCTGGCTTTAGAAGGTCGGTTGACGGCGTGCTTCGGTCGGGGACGAAGCTGCCAAGTGGAATATCATCGAGATTGACAGGTGACTTGGTCAGGATGAAGGCTGGGGACGACATAGTTAGATCTGTTTCGTTCGTCAGTTATATCAAGGAGAGGATCATGGGAATGAAGTCCAGTTCTTGACTTTTGCACTTCTCTTATCAGTGCTCCGATCTGGAAGGATGCTTAAATTGGTCGATTTGATGATAATACCCACGAGATAATTTGTCCTATTAGACGGTGTCATCACTTATATATATATCATCGTGTATATTTGATATGAGCATTGAATCTTTCTTGGTAAGAGTGAGTTTTCTCTACGGACCCCCCCTGGTTTCAACATGTCAATCAGGGATAATGCTGTGCAACACATAAATAGCCGGATATAGTCTTTTTTGGGGCGGTTGCTTATACATATATAATCTAATCTTTTGTCCGATCTTCGCTCTGTTACTCGGTGAGGTTGAGAATACTCTGGTGAGACCTAGACCCAGGCATTAACAGCGTTCGGAGACAGTGGAACGAAACGGTACAAGAGGGTCTGTTCCGTATCATTCTAACCAGGAGCACTATCTGTATTGTTGGTACATTGTACTATTGGTACGTATTAATGGTACAGGTAGGGTCTTCTTTTAATAAGGCTCATAATATTTCTTTTGTTAGACTATAATAGAGTTTTTACACCAGATTATATGAACATTACAGAACATTACATAATAGTGCTACTAGTAATAAAAAATCAACAAGTTATTTGGTAATACTTCTAATGATACTATATCTACTCCTTATTTGGTACTGGTACAGTTATAAAGGTGCAGAGGATCTGGTTTTGTGCCATCAGAACGGACAGAGCTGCCTGTACTGTACTATGGTACCATTGGTACAGTTGTGCTGTTTCCGAACGCTAGGCATCAACCAAGTCCGCAGGAAAAGAGGAATACTTTTCGTGCTTAAGTTTAACATTAGGTCTGATTCACCACCGTTTGAACTCGAGAAGAAACAATAGAACCAAAATAGGAAGATGACACATTTAGATCATGAGAAAAAGCGAGAGAATGTCTCATTTCTGGGGTGGAGAAAGGCGTTCCGTAGGCATGGCAAGAGAACATGTAACCTAGGTCGCTTTGAAATCTGCCCCCCTCAGGCTGAACTCGACACCATTATACTTCCGTGACGACTTCAAGTCTACCAGCCTCCCCTCCGGGAGCCATTCCAGGTGCGCCGATCATCAATTCCTCCGCCGCCGAAGTTGGAGAGACTTCAAAGCCAGCCGCGTCCTATGCTCCTAAGGATCCGTTCACGACTCAGTACTAGTATGACTTGGTCCGAATCGGCACGTCCGCCAAGCCTATTGCAAAAGTGTTGCACTTCCTTGGCACATGCTTCGGAGCTGCTGGAGCTGTTTGTACTGAATTTATTATGCCGAGTAGAATGATAGAAAACCTATATGATGAACTGTGCTGACTAATCAAGTGGATAGTGTGTAAATAGCAAGTTGTTCTATCTAATCCAGTGAGGAGCGCGCATTTATACGTACAGAGTTGCTATATCAAGCGAAATAGCGCGAAACGCTGATACCAAAAATACATGCGTGGCTGATGCAAAACGCGTATCAATTCTGTAACAAAACGCTGGTAACACACGTAGCAAATTAAGCGCAAACTGTATTTTTGAGTTCTACACTATATCATTCAGTACTTACTACTTACTTAATAGCCATGGATCTGTTGATTTATACCAACTAAGCTTAATCTTCTAGTTTTAAGTCTGCATTTGAAAGCTTATGTAGCTAAAGTTTCATGTGTAAAAAGTATGCTCAATCAAAAGACTCTACCAATATAAAATTAACATTCCAAGAATCAGAAAAAGCTCAGCTGCACATTAAGGTATTACAGATTCTAGATTCTTATATTGCTCTCTGTAGCTGTTTGAGTAAGTAGTGGAGCAGCAGCAGCAGCTCCGAAGCATGTGCCAGGGAAGTGCACCGCTTTTGCATGGGCAATAACCATCTCCTTCTCGCCCCGAGCCCATCCGCCCGCATCCACCCAGCAATCCCCGCAAGCATGACCCGCGACATGGCCCACCCCACCGGCTGCATGCAGGACCACCGCGCCTCATTTTACGAGCGTGACTCAGAGCCACCGGCGCTCGTCCAGACCCAGAGATAGAGCAGCCACAGCCGGGGCCGGTCGCAGAGCGGGATCCGGGACGGCAGTAGAGCCGAAGATCTGGAAGAAGACGGAGAGGGAAAGTGGCTGTGGGAGACGGTGATGGCGTGGGCGAAGACAAAGAGAGAGATGGTGGTTGAGGAGATAGTTTGGAGCAGGGTTGATGGATATTAACATTGAAATTGATGTTGATGGTGATGGAGGGGGACAGTTATGGGCATTAGGTGGTAGAAACTCAAAGCAGGGGAATGACTGGCCACGAGCTTGGCCTGAGGTACTTCATGGCGTGGCTCATATAAAATGTAGTCGCTGTCCATGATACTTCACCTTGCCTTTATAAGAAAATACCGCCGAAAGCCGTGGAAACGTCCCTTTAAATAGTGCGTTCAAAACCTTGATTTTCTGTTCCCTATACCCTCAATTGTATGCTACCCTTTGAACCTTCGGACTTACATTTTCAAGACTTCCTCCTGCGGGACATAATGAGTGACTTGCATTCACTACCGCTTTTAATCTCCGAAACCCGAAGGTTTAGTTCACTCGCTACCTCTTAGAGTATCTTGACATAGTTATAAGATCCTTCATGGCTGAGATGGTGAAAGGATGCTCCTCTTCAAGGACCTTTCTCGTTTTCTCCATGACTTCAAAATCGACGATGCTTCTTCCGACTTCCCGGGATGCGTGAGAACGATTGCAAGATTGCTCATGGCTGAGACGGTGTCAGGAATCTGTTCACCAAGGATGTTTCTCCATTTCCGACACTTCTTTATTCATCAACGCCACTTCTAGCCTTTCCTGATCTGACCCTTGTTAACGTTGAAACCCAAGTCATCTTCAAGTGGTTGAGGGAAGACTTTGCTCTCGGAGTGGGTTGAGGGTTGAAGAGGGGCCGTGATGGTCCCTGTTGTCCATCCAGGTGATTCTCCGGGACGTAGCGGCTGCTCAATGAACTAGATTATGCTCCGGGCGATGAAGTCTCTTGTTCACGCTAATTGGAGTGTGAGGAACAAATTGGGATGCCGGTCATTGTCAGTCACGCCTATTGGTCTTGAGACAGTGGACTGAGAACCATGAACAACAGCAAGAAATTGGGAAAGAATGGACAGCTGAGCAGCAGACACTCTAAGTAGATGGTGTCAATACAATGCGATTCTATACTAGTATTCTTAGGGCTTGGGAAATCTTGGGCATCTTGGAGCAGTCGGAGACAGACAGTCTGAAAAGTAAAACTACCGCTGCGTCAACGGGATTGATCTGAAGGGATTTTCGAGGTCCGCCAAGCCAGAAGTAGAATTGCAAATGATGCTACTAGTACTTAGTAGCTGATCATAGACTAATCACATGTCAAGCAGCTCAAGCTGCTGTACAGAGTGTGTAGAGAACGTAGATCTATGTACAATTGCCTTTGCCGTACAGCGAAATTAGAAGCAAAATTGCAGTAGAAATTGACCAATCAAAAGTAGGCGAAGGCAGGGATTACGCGTATGAAACCTGGCCAATAGGCCCTCTCAGACGTTCAACATCACATACGTAGTAATGGCCCCCCCCCCCAAAAAATATTGTGTCCGATTACCAGAACTATCTATGAGATCGAACTGCTGAATAAACAACGTAATCCCTTCTATTAGCATATGGAATCCAACAAAAATTCCTCGAGAGGTACATACAACCTGACATACTAATTCCATGACCTAGAAAGCGAGCACTACAATTCCAGCAACTCCTAAAGCGGGAAGTATCCAGTCGCGCTCCATTGATGATGCTACTGAAGCCGCCCCACCAGTGTACTGTGACGGCGATGCAGTCGTTGACGTCGACATTGACATGTCCATACTGGTAGAAGAGTGGCTCATGTTCATGTGTGCCGTACTAGATGGTGTCGGCATGGTCGTGTTCATCATGCTGGTAGTGGAAGTGCTGGTTCCAGAATATGCCGTATATGCGACGGAATCACTGCTCATGGACGACATCATACTCTCTGGCATACTGCTCTCTGCCATGGTGTGCATATCTGCCGGCATGGTGCTCGTTTCTGGCATGGCAGTTGTGGCGGCAGGAGTCATTTCTATTGAAGATCCACCAGCGGCTCCGCAAAGAGTGTTGGCAAATGCATTGGCAGCTAGCAAACACTCAGCAACCTACACCGAGGCTAGGTTGGGAAATTACTTACAGGTTTGGTCGTCGGCTGAACATCCTGAAGCGATAGCAGCGCGCAGTGCGTCAATTACTGATTGATTTGCACAGATACATGCAAAGTCCGTGATTGCACAGCCAGAAGCTTGGATCGCTGCAAGTCCGGATTGTTGCTGGAGACGGATAGTGAGCTTGACCCTTCCGAAGACATGATACAAGTCAACTTACTGCACAGGCTGGAAGGTCTGCCACGCTCTGCGCGGAGACAAGTGGCGCGACAACTACTGCAATCAGCGCAGTGGAAAGAAGAGACTTCATTGTAGGGAAGATGACCTCGATACAGGAGCAAGGTTATGCAAAATACTAGAACGAGTGACTTGAGGAAGTAGAGTGATTGAACACGAGGAAGACCTGATATACCAATGCAAGGGCCCACAGCCAGACGTCAGAGCAACACAATGGAATGCGAGAAGGAGAATGCAAGCGTAAGATCTGTTGTTGGCTCCTCCGGAATGTTTCTTTATATAACCTGTTGCGGTATGCAAATTTATTACCATCCCCAGGTCCCCGGTCCACCTTTTTGCACTCCTTCAAGCTCACTGGTAGACCATCCACCGTAGAAGTCTCCGGGCTGAGGAACAACCTTCTCGTCATCCACAAAGCACTCCCATGGGACGCCGGATGCATAAAATGATAGATAGCCCTTGATATCCTTGAATGACGGAGTAGGAGACTCATAACTCCATATCTTGCCCTTGACTTCCTCATTCGTGTCGTCGAGCTTCAAAGTCCAGTATGTGGCTCTGCCCTTCCATTCACATAAAGAGGTCTTGTTTGGGATTTGGGTCAAGGAGATGAAGGGGGATAAAGAGGATCGAGGGAGGTAGTAGGCTGGAACGATGGTTAGATCTATGCAAATGGGTTTCAGAACCCAGGATGCGCACTCGGAGGATGGGTGGTCTCCAGTGCCCAGTACCCTTCTGTCGTGTCAGCGATCACTTTGTTATTCCATTTGATGACGAGGTGCCTCGGGGTCCGTTCGAGTAGTGGGGGACGAGGAAAGTTGTGGACGTTTAATTTGGCCTTGGGAGGCATTGTAGAAACTTTCTCGGATTGACTGTGTTCACGTACCCAATGTTGCTATTTGCAGGGGAAATATACCAGACTTATTTTCACTTGCATATGTCAATCCTTGCTCTAGGGTGGGCGCTGATCACGTTGCTGATGAATCATCTCCAGATCCGACGCCTGAACATATCCAATGTCATAACTCTTCGAGTACTGATGATGATGGCTGATGGCTGATTGTACATCATCCTACAAATACAGCAGTAGAGCTTGATGCTTGATGCTCGCTTAATAGCTATGAAGTCTGCTCAACCATTTTTCTGGCACAGGTGAAGCTTTACGGGTTACGGCAAACGCGGGGATCGTTCCCAGTCTTCAGCTGCTTCAGGTGTTTGTTCTCTCATTTCCTTTACCATTGGTCCATATCTCTGGATTGCAACGATGACGACGATTTTCAATTCATGCACCAACGCCAAGTCCAACATTTGCTCGGCCCCCAATCTTTGCGCAGCTGAAGCGCAATGGCTAGAGTCAATTCAAGTGAGACAGCGGTCTCCAGCCGCCGACCCTATCGAAAAGCATCGCTGATAGGGCAGGTGTTAGCAAGATGAAGGATGAAACGAACAACATGGGTTCAGAATCGTCAGCGGCGGATCAAAAGAAGCTGAACCACGTACCCAGCACTTTCATCTAAGTTTCGGCAGCCTTACCAAGCACCCAGATCTATTGAAGTCATATTTAAAAGAGAGGCAGCAGTTTCCCGTCGGGACGCACCACTTATCACGTTGATAACCTCCCACCGATCGAGCATTGAAAGGTCAATTGACATACCATACTCCGAAGCTGAGCAGACACCGAACAAGAATCCTCTACAGCGACGTGAGCGCTCATTATATTACACCTGCTCCGACATCCAGAATGTTGCTTGAATTGGCCTGATCGATAATGCTGGAAATTGCGCGCGACTGCAAACAATGTTCAGAACACAATACACGATCGTTTTCCTTTCCTAGATACTGCAATACCTTCATACCGCAAGAGATGGTTATATATATCTTGATGTTAATGTTCTGGCATATTTCCCAGATACGATGGTGTTCGATCGAGCAACCAGGCCACAGCAGCCTTCGTCGCTTACCCTGAACAGGGGTAACCTGGATGAAGAGAGCCATACATATACCTTACCAGAGGCAACTCCGTACCATGACAGGACATCTAATGAGATGGACACTTTGGCCCCAGTGGCCGACCGCACTCTGCTCGTTCCCAAGCCAAGGTACTCCAGACGCAATGTCGCGCGGTCACAATCAGAATATGCTGGGGGAATACAGGCGCGACGGAAACACAGTCCGAGCCCTTCACGTGCTTCCACGTTTCTCAGGAAGATATCCAGTCGCGCACCGAAATCGCCCAGGTCGCCGCACTTCCTGAACTTCAACCTCAGAGGCGACCAATATGAGCATCTGGACAATAAAGATCCCGAATACGAACAGGATCCTATAGGGGTCGACTTATCGTCCCTGGTAGGGCTGGGCTTCGAATTGATGCCGGGGCCTGAAATCTCCATCTCTCATGTTTCTGAATCGCAGCAGTCCACCACGAACGCCGATCAAGGCGATCACAGCGAGCAACGTCGAGGTCTGGGTGATGGTATGATCGTTGGCGCACAGCTTCGGCTCGACCCGTCTATGGCAGCTGTCCGTGCACAGAGCCTGAGGCATCTCACTTCTGCTAGTGCTGCGAATGAGATGCAAAGAGCAAAATCGATCCGAGAAGCAGCGCAAGATCTAGCACAAAGAACCAACAAAGTCGTGGCTGTGGACGATCCTTCGGTCCCTCCCACACCTGAAGGAGCTGTGGACCTAAGCCTTCTAGAAGGAACAGAACGGCGCCGCCGGACTAATACCACCTTCAACAAAATCACTCCAAACTCTCAAACGACAGCCACAAATACACGAAGTTATTTCTATCCTGACGATCCCAACCCACCTAATTGGAAGCCTATCACCATGAGCCCTCCTTACATCCTTCTTCTAATCATAATATCGCTTGCGCTAGCTGCCGTACAGGAATGGCTTTGCCAGTTATCAATGAGGCTCGAGGCCAAGGACGATGGCATCTTAAGTTTCAGCCGTGTTGCCGACGTACCGATATGGAGTTTTTTTTGTTGGAAGTACCTGCCAACACTAATCTTTGTCATCTATGGAGTTCTGTGGCAGATCATGGATTTCGAAATCAAACGTCTCGAACCATATTATCAGCTGTCTAAACCATTGGGCAGCACTGCTGCACAAAGTCTGAACCTTGATCACCTGAGCTTATGGAGTTATCTTGTCCCCTTCAAGGCTTTCCGCCTTCGACAATGGGCAGTTTTCTGCTCCGCCGTTGGCAATCTTCTGACAACATCGGTCTGCCCTTCCCTTCAGAATCCTTCTATTAGGTTTGACCAGAACTGTGAACCGGGACAGTGCCAGGAGGGTCGACTTCCCTTCTCCGTTAGAATTGATCCTGGCTGGTCACGAGTGCTCACTTCATTTCTTGTTATTACCGCAATCCTTGGAATGGTTCTCTTTGTACAGCTTCGTCGCAAGTCAGGATTGCTGAGTGACCCTAAGGGCATTGCTGGTATTGCCGCCATGGCAACCAAATCGCATATTCTGAACGACTTTCAAGGCATGGACCTGGCAACTCATCGCCAGATACACAGCAAACTGCGCCACCGCCGGTACCTCCTCAACAAGTCCTCGATCTGGCAGGGTGAATATGACAAAAGTGAAGAACCGAAATACGAAGGGGGCCGGAACCTCGAGAGCCCGCACCCAATGATGCTCCGATTGAGTGCTGGCATTCCGTTCATTTCTTTTCTCGCGTTCTGCCTCGTCGCCGTGCCCATCATCAACTTTACCGGCGCCCGCATCATCCCTAACACAGCGCCCTGGCTACCCATTCTCATTGCCACGGTGATCAAGATTGTCTGGACGACATTTGAATTCGATGTGCGCATGACGGAACCCTTCTACACCCTCTCCAAAGGCAATGCACCACCGGAAATGAGCCTTACTCTTGATTATCAAGGCACAGTCTACGGCTGGTTCCCCATCAAAGCTTTGATCAATCGTCACTACATCGTCGCGCTCGTTGGCTTCTCCTCCATGCTCGCCGACGCTCTCACTGTCACGGTGTCCTCCTTCTCTGTCAATGGCGCCGCCTTCCTATCCTCCAACAGCGGCGACGAAAATGCCTCCTCAGACGACGAGACCTTCCGGTCCTTTTGGGGCAGCGTTGTCCTCTCCATCGTCATCTTAATATTTCTCATCCTCTCTGCTGCACTTGTATATGCCCTACGTCGGCACCCCTTCCTACCACGACAGCCGTCCACGATTGCGGCAGTGCTGGCTTTCATCCATGCGAGCAAGATGCTTGATGACTTTATTGATACGGAGAGGTTGAGTAACAAGGATATGGAGAGGAAACTGAAGGAGAAGGGAAAGAAGTATGGGTTAGGATGGTTCAAAGGGAGGGATAGGCAGTGGCATTGTGCGATTGATGAGGAGCCGATGCGCAGCAAATATGTACATGGAGTGAGCTATACCATGGCGCAGGAGCCGTGGCATGGTGGGAATGGTGGGGTGGGAGGTGGAGTTGGCTATGATTTCATGAGGTATGATCCATAAGTATAGACGGATGGGTGAGATTGGCCCGTCATAAGATTCTCTACAGCTGGGAAGACGGTAAATACACCTAAGTAATTTGGCACATTTTCATATATGTCTCTTTCGCTTTCAAGTCGTGGAATTCAATTTGGCCATAATCGGCGTCCGGGGGGCTGTAGATATCAATCCAAAGTCCACACCTGTCTCCGCTCACTCTTCTCCCCGTCGCCCTGCCACATCACCTCAATATCTATCGACCGATCTTTCCCCTCCTTTTTCTGATATCCGATCTTGCCTCTTACCACCTGCCCCTGCGTGAAACCAAATTCCTGCGTCTTCGCCAGCAGAGCAACCTGCTGCCAATGCGTCTGCGGCGCGGCAGGACCCGTACTAAATGCAGTGTAGCCCTTGCGCACGGCTTCAGACGCTTCCATCCGAGGTGGAAGGTTCTCGGTCCTCGACTGCAAGAAGAAGATGTCGAACCAGACCGCCCAGCCATCGAATGACTGAGCCTCCGTTGCTCGCCACTCGATCTCAAAGGGATGGAGGAATGTCAGATCTGTCGTCTTTGCCGTGTGGAGATCCAGTTCCAGGAAGGACGCCGAATCCTCGCTAGGCACATCCCCCTTCTCTAGCGTCCGAACGAGCGCCTCATCGTAGACAGCGTCGTCCAGCATGCTCGTCATATCGAAGCCGTAGACGTCCTTCCAGAAATCCACGTGCTCGACCCGCAGCTCCGAGTCCACCAGCGGCGCCACCCGTAGCGTGGCATGGCTCGGCACCATCAGGCCACGCTCGGGATCCAGATAGCGATCGCGGGCCCAGAGGACGGAATCCAGCATGCTCTCGTACAGCAGGCCGTAGCCCATCCACTCGCTGATGATCACGTCGACCTTCTGCACGGGGAGGTGGACCTCCTCGATCTTGCCTCGCAGACACTTGATGACGTCCTGGAAGCCGTTCTCGTACACGATGACGCGCGCCTTGTCGATGATGGCGCTGTTGTCGACGGCGAGGACGAGCTTGGCGCCGGCTTGGGCACAGAAGAGCGACAGGATCCCCGTGCCGCAGCCGATGTCGAGGATGGTTTTCCCGGCCACCAGGTGTTTGTGGTGGTAGATGAAGTCGCGGTAGGCGGAGGTGCGGATCGTGTCTTTGAGCATGGTTTCATGGATGGGGTTGGCTGCGTACGAGTGGAAGTAGCCCGTGTCTTGGTCTTCTTGGGCTGATGTGGTGATTTCTTGCGTCCTGGCGTCCTTAGGATTGGGGACGTCGTTGGGCTGGGAGGCTGGAGTGTCTTTCATCGCATTGACGTGCTTCTGGAATGATACCTGGACTTCTTCTCTGTAGGCGGCGAATTGGATCTGGATTTGGGCGAGACGCTCGCGTAGCTCTTGGAGCTCTTGCTCGCCGGCATCTGGGGCGGTTGGTGTGTCAAAGGCAGCTTCATCAATGTCGTCTAGACTGTATAGTACAGCATCGTCCTCCATTGTCGGTTTGAGATACTGCTCGTCTTCAAAGAGAGCAGTGGTCCACACCTTGGGGAGTGCATTTCCAGCATTGGCCTCTGCCCGCACGAAATTGATCAGTTGAACCCGGTCCAGGAAATCGAGGTCTAGACTGGATGGTCAATATTCAGATGTCTGTCGCAGGAGAGTCTTGTGCATTGGCACCAACTTAATTGGTTCTTCAGCTTGACATAGTCAAAGTCGTGTTTCTCCTTGTCGTACTGCAGCATCTCGGTGATGTCCCCAAACCACCTGTCCTCGAAGAGGGATTTGAAGGTCCGGTCCTCCACATCGGATTCGACATCTTCCCAGCCATCGTCGTTTCTTGGCTCTAGGAGTTCTGTGGTTGATGGATCGCTGTCTGAGTCCATTCTCGCTAGGAAGTATGAGGGGTGTGGTTCGGGAACAGTCAGCTTCGTTGGCCTGGCCTGGCTATTTATAGCACGTTGAATACTGCAAAATTCCCATCTGTGATACTTGAGAGTAAGCTGAGTAGGAAGGTTTCTGCTACGCCGAAAGAGGCAATGCAGTTTTCTGGGCACAGAAATAAATTCAGCCTATTGGAGTCACAACTTTTTTTGTATTGTGAGCGAGCATCGCAAGTCCGCCATAGCGTAGTGGAATACCGAGTCGATGGAACCTGCCAGAGTGAGTGTGCTGGGCAAGGACAGTGTCGTCCTGAAGTTCGGCCTCTGGAAGGAATATGTGGCCAATGATCTCCTGACCACGTTGACTTCTTCGACATATGTCTTGGTCACAGACACAAACCTCAGCCATCTCTATATTCCTCCCTTCAGATCCAGTTTCGAGAGAGCTTGCTCGCAGGTGGAAGTACAGCCTCGGCTACTCACATTTGAAGTGCCACCCGGGGAGACATCGAAGTCAAGACAAACCAAGGCCGACATTGAAGACTGGCTGCTTAGTCAGAAGCCACCATGTGGCCGAGATACTGTCATTATCGCATTAGGTGGAGGAGTGATAGGGGACCTGACCGGCTTTGTGGCCGCCACATACATGCGAGGAGTGCGATATGTCCAGGTTCCGACGACATTGCTTGCTATGGTCGACTCGTCTATTGGTGGGAAGACTGCAATTGATACAGCACTGGGAAAGAATTTGATTGGAGCAATCTGGCAACCACAGCGCATCTACATTGATCTCGGTTTCCTTGGGACGCTTTCACAACGAGAATTCATCAATGGCATGGCAGAGGTGATCAAGACGGCTGCGATATCCGACCAAGAAGAATTTGGGGCCTTAGAAGCCAATGCGGAGCTTATCACAAACACGATCAAGTCCGACCCCAGGCAAGGTGCATCACGGCTGGAGAGTATCAAAGACATCCTCCAAAGAGTGATATTGGCTTCTGTCAAGTTCAAGGCACACGTGGTCACAGCTGACGAACGTGAAGGCGGACTACGAAACCTTCTGAATTTCGGTCATTCCATCGGCCATGCAATTGAAGCCTTTCTCACCCCACAAATCCTTCATGGAGAGTGTGTAGCAATTGGGATGGTCAAGGAAGCCGAGCTGGCTCGCTATCTTGGCGTCTTGAAAGGTGTCGCTGTCGGTCGCCTTGTGAAATGCATATCAGCTTATGGGCTCCCAACGACTCTGGAGGACGATCGGGTACGGAGACTCTCTGGTGGCAAGCACTGTTCTGTTGAGCAGTTAATCATGAAGATGGGCATTGACAAGAAGAATGATGGAGCCAAGAAGAAAGTCGTACTGCTCTCTGCTATCGGACGCACGTACGAGCCAAGGGCCAGCACTGTTTCTGACGCTGAGTTGAGAGTCGCGCTGTCTCCGAGCATTGAAGTGACCCCAGGTGTGCCCTCCTCACTAGATGTCACATGTGCTCCACCAGGCTCAAAGAGTATATCCAATCGAGCTCTTGTGCTGGCAGCGTTAGGTAGTGGTACCTGCAGACTTAGCAACCTTCTCACTTCGGCGGACACAGAAGTGATGATGGCAGCGCTGAGCCATCTCGGAGCAGCTACTTTCACGTGGGAGGATGAAGGAGAAGTGCTAGTGGTATCCGGTAATGGTGGAAATATGCTTGCCAGTTCGACAGATCTCTATCTGGGAAACGCCGGAACAGCCGCGAGATTTCTTACTACCGTTGCCACCCTTGCCCACCAGAGCGAAGTCAACAATAGCGTCCTAACAGGTAACGCCCGGATGAAGCAACGACCTATTGGCGATCTTGTGGATGCGCTTAGAACTAATGGTGCTGGCGTCGAATATCTGGAGACCAACGGCTGTCTGCCTCTTCGAATCGCTGCTTCTGGAGGCTTCAATGGCGGCATCATCAATTTAGCAGCAAAAGTCTCATCACAATATGTATCGTCGTTGCTCATGTGTGCGCCCTACGCAAAGAACCCAGTGACCTTGAAACTGGTGGGTGGAAAGCCTGTTTCGCAGCCCTACATTGACATGACCGTGGCAATGATGGCCTCCTTCGGTATCAAGGTCGAGAAGTCATCTACCGAGGATCACACTTACCACATCCCGCAAGGTCGATATGCAAATCCTGCAGAATATGTCATTGAGAGTGACGCCAGTTCTGCGACCTATCCTCTAGCAGTTGCCGCCATAACAGGAACCACGTGCACCGTCCCGAATATTGGTTCCGCTTCCTTGCAGGGCGATGCACGTTTTGCGGTAGACGTGCTTCGACCGATGGGATGCAAAGTCTCTCAAACTCCGTCCTCTACCACTGTTACTGGCCCGAAAGATGGAAACCTCACTCCGCTTACAGGTGTGGATATGGAACCAATGACTGACGCTTTCCTGACAGCATCAGTGCTCGGAGCTGTCGCGCAAGGAAAGGGTCCGAACCACACTACACGCATCTATGGCATCGCAAACCAAAGAGTCAAAGAGTGTAACCGGATCTTAGCGATGAAGGATGAGTTGAGCAAGTTTGGAGTCATGTGTCATGAGCACGAAGATGGCATTGAAATTAATGGGATTGATCGTGATAATCTGCGTCAGCCTCGAGCTGGGGTTTTCTGTTACGATGATCATCGAGTGGCTATGAGCTTCAGTGTGCTAGCATTAGCTGCACCAAAGCCAACCTTGATTCTCGAAAAGGAATGCGTAGGCAAGACCTGGCCAGGTTGGTGGGACACTCTCTCACAAACTTTCAAAGTACGGCTCGAAGGAATAGAATTGGACGAGTCCCAGAGAAGTGCAGTCTCGACCACAGACAAGGCATCGGCATCCATCTTCATCATTGGCATGAGGGGAGCCGGAAAGACCACGAGCGGAAGCCGGGTGGCCACATTTCTCGGCAGGAAATTCATCGATCTCGACACAGAACTCGAAGCTACTGTTGGCATGACTATCCCGGAGATGATCAAGAGAGAGGGATGGCCATCCTTCCGGGAAAAGGAGCTAGCCCTCCTCAAGGCTGTGATGGCGGACAAGACTCACGGCTATGTCTTTGCATGTGGCGGTGGTATCGTGGAAAGTGCTGCAGCACGAAAGATGTTGATCGACTGGCATCAGAAGAAAGGGAACGTTCTACTCGTCCAACGTGACATCAGTAAAGTAATGGATTTCCTGCAGGTCGACAAAACCCGGCCAGCATATGTCGAAGACATGATGGGAGTCTGGCTTCGAAGGAAACCTTACTTCCAAGAGTGTAGCAACCTGCAATACTACAGCCAGCACAGTCCCTCAGACACCCTGGCATTGGCCGCAGAAGACTTCGACCGATTTCTGCGGGTCGTGACAGGCAAGGTTGATTACCTTGCGGCGATGAAGCAGAAGAAGATCTCTTACTTTGTCGCCCTCACATTTCCAGATCTAAGACCACATCTTCACCTTCTCCCAGAAATCTGCATTGGTTCTGATGCTGTTGAGCTGCGAGTTGACCTACTGCGCGAACCTGGCACCGATTCCGTGATGCCTTCCATCGACTACGTGACAGAACAGCTATCCCTCCTTCGATCGGTAATTCCCCTTCCAGTCATCTTCACCATCCGGACTCTATCACAAGGTGGAATCTTTCCTGACAACGCTCACGCTGAAGCACTTGCTCTCTACACCCTCGCAGTGCGCATGGGGTGCGAGTTCGTCGACCTCGAAATAGCATGGCCCGACCACCTCCTCACCAAAGTATCGAGCATGAAAGGCTTCTCCAAAATCATCGCATCCCACCACGACCCCACCGGATCTCTCTCCTGGCGCGACAAGCACTACATCCCTTTCTACCACAAAGCCATGCAGTACGGTGACATCGTCAAACTCGTCGGCGTTGCCCGGACTCTCGAAGACAACTTCGCGCTCCAGAATTTCAAATCCTGGGCCGCAGAGCTCCAAGACATGCCCATGATCGCCCTCAACATGGGCGAAAAGGGCCAACTCAGTCGGATCCTCAACAAATTCATGACTCCTGTATCCCACCCTGCTTTACCTTACAAAGCCGCTCCCGGCCAACTCTCCGCTGCAGAAATCAACCGTGGTCTCTCGCTCATGGGCGAACTACCCGCAAGACGCTTCTACCTCTTCGGCTCACCGATTCAAGCATCGCGCTCCCCAGCCCTCCATAACGCTCTCTTCGCCAAAACCGGCCTATCGCACACATACAGCCTCTTCGAGACCACGGACGCGGAATCCCTGAGACCAATCGTTCGAAGCCCAGACTTCGGCGGCGCATCCGTCACCATTCCGCTGAAATTGGATGTCATGCCCCTGCTAGACGAGATTGCCGAAGAAGCACAGATCATCGGCGCTGTCAATACGATCATCCTTGTCGAACAACCTGCCACTTCTTCGTCATCTTCACAAGATAAACCCGCCCCCAAATCGAAGCTCGTAGGTCGTAACACGGACTATCTAGGCATGGTACATTGTCTTCGCCGTGCCGGCGCATTGGGTAGTTCTGGCTCCCGCACCTCCTCCACCCTCTCCGGCTCAACTTCAGGGTCAGGCACAGACTCGGCCCTGGTAGTAGGCAACGGCGGCGCCGCCCGCGCCGCAATCTACGCGCTGCATTCCATGGGCTACCGCCCCATCTACCTCCTCGGCCGCCAGGCGGAAAAAGTGCGGAAAATGGTCGGCATTTTCCCGAGCGGCTATGATCTCCGCATCCTGGACGCCGAGTCCCACCACACCGATTCCGACGAGGTCGAGCGAAAGCAAGAAACGATGGGCTCAAGCATGGGGAGTATAGTGCCCAGAGTCGCCATCGGCACCATCCCCGCCGACCGACCCATCGATCCCGGCGTGGAGAGCGTGCTGCAGCGCATCTTCAACAACCGCCTCACTACCCCTGATCCCAACACACCCGGCAGCGGGGAAACGGGTAACGACGGCCGCGTCCTCCTCGAAATGGCCTACAGACCGCGCGTCACGCCGCTAATGCAGCTGGCGGAGAAGGCGGGCTGGATCACGGTGCCCGGATGGGAAGCGCTCGTGGCACAGGGCATGTGGCAGTTCCGGTACTGGACGGGCATCATGCCGTTGGTGGAGCATTGTCGGGTGAGTTTTCCTCTTCTTTTCTTTTCTCCCTCCCTTTAGCGTTCTTCCTGCCGTGCTTGAGCTTGTTCTTCTTCTTCTTACCCTGTGCTTGATGTGTGCCTGTGACGTGGGCTGACTGGATTCTTTCTTGGGCTCATATAGGCCGCGGTGCTGGGCGATGAAGCAGAGGATCCAAAGGCGCCGGCGGCGACGGGGATGGTGAATGGGAAGGTCTGATGCAATATGTTAGGTGTTGTTGTTGTTGTTGTTGTTGCGAGAAGTGATGACGGAGGAGCTCGGGAGCTGGTGGGGGTGGAGGGCCAGTGTTAGGTGGATGGGAAGAAAGGTACAGTACTCGCACGCATACGCCGTCACCGAGAAGAAGAAAACAAGTCCCAAAGATTATTAGTATGGGAAGGATTTCCAAAAGCGTGTCATGAATTCATTCTTACTTTTATTGTTATCGTTACGGGTTTGCGGCAGCAGCGTTATAGAAGAAAAAAGTCTTTCGAGTCACACGCAATGCGAGAAGAGCTTTCTATTTTCTACTTTGGGTATTACTTACCGAATAAGGACACCGTTGTCCGACCTTCCCTGCCCTTCCCTCCCCTTCACAGACATATTTGACTAGCTAGGGCTGATTTACATCATCATCATCATCATCATCATCTCCCATCCTGCCAATTACCGGCACCACCACCACCACCACCACCACCACCACCTCTCTGCTGTCTCAGCGCGTCGAAAAACGCCGGGTTGATGTGCGAACCCGGTGGTGGCATCGGTGGCTGACCCTGGCCGTGTCCTTGCACTTGTCCTTGCTGGCCCCCGTGGAATGGTCCCTGCCATTGCTGGCTATGGTCTTGATACGGTGGTTGATGCTGCTGTTGCGGCTGATAGGGATGATAAGCTTGCGCAGGTGGATGGTGCTGGTTGTGCTGAGTGGCGTAATGGTTGAAATTCAAGTGGGTCTGCGGGAGCGGGGAGATGGGTGAGGGGGAGAATGTTGAGTACGAAGATGCTTGTGGAGCGATGGTGGGTGCGTGGGGTAGGGTTGGCTTTTGGTAGGAGAATGGGGGATGTGGCGGTTGCGGTGGCATTTGTGGATAGGGGTATTGTGATGGTGGAGGAATTGGTGGTAGGGCGAAGGTTGGGGGTTGAGGTTGTTGCGGGGATTGCTGGTGCTGGTGCTGGTGCTGGTGCTGGTTCCCATGTGCGGACGTTTTCGGAGAGGAGCTTGCTTCAGATTTCCGTGTAGGAGAGGCCTGTTGGCTGTTGGAGAAGGATCCTTTCCGGTCCGGCGGCTGATTGTCGTTGGGTCGACCCCGTCCAACTCGGCCGCGCCCACTTCTGTCGCCTCGATTTCCTCGGTCGCCTCGGCCTTGATTACCTCGGCCACGACCTCTACCCCTTCCTCGATCGTAGCCTCTGTCCGAAAATGGCACAGGCTGTCGACCTTCAAGAGGTGCTTCGCCTCGTCCCATCATCTCGTGCAGATTGGTCGGTCGAGCCAGTGGGGTGTAGCCGTCTTCAACTATTGGTGATATGTCATCGTAGTTCATCTCTGCGGCGGTGTCCCCGTTGACGCTCGAAGTTCTTCGAGCGTGCCCATTCATGGAGGCTCCGCGATTGCCTCTTCCATATCCAGACCGATCGTTCCTCTCGTCCTTTCTGCTTTGCTTCTTCAGCTTCAAACGGCGCTTGTGTTCTGCCTCTGCTTCATCATCTGAGAATTCCATTTCTTCCGCACCCACCTCTTCATCATGGAAATTGGAGGCATCGCTGCCCTTGACTGCTCTCAAAGGCTGAGTGAAAACAAATGTCGAATGCTGTTCCACATAGTAGACTGGAGTGTTCTTCGAGCCAAGCCCAGCCTCTTTGATGGCTTCTTCATTTGTGAAGCGGATCGTGTATAACGGCTGTTGCACCCGTCCGAGTGTTTCGGACACAACACCCACCACGCTTCTGTTCTGGAGACATAAGAGCGAGTTGCTTTCGAGCACTCGATACTCACCAGAGGTTTTGGCCTTGATGAGCACGGCGTTTTCCACGATGGCTTCCACACAACCCAACTCTTCAATCCTCATATCCTCCGTCACCTGGATGTCCGGTTTTGGGACCACTTCCTCGGGCTTTTCATTCGCAGTACGTAGGTGCGTCGTCCCACCTTTCGCACCACTTCTAGCGTTGCCCTCGTCATCAGATCCACCATCACCCTGCATTAGAATGCGTGCTTGTTCTTCAGGGTCGAGCATGGCGTAATCCCCATCCACGTCTACGTCATCTTCGTCGCTGTCATCTGTAGATGTCGTATCGGAAGTACTATCTGAGTCAGAGGACGAGTCAATAGGCGAAGAGTCGGCCTCCCACTCGGCGTCTTGACCGCCCTGGTCATTCTGAGGCTGCTCAATAATGCTGATAGCTGGAAGCTGTTCACGCAGAGACGCAATAGGGGTGTCTGCCTCTGTCGATATCTCCAAGTAGCGGTTTTCTTGCTTCCCTAGTTCATTCTCTGTTGTCATCGCATCAGTAGCACGCTGTTCGGCTTCGTTTGTCTCTACTTGCGTAGTTCGTATCTCTGCCTCAACGTTGGGGCCAGGAGCGTCAGTCTGACTTGCTCCATGCTCCTCTTGACGGGCGTTCGGCAGCGACCTGTTTTCATCCAGCCCTTCAGCGGTTTGGTCATGTACACCAAAACTGCTCAGAGCGTCGCCGGAGTTTGCTTTCTCTACCATGAAGCCTCCATCTTCGTCAACACGGACTTCATTTAAACTAGTAGCCGTGGAATTCTGGTTTTGTGGTTCCTCCAACGCTGTACGATCTTGTGATTCCTCTTTCTGACCTACATGGTGAGTACCATTAACATTCACACTCTCCTCATCCTTCACCGTAGGCTCTTGCCGCGAGTCATCAAGCAAGGTTGTTGAAACCGTAGGGGGAGTAGGGTGTCGTGGTGACGCTGCTTTAGGAGCCGGAGCACTGCTTGCGTCTTGTTCGTGCGAGGAGGTGTCGGTAAGGCCAGCATATTCTTCTTCTCTTACAGTGGCGACGCTGGTATTCGGCAATGCCATTTTACCATCCACTTTGTCTTCAGGCTTCTCAACGAGTCGCCCATTGGCTATGTATCGGCCGTTTTCTTCTGTCGAAGCAGGAGTTCCCATTCCCACCACTGACGTAGAGCTGCATTCGTGTTCATTGTTCGTCACATCACCTGTCCCTGTCTGACCAGCGTCTGATGTGCGGCGCCCTTCTTCCAAAACACCTTCCTCCGCTACTAGCGACGCTGCTCGGGTAGCAGTGTTATCCTCGGAGGAGAGTGCGGATCCTGGTGTCTATTGAGTAGCCTGCTTCGGCACCAACGTCTTCCACGTAATCTGCTCCTCCTCTTGACCTCGCACCCCAGATTGAGAGTCCACATGCTGCATCAATGTATCGAGCAAGCCACTTCCACTCGGAATTTCATTCTCGCTCTGGTCCGGCTGGCGCTTAGGTATGCTGGGCTTCATGAGGCTTAATCCAGGGATTGAGGGACCGGCATGTTCTTCGAGCTGGGTCGGATTGCTCATGGTAAAGTCATCGCCCATCGTGTATGTTTCGATTGTGGGACTGTGATTGCTCAAGGACCGAGGGGATTCAGTCCTTTGGCGTTTTGTGGGCCGGTCAATGATGTCGTCTGGACGAAGTGGTAGCAACGCCATTTGTTTTATTTGAAAGCGGCTACGGCAGAAGAAGCATCGGACTTTTCCTTAAGAACCAGGTGCCGTGAGCCGAGAATCCTGCCATGGCATCGCAGCTTCGGAGTTGACAAAATTCTGTCTATGGCGGATCGTGGCTTACATAATGTTTACTCGGTTAAAGATCTATGCAGCATCTGGCGGAAATCTTTTCAACGTCATGAAATGTAATCGATTGTGGAAGAAATTTACTGAATTTTAAAATGTGTTTCGCAGTATATTTCAGCTAAAGCTGTGTTAGGCATAGACGTAGTGAGCAAACGTTAGCAAGGCTGTAGTCACATGATGAGCTAGCCGCAAAGCGGAGCTAGTGCATACTTATTACAGTCTTGGCTGAAATTTTACTTACATACGCTCGCAATATACTATGGTATCGGGCAAAAGTAATGTTAGCACGGCGCTAGTACTTTTGCTTCCGAACGGACTCTTAACGTAACAACTAAGCTTCGACCGGTTAGCGGCACTGCGGTGGGGAATATCTGGGGCTATCGACCAGAGAAGCTTCTAGGCATCCAAGTGGCGCTGTATGATAACTAGCTGTTACTAGAACCATGCTAACATTATTTATGCCCCTTACCGTAGTACAGAGTAAATACCCTGAAAGTTTGAAATTTATGAATTCTTGAAAAAAAAAACCACCACTACCCACAGGAGAGACGACAGTAAACAAGCCAATGGCACCTAGGGGAATTAGAGGCATGACTCCATACTATAATACTACTCTGTCTATCTAGTGGACCAATTTAATCTTCAAAATTGACTTTGGTAATCCTCGCGTACTCTGATAGGCTATCCATCAAATCAAACAAAGTAAACCGAGGCCCTGATTTGCTTTGATTATTTAATCAAAAATCATAATTTGCTTTGTTTTACTAGTAAATTATCAAACTGAGTCAAATCTCAGTAAGCAATATTTTTCTAGGGATTTACTTGAATTCTCGTACAGTTCGAGTGTCCGCCAAGACTATTATTATCCTATCGAGAAATATCCAAGTGCCAGGTCAAGACTTTAGTTTGACTAATTTGCCAAGCATTTGATTTGATTTGATGGACACACTGGCGCCGTTCTACGATGTCAACTTCACCTAATGTGCTGCATTTCTATTCTGGTCTACTCTCCCCCTTTCTTATTCTTCGTCCACTTCTTCCATTGCTGATAATACCATAATTGGTATCAATACTGCTACTAAGACCATTATTCGTGTTCTACCTTATGCTGGTACGCAAGAACTCCGAAGTTATTTCCTGACGGCGCACAGGAGCATCTCATCAACATGCAATTCGAAGCCTCTACCTAGTGCTTGCTCATTGGCGTACTGTACTATTCCGAGTTCACCGAACGATCGTGATTTTCACAGCTGTGGATGTGAAAGTCCGTTTGGTTCAGTTCTTGGTTCTATTTTGCATCAACGCTCTAAGAGTTTATACGGATGTATGAGATGTCGAATACTGATGATGAGGCGAAGCTCTTGTTGTCGGCAATATACAGGCTGAGCTTTCACCCACTTGCAAAATACCCTGGCCCGTGGTGTGCTACCATTACTGATGGGCACACGGCGAACCATCTGATCACAGGTGACCTTTATCTCGATCTCTGTAGACTGCATGGTGATCACCGTAAGGATCCAGCTACCATAGACGGTCGGCAATCAATGGCTCATGAAGACATCTAGGAAATTTGTCCATTTGGAACCGATATGGATTTCGTTCAACTCTACGGCCGCGCTTCGAGACATTTATGCTACCACAGCCAATGTGCCCAAGTCGCAGGTCTATAGGTCATTTAAGCAATTCTTTAAGGATACAGAGATGCCAATTGTCATCAATCGTCAAATAGAGCATGTATTCAAGCGTCGCATCATTGCTCAAGCTTTGCGGCAAAGTTCAATAATTCACAGTATCTATCAAATCAAACAAAGCAAATTTCAGCCCTGATTTGTCAAATCGAGTCAAATATTCGTAAACAATATATTATTATCAAGGATTTACCACAGGTTCAATCTCACCAGGATCATATGTCCGCCAAGACTACCAATATTCTATCGAAACCATCCTTAAATATTCGAGACTTTTCTGCCAAGACTTCAATTTGACTAATTTGTCAAATCCACGGAGGCTGATTTGGTTTGCCAAGCATTTGATTTTTGGGGGGTTCATTTCCGTCTAAAGAAGAGCAAGTCCTGAAGAACATAGGCTACCTCTGCGAAATCGTCGCTGAGCTGGACAAGAGCGACTCTTGGAGTACTCCAAGGGACATGATCAGAGCGGCCAGATATCTTATGTCAGATTCAATGGGCGATTTGGCTTTCAGTCGTGATTGGAATCCTCAGCAGTCATCCAAGAACCGATGTCTCGCGGAAGACAGTCCTCTAGGCACTGCTGATATACACTTGACGAGTGCACAGCCACTGAAAATGTCAAACAACCAACGCCAATGAACTTGCAACTAAGGATCGATTCGTCGGTATGCACTAGGGCTCGATGTTGCAATGCAAGCCAAAAGAACAACAGATGATTATGTAACGATAGTGCTGCACTCTGGCTCTATAGATGATGCGTAGCTTAACCTGGGATTCTGTAAGAGTTACAGGAATTTTGGCCAAGAAAATGGCCACCTCCATTCGTGCTTACGGCACTACATTGTGAGTCTGCCATCTGGTGAAGTGAGATGCTCCTGCATTGTTCAGCTTTCACTGCCCACCTGGCCAAAAAGGCATGCATTGCTATGCATAACAAGCTAAGAACACAGGCATACCTTTATGCACGGCCTGCTGCAGCTGTACTGATCCGAACGTTTTGCTAACCGTTTTTAGAAGTACCCATACAAATGCCGCACCAACGTATCGTGGCAAGTTCTCATGAGGGACTTTTTATGACACAATACATTTATATTTATGATATGCATAGTTGGTCCAACCTCTGCGTGGCATCTGATTGCCCTGCGGCTCGCACAACCTAGCTGCACTCTGGCCATGTGGAATCAGGGACCAGGGCGGTCGTAGAGATGTACTAGTAGCAGCAATATCGGTGCCAATGAGTACACTTGCACGTTGTGAACCCCGTCATGATAGCATCACTTTTCTGGGGCCCCTATGACTTTTGAGGAAATTATCGCTGACGGAGTACTGGGACCTGATGCATTCTCGGTACTAATGAGTAAACTTGTCCACTATAGAATCCGTTGTGATGGCATTACCTCTCTGGGGCCTCATACTTCTCTGCTTGCTCTGATACTAGTTCTGATCGAAGTGGATTGAGCCATGGCTTCTGAACTCTGTTTTCGGGAAAAGGTACATGTTGTGCCTCCCTTCGAAATAGTATTTCCTTTAGATCGCGAGATCGCCATGCTGAAGTTTAATTTGCACACTCTTTGGCTGTTCACACGCAGCGACCTGAAGGCCGTCTTATTCCCAACCATCATCTTTGCGACATGCGGAGCCTTGTCGGGAAAAATCGTCACCACTAAGGAGGACGTCACCATTTCAGGTGTTCTCAGCCGGTTGCCGCTCGTTGCTGTGTGGACCTGGGTCCATCTGCTTGTCCATGACATTGCAAATCAGCGCCTAACCCCCGGCATCATAGAAGACAGAATAAACAAACCTTGGCGGCCGTTACCAGCTGGTCGTATTACCCAAGATCATGCAAGCAAACTGCTTCTTGTTGTTACCCTAGCTACCTTCGCTATATCCTGGCATCTTGGAACCCTGAGGGAGTCAGTTACACTGGTGGTCCTTACCTGGATATATAACAACCTTGGAGGAGCAGACAAGCACCCAATTCTGCGCAACGTCCTTAATGCCTGCGGTCTCATCTCCTGCAACGCGGCTGCGACGGTCATTGCGGCGAGTTTGGGACACACATCTTTCACACGGAATGCTCACGCCTGGTCTGCCATTGTCGCTAGTGTCATTGCCTCAACGATCCATGTACAAGACTTTTCTGATTCCAGCGGAGATGCTGCTATTGGGCGACGATCGATTCCATTGGTATATGGCGATGGACCGGCGAGGTGGTCTATTGCTGTCCTAGTCACCACCTGGTCCTTTCTGTGTCCTTGGTACTGGGGGCTGAGAGTTGTCAGCTATATTATGCCTGTTGTGATAGGGGGTATGATGGTACTGCAGATTCTGTTGAGAAGAGACGTCCGCTCTGACTCGCTCTCTTGGAAGCCATGGTGCATTTGGAGCATGACTCTGTACTGCTTGCCTCTGTGCAGATGATAGGTCTGGAGGCAGGTGTGGACAAGACCAGCTTGGATGAATAGAAGTAACCCCTTGAGTTGAGGATGCCCTTATTTTGATGTCATGTATCAGCCACACTGTCCGTGCAGAAATACGTATAGTCTCATTGTGTTTTAGCTGTTGTGCATTTGTATTAACAATACAATTAAAATAAGCCATTCGATGATATGTGACACTAAGCTTACCACTATCCCTTAGCCGTCTTAGATATAGCGTAACCACTCATCAAAGGCACAGCATCCTTTCAGCACTTCTGACTTGATCTCATGTTCTCTCGGTAATGCTAGGAGTCCGTGGAAAATAGGAGTGTCCCATGTACGAGGGCAAAAACGTGGTATGGCGCTTGCGTACGCAGTTCCGAAAGATTGACCAAAGAATCTTCTTGAAACCAAATACCATCCATGATCGGTATCCCAGCCAGGATGTCCAAATTAAATGCTTAGCAAATCAAATCAGATCAGCGCTTTCGTCAAAGCAAATCGGCCTCCGTGGATTTGACAAATTACTAATCAAACTGAAGTCTTGACAGAAAGGTCTCTCTTATTGTGAAATAGTATTTTTAAGGACATTTTCGATAGAATTATAATAGTCTTGGCGGACACACGATCTGGACGAGAACTCACGTAAATCCCTAGAAATATCTTGCTTAATAGGTTTGGACTGGATTTGACAAACCAGTCAAACAAAGCGATTAAATAATCAAAGCATTTCAGGGCCTTGGTTTGCTTTGTTTGATTCACCCTGATCCCAGGAATAGTCAGGATAGGCAAGATGGACGAACACTCCCGCCCACTATGTGTGGAACGTTGCTGACTAATCAACGGATTAGTGTGGAAATAGCAAGTTGTTCTATCTAATTCAGTGCGAAAAGAGCGCATTTATACGTACAATTCTGCGATTCCAAGTGTCACGGAGTTGACATGGAGGCCTCCTGGGGCCTAGATGGAGTCGTGGTCCGACTCTCTCTAGGGCATCTGGATAAGGATTAATATACTATTCCAACTGCATTCAAGTAACTTTGGTTTAATTGGGCGTAACTCTTTTGTGAAGTTGGATCACTATCTCATGTGTCACTGAATGAGGCCCACTTCCTTGTTGTGAATAGCAATCCCGCGATTTAGTGTCATAGTTTTGCTGTAGCGTTAGTACTGGCAGGGGTCAAGGTTACTGTTCGTAATAATCATTTCTTTAAAATACACGATTCTAGCTGTCAAATGTTGAATAAGTTACCATACAAGACACTTGTATGAAGGGCCGAAGCTTGGCGCCAAAATTTATGAGACTTCTCAGATTCCTGCTATGCTACACAGCTATTTAATAGGGGATAGGGCGCCCATTTCGCTCGTTTAGGGCAGCTACTCTATCTGGCATTGTTGAGATAGCCCTATTAATCTCCTCAATGGTTATTTTATCCCACTCCTCCTGGATAGCTTGACGCAGCACAGCTTCTTCAAAGATAACCCCCCTGGACTTCAAGCGCTGCTTTATTATCCTCCAGATAGTCTCAATAGGATTGAGATCTGGCGAATTAGCAGGGTTCATATCTCATTTGATCCCTAGAAGATCCTTGAGTGCTTTAAGACCTTTGCCCTTGGTACCATAAGGCCCATCATTATCTTCGATTAAAACGCGATCCTTATCCCATTCAGGAGCGACGATTTGCTCTAGAATAACCATATAGTCAGCTTGAACAAGCCGTCCCCTTATACCAGAGCCAGTATAGAAGTGGAGCTGACCCTTGAAATTCCATCTAATAACGCCATACACGTGTACGGATTGGTTTTGGCGCTTCAACTTGAATTAGGTCTTTGAGAGAGCATTTCGAGCTTCAAAACCCTTTCGACGATGAATTCGAGCTTGTCGCTGCAAGCAAGCAGCAAAATGGGACTCATCATATCATCGAAACTTCTTAAATGCATCTAGTTGCCAATATCAACGTTCAAATCCCCATATAATTCAGGCTTCAATATGTGCTTGTGAGAGCATTTTTTTCTGTGCAGCCATATAGGTTCTCACACCAAAATCCTTCATATTTCTTTGAATTGCACGTTCGGAGCCATTTGCTATACTAATAGTCTGTGCCACCCTAAGTGGCTTGACGAAGCAAAGCCAAAACTGGCATCTTCAACGGCCTCAATAGCTTCACATTCGTGTAGAGCAAGTACTCGTTTTCGGCCTCGATTATGGATTTTCTCGCTGCTGCGCGCAGTACCCTCTTTTATGATTCGATAGCCAGTTGCTTTAGATACATTATGTATCTTAAATAACTGCGTACGAGGCAGTTTGCCAGCTGTGTGGCGTGCGTCAGCAAGAAGGCGCGCACGGCGCGGCGTATCAAGCATCGTTTTTAGCGTTCGTGAGGCCGCAGGAGAAGGAGGATCTATCGAATAAGACTTTCGGCAGACGCGTCGTCTGTTTCCTCGTTCAGAATCCATTGTTCCCTTAATTTGAGTGAGTATTGGTAGAGAAATAGGGGAATGAAGAAGGGGGGGAGAGGAAGGGGATGTGAGAAGTCTCATAAATTTTGGCGCCAAGCTTCGGGCCTAGAGTCAAATGTACAAAATAAGGAGTCCGCCAAGAAGTTCTGTAGACGAACAGAAACGCAGAAGAGGATGCGAAGGAGGGTCTAAAACGCGTCAAAAATACCAGTATTACTCCGTAGACATACTGAACTCCGCAGGAGCAAAATGAGCATAATTCAATAGAGGGATTTGCAATAGACGCTTCATTAGGCATTTCAATAGTAATTATCAATTTGGCCCTAGCTGTGAGCTATCTTCCTAGCCGCAGGGAACCTCGTCAGGAGTCGAAAATGTCGGTTAATTTACGTCCTACGAAGCGTACATTACAAACGTACGAAAACGTACCTCAACGCCTGGTTGGCAGAAAGGAACACCAGTATTTCAAATTTTTGGTGTGCTTTTTGCCAAGTCTACAGCCCAAAAAATGAAATTCGAAATTCCTTATGCCAAGAGTTAGAACACTAAATCGCGGGAGTACTATTCTCAACAAGGAAGTGGCCTCATTCAGTGACACAGGGGATTACTGTTGTAGCCACTCGTAACTAGGCAATTAAGTACCTTTTCTACTTCTGATTTCACAGCTGTCACCAGGGTCTTTGGCAGGAGTGTGTGCATCATCTTATACAGTGCTTTCTTGAGGCTAGTATATGAACATTTTACACATAATAAACCCACAGTCTCTACAAAGCCGCAGAATCACTACCCGCTCTGCCACCATCCCTCATTCTTTCCAGGTTTCATCCCTCCAACCAAGCTCAACCAAGGCAATCCCTCCTTTTGTTTCACCTGTTGACCTTTCTACAAGTTTTGCAAGCGATTTTCCCAGTTGATGTAAGCTTCTATACAAATGTCTTCCAAGTCCGCCTCTCCATCATCTAGCGCACCCGCTTCATATACGGGTATTCTCTGGTACCTGATCAGATGCACAGACTAATACCTATTGCAAAAGTGTTGCAATTTCCTTAGTGTATGCTTCGGGACTGCTGCTGCTTGATCTATTTGTACTGGATCTATAGATATCAAGTAGAATGACAGAAAACTACATTATTCGGTAGACATAGATCTGTTGCCCTACAACTGAGCATATTTTCCTATTTTCGAATTCTAGATTTGAGAGATTAAGTATTCGAAGTTTTATATATAAGTATACTTAGTCAGAAAAAGGCTCTCTTGACATAAAATTAATACCCGAAGAATAAAAAAAAGGCCCAGTTACACATTAATATAAATATTACAGTATCTAGATTCCTAAATGGTTTTCTGTAGCTGTTTGAGCGAAACAGAGGAGCAGTAGCAGCTCTGAAGCATGCGCCAAGGAATTGCAATACTTTTGCAATGGGCAATACTACACTGATCGCCGTAGAGGGATTGCTTCCCTACTACTAGTGCACCACAAGAGCCTTGGTAGGAGAAATGTGAGTCTAACCATGGTAGCCTATCAGCGCATATCCTAAGAGGACCAAGTATCAGTACTTCACGCGTGATCAAAGTTTGGTTAAGTCCACAGACCCAGTTTACTGTATGCAACAGACATGTTGTTCCGGCCCCTGGTCAAACTTGGTTCAGTGCTCGACCCACAGGTCGCAGAAGTTGAGTCAGCCTTATGATTTATTTCCCTTCCTCCTACGGTGCGGTGTATCTATTTGAATCAAATTGAGTCAAATAAATCAAATCAAATGCTTGGCAAATAACCCAGATCTGTGCTTTCGTTAGATCAAATTAATACTTTGAAATATTCAAGATTATTTTTAATGGAAAAAAAAGTCTGGGCGGACTCCGTCTGGAGATGAGAATCCTCGACAGTCCCTCCTAATAAAACATTGCTGATTAACATTTGACTTAAATCAAATGGGGGTCATGATTTGGTTTCTTTGAACTTTGGTCACAATTTCGCTTGTTTTCACTTCATTTTGACAGATTGGCCTTCGATGGTTACTCCGCAAGGAAAGTTTTGAAGATCCCTGTCCTCCTAGCCCATTCGACATCGTGAGGCTCTGCGAATATGTTTCAAGGGTTACAGCCAATCCCCCGCGTTTCAGACAACTGCTGCTGCTGTCATGTCAACGCTCGCGACTATTGCAGACAATTCACCCAGACGACCTCTCGATGGGTGGTCTCACAGACAAAGTACTCTTTGGGAATCTGTTGAGGAAAGCGATGGCCTTGTCAAATCTTCTAGCGAGCTCTGATCGCTCTAGACTTACTGGCAAATTTACCTCATGACGCGGTTTTAGCTTTGATTCACACGCGGCTCCTGGCATTGGCGGTCGCACCGAACATGAACGAAATCATATTGCACCGCTATGGCATCTTTCGAAGCTCACGGCTTCAACGGCTATCACTCCCACTGCTAAGTGATCGCCCAATACCCAATCCATGCATCACTAGAGGTTTCCAAGCACAATGCTACAGTGTGGCATGTCAGCAACCGAGCCTCGCGAACTCGCTACTCTCACTAAACTATTTCGAAATGCAGAGCGAGGTTTTCCTTCACGCTACCAAAAGCATGGGTGGTATTCGAGAGAAGTCAGTGGAGTTGCTCCGCTGATGCATAGATCTTGGTTAGCTAACGCACCGAAGGGAGCCGCATTACTTGCCACGCCACAGCATCGACACGTCGGTATTCTATATACCCACTTGATCTCCAAGCTGCATATTGCCAGAGCGTCGAGTGCCAAAGACTCCTTTGTCGGATATAAGAAGCCATGGTCAAGTGCATTCCTCTCACTGGTATTCCCTCTATCATCGAGGCCGTGCTGTCTGTGGTGGAAGTAGAGCGCCCTGAATTCAGATCAAGGTTACACCTGCTTGAGGTACATCCATCAATTGTCTACTTCGCATATAGCAAATGACTTCTTGTAGTGAAAACTGGCAAGCCGGCACAGCTAACTATGATCGTGCCCGCAAGATGATCAACACGATCTACTGAAATAATCACTGGGAAGTGAAAGACGGCTTCAAAGCTCATCGAGAAATAGGTCAGCACCAAGCAATTTGTCGGATTCAAGAGAGATCATGACTAAACTCCTTCCGCCACCCGGCCCGGCCTCAGCGGAGTTCTCATATGGCCTGTTCCTTTTGGGGGACCGCGTCTTGAAGATGGTGGAGTCAGAGATGGTCATTTTCCGACTACTCTTTGTCGGAATCCTCGCGGGGCAACATTGTGGCACCAAAGGGGCTGCCTGCGGGTTGGCAGAACCAGAGATGAAGTTGCTTCGATCCAGAGAGTCGCCGAGACAGTTGCGCGATATGGTGGGAGAATTCTGGACAATATCAGAAGTGTGAACGACCTTGAAGACGATCCATATAGACGCAATGATCAATCCACAGAGTCAAAACCCAGTTGTGTGCCCACCACAACACATTGTAAGCTCTCGAGGCTCCGCTTACTGACCGCCAGTCAGACGTTACTCCAGTTTCAAGCGACAGTTTCTCAGTGGAAGTATCTTTCTGTTTGTTTCCTGTGGCGGTAAGAGATAACGTGGCCTCTCCGCGTGTGTTGCTGATATCACTAGCACAAGACCGGAAGCCGAAGGTGAAGGAAAGTGGAAACAGCGTGACTGCTCTCATTCAATCAAAAGAAAGGAATTGAGCTCCTCCCACTGTACAATGATATGCGCATTGCTTCCCGAACATGGAGAATATCCGTTCACCACTGGTGTGCCTCTCTTCAGAAGTCATGGCCAGCGGTTGTGGTTGCGACGCACGGTACATACCCATAGGCACAGAATAATCCTCAGTTGACTATATTCAGGACCGCCGAGTTCACGATTTCTGTAGTCAGACAAGTCCCATTGGCCTGCATTGCAGCAAGTGCTTCTCCAAGAGTTGGATTGGATGGGACATCAAGATCGATGGTCACTGGGCCCGAGCACGTACTCTCAACCGTGATTTCTTTGAATGGAAAGGCTGGACCCGGACTGCTCTCTTGACCGGCAGGAAGTTTCAATTGTTGAATTCCCTGTTCCAATCTAGGAGCTGCTTGGATCATTGTAGTCCCATCCTCAATGATTATCTGGTAATTCATTTCGCATATGATACGACATTAGGCATATCTGCTTCCTACTCTGGAGACTGCTTTTCGAAAGCAAGCCTCTGAAAAAGTCGAGGGAGACCCGCCTTCTGCACCACCATTTTCACCACTCTAGCACACCTAACCCTCTAATTGATATAAGACTCAGCATCAATCTTCTCCACATCCGCTTCTACTGTCGAGCCCGCCAGCCCTGATACCTTTAAGGCATCATCCGGCATAAAGTCTGGCTGGGTAAACAATCTCGCGCCAAAACTCCTCTCGTTGATCTTGCTTGAGTCGGCCAACCTAGACTACATTTTAGGCGTGCATCTGGTGACAGTAAAGGGGTTGCCTCCTACATTCTATACAGATATTACTAGTAGTTTGACCGTTGACAGTGGTGTCACCCTGGCACATCGTAGGACTAAGTTATGCTCCCTAAATGTGAAGCAACGAAGGCGACAATTCGACAGACGCCGTGGAATCTAGTCACCATTCAGGGTGTTCCAGGTCCAATTCCTTACAAGCAAATTGGCAAGAATCTCGAGTAGAAGTAGATTAGCCTCGGAGGAGATTGTAAAAAGGCGATGAGATGCGATTCGTCGTGACTTCACGATATATGCTCATTCCCGATTGGTTCTGCCGGGACCCCTAACTAGTACTCAACTTCTGCTAACAAACTAGCATCACCATTTTTTGCAGATCCGAAAGCCCATTGAATAGCAGTGGCCATCACACATTGCCATGGCCGGAAGAAATGTGAAGACGAAGTCTTCTATGCCGCTGGAAAAATCCATTGAGAGGAAGAATGAATCATTCAATGAGAAGTCTGTGATGTTTGTTTCCTAATGCCCGCAATTGCCAGCTAACCCCTATTTAGGACTACCAGAGCAGAGCCTCGAGCTCCTCCACCTCAATTCTCTTTGCCTTTGAATGTTGCATTCTACCTGTGCTTGCTATCTCACGTCCTTGCTGCGGCTTTTGCACCTATTCAGGATTGTGATGAGGTTTTCAATTATTGGGAGCCCTTACATTATCTTAATCATGGATACGGGCTGCAGACATGGGAGTACTCTCCTGAATTTGCCATCCGGAGTTGGTTCTACATTGTCATCCATGCTATTCCTGCTAAATTGGGACACCTCTTGGGCAGATCAAAGAGCTTTGAGTTCTACTTTCTTCGAACCATGCTGGCCATTGTCTGTGCTGCCACGGAGACGCGCTTGTTCTCAGTCATCTCCCGTACACTGAATCCAAGAATTGGTATCATTTATTTGATTATCGCTGCCTTCAGTCCGGGTATATTCTACGCATCAGTCGCTTATCTTCCCTCGACCTTTGCAATGTATACCTCAAATCTGGGCCTGGCTGCTTTCATGGACTGGCGAAGTGGACCAAAAACAGCTCAAGGGATCATGTGGTTTGGTATCGGTGCCATTGTTGGTTGGCCCTTTTCCGGCATCTTGGTGGCCCCGTTTGTCTTCGAAGAGATCGTTATCTGTCTGTTTACAGGCCAAGGTTACGACACCTTCAGGAGATTTCTCGACGGTACCGTTCGATCTTTAATCGCTTTGGTATGTCATTTCTCTGGATTACCGGCTATTAGCTTACAAGAGCAGGCTTTACAGACTGCCGTGGACATTTTCTTCTACCATGGCTTTATTGTTGTGCCTGTGAGGCTTGTTCTTTACAACGTGCTTAGCGGAGGCGATCGAGGCCCAAACATTTTTGGAACCGAACCATGGGATTTCTACTCGCGTAACCTGCTGCTGAACTTCAACGTGTGGTATCTACTCGCTATTGGTATGGGGCCAATGCTGTTCTTGCAGTATGCTTTCCGTTCTCAAGCGACAACCAAACAGACGTTGCTTAGAACCGTCATCATGATCACGCCGTTCTACATCTGGATGACTATCTTCACCTTACAACCACACAAGGAGGAACGTTTCATGTACCCTGCCTATCCCTTTCTGGCACTAAATGCTGCCATTGGTTTCCACATGATCTTAACCTTCTTAGGGTCAGCAAATCCGAGAGAGCTGGTAGGAAGGATTCCAGTGCAGCTTAAGCTTGCGGTCGCTCTTCTCACTGTTGTTCTCTCCATCAACGTTGGGCTACTTCGAACCATTGGAACAGTCACCGCGTATCGTGCACCTCTGCAGGTATATCGAGCGCTCGAGGCTCCGGGAATGGCAAGACCTGGTGAGACTGTATGTCTTGGTAAAGAATGGTATCGATTCCCTTCATCACACTTCCTCCCCAACGGAACAAGGGCGAAATTCATCAAAAGCAGTTTCTCTGGTCTGTTGCCCGGTGAGTTCAACGAGGCCAAGACAGGTTTTGGCGTCTTCGCGGGGACGTGGCTCGTTCCAGCTGGTATGAATGATTTGAACGAGGAGGATCCAGGCAAATATGTGAGTAGTCATGTCCCTGCCACGTCACTCTACTGACCTTTACAAGGTCGACATAGCACATTGTACCTACCTAGTAGATTTGTACATGCCAGGCTCACAATCAACGAAGTCCGAACCACATTATCTCACGGATGATAAGACCTGGAAGAAGACCTCTTGCGCACCGTTTCTCGACGCATCACGGACTGGCCTCCTTGCGAGAACAATCTGGATCCCAAATCTTCCCATCATTCCGAAAAGGTATCAGCGTCAGTGGGGCGAGTATTGTCTACTCCGGCGTCGATGAGGATTGTTATGATGGATTTATTCACGATATCAGACGACACCTGAATGGGCGGCAGATTGCAATGATGCAGTACAGGACTTCTCACCGATCATGGAATAGCCGATTGTCAAGATGGCGCTATCGCTGGGAAGGGAAATCCTATCCACGAATCTCTAGAACCACGATTGGCGCTTTTACCTTGACCAAGCATTTTGAACGAATTTGGCAAATTTGTGTGGAGATAGTAGTGAGCCAGGGATTGTTGTTCATCCCGCACCCGCTTTCTGGTCTTATAACCCAGTTGTTCCTCAATAGCATACAATAGCCGGACTGGGCAACAACACAGCCAGTCAGACATCCATTGCAAGCCTTCAGAAATGCATGGATCATGTTGTTTTGACGTTCAAGAACTACTTACACTCTAAACGGTCCTGTCGCGTACCAAGCAGAATGTCGATGGCCTTAAAGATGAAGGCCTGCCAGGAATGGCTTCAAAAATCCATCAAGCATGCCATGGAAACATTCTCACCCCATATCAATGATTTAAAGGATCACCTATCGAGTAGCACAAACCTCTCATACCCTCAGGCGCATAAATTCTCCAAACAGCTTAAGGATCTTGCTTCGCATCCTCATCTAAAACAAGTTTCTTATAGCCTTCTCCTTGTTGCTGTCTGCATCTGGATACTAAGTATCCTCGTTACCCGCCGCTGGCTCTCTCGACCGCCCTCGCGTCCCTCTACGCCGTCCCTAGAAAAGGCACCCCCATCATCAACACCTTCCAAACTTAAGCCTGCTACTCGCCAACCCGGAGTATGGACACCATCTTCCTTCGTCACTCCTGTGGCAGAACCATATCCAGGTTGGTCGATCGAGAATACAAAACCGCTCCCATACCGCCCATTTCGTCATGGTCCTAAGTACTTCGTTACCATGGGTCTCCGCTCTCTTCCTTCCTGGTCAGACTGGATTGAGCTGGATAATCACTACCCCCGTTTTCACTCTGACAAAGCCCGTCGTATCGCAGAACGTGGTGAGAAGTGCTGTAAGACGGCGCCCGAGGCATATGATGGTGCTGTTGAACTGCTCGAAGAGTTTGTGAAGTACCTGCCGGCTAGATATCCAAGTTTGTACAGAAGGACAGATAGTGGAATGGATAATCTGTGGTCTGGTGAAAGTTTCAATATTATCGAGAGGCCGCTAAAGGAAGATCCAATGCAAATGGCTGCTCGTATGGTTCAAGACGACCTAGCCATCATGTTCGAAAGGCCCGATGGACAATATTATCTTCTTGCAGGTGCCATTCTTCTCGCCGGATTCTGGCGGCTGGAGGACAAATTTGGCATGCCGCTATCTGAGATCCACACCTCAGGTGATGTACCCCAGTTTCGCGAGAAGCTGGAAAGGGGCATGATGAACTTCTTCAGGAGGGTCAAGCCTGAAGACCCTGTGCTGAGGAACAATTACTTCCTTCAGGTTGATGATGACCTTGCCTGGAGCCATTCAATCGGCTCGGAAGACAGCCCTGAAGTTGCTTGGAGTACCGCCGAGAAAAACAAGGCGATTGAGAATCACTTTTTCCGTTCTGAGCGGCAGTCTCTTCGCCGTCTGCCCAGGTCAGGTGGCGTGGTATTCACAATCAGAACCTATTTCCATCCTATCACGGAGATTGCTGAGGAGGACTATGTACCTGGAAGGCTAGCGAGCGCCGTGAGGAGTTGGGGAGATGATGTATCGAGGTACAAGGGAAGGGAGAGGTATCAGGATGTGCTCCTCGAGTATTTGGATCGTAAGCATAAGGAACAGGTGGAGAGGGGTTTGGATTTGGGTCAAGAAGAGGAGAGGTGTGCATATCCCTATTGAGCAACGGTTATGGATGGAGAAACGTTTGTTGTCCTGGCGTGCCAGTGCTCTTCCACTCGTGAACAGCAGATCCCAATTTGAAAGGCGAGATGCTTGAGTGGCCAACTAAGCCTGCCTCGAAACTGTAGATAGCTTTGCAATAGACTTGACATACTTGTGATTTGTTCTGTGTTCACGACAGTATGTATATGTATATGTGATCCTCGGCTTCGTCGTCGGGTGGGTTACAGGCCTACCCCACAGGCGACCGGGCTCCAAAATCCCCCCATTGATTCAGTCTTTCGAACAAACCTCACGGCTGCCTAACTCGTCTAATACGCTGCGAGCATTAAGCTGAGGGTTGACTGCCAATCATGGTATCTCCGCCGTCCACGATGGTGTCTGCGCACCAGCACATCTATATCTTCACTTTTCCACTGGGTCGAGGCGAGCTAATATGTCATGACGCTCTCCATTCTTGCAACGACTTCAGCAGCTAGCGACTCGCCTCATGGACCATCTTCCACCATGTCACACAATTCGCAGGCAGTCTACAGTGCACATAGCGATGCAAGCGATTATGGCGACTTCACCGTAGACGAGCAGGAGATCCTCAACGGGCTCCTTGCAAACATTACACCAGAGTACACTACCACAGATGAGCCGTTAGAGTTGACAGACATTGAAGACTATGAAGAAGCAAGGGGCGTTCGTCTTCCAAAGACATTGGGCAAAGAGTTATGGACTCCTCCATGGATGCACCAGCGTCCACAGGCCGAAGTCGCACCTCATATTACCGTGGAGGATCAAACATCACGCAACACTGGCTCCGCCACGACGGGTAAATAGGTGTCTTTCAGCATGATGGTTTCGGCGCTGACCTGCTAACCAGCGCCTAGTCGACTCTGCGGCTCAAGAAAGGAGAGCTGATCGCGAGCGTTCTGCATCCGTCGACCGTCAATCCGATGCTTCGAAGCCCGACACACGCTCACCCATTGAGCGTTTTCGCACCAAACCCAAGAAAGCGCTCAGCGTGACGGATCTAGTCAGTCCAGCGTGGTGCGAGCTACAATACTTTTACACGCTCTCAAAACATGGTAAAAAGCGCGCCACGCCTGCGATGAGGCAGGGGACGAAAGTACACAAGAAATTGGAGGATGAGGTCCACACAACTGTACCAGTAGAGATCACCACGAAAGAAGATAGTTGGGGGCTGAGGATCTGGAACATTATACAGGGACTTCGAACGTTGCGGGAGACAGGCAAGACGCGCGAGCTCGAGGTGTGGGGTGTGGTTGATGGAGAGATTGTCAATGGGGTTATTGATGAGCTAAGCTACGAGTGTCAGGACCCTGTATTTGCAGAGCAGGAAGCTCAACGGCTAGCCAAAGGACGAGAAGCAAAGGACGAATTACCTGAGAACCAAACAAGCATAGTTGACTACTTGCTATCGTCTACTGGCGGAAATGGCAAGACTTTCAGCCAGCTAGGTACAGGGATAGAAAAGAGCATGGAGCCACCTTCGATTTCTCAACCTGTCAACAAGAAGCTACAGCACCCCAGACAGGAGGACAAGAAGATTTATATCACCGACATGAAGACCAGAAGTGTCAAATCGCTCCCATCAGCCCTAGCAGCCCGTCCCACGGAAATACAACTGCAGCTCTACCATTCCATGCTCAACTCCCTTGCCCAAGACAAAGTGCCACTCTCCACTTTCGCAGAACGCTACAACTTCGACCCAGCAGTCCAGTTCTCCGATTCTTTCATTACCCAGGTGGGAAGTCTAAACGAGCAGTTCTTCGACGCCATCTCCTCACAACCCCAATCCGATGATACTGCTACCGGCGCAAGCGACATCCCAGCCTCAACCCAGGATTCGATCGACATTCTCCTCAAACACAACACCATCCAATCCCTTTGGAGGTTCATGGTATCCCAATTCCAGGAAACGCTACTCCTTGGTCCGATAACCTCTTCCTCCTCCTCCCTCCCCTCCCCGCCACACAGCGAGACCGATCTCCCAACCCGCCTGTCCCCGCTGCTAACAGCATCCTATATCCACTCCTCCACTCATACACACCTTGGTAACAAATTCTTCACCTACTCCCCCTCCGACCTCTCAACCTACATCTCCGACGAGATGGCCTGGTGGCGAGGTAAGAGGAAAGCCCGGGGCGTGGAGATCCAGGAGGTCAATGCGAAGTGTACGCGATGCGAGTTCCTGGCGGAGTGTGAGTGGATACGCGACAAGGAGAGGGAAGTTAGGGAGAAGAAGAAGACGGCAGACTGACTGTCTTCCTTGTAGGTTGCGTAGAGGGTGATAGAAGAACTAAGAAGCAAGCAATTCTGGAGAATCAGTGTCTGGTCACCGGTTTACAAAGCCTCTTGCAAAGTTGGCCCTCCTCACATGTAGATTGACTGGTTCTTGGGGTAAAGCAACCATTACGCGTCTGTTGACACCCTTGCTCTTCTTCCCTGTATGTAGGAGTTCTTTCCACCCTACGAACTTCTACGCACAATCGCGGGACTCATAACTAGTCATGATTTGACCTATTTAGAGCGTCATTGAATTATATATACTTTACCTTCCAGAACACTGTTGAGTTTGCTCAAGCCACGCTCGAGCTGCCATCTAGGTCTAAGTGCCAGCACTTCCGCTGATTCTATGTGTGAGGGCTCAGCTGAGTCAAATCCACCGAGTAGTGGACTCGGGGTAGCACAGCGCAAGGCCTTCTACGGTCGTATACAGTATTTTGTCATGTTAATATTATATTTATTGGTCTCAAGCGCGGACAAGCCACGTATCTTCCAACAGAAACCCCACTCTTTCCTCGGAGTTTACAGGAGATGCTTAATATAAGGACTCCACGACAAGGGAGGGATGTTTTAGCGAAATCTCTTACAACATAGACTTTGATGCTCTCTTTCGTGATGCGTATCAAAGGTTGACCCGGACGGAATTTTATTACATCGAGCAGAGAGAGTCCGCCAAGGCCGTCTGGCCGGTGCACAAGGAAACGGATGGGGAAGTAGAATGGGAAGCCAAAGCTCTCTGACAGCCGAAGGGTACACCTGACCAGATTCCACATGGTATAGAAAGGCTCAACCGGTGTCTCCGTCTTGTTGTACACGGAGGACAAGTAGTCATGATTTGGTAGCATTTCACTGCGGAAGTGCGTTCGGATCGGAAAGACCCCGTGATTAGCCTCTCCACTGGGGTTTGAAGGTAGTAAGTCTAGGATTGAAAACATGTTCGATGGTCGAGTTGATCTCGAGGTAACTACGAAATGAGTTCTCTGGCGCCAGTTGCAGACTCAATGACACCAGGTTTCCCATGCATCGAGTTGCACAGATATAGAGTAGAGGTTCCAGCAGGGCCCAAGCGGTGTGAAGCGTTTCCATCAGCTGAATTGTCGGAACACAACCTGCGGAAATACTATATCACATCTTCGCTGGTAGTAGCCGCTGCCGGTTATGCCTCCTGCTCAACCCACTCACTCATCAACGTTGCCATCGGCTGTCCTAACCACCCTGACCCCCTCGCATCTATTCAAGTAGCTCAAATAGGATGTCTGCCACAGCTTGAGCAGACTAACCACGCTCCTGGCGAATATGTTCTGTATCCTTCTTCTAGCAACACTGCCTATGTCATCTCCAGAGAGTAGGGGCTTGCAATCCCAGAAAAGTAGGTATTCAAAGACTGGCGTGAAGACCACATGCTGCACGATGATCTTAGTGGCTATGGACTGAAAGTCGCAAGATGCCTCAATGTTCGCTTGCCATCGTAAGCCTCACCGCCGACGCCTGTGCTAGCTGATCCCCGATTAAAGTATACAAGAAGCAAGCCGCATAACTGAGCCCGGTAGGGAGGGTTCTTGCTTTGTGTGATGCCACAACATAGACTTGATGGCACATCATTTAGATCTGTTTCGCGATGTGAAATTTGTCTGGGTGCCATGGCGGGAATGATTTACACACGATCAGTGTCTGTTCTTCCAAGTGCTGTGAGATGTGACGTTCTCGGGTTTTTGGAAGATTCGCTGCGTCCGCCAAGGCCAGAAATTCGGACCTTGAGGCTTTCACACCAGCCCTCAAAATTCCAGCTCGGTTAACATATCTCAGAGTCTTGTGCGTAGGAGTGATAGACTGGCGATGGGGACAGAGTGGCTACACATCATTTAAGATGCATCTTTGCGAACTGTCATGTGCAACACAACCCCATCCGCAACAGAAATTTGATATGGAATCCAGCCCCTAAACTATTGCTACTGGGGAAGTGTTGCGCATGTCAATTGGGTACGTTATTAGTACTTTGGCTTGAGGTCTTCATCGTGTTACTTGAAAGTGGTAGAAGAAAGGTTACGGATAAATGGATGGTGCATGCAGCACACTCTACAGCGTAACTTACATGCTTAACCATGGCATCATCGTCGTGGAGACTTCGGCTGTGCATGGGTTCGATGAAGAACCATAGTCTCCCAGACATTTAAACCGCAAAGTACACCATTAGAAAGTTCAAGCCGGAGGGCATCTTGAATCTTGAACGTTGACTTTCGTGCTGAATCCACACTGATCGAAAGGGCGGAGTATATTGGAAATTATTGAAACAAGGGTGCAGTAGGATGGGAAGCACGGGTGCCTCAAGGGCTTTGCGACTGAGACATTATGGGTGCTTGCACTGGGCCCTAGAGATCACGTACTAATGAGAAAGATGCTATTGAACAAAGACGTGATTGTATTCAGCGTCTAAAAATCAAGCAGCAGGCCTGTCCTGCACCCAGATCAGAGTCATGTCTGGTAATGTACACCGCAAGGACGCCAATTCCCTGCCGTAAAGCCATTGAGTTTGATGAGCTAAAGCTAAAGCATTGAGAGAAACCATTCCATCGCCGTGTGAGAATCATGAGCACCCAACCGTCCCCAGTAATGATCATCCAGACCTTCCCATGTGCCTGTTGCTTGCAGTTGAGTTCATGTCGAGAGAGTCGATAACCATGTGAAAGCCAACATCATCTAAGATCGTTCACCACGCAGGCGGCGAGCGAGCTGGATGTCTTTGCTCTGGATGGTGACACGCTTGGCATGAATGGCGCACAAGTTGGTATCCTCGAAGAGCGAGACGAGGTAAGCCTCAACGGACTCTTGCAGAGCACCGATGGCAGATGACTGGAAACGCAAGTCTGACTTGAAGTCTTGAGCAATCTCACGGACCAAGCGTTGGAACGGAAGCTTTCGGATCAGAAGCTCGGTAGATTTCTGGTAGCGACGGATTTCCCGGAGAGCGACGGTACCTTTGAAACGGTTAGTTGCAAGCTTGGAGACGAGCCTTCGGATGATCTTACCAGGCTTGTATCTGTGGGGCTTCTTGACACCACCGGTGGAGGGAGCGGACTTGCGAGCGGCCTTTGAGGCGAGCTGCTTGCGAGGGGCCTTGCCACCAGTTGATTTACCTGTAGATATGCAAGTCAGTCTCGTGGAACGAAAGTGCAATGAGGTGTTGGGTGAAATTCAGTTGAGGTTCAGCGGTGTCGCAGGTATTGGTCAATAAAAACCAAGGCGCGCGACCGTGAAACAGGACTGACGGCAGCGACGATGAGGTTCAAAGTGATGATTACTTACGGGCAGTTTGCTTGGTACGAGCCATTGCGAATGACTGTGATGAAGATGATGAAGTTGTTGTTGTTGTTGTTGAGAATGGAGATGGTTGGTTGGTGGAGATGGCGATAGTGGATGGTTGTAAATGGAAAGGTTGAAAGTGGGCGGTAGGAGGATATTTGTAGTGGCTGGCACGGGCTGTTGGTTGATCTGGCAGGTTGCAGGGCACCTTGTGACTGGACTTGATTTAGCGTTGTTTTACTTGTGCAAAAAGCGTCTGGAAATCAGATCAAAATAAGCCCTGATTTTGCACCGCCAATTTGCACTGCAACGAACATCAAAATCTTGCCAAGGATCGAGAAGCGGCTAGTGTCGTCTGCAACGGGAGGCTCTGATACAGCCAATCATAATCTACGATCCTTGACGCTGCAGCACCATGATCTCGAAGAACAGTAGATAGAATCAGCTACCTAGAACAGTAGCATTTTGCTTCAATGACTCATACTGTGGTTTAATGCTAGTCTAATCTTTGATCCGCGTGGTTGCAGTGAATCATTGCGTTTAAATTGTGCAGTTTGTGTATTCAGCTGGTTTCTGCCAGATCAGATCAAGGTTAAGCTCATTACACTGTGATTGGCCCGGTCGGTGCTAGCGCAGTTGATCCAGATGGGACTCGCTCCCTGACACAAATACCTCGCACCACTACTTCAACCCGCCAACTTATCCTCCATCCAGAATTAGTATCATCCACTACCTCCAAGTCTCACCACACTCCATCCATCTCCGACGTCAACTCCATATCAAACTACTTCTAGCTCTTTACCCTTCTCTCAAACACAACCTTCCATCAACATGACTGGACGCGGCAAAGGTGGCAAGGGCCTCGGCAAGGGTGGTGCGAAGCGACACCGCAAGATCTTGCGAGACAACATCCAAGGTATCACCAAGCCAGCCATTCGACGTCTCGCTCGCCGTGGTGGTGTCAAGCGTATCTCAGCCATGATCTACGAAGAGACCCGTGGTGTTCTCAAGACCTTCCTTGAGGGTGTCATCCGTGACGCTGTCACCTACACTGAACACGCAAAGGTAAACATTGCCGTTATCTTTCGATACCCTTTGAGATCAATGACTCACATGGTCTGCAGAGAAAAACTGTCACATCCCTCGACGTTGTCTACGCCCTGAAGCGACAAGGCCGAACCCTCTACGGTTTCGGTGGCTAAGCACCCACCTGTGTCCCGTCACAACACGCCTGTGCTTCACACCCTCTTACGACCTCAACCTATCCTACTGAGCTCGGCCATCCGTCGACAATGGTCTTTGTCTTTTCTTGCAATCTGGAGTGGAAGGATGGATGGTGGGCATGGGAATGGATCGATGCTCTCTGCTTTTTGAACATCATCAATCATGTTTGTTTATGGTTTATTATTGCTGGTGGGCAATCAACATTGTACCATATCCGCTAGGCGAGGCTGGGTTCTGCACCTTGCACGATGCAATCAATGAAATGACTTGAAGCCAAGCTATTGTCTTCGTTCCTGCTTCCCTCGTGTGACCGACTGTTGGTTGTTTACCACGGTTGTTCCGTCGGCGCGTCCTGTCCAGGCGTGACAGCCATGTTGTGCGTTCCCCCCACATCAGCGTTTTTACTACGTGCTTCAATGGAAAAATGCAATTCGCCAGCTGCCACCTTCCCGGCACCATTAGCTCTTCATGGGAAGGCCCAGCAGCACATGTTTACAGCCATATCATTGCAAATTTCCAGGGTAGAATGTGTCACCGAAAATAAGAAATGCCCGCCATTGAGAGTAGCTTTCCCATGCTGGTCCACCCGAGAGGAAGAGAGGTTGTGGCTGTCATACCGCACGCTTGTTGTCTTTCCACGATAACGAAGTTTACTGTCTCGAGTCATGATAAATTCGCTCATATGTCTATTGTGACACGGCTCCAATTCAAATACTAGACGCTCTATCTCTGGGCGTGCTGTCTTCATCAACAATGCCGTGGTAACTACATGATAAGATGAACTCTAGGCGTGGGTTGGGAAGTACACCCAGTAGCACGCAGTGCAGAACAAGGCGTGTACAACCATGGCCGTATGAGGAAAGTAGGGGTGGTCATTCTTGCTGGCAATTATTGGGACTTGTTTTGGGGGGGGGGATTGCTGTAGGCTTGTAAGACGATGGTGTTGCTCAGGGGGTCGCGAGATGCCACGGTCTGAGATCTGAGGGACGAAGAGTTACTGATTACCTGGAGCGTTCTTAGTACTTAGATGAGGAATTGGTGCTAGCTGTAGGAAGGTACCCACGCGCATCTGTTTGCAATGGCCCTGGGTAGCAGGGCGTTTGGTACGTCCCTCACCTTTGAAATAAATATTTAATTCATAACGCTCGGCCACAAAACCCAAACCCCAAACCCACCATCAACAACACACCCATCAGAGATGCACGGCACATATCGGTGCACTAGGAGTTGCATTGCAGACCTATTGTCTGAGTTGCTGGGACTCGAAGTTGTTCGTGATCTGACCGTGTACAAATTACAGCCGGTTGGATGAAAAACCCCAAGCCTGTTGACGTATATGGTTGCCATGAATGCAAGGTTTATATAGGACCAGGGTTGAGTATGAATATATCGTAAAGTCATACCATCGTCGTTTTGGATCTATACTGCCCAGGTTTTCCAGACCTCATCCTCTTGTAATCGCGCTAGATCATCAGCCTGCAACCTAATAATGACCTCTATAACATCCTGCCCACCCCCACTGTGTTGAGTTCTTCTCCTTGGCAGAATTATACAGAGACCATCGAATTCCGCATACGACACCCTAACCAGACCTGGCCGTCCCAAGTACTCGCCAAAATCGGCCTCGTAAGTATTGAGATTCGCCCAGCTGGTAATACTTAGATCTGGACCGTGGTAGAAATTCCAGCCTGGGAACAGGCTTCTTATGTCTTCCAGCTGATCGACGATCCCCACAACTTCACCTACATGCCGACTTGAAATCCGGTCTGACGATGTAGATGCCGCCACGGCTTCGAAAACCTCGATCATTTCCCTGGGGGGGATGGCACCTGAGATTTCTTGGGTGGCTGCGCAAGATGTGACCTTGTTAACCTGTAGTTCCGTGAGGGCGTACATGTTAACGTTGCTTAGATAGTTCTTGTTGGCGAAGCCAGCCCCAAGGCGTTGACGCCCGTTGACGGCCATCCCGAGCCGGCTCTTCTGGATGGCATTGGTGCCAGCACGCGCACAACGAACTCGAGTGATGCACGACCACAGCAAAGAGCTTACAATCATGTTCGTTGTAAGAAAAGGCATCGAGCCTGTCAAAGTTTGCTTGGTTGCCTCAATCTTCTCAAGGGTTACTATCAGTAACTTTGACGTACAGGCTGGAAATTGGCTTGGCATGGAGGGAGGAGTCATGGTGTATTCTGGGTGATTGGCGAGAAGTGATTTCAGATCAGTATCCACGTCCTGATGATGGAGCTCCTTGCCAGAGTCCAAGGCTTGGCGAAGTCGAGGCTCTCTGTAGAGTGGTTCATCTGGGTCCAAGAGCGTCGCTGAGGCTCTCTGGACACCCTTCGTATTCTGAGCAATCAAATCCAACAAGTCGCCGAAACCGACCCCGTCCATGACGTTGTGATGGACGGCAATACTTAGGAAGATTCCTCCTTCAAGTTCTCCCACGCTTGCAGCTAGTACTGGATTCTTCTTACCCGGGGTGGAATGATCACTCGCACTCCTGACGGGACAGAGGTCATCCTTGAAGGTCGAAAGCGAAATTCCACGCGATATCATGACCTCGTAGGATAGATCAAGCCGAACCTTGTGAGAAACTTCCGGGGTAGGAAGATTATCCGACCAGGCAACGGCGAGGTGGCCTCTCTGATTTGCTGGTTGATATACATATCCCTTAAGATAACTTATATGCGCGCAGGTCTTTCCCAATCCCCTCTTAAAGGCATCGATGGCCAAGCTGGCTGTATATGTCTTAAAAATGAGAAAGATCCGAGTGTAAACACGGGGCATCAATTGGTCTAAGGGAGAAAGCAAGACATCGTGATGACCGGACATTTCAATACCGCTTTTAGGTATGGGGGAATTCAGACACGGGGAGATGAGATGGAGAGATAGCCTGGGAGAAACTACATCTGGGGGCAAAGACAGAAGCTTAGAACGCGAAAAGAAATGCCCCTCTTAACGATCGCGACCAGCAACTTGCCCTGACATCGTTCCATAGTCTGGCCAATATGGTCAACAACCACACCGCCCCCTTGAGCAATGGCTTTCTAACCTCTGTGCCTTATTGGGTTTTAAATATGCCCAGTATGCCGCAGGAGGGGAATCAGAGGGTGAAGAAGTGAGTCAGGAAAGGGGCTACATGGGGTCCGGAGGTCCAACAATCCCCCCCGCGGTTTTACTTAATTCTTAAACCATACCTTAATTCCTCATCAACACTACACAAATAGCCATATTCTTCACCTTCCCAATAGTACAGGTTGCTACAGATCGTGACCACAGTGGATCATCCACCTCGAATACAAGATATAGGAGCTCTTCGTCGACATCGCTGTTTGGGACATATTGGCAGCATGTTTGGTGTGGTTATAAATATCCATGCGGCCTCAAGCACCAGTTGAACCACCTTTCAGTAATGCAAGGCATGTATTTGGTACAAAGGAGATGGCATACATCACTTGAGAACATTTAATCTTGACGATGATAGATACAATATCTTGCTCCGCAGCGTATCCCGTAACGTCGGCGAGATAACTAGCACGGAAGAGCTCATCAGCAAGTCTACACTATTGTGTAGATACATGACTGAGAGCTGGGAGAAGTCATAGTCGGGATGCCAGAAACATTTACCCACCAGCAACACCAGCCCAAAGACATGGTATGCCACGAGGAAGAGGGGACACAGACGTTGCAACAGGCACGTAGGGATCGGGAAACGCCATATTTGGAAACCATACCCATGCTCTTCGAAGCGTACAGCGCTCGTCGCACGCTCCTATACCCAGGCGGTGGAAAAAGGAAAGGGCAGCCCACAAGATATCGGCTAGAACAGACACCGGTAGGAGGAGGAGCACCAAAGGAAAAAACCACTCAAACACATTTGGAGACTTCAGATATCTGTAGTCAATGAGGATGCCTGCCAGCTCGAACAGTCACGAGGCCAAACCGGAGAAAGATCCCGCAGCTCAACCTACAGGTGCTCGCTTTCTACTGGTAATTATACCATGTTAGTGCACCCCTCACAGATGGAACCGCAAGCACACCTAGATTCCTGGTACGCATGTCAGCTACCCACAGAAGGCCTGCATCTACGAAGTGGAAGTGCCCCAGGAGCAAGACACAACTGCGCCGACCGGCCGGAAAAGCTCTTCCCCGGTTACATGCATTGATAGGTAATCATTCTCGTGATGCGATACTTGTCCGGGTGAATGGCAACAAGGGATTAGCTGATTCATCAAGTAACATGATAATGTTCACTGGAGTAGTGCTATTCTTGCATAAAATACCTCACGCTGGACTTACTCGGGTATGGCCGAAATAGGAAGGTGAACATGAGGTGTTAGTTGTTCCTCTACCAGGCGGCTACCTTTGTTGCGTCTATTTTCATATCTCAGCTTTGTAGCACATGGCAAATCGGTTGCTAAGGCCATAGCTCCAAACTAGTAAGTAGCAGAGATTTCATGGCAAGAGAACAAATTAGGAACGATCAGGACGATAGAATCCCTAAAAATACAATGCCAAGTAAGCAGAGGCTTTCGTTAGGAAGATCTCGTTGCTCCTAACCATCTGTGAGGTGCTTGTACTATCTCAACAACAACAAAACCCACCGCACGGAACCGTCCGATGGAACCGTCCGAGCGAACCCAGCCCCGAGCATTTGCCATAACACAAGGGACACATCAACCACTCCACCAAAAGAACAGCGCTAATGGGTTTTTCGAACCACACTTAGTTGATGTATCCTTCCCGACAACGATTGCCGCGAGACGCCAAATCTCAGCTGAACATGCTATGTACAGTGGATTTGTGTCGCAGTCAGTTAGATAGAGTACATTGGGCAGCTAGTGTATTTGTCAATGCACGAATGGTCTGACATGTGAAACCACTTACCTGAGATTGGATGGTTGATAGTACTGCAAGCCTGCGAAGTGACCTAGTCCAAGTCGGCCAAGTCAAGTCGGCCAAGCCAATAAATGCTGAGAGTCATATCCGGATAAATTTTGAATATCCATAACCAGGCATGGGTTTCTTGACAAATCAATTGTGAGAACCAGGGAAAATGTAACTGTCGTATGCCGGGAAGATGCCGGGAAGATTGCCGAGATGTCTGGGCGGATACATTTGGCTGGATCCTGGATAGCGGCAGATGTATCTAGACAAGCGCATAACCGGAATGGGAAAAACTATGCTTCCGCATCAATGCACAGCCTCATCGATCTAAACTTTCTATCCTCCCCGAGTGGCCTGTCCTCATTTAGCCGGAATTTGTACCTGCATCCCAGTGGAAACTTGATCTAGATGAACCTTAACGAGGCTGCGCAAGAACGCTAGTTACCATTACAAGCAAGCTTAATCCGTCTATCAATTAGGTGTCTGGAATCACTTGTCGAAGGTAGCTGATGGGTTCAGCAGCCTAAGCCAAAATTGTCGCCTTCCGCGCAGGACAAACTTGACCAGATGACTACTGTAGTGCGTATCGACTTGATTCATCATCGCGGCCAGCGCCGTAGAGCGTGTGAGTAACAGGGGCTTTGACAAGTGTGTACTATGTGAGAGTCACCGACGGGTGTTAAGCACGGTAATTATGGAGTGTTGACAGGACAGGGCAGGTCACATGGTTGAGCATGAAGACTACTAGCTAAACAATCAACAGCATAGGCTCCGATTGCCGAAAGGTTTACTTAAGTCCGGTATGACCGACCACCAATCATGCAAGTTGGGTCTGAACTCTTTATATCATATCATCTGATGCAAAGAGCTTTCTGTAATGAACGAATGCCAAGGCTCCAATCCGGAGACAGCCGCATGGGCTGGATCTGTGGCTGAGTAGTGGATGAGAATGATGCGCTTAGAGAAAGAAGCCTAGGAACGGTTCTCGCTGATGGCTTATTTTTGGGTAGGCTCTTTGGTGCAACGTGAAAAAATTATTGCATAGCTACCGTAACGCTGGGAGGATGGAAAGAGAAATTGGGTCCAGGGCTGATGGCTGGGATATGCAACGTGGTACTACGTACTAGTATTACGTGGGGTGGGATGTGGCCCACTGCTGCAGGCATCAACCAACGAAATAGCGATCCGTCTCAACCGCGAATGTCTAAGGTTTTAGGCCCGTTACATGGCATATCGACCTCGGCCTATGCGCGAAGCTTGGGCTGTTCTAGAAGAAAGAAGTGCATCGGTTAGCCGAATCCCTGTTGGTTGGTAAAAGCCACAGCCGGAGCCTACCCCCTTTTTGGGGAGGACAAGGCCCATCAGAGCTGGCACCACTGCAAACCCTTGCACGAGACGTAATTCGACGTCATTTGCAAACAGGGTCCAATGTCGCTTTTCATTCAAAGAGTTCAATACTTTCCAGCATTAACAGTAGGCCCTGCACACTGCAATATCGAAGCAGAAAGTACTCGAGTATGTTGTGTTTCCGTGCCTAAACGGGGCTTAAGAGTATAATCAAGTGACTATCTACAAATTTCCCGCCGAGGCCCGGGTCAACGCGTCATTAGTCATTCTTTGACTCTCTTCGACTGCTTTCCACGTTCCCGGACTCATTCATGTCATCAGCCCTCCACTTCGCCGAGCTTAATTTCTAGTCCATTCATACCATCGCATTGCATATTTCAACTCGCTGTTCGCCACCCGCCTTCTATTCGTAACCACAATTACCATAGCAGTCTTAACGCGACCAACATACAATCCTACCACTAATAATGCTTCTGCACTACCCTCAGCAATACGACCACCACGTGTTACCCACTCATTATCAATCATACGATACATCTTCGAATCTTCCTCTTCGCGTGTCGAATCTGCCTCTCTCTACCTCCGTTCATCATCCACAGCGACCTCTGCAGTCCGCAGAATATTCGATGCCGGCGTCCCAACGGTCATCGAATCCGACTGTTCGCATCCATCAATCAACTCCTCCACCTAGAAGCGGATCGCAATCGAACGATAATCAGTCGATGTTGGCGCAGGGCGCTTACCTGGGCAGTGGTTGGGAAAGCGAAGGATTTCCAAGCAGTGGTTACCTCGATACTCCACCGCGAAAGAGTGGCAAATATCACAAAAGGCTTTCATCTGCGTCTTCGATCAATACAACGGGTCCACCTTCACCACACGACCATACGTCGCCCTTTTGCCAGATTGCCAATAGTGATTCGTCACACTTTTCGCCTCTGGAAAACTTTGACTGCCTGCCAACGCCACACCAAAATCACTTCCCCAAGTCGCTGCCTACCCCAGTCGGCACCCCTACATCCAATAACTTCATGCCGCCAGGCTACCAAAATGTCGCGGCTTCGCAAGACAATCACAAATACGCGAATTCGGCAATGCGAAGGATACATTCGACCAGTGGTGATGAGGACGCTGCTTTGTTTGCATACTCTGGACCGCAGTCGGTATCCAGTATGAGTCATGATTCACCAGCCACACCGCATACAAATTACGATCCAGAGTACGACGAGAAGAATTTTGGTCGAGGTGAGAACGACCACACTAGAATCAACAGGTGGATGGACGAGTACTTATTTCTTGATGCAGGCTATCCTCACTCAGCAGCCTTCAGCCAGGCTATGCAGGATGTATTCCCAGACCAACCCTACAACACACCTACCTCTCAGACCTTCTCTCAGCAATCACAGCCGAACATGCCGCACTCCAGCAGTCACTTATCTCCCTACCGAAACATGAATGTCTTTGCCAGCCGATTGCAGGCAGCGAATCAAGACCACATGACTCAGCGGACAAGCTCTCCGGTGATGTCGGTTACCAGGGAGCGGTCACCGTTTAAGCCTTACAATCAGATGCAGGAGCTGAGCAATGAAGCGCAGCCTCAAAATTTGATGACGGCAATGACGCAGGCTATGGTGGAACAATCTCGAGCGACGAGTGCGCCAAAATCGGTTTCGCCGAAAGAGCTGATGCTTGAGGATCCGGACATGGACGAGCCTGATAGCACACCACTCTTCCCGGCGGAATTCGATCAGTCTTCAAACGTCACGAGTGGCAGACCTGATGCAAATGTGCCTGTCTTTTCCGACCAGAGTGGCGTGTACGACCGACAGTCATACTCTGCGGCTGCGGCTCCGGCTCAGGTACCACAACAATATCCGTTTGTGCGGGATAGGCGACGACAGCCAACTAACCTGCAAAATGATGGCGATCAAGTTCCGGAATTCCCCGCTCACATGGTGTCAATGGAAACCACTGTTGAGGAAGGGCCATCCGAACCTTCGTCGAGCCAGCAATCGAGCCACCAACCACCGACGCAACGAATTGCAAGACCTGCTGACACGTCATCGGACTCTGGTACCTACACATGCACTTATCATGGATGCACGCTTCGATTCGAGACTCCTGCTAAGCTACAAAGGCATAAGCGTGAAGCGCACCGGCAGACTTCGCCGACCGCCGGGCCCGCTTCTGCACCCGCCGGACCTGCCAATCTCGGGCTCCGCAACTCTCAAGCTGGACCACACAAGTGCGATCGGACAAATCCATCAACCGGAAAACCGTGCAACTCTATCTTTTCTCGTCCATACGATCTTACGCGTCATGAGGACACTATACATAACGCGCGAAAGCAGAAAGTACGATGTCATCTATGCACCGAGGAGAAGACGTTCTCAAGAAATGATGCCTTGACCAGGCACATGAGGGTCGTGCACCCTGATGTCGATTGGCCTGGCAAGACAAGGAGAGGAAAGGGAAGGGATTGATCCATTGGGTTTTTACAGGCTTTGGCTTTCACATCTTGCTTATATCATGCTTTTTAGCAAGCGATTCTTACATTCTGTTGCACACGAGCCAAAAAAATCTCTTCTTAACGACTACTGTCTGCGAATTGCTTCAAGTTTTCTTTTGTTCAAAGCCCACTTCTCATACTCTAGCATAATGTTGACGAACTTTACGGGATGGCGTGAGCACCAGGAATATTTGCTGGTTAGCCCAAGATCTGCATGGTTACGTCGCTCACCAACGGACGTTGAGCTGGTACATTTCATTTGTTTTTAGTTCGTCGTGATGTGGTCACGTTGTCATACGTTTTTTTGATTGCATTCCTGCATCCTTCTTGTTGGGGGGATCTGAGGGCAACCAACATTTCCCTGGCGCTTACCTGTACTATAATTGGGCCAGGGTGGTGATGTGTGTCCTCCATAATAAATAGACATGTACTTAGTTTCAACACGAAAATAAATTAGACGGTGACTGAACATCTGACGCGTCCCCCCGCGGGATAATTGATTTCAAGAAGAGCCCGTTATTCGGACAATATGCCGCTTTTACGGCATTTCCCACCTTGGGATGGGATGATGCTAAGATTACGTAGTATGTTTTTTCCGGTTGCGATTTCGGCTTGGCGGATGGGGGGGAAATATTCGATCGAAATATTTACTCCGTGTTCATGCGGGGGATTTTCCTAACCCCATTCTTGTTAACTCCAAACTACGTACACATTCAAGGGAATTTTTGGGCCATTTTCGAAATGATCGTCATGAACTACGTAGTAGGTTTGTCTTTTTCTCTCTGTGATGTATTCCATCCCACGTTGATTCTTTTGCCGCGCTGGGCTCCCTCCCCTGTCTCTTTTCCTTCCAGTATTGAGTTCGTTGTTCTTGCCGATTGATTCTCCTAAGTTGCAGACAGGAGGCACACTTCCTCGGTCAGATTTTCGTGCGGTCCGGCTGTCTTCTGACCAGCGATCAATTTTCGTGCAAGTTCAGGCGGTAAACTAGCCTAACTAGGTAATCGGCATTTGTGCCCGTCTTTTGGTAAGGAAGGCCGTGGTATTGTTGTTGGATTGAGATGGTCAGTACTACGTAGCATTATGCCTCTTGGATCACGTCGTTTCTGCATCTTGGTACGCCAAGGAACCCGTTCATCTGGCTGTCTGTCGGGAGTTTGTCAGCAGGATGGCGGATCATATGGCCTTTCAATTGATTAATCCTCTACCGATTTTTGGAGCTTTTGGTATGCGCTCGTCGTGTGACGCCGTCTTAGTCAGTGGGAGGGAAGCTAGGTGGCTTGAAGGAGGGCCCAGAGGATTTCGGTGGGGGGCTGTTATGGATTCTCGAGGTCAGAAGGGGGGGGAGGGGGGAACAAGAATGCTCGGAAACTGTGGCGCCTTGTACATGCCAACGAATAAATGCGTACTATATGCAATCCATTCTGGTGTGGACTGCATGAGGTACATGATGTGTGGCATCAAAGGCCGGCTTCCCGTGGTACAATATGTCGAACGCAGAGCCTGGAGGAGCTTTGTTCGCATAAGCTCCTCAGAATTAGGATTGGTCGGAGTGCCCGATATCCGAAACATTCCGCAAACATTCAAAAGGTCAATTGAACGGATACAACATAATTATGCACGGTGCCTAACACCTAGCTAGAATCATTAGTAATATATAGCTCTCGTAAAATTATGAATGACTTCAAAATGCAAGCTATCGAGGCATATCACGAGCCAATCAGTTGTTCAGTAACGTGGCCGACTACCACATCCCATTTTACAACGGTTTTAGTGTCGCATTCTCCATTCACACTTGAAACTCCTAGGCCACTAAATTCAGCTGGTCACCATTCTACAAATATTCATCAACACTGGTACGTAGATGGCCAGAACAAACACTGTCTGTTTACATGATGCACTAGTGATCAACCCATTCCATTTCCAAAACAATGTGAATACGATAGAAATATATGCACTGAGACCTAAAACGCCAAGTAACTTCAGTTGCCAATGGGGGTGTGATGCAGATGGGAGTTGGCCACGTTGTCAATACATCTGTCTAGGACAGAACGTGGGAGCATCTCTATTTCCGACTGGCATTCTTCCCCAGCCAGTACAACCCTTTTCAAAGAATGCATTCGTGGTCCGCCAAGCACCTTTAACTTGTCGGTTCGAACACAGACCTCAATCTATCCTTCCGCCTGTCGCGGCAAGCTGGATTCACGGTCTACCCCCATGACCAAGTGGCCTACTAGTATCTCGGCCCAATAGCTCGTTACCCGTTACCTAGATGCCGAGAGGAGCGCAACCAGTCCTCCACACCGAGTTGCAGGTAGGTACTAGTTAGGTAGGTCCTGTGGCCGTTCTCATATGAATATCGGTCTTCTCAACTTCGGCCCCGTACAGTGAGTGGACTTGCAAGTCAGGAGTGATCCCGTCCATCTCCATCTTCCAAGCAAGTCATCCGATCACCTCTACCAGAGAGAGGTAGAGGGGCCCCATTCCGTAGGCGCCAGAGATACTTACCACCGTTAACCCAGGGGGTCTGTGCATACTAGTACTGGTCAAGCCAATGATATTTTGTAGAACGGATAGAAGAAATGGGCTCTCTTCTTTTTCTCAAAAGGGCGGCGCGCAGAATTAGGTACCAAATGCAGCGAAATTGCGGCAGAAATCGACCAATCAAAAGCAGGGATTTTCGCGTAGAAATAGCGTCTGACATATTTACTGTCCGCCAAGACACATCCATCTCATCAATCGTTTTCTGTTTCAGTTCGTCAAGTCCTCAGTGCCGCTGACAAATCCGTTCTATCTGGTGTGATAGAGCCTTCCTCATATGGTAAGTACTAGTACCAACATGTCGATCTCCAAATGAAATTGGCCATAAGATAGTAGTAGTAAGCATCCTCTCATCATTTGCTAACATAATAGTTGTTAGATTCGGTTCCAATCTTGACAGTGCATCTCTCATACGTCTCCTGGGGCTCTATCATCTGTCATGTTTGATTTGGTGACTAGCCTGAGGGGAAGGTTTAGTGTCCGGGATAGGACGGGTGGGGTGGGGTGGGTCAGTCGATGTTGGCAGGTTCAAGGCTACTAGTATTTGTGTGAATGTTGCTGGGCAGAGGTTGCGGGGGATGGATAGATGGAGTGCGAATAGTGTGGAACAATGATCGATACTGTAGTAAGTGATGCTTGTATGCTTCCAAGTTGTGGTTATGAATAATGCAGTGTAGACGTAAAAACACCGAAGATCTGACGAGATTGATCGAGGGGGGAGGAGAGGGAAAAACAGGGAAGAGAGAGGTTTGCATTGCTTATATAGCGCTATACTACTATTGCCGCACAGCTGCTGAAATCAGGCCCAATATGTCTCCAAAGTATCGATCATCACCATACAAATTGTCAATCCTCCACCACCACATCTCTCCGACCCCGAGCTGCTCTCAACCATATACTATCCTCGCAATCTCATCGTTCTTCTCGTCGTCGCAACAACCATCCACAGTGTCCGCTTCAGGGAGGTCGTCTACCCAGCATCTGCGCTTATCTGGCACAATTCCTGAAGCTCTTACCCGCGCAGACGATGCCACCAAGGCACTCGAATGCCTCGGTACCGCGCTGAGCACAACCAAGGATCTAGTGTTGAAGCATCAGCACCTAAAGTGTAATAAAAATGTGAATCTCGCATGGGGAAAATGGTGCCTACCTTGTTCGCACACTGGTTGACGGCAAACTCAAGGCCGACGCATCTGAGGAAGGCCTGGTGATCTTGTTAGTCCCAGGCTCGTTTGACACCACCCTCATATGCTTGAAGCACTCACCCACGCGCGCGGTCCAAACCTCCTGATGAAGACGGCGAAGACTCTGATGACGGCGAGGATGATCCGCTTTTCCAGGTCTCCCTCTTCGTCGTCATCGTCCACGTTGACGATATTTCCGTATGCATCCTTGACGATGACCTCGCCGTTTTCGCCCTCGGAGATGGTGCCCTCGAAGACATCACCTTCGTATACCGCGACGGAATTCTTGCCGTCGGGGAGCAGGCCGGGTACGAATTTGGCGTTGGAGGCTTCTATTTCGCGCTTGGCGACTTCATACTCGATGTCGGGCTTGCTGAGGGCGGCGGAGTAGGCCAGGGCGAAGAAGGAGAGGAAGAAGATGGTGCTGAAGAACTTCATACTGCCGTTGTTTTTTCTTGTCTGTTTGAGACTCGAGGGAGGCTTGCTGGAGATGATTGAAGATTGGATCGAAGACTGGGGAATGCTTCTTAGATGTTGAGGAGGCTGATGATGATGGTCGTCTTGAACGCGGCAAGAACACGCCTTTTATAGATAATCGAGGGCACCTGGTCGATGTGTCCTCGCTCCTCATGATGCCAATACTCGTATTTTCCTCATGCCCATCCAAAAATATCCTTGGGTCTGGAGTCTCATCTTAATTACGGCTTCTCGCCCCAAGACTCAAGCGCCAGTGTACATCTCCACGATGGTTCAAGTTCAGCGTATTGGAGGGATAGACAAGCGAGGCTGATGAGCAACGATGTCCTTCTTTGGAGCGTCGTTTAGACTCAAATGATTGCTAACTTTAAGCTCCGTTTGATTTCTGTTCGCGCCGGGCCAAATGAAGACCCAAATAGCTAGTTAGTCCTTTGCCAGGCAGTGCGTCTAGTAGTATAGGAGGTGGGATACTTGATCAAGTTTTCACGCAGGACGCTAATACTATGCGTTATCATCTTTAGAAACGTAATAGGGGCCACGGCTGAGTCCGAAGTAGGGTCGAGTGTTTATAGAATCGACCAAGAAGGTCTTGATGTGGTTTCTGCCGTTCATGAATAGTTCAAGGTTGAAAATAGAGGTCACTTGCCGAGTTCATTGATCGAATGCCAAGCGCGGGGGCCATTGACCAGCCTTCTGCCCAGTCGCTTGATCAAACAGAACGGTTGTCTAGGAGGTCACCGCGTCATACTGCACCTCAATGACACCGAGAAAGGAATGGTAATGAAGCCAATGACCACGATGACTAATTCAGATGATAAGCAGTACATGCAAAGGAGTCTGAGAATAGTGAGATAGATCGCCTCTGATGGTAGACAAAATTCCGAAGAATATAGAAGGGGGGTGCAGGAAAAGCTGCGGAAAGGCCAGCGAGAGCAGCATAGTGTAACAGTGCATCCACAGTTAATTACTGATATGGACCCCAAAAAATAAGAGCAAAAGGACAATATGGTTTGTACGAGATGAAATGATGTGCAGTCCTGATATGCAGGTCAGACACGCAAGGGTCCGGAATAGGGGACATCGAGCGTGACAGGGACCCATCGCCCCTTCAGGGAGTACTAACTAGTAGTGACTATGAGCCAAAGCCAGCCGAAAAGGGTTGAAGGAAGCTCAACGAGTCAGGCAACCCAGGAGATCTGTGGCCCGCCAGAGCTGGGAGATTGATTCATACACCCATTGCCGCTGCAAAACACGGGGGTCAGTACCTCTGCCCTATGGATCTTCAGGGCACATCCCCACTGCCGACCCGCCATCCGCCATCCGCCATCCGCCATCCACCACCCTTACTACTTACGTTAGGCTCTGGTCAGGCGTTCTGCAGCACCAGCGGGAGCCCCTTTCGCCAAACTACCAACAATATCCATGCGGCCAATTAGTAATTATCAAGCGTGCCGATGTGGAAGCGAGCAATTTAAAGAAAACGTCAAAAATGTCGTGCCGATGAGATGTACACAGTCGTAGCAGCCCAACCACGCTCGTACTCGTGATATCCGAAGCGCTGTGTAGATGATGTGACCAATACGGTGTACCCGCCCCCTCTCGTGCCAAGCGACATCTTCTTATTCGAGACTTCTGAAAATGACGCGGTGTTGGTGTTGGTCCTGGGTAATTTAGTAGACGTTCTATTTTTGTAAGGATCGTCAGGAGGGTCAAATGACCATGATTTAGCCATAATTTGAATGTCATTTTCATAAAATAACGTCTGAGATAGCATGATTTAATTAGATTTCAGGTGTTTAGCTGCATCATTCTATGTAAACTAGATCATAGTTTTCAGAGGGCTTCTCCTGCTAAGGACTTAAAGCCTTGGCCACTCTTGGCCTGTTGAAAATTCTGTGAAATTTATTCGGAATTCCTGTCTTGGCGGACTTCAAACTCTCCAAGATTTTTGGGCTTGTCACATAGTCATCGTAACTACTAATTGTCTTCGGATCACTCTCAATGCCTTGCACCCCAAAAGTTCTCAAAAAGCTAGCGGAACATTGAAGAAATCCTTGCTCCGGGTCGGTGCATTTGACCCAAGAAATGCCAGGGGCGTAGCTGCCTACTGCTCTTGGGCGATAAAGCCGCCCGCGTGAGTTTGTCGTCTCTATATGCCAGCCCATGGACGCTGTAGCGCCTGAGAGGACCGATGGGGGGACGGTTGCGTCTCATAGAGGACCGACCGTAAGGCAACGAGGGGTAGCGAACAGGCTACTCCCCAACAAAAGCGAGGTGCTGGAAATCCAGAGAAAGAATCGAGTCGTGCCGTTAGTATCTTTCCTGGACAGGAAACGGACTCTTTCTGCTTCTGGGGATGCTGAGCGCGGAGCCAGGGGAGGCGGCTCATTCCGCTTCAGGGGCGCCAGGACATCCACTTCTCACACACTATGGCATTCTGAAAGACATGTCGTCCTCATGCTGTTGGCCAGGCTGACTCGTTTTCCCACAGTGACATTGGTTAGTTAGTAGGGAGCGGGCATTATGCCTATCAAGTTACCAATCTCTCGCCCAGTAGACTTCTGGGGAGCGTAGAGGGACTCGGTCAGCCAGCTCCCCGCTTCGTGAATATCATGTACTACTTTAAGTAGTACCTGGCTGGAGATGTCTCGTTCCATAGACATGGATTGGACCCAAAAGATTTGACCAGATCATCACCTACAGCGTTGGTGAAAATTGCAAGACCGTGGTACAGATGTCAAACAAAGCAACGGAGCCAAGAGGAATGTCATAACCTTTTCTCTGTGCACCACCGTAGTACTCGATTCAGTATGGAATAGGATGCAATGAGATGAAACGACATGTAGGAGTAACCTGTCTATTCCGTCCCCGCGTATGGATAAGTACCATATCGTACACTATTAACCAGACACAATCTGCCAGCTACCAAGTACCAATACTACCCTACCGGACAGACCAGACGAACGGAGCAGCAATCCAACGTGCAGTCCAGCCACAACCGCCCACCCGTTCTCCCTCCAAAGTGACCACTGACCAGCCCCATTCACAGCCAAGGCGCACCCAGCACACTCCTATTACCATTCTCCTCACCCTCCTCACGCTCCCCACACTCCTTATCATCAGCCTGCGGATACCGAACACTGCCCGCACTACTATCCCTCATACCCCTCCAGATGCGACTTGCCTCATCGACTTCATCTTCATAGAAGCGCGGACTTCCAATATCCGCTCGCCCGTCCGGATCCCTCTTCTTCACCCCACTGTCTCGTTCAACCGAGCTACCCTTATCCAACGGACTCCCATTTCCCTCTCGTTGCTGTTGTACATCCTTAGCACCCGCTCGCTTCCTCGGCGAAAACAACGGTGCCGGTACCGGCGTCGACACACTCGCATCTCTTAACGTCCCATTCCTCTCTCCACCACTACCACGGACACCCGAGCGAGATCCAGCAGACCACTGGTTCGTGATATCCGCCAAGTGTAAATTCTCGCGTGAAAGCTCAAACCCATTCCGGCGCCTCCTGATCGGCGAAACGGGAGCACGAGACACGGGTCGGACCTTCGCATCCAGCCTCCTCAGCAATTCTCTTGCCCTCTTGTCCAAACCTCTGGAGCCCTCATACTCATCGAAGAACTCCTCCAACACCTCAACGGCTTCGCGTTGTCCTATGGTGCTGGTGCTGCTCTGGCCGACGCTGCGATTGTGTAGGTTCATTTCCAGGAGGTCGAGTAATTTGCTCGCTACTTCATCGCGTCGCTGATGGTCTTGGGTTGGGTCTTGTTCCCTGTCACGAGACACAGGCGGTGTCTTGCGAGGGGATGATGAGCGGTGAGTCCGATGGCGGAGATACTGCCCATGACGGGACGCTGGACGCCAAGCGCCGACTCGTTCTAGGTTTAAGTTGTCGCTTGTGCAGCATTGGATATTGGAAGGTAAGAGGACGTGCTCGAATGTTACGCTAATATGGACAAGGTCTTGAGGTGAAGGGCCAGAGGACGGTGAGAGCATGGTGTGCAACTGATCCATCAAGGCATGAGAACTTGGTCTGCTTTGCAGACTGAATGCCTTGCTGTGTCGTTTGCGCCGTAAGGGAGGGTCCGCGAGGATTTGGGCCACAACGGACCAGGTCTCGCCTGGAAGGAGGAAATCGCGGGTTTCGGAGCCGATGACACGGAGTATGTTGCAGCAGCTGGCGGGAATCAGGTCTATGGTCAGTTTTGATAGGAATCCTGGGTCTGTATGAGGTGGCCCTAGAGCTTTGGACCGGACGCTCGAGGTTGGATCCTCGGCGTAGTGGATGGTGCATTCCACATCTATTGCAACCCAGACAGAAGCAGCTTTCTCCATGTCAGCCTTGGTGATGTCTGAGATGGAATGTAAAGTGGCTATGGCAAAAGCAGGAGGTGGCGCTTCTTCAGGCACACTCGAAGTTGAGGGCAGACGTTGATCAATAACTAGGAGCTGCCCCTCCTCTTGCCGCCGAAGTAGACACAAAGGTGGTGTAGGGAGTGAACTGGGGCTTTTCGGTCTGTTCACTGAATGTGGCCTCGACTGGTCGATCCGTACCAACGACGTCTCGGTAGACTCAGTTGACTCGGTAGACGCCGTACTGGTTGTCCTTGAAGACGAGCCCCCAGCAGTTGACCCAGAAAGACGTGGCACGTGTCCATGCCCAACCCCTAAGGATTCGGCGAGAGTGGATATGGCTTGTGTAGAGTTGTTGTTCTGAGTGAAACTGGAGATGATCTGAGAGAAGAGTCTCCGACGACTCCTGGATTCAGACGATGATATCGAAGATTTGTCATGAGAGGGTAGACCATGGTGGGATTGTGCAGAACCCTGACGAAAGTACGAGTCAGTCACCTCACCAGGGTAAGCCACGTCACAGCACTTACAGCATTGTACATTCCATCCCGTGAGGTTAGCTTTGCATGACTTGCTCTTGAAGAACTCCGACCCCCCCGAGGCGCACAAGAGTTCGTGACAGAGTTAGGGTGTTTTGGCCAGGCATGTAAAAGCTTTCGTGGTGGGTCAAGGGACATGACCATGGAAACGTCCTGAAAGATGCTGCCAGACCTTGTACCAGCCGATGACTTCCTTCGGGGGATATAAGGAGTACGGTCGGCGACATCAGTGTTCTTGACGAGTTGGAGAGGTCTTGGGGTGGCCTCCGCATCAGATTGGTCATTCATAATATGAAATTGGGTCACTGGTTGAGTATGTCCTCAGGAAGGAGATGGATCAGGTATTGACTTGTTCCGCACGAGTCTCGTCCGACCCCAATGTCTGAGAATCTGTAATAACAACCGTGTTGGAGGAACCTGGACTCGACGCAGGCTCACAACAGCCCGTTTCTGATATTGTCGTGTCCTCGGTCTTGGTCGTAGACGCTGAGAGGTTCTTACCGCTCTTCCTCCGCTGCAAAAACCTCTTGAGTCTGTTGTCGCTTTTGTTCCACTTTTCCGAACAGCTGATGGCAACCCCTATCCCCGCGAAGAGGATGGCAATGGGGACGATGATGAGATATGCAATTAGTTTGGAAGAATTGTCGACTGCCGTCACCGGTGGCATTGCATCACGAAGAGTATACGGTGTAAACTGTTCCAATGATGAGTACAATGATAATGGTGACGATTAATGAAATCAGTACTATGAAAGCTGAAAGGGGAAGTTGGTCCATGTTGTATGTGAAGAGGAGAGAAATCATCCAGCGGGTGAGACTTGGAACTGTTTGTTTTCTTTGCCACAGGAAGGCACGATGAGCGTTGCAGGTCGATCATGGAGAGGTCCATCGGCTTGAGGATGCAGGAGCATGTCAGGTCGTGCATGACCGTTGGACGAGATGAGTTTGTGATGGTAGTCACCTTCTTGAAATCCCTTCAGGCTGGCCCGGATCTTGGTTTGGCGCCTGTATTCCGTGAGTTGGTTATGGTGTCGCATATCTCTTTCAGCTGCTCAGAATCCATCCTCGAGAATCGTATCTGTGGCAGTAAGTCTTTGAGCATTTCGATGCTACCATTCCACTCACCATCTCGGCTCGCTTGTCCCCTGGTCTGCCGTCTTTGTTTCCAAAGAGCACTGGATCGCTCAAGCTATGTTGTATGCCGCTTTTGACCCGATTTTCCCATACACCCTCCCAGTTCCAACTATCAGGTAATTTTGGTGGGCCATGGCTTGCGGAACTCGATCGCTGATCGCTGTCCAAAGCCACTGCACTACCTGGAGCCCGGGAGTGTCCGCGATGACTTTGCCATGCATGCCATGCGCCAGGATTGCCGGCTGCCTCCAGAGGCAGTCTGTCGAGCATTGCTGGATCTTCGAATGTTGACTTGAGGTAGGCGAGCACATCAACAATGGCAACAGGTTTAGAAGGTATCTTCCCTGAAGGCCGCGCCATCGAGACAGTCTCTTGGTCCAAGGGAACATCGGCTGGTTCAACAGAGACATCCCTTGATGCCGAGCTTGAACGATAGCCGGATCGCTGGCTATGACCGTCCAAATCCATCACCTTGCACCCGGCCTTATTTCCTCGTGCGAACCACTCCGGGAATCCATCTCGCAGACTAAAGCCACCCTGGGGTAACCTGTCTTCGTCGCTCGCGCTGACCGTGTCATTGGCATCGCCTGCGCTGGTAGAGAACGTATAAGTCGTCAAAGGAACAAGGAGTGGGTGAAATATATCGGTCGCAAAGGTGACTAAAGGCGGATCGTCTGGGTATTGTGAAGGGAACGAGACATTGAAGCGAAGTACTGCTGGAGAGTATGGGCCTGTCACTGTGTAAGAGTCCAGCCATCACAACTCAGCGTGTCTTTGCAATCGGCAGCGCGCAGGGAACCTAAGCCATACCAGTTCGGACAAAAAACACTCCGGACCACGAGGAGGGATCTCCAGGATTCAGCGAGAGATAGATGCCTCTAGGACATCGGAGCTTCAAGCTTGCACTGGCGCAAGGTCAGCCAATGTTCGCTTGGGCTCTGACCAGTGATGAGAGACTCACTATTCAAGCAAAAGATGTTGTTTTCGGAAAGAAGGAATATTAGGAAGATTAGAGTGTGACATTACGAGGCAAGAGAAGAGAAGAGAAGTGAACAGGGCCATGGTGAGTAGAGCGTTATAGTGCCAAGATTCGAGCTCCCTCTGCAACTTGAAGACTCGGAGTATTATGTTACTTGGTTCTCGTCCAACAATGCGAAGTGTTAGGACAAGAGATGAGAGAGTAAGTAGGGGTGATGTGTTCTGTTTCTGTCGATTGCTCGTCTAAGTCTCTAGCATGCCGTTCGTAAACCAATGTCTTCGTGAAATCATGAACCATCAACCATCAACCAGAAGAGTGTCTATCAATAGGATGTGCCAGTGGACAGCTGCAATCCCAGCCAAAAACCCCATTGCCAATTTCAGTACCCAACAGAAAATCCACATCTCTGGCATACCGCTCGAAGGCTGATGTCCGACATGTAATGTCTTTCATTCCACCTGCTTCTTTTCCTGAGCAAGTATTGCTTCACCCACAATAGCCACCCCTACTCCTGCTCCGTCACTGACTCCACCAATGATCGACTCAAAGACCCACCCCCCTGTCTCCACCACGGCATTCGCCAGTCTTCCCCGTCCAAGTCTGGCCATGGCATCCTTCATCTCCATACCACTGTCACCAACGACATTGGTGATGTCAATCCCACCTGTCAGCAATCGCTCGGTGAGGTGATGCCGACGTTCAAGGCGGTAGCAGCTGCTGACGAAAGCTGTAATGTATGGGATGATCAGAGCTATCAACAACGACGTTTGGAGGATGGTAAAGGCAATGGAACGACGTAGCCATGAGCGCTTTTCTGCTTGGGAGGCTGTTGATCTAATACGGGCTTGTCGGCAACAGACGCGATCTGGATTATCCAACCCCACCGGTAATACCTCCTCGATCTCTTGAAGCTGGCTTGGGTCCAAGTCCTCGGGTAAGGATCGTAAGAGCCACTTGTTCGCATCAATAATCAGTGCTCGGGTGTTTTCAGGCTTTGAGTCCGTCTGTTGCGCTCTTGTGCAAGCCCTCGATAGTAACATCAGAGCTGTGACAGCTGTGTCCCATTCCACGCCAGTACCGGTCTCGTGAATGGGGCTGGTCAGAGCACGCTCAAATGGCGCAGCCATTGTTCGGGACGAAGCCGCGGAGGAAGCTGTAGAAGAGGTTCTGTTCTCCGGACTTGTGTCTCGCGGACGTCGTGCTACCTGCCACAGCTGCTCTCTCGTCACGATTTCGTTGTCTGGATTGATGTAGGCATTAGTCGGACTCGTAATCCCATGCAGAGAGCCTTCGGATATCTGTCGCGGGTGCGATGGAGTTGATTTGCGGATCGAAGTCATCTCCAAGGATCGACTAAGTGAAGTGAGGACGGGCAGGCGAGACTTGATGATGGTTGGAAGGAAAGTGTAAAGGATGGAGATATCGGAGGAAGGCGTCCTGTAACATGACGGTCCGGCTGCCATGGTTGGGGCCATCCCGAACGGTATATACGAGGGCGACAAAACCTATGATCAAGTACTGCTAGTGAAGACTCAAAAGATGCTGTCTTCAAAAACGAATGAAACCGGAAAGCGAAAGCAAATGAGAACAACGAGCATCCATGAACGAGATGACAGACCGAGCTATATGAAAGGCGCCGCAGTAATGTAGGAATTGCATTGATAGCTCTAAGAATAGGATTTGTTGAGAGTATACTAGCTTCACATGCCGTATCTCTCAATCCCCATTGGCATGTGGCAGAGTTTCAAGGTGAACTGCATTCCTTGACAGAGGTCGTCGATAGCAGTCTGGGTCGTTTTGTAGCACGGTGGTTGAAATCTCACTTCTTTTCAAGGACAAAGAAGGTGCTCGCTGTGCAGGGCAGGCCAGTAATCGATTCAGGTAGTGGTACTCCATCAACATCAAGATGAAATCACATGCTGAAGCCGTGACAAACGAGGCATTGCAAATGACATTTCAAATGACATTATCATCGCACCATCATTTTCTCCGATACGGATATGTAGTTATGTCACATGACACGGCAGATGCCGTCAAGGTCTGTAACCCGATATCTCCAGTAGGACACCTTCATGGTAAGTACAAGGATGTAACAATGATTAGATTATCAATAGAACTGGTCTAAATTAGTAATGCCATGTCGCAGCATCTATTCAGCTATTCTTGAGATAGAGTATTAATAACACTTTACCCATGTACGCCTTGTGACAGCACGCCTTTTGATGAATCATCTCTACACCTGCGCCCTTCCCTCTCTACACTGTAAGACGATATCTATATCTAGAAGCGGCCTGCCCCCACAGTTCCGCATCCCATTTTCATCAGCGAAAGCTGGCCATATATCCCGACAGCTGTTTCAAGTCGTGCTCGCTCATCAAATGCTCGGTGCTGTCATCGACCACATCAGTGCTGGCCGGCATCTCCCAACTGCCCAAGGCAGGCATATTGCCATTCTGTATTGTCTGAGTGTTTCCATAAAGCTCGTTCATCGCTGTCGTGTCTTCGACCCCGTCTACCATGACCATATCGAGGGTGTTGAAGTTAAGCTGATCAAAATCAAAGTCCAGGAGAGGATCCAAAGCCGCCGGAGCAGAAGCAGCTATAGCCGCGTGGCCATCAGGTGCAGAATATCCTGCTTTCCTTTCGCCCGTACAGCCAAACCCTCGTCCGTGCTTCAAGCCACCCCGGATGGCATAAGGTGGGGTGATGGGCACCTCTTCTAGTCTTTTAGGAGCTGCGCCCGGATCTTCGCCAATACCGTGCTGAAACTTCAGAGTTGCAAGCCACTGCTCGTTATCTGCCGCTGTCTGATTCCAAGGATCATCGTCATCAAAGACAATCAGCCGACCTTGATCTTGCAACTCTTTGTCGGTTGGGATATGCCCCATTGCTTTGTGTTGAGTGATATATCCACTCAGGACTTGTTCCAGGCGTCTCCAACAATTTGAGTCAGCCAGCGTAGAGGGTGCCGTGGTAGCGAATGTTAAATTCGTCTCCTCAGCACTACCCGGGGTGGTGGCCTTTGCAACGAATGGATCCATGCTCGATCTCTCAGTGGCATTCATATAAGGCGGTACTGAATTTTCGACCAATTTCGCTACGTGAGGTTCGAAGCCCCATCCGCCCGCCCATGCGCTCATGTCAGCACCGTTCTTGAAGTGAGCCGCAAGATGGTCTACGCGTTGCTCCCAGGTACTGAACACGCTTGGACAGAAACCACATGATGATTTGACCTCAGAGATCATGCTTTTCCAGGATTCCATTGATGGATCGAATTTGGTGCCATGAAACAATTTGAGGTGCTGCCTGAGGTGATCTTTCCGGTAGAAGGTTCGTTCTGTGAGCGTCTTCTCCTGGCAAGCTATGAAATTGTGCATTTCGAGATGGTCGTTGGTCGGGTTTGGCAAACGGCAAAAGACGCAGACTGCCTGACCATCCACATGTGCCAGACCCCCGTCAGGTGAGCAGACCCAACGTTCGAGGGCTAGATGAAGTGACTTCTCATGTCGCTGCCAATCGTACTTGGAAGGGAAAGTGTCTGCGCAAAATGTACATTGGAAGATGCGTGCTCCTCTGGGTTTCTGAGACGAGTAACGCTGAATCAATGGTGCTCTCCGACGTCGACGGCGCTCTTTGTGATCCAAAGACCCGAACGAGCCTCGAGATCGATGGGACATAGCAGACGTAAACGATATGCCGGAAGCGCTGCTACGGCTAGTCTCCAAACTGCTGATGGACGGAGCCTGGAAGATGGAATAGTTCGAGTCGTCGTTGCTGGAGGTGCGGCGTGAACCCTGGCGCGAGCCCTGCAGACTTGACTGCGATGAATTTCGGCCAGCGCTAAAGGGAGCATCCGCCACGGCTCGCATGATGGCAGTAGTCGAAGCAGCTTCATGCTCGGGCGGTGAATGTTTCCATCTCTCCAGGGGTGTCATGTCCTCAAGGTCTAAATCAGCATGGGATGATGGAGGTATATCGATAGCACGGACGACTGGAGATGCAGCATATGAGGTTGACCTGACTTTGCCTCTGCGCCGGGCATTAGCAAGCCAGTTGGAGATTTGACTTCGCTTAAGCCCTGTGATCTCTTTCAGTCTGTCCTTTTCAACATCAGTGGGATACGGATGGTCAGCATGCCCAGCAAGCCAGGTATTGAGAACTTTGACCGCCTCTCTTGACAGTCTTGCTCCATTCTTCCGGCACCTACTCTCATCAAACCCAGCCGACCCGGGCAGGGATTTGAGAGCTCGTTTGGTGGTAAGTGCACCTTCAGATTCCTGTACGTCTTCTGTCACCTTGCCCAATATGGCCAGGAAATTCCCCTGGGCCTGGCGCTGAGTGAAGGTAAAGCTGCACTCGCGGTAGAGAGAGATGCAGCAGGTACATCCATTGATCAGGGCACCTTTCTGGGCGATGAAGCAGTCCAGACCCATGCGTCTGCATAGATCACAGGGGGTTTTGGCTCTGAACATGGGGAAAGCGCCATCCAAATCATCGGGATGTCTCTCGACCTCGACGTAAGTGTTGTTGACTCGTAGCCTCTTAGTCTGATCAAGATGTGCAGGAATGAGAGGAGCTGGGGGCAGGACAGGGACGTCTCCTAGCAGGGCATCTTCTTCAAAGCAGGGCTCGATCTGGGGCTCTGCTTCCTGCGGCTCCGGAAACGTATGGGCATAGTCACTCGTATCCCCACCCAGATGAGTGTGAGACGCATCGTCAAAGTCAAAGTACTCCATCGTAGCAAGCCTTTAGTGGTGGCAAGTCACGGCGGAGGAAGGGACAACCACATGCAGTAAACAGATGCAGATGTTACCAGATGACGATGGATATCTGGCCTAGAAATGTCAATTGTCGATGACTCCTCAGCTGCAGGGTAGTAGTCCCTTGACTTGTGACAGATGCGCCCTTCAATTGACCAGGCTAAGCCTGACTGGGTAGGGACACCCATTCCGACTTGACATGCTGACCAAGCTTGCTGCATGATGGTGGTGATGGCCAATAACAAGAAGATCTCTTCACTGGCCGACATCGGATACGCCCTGCCTAGGCTCGTGTTGCCTTCGGCCCCGACTCGCGGCACCCATAAGGTTTTGGTATTGGTATTGGTATTGGTATTGGTATTTCTGACAATGCCATGATGAGAGACAACTCGATCTATCCAGGCACATTTCTTGCTGGCGAACAGTGCATAGTTGTACTGTTGTCAATGCCGTCTTTCATTGCCACATTGAGGCTGTTGTCATCTATGTGGCCACATGGTTCAGAGAATCCAAAAAAGGAAATCCTTGTTCGATGCCGACCTAGATTTTTGGACACAGGTTCTATCTATCCAACTATCTACAATATTTATTCTATTATCCATAATTCTTATTTCCTGCTTAAAACCCCACTCCCTCAAACCCAAAGTCCTCAATTCACAGGTCCTTCAATGCGTTTTCAATGGTCGACTCAATCACCACCATCAGCCACCGGCTCAATGCTTCCACATCCCGTACCGACAATGCTCCCCTGCCCTATCTCAATCGGTGCATTACTACTCTGCCCAATAGCATCTCCGTACGAAAACGCCAATCCACACTGGCCCTCTCCGTTTGACGTCGAATTGGTGAAATGCAGCGCACAATTTGCCGCGGCAGGAAAATCATCAAACGCGGCACAGCCTACATTCTCTTGGCACAACTGGCAGCAAGCAGATGCATCGCGGCCGTTACCGCCGTAGGCTGCTGCCGAGCCAGGCGCGTAGGTGATAACGGCAATACCGTAGCCGTTGACTTGGTTGATGAGGTTGGGGCCGGAGCATTTGGCGGCATAGGTGGTGGTTACCGCTGCGGGACAGGATGTGGATACGACGATGGTTGTTCGGTCTGCAACATAGGATGTTCCCACGGAGGTGACGGTAACGGTGGAAGGCGTGTTGAAGGCCAGCACTGATCGAGTAGAGGTGATGATTACCGCAGGAACCGGAGTACCTGGGTTATAGGTGAATGTTACAACGCCCGAGGTGACTGTAGGGAATGCCATAAGATGTGTGGTACGATCGGTGGTGCAATTGACGTAGTCTGGGAACCGCTTAGGGGTTCGGGTAGGCCCACCAGGCGGTACGTAGGTACCCGTATACACCGTACTGGTGATCGAGGCCGAGGCACCGATTGTGCAGACGGTTTCTCTAGTGGTCAAGGTGCCCACGGTAATAGTATCATAGATGAACGTAACTGACGTTTGGGTGTCTAGAGAGCTGGACACAGTGCTGTATATATAGCTAATGCTGGTAGGAGTGTAAGTTGTTGCTGTGCCAGTAACAAGGACGGTGCTGGGCGTGGTGATGGTGGTGGTCTCCTTTCGAGTAAAGGTTTTGGTGAAGTTGTTCGTTGGGAGCGGAGTAGGAGCTGCGGTTGCGCTGGTGCTGTGAGTTCTGCATCGAATACTCGTTTCAACAGAAGTTCTCGTCAAAATAAAAGAGCTAGATGGCGTTTCAGCAGCACTGGTGAAAACAGCTGTTGCCAGTAGGAGAAAAAAGAGACTTGACATGACGAGTGACCTTGTGAAAACGAACCAAAACGCCTGACATGCCAGTCCAAGTACATCAGATGTCTCTACCGCTTTGATGTCCGCTACATCTTGTGCATGGGGCGGAATCGTTAGTGAGAACCTTCAGATACTTACAGTAAGAGGCTGCTGATGGTAGCATCGCATGCTGCAAGTCCAGTGCTAGCATCCAGCAAACCATGAGGTTAACACCAGTGGAGTAAGACATTCCAGCACATCTTCAAGCAATGCAACTGGTTTTGGAAACACTGAAGCAACCTTACATACAGCATCGTAGCAGGGTCGTCGTTCTGGTGGTTGATTTGATGACAGTCTAGCCGTTGATGTGTCGTTCAATTAGTTACTCACGGTTAGCAAGCTTGGGTTTGGCCATCCGAATGATGGCAGTACTTAGTGCATGATCATGGAATGGACTCAATAGGTACCCGGATAAACAGTATGGGTGGTAGTAAGGGGGTTCCTCATCAAGGAAGGATGGGCTCCCCCTTGTCGAACAACCCACGCCATCTCCACAAGATAGACAGTTACAAGATGCAGAGACTGACATCAGAGATCACAAGCACCGCTAACAACGACCTCATTTCTTCTTTTCTTGCTCACCTTATCATGTCTTGGAACATGCCTTGTTTTGCTTCTCCTTCAACTCCTTCCTAACCTCCCTTCCAGCCACAATACTGAACAGCCTCATACAAAGATCCCATTCATCCCACCCAATCTTCCGATATCTCCCCTCTGCATAACCATCACCCCACCCGCTAACAACCTCATTTGCCCCCCTCCCCTCAAAACTCCTCATCCATCTTTCAATTACTTCTGCTTCCTGTCCCGTGAACTCCCAAGCAAATTCTCCATCTTTGCTGTAACATTTCTGTCCAATGTATCCCTTCAGGGTGGGGCGGATGGAGCTGGGCCGGGTGAAGGTGGGCTTCAAGGATTTGAGATAGAGGATGTGCAGATGCTTGTAGTGGTCATCACTGAAGTAGCCAGACACGGGGAGGGTTGAGGGACTGGGTAGGATTTTGCAGTCGGAGGCGTAGGAGGAGGACGGAACCGATGCGATAGAAATGGCGCTAGACGTTCTGACGCTGGTCGAGGGGAGAGCGGTCTTGCTGGGTTCCCATTGAGTCTTGCTAATAGCGTGCCCGAGTTTTGAGGAGCCCTGTAATTGCTGCTGAGGTGTGCGTTTCGGGCCAGACGCCGAGCATGTCGCGGAAGGTGCTTTCGATCCCCAACCTGTCAGTCTGCTGAACCACAATGTCGACGCAGCCTGTTGAGGTGCTTTCGCATCAGCATCACTCGTATGTTGGTTCTGCTCCGCCTCCCGCCCATTTGCCTCGATCTCCACAGCTGGATTTCCGACCTCATATTGATTCGCATCGCTGGACTCTATTGACGTGTCCGGGCTAAGCGAACCCCCACGCACTTGCATACTTGTCTCCATGCCATTATCGTCGAGACAAAGTGAGTGCCTAGAGAACATAACCTTACGCGGTGTCGGCGAAACAGACTCCTCTCTGATACTGAGACTGGCTCGGGAGCCCTTCATCGCAGAACGAGGCGTCACAGGACGACATGAAGAGGAAGGCGGAGGTTCAATCCCTGCGACGTCCTGCACATGATCTTCGGACTGTATGCTGGTGTCGGTTGTGTCGTTGAAGTTGACCGGGATCATAATAGGCTGCGGCGGAATGGATGACTCCTCGGATGGCTCTGCACCATATTCCGAGGGAGCTTCCACCTCCATGTTAGGTTCAAATCTCTCGTCATCTACGAAGTCGCGTCTATGCTCGACGATCTCAGCGTCAAAATTCTCTTTGCCTGCCAGGTCTTCTTCATGCTCGAAAGCTTCGGTTTCGTTGTTGGAAAAAGACTGCTCCCCAATGCTATGCTCCAAGGTCTCCTGAAGAGGCTGATATGACATCCCTTCTGCAACCGTACAAGTGTCTTCCTCTTTTGATGACGATTCACCAATCATCCTTCCGGTATCGAACTTGCGTCTCGGCGCGTCTTCTCCATCCAAATTTGATGATAGGCGGCGGAACGAGCGGATCCTTTCTTTGGCTTTTGGTTGCTGCCAGAACATGCCGCTTACATCACCATCAACCGTGAAGGAGCTATCCACATCTTCTCCTCTCTTCCAAGGGCTTGGTATTAGACTACGCCGGGGCTTTGAAACGACCTCCTTGGCTCTCTCGCGCTGTCGAACTTGCTCTGCCTCTGGAAAAGGATCCTCGGCAATATGTCGAGAAGAGTTTTGAGCATCTTCTGCTTCAGCTAACCAGATGTCTTCCTCAGCCTCACTGATGATGCTCTTTGTGGGACTCGATTGGGCTACCGAGGCTCTGCGCTTTGCCGAGGGGATGTCCTCCTCCTCATCGCTATCGATGACGATAACTTGGCTTGCATTTGCATTTTCGATCTGCCGGCTGACGGCCTCGCGTTCCGATTGCCAGCGATGTTCTCGAGCTTCTGAATCTAGATAGAAAATGCTTCCAACAGTCTGGTTTGCATCGAAAGGTGTTGCGGTTTTCTGTGCTATTGGCAGGCCCTGCGAGGTTGGGAGATCTCTGTTCTCGCAAAAGATTGCTTCCGCGGCTGTAGGGTCACTACAGCTCACTGGTGTGCATTCCACCGCTGTTGGTCCTCTACATGCTGCATCCTTTTCCGGCCAGCCATGCTGGTTGCGCTGTGGCACTGCCCCTCGACTGGAAGAGGAGGCTGATGATGAAGTCAGTCTCTGTCTTTTGGCTAACTCCTCGCCAAATCTCAGGCCAGCCCGAAGCTCGCGGCGAGTGCTAGAGTCAAATCCCACGAAAAGATCATCAAGTCGTTCTATAGGAGTGGAAGCACTGCGTTGTCCCATGTCCACAATGTTCAAAATTGGCGAAGGTTGTAGAGAGGGTTTTCTGACCTTTGGTGAGAGTAGGCCTTGAAGAGCAATGCCGGCTCTTACCACCTGTCCGAGCCGTGGTGGAGTCGATTTGCTGCGTTCTTCGTTGACAAGCTGACTGACTTTTTGAGCTTGGTTTGGTGGTGATGGAAGTTTTGGCGAAGATTTAGCAGAAGCAAGGGGTGTGTGGGTGTGGCGTAGAAGAGATTGAGCAAGTCGATTCTCTTTTCGAGATAGGACATGCTGCAACAATGCAGCCGGTGAAGGTGATGGCACTGTGGATGAAAGATCAGATTCCCCTTCTTCGGGGGGAGCCAGGTATGAGGGTATTGGTGTCGGTGGCGGCTCGTTCGTTCTCAGAATGCTCGAAGGAGAAGACGGCAGACTAAGTGAATCTGGGGGTGCGAGGACCGGGTATGTTACTGATCTCGGTGGTTCTAGCTCCACTGTGTTCTGAGTATTTGGTGCTGGTTCTGTTTGCCGATGTTGTGAATTGTCCGGGCTTGTGACAAACTGTCGTGCAGATGGCAGTGACTCAAGGTCTATCATTGTGAAACCTTCACTCTCGAGAACCGTGTCAAACTCAACACGCTCTTCTGTTGCGTCATTGGATGGTGCATGCGCTTCCAATTCGTCCTGAACAGAAGCATCTGGAGTTGGGTATGTGATTGCGCTTGACCCTGATACATGTCGTTTTGCATCCTCCATCGCAGAGGAATACATCGCAGCCCCGTGGGCCAAGGTAGGATGCTTCTCATGGTTGGCAACAGTATTCTTTGACTTCTTAACCACAGCAGTCTTTGGTGGCTCACTACGACTCCGGATAGATATGCGATTGAAATCAAGTTCTCTGAGCTCTGGTGATTCCGCCTTGTGTGGAAGAGCAGCCTTCGAATCCGGGCCCACTTCTGAGATTGCAACACTATCACCACTGTTGCTGGAAGGCTGCACTGATCCAGGGTCTTCCTCTGATTTTGCAATGCACGAGACCGTATCCTGATTGGCAAGGCGACTAACGGTTCTTGTCTTCCGGTTTCCCTGCTTCCTCTTTGGCCTGATAGTCTCCTTTTCATTATCGTCAAGGAAAGCCGTATCCAAATCCGTCAAGCGGCTTTGGTCTGCTCCAGAAGCCTTGTGCGCAAGTCTGGATGGTGACCCAGTCGTCATTCTTCCGCACCCAGACTTCCTCGAATCGCTTCTATTTCTCCTCCTACCTCCTGATTGTTTGATGGGCGAAGGAGTGTCGCGCGGTGGAGCAATGGTAGCCTTTGATCTGCTCTTGACTCCATGTAATACTGGCTCCTCTGGTTCAGCTTCTACCGTGACTCTTATCTTCCAGGGGCTAAGGAACTGCTTGCTCTGATAGTGCGCTGGAGATTGTGATGACTCTATCGATGTTCTGCGGGCTTTCTGAGGGGTTGATAGTGTAATGTCTTGCAGAACTTTCGTTGTGCGGTGTTTCCTGGGCGAAGGCTTGGGACGTCTGACAGCGGATGCACTGTAAAAGCTATTCTCATCATTGATTGATGTGGCGAGAGGATCGGGGGAGCTGAAGAGGTCATCATCGTCTAGCCGTAGGGATGGAGAGCGCGCAAAATAGGTAGAGGCCGTCATGCTTCTATGTCAACTGCTAGGCAATAATATGGAAATGCTTTGAATGGCTGAACGATTGTGACTCGACTCTTGGGCGGAATATAGCTGTGAAGGCGGCAAGGGAGATGCTGCACAGGAGTAAGAGCCTGATCGTGCCAGCACGCAGCATCAGACGTTCGAAGGGCGAGCTCTGTGGACTTGGTAATTACTGTACATGCTCCTTCATCGAGTCAGTTCAATGTTTGTTGACATGCCAAGAGTTGGGTCGGGTACAACGGAAGCTATTTAAGTGCGTTGCTCCCAGCCAGCTTCCAATTGGTTGCTTCGGTGGGGAGAGTTTCCCCACTGCACTTTCCCACAGTTTCCCACAGTTTCCCACACTGACCTTACCTAGTAACCTGAAACAACGCTGGAAAAACAATGAGCGGTCGACACTTTTCAGATGACGGAGAAATCATAGGTTGCATAATTGACAGCAGGTCCAGTCTCCGGCGAGTAGATCCAGTATTCGCTATTCCCCCATTCGGGATGATTAATGGCATCGATCCAGCCCTGGGTTTCCACGACCAGACAGCCATGCCGCTCCACAAACTTCGTGCCCCCTCCATAAACATGCGTATTCCTCTGCACTTGACTTTGCTTGACAGGGATAGTCCCGTTCTGGCCGTTGCAGCTATAGATCTGTAGACCTTGCTGGTTGGTGGACACGTCCATCCTGATTCCAGTTGTCATTGACCACAACGATAGTATGGGAAAGCTTGCGGCCTCAGCACCGGTGCCCCGAGGACGATCGAGGATGAATGTGTTGTCGTAGCCGGTGCAGCCCTCGCCGCAGAGGCCGGGGGCGCTTGCTAGGTCTCGGCCGACTGTCTTTGGTGAAGTGAAGTCGAGTACTGACCTTGCAGCAACGGTACCTAACGCGCCTGTCGGAACCAGAATGCTGTCAACCTCAACGTACCGGTCCGAGTATGGCATCCACAAGGTTTGGTCGTCTAAGATCGTCGGCGTGGTGAAAGCGCCCAGGTTCCAGTAGAAATGGGGAACAAGCATAATGGGTGTGGCCTCGTCTAGTGCAACGGACACAGTTGTCACGGTCAGGCGAGGGTTTCTTTCTCCAAGTGCGCCTGAAACCGCCGAGCTGACTGTGTAGGTTGCATGTGTGATGACAGAACCCGGAAATCCTTCAAAGGCACTATCCAGAAGAGTAAACGTGATGCTGGTGTCCGACTGCGATGTCACGGTCCAATTGCGCTGGTCGTAGCCTATGAGGCCTCCATGGAGGGTATTTGCTCCATCGTGCTCGTTCGTTGGAATGTCGAACGTCTCCCCATCAAGCGCAAAGGTGCCATTCCTGATGCGGTTGCCATAGCGCCCGACGATAGTCCCGAAGTACGTATGGTTGGTCGCTGAATCTACAGCGTATTGAGCTGGATCATCGTAGCCTACAGCAATATCTTGGTCTGCTCCGGACCTATCGGGTACCAGTAAAGACGTGAGACGCGCTCCGTATGGAATGAAGGTCGCAGTGATGTTCTCCGCGCTCAACGTATGCAAAGTGAAAGGGGAGGACGAGGTAGCAGTAGCGGCAAGGGAAACTGAGGCCGACGAAGCCTGAGCAAGCAGAGGACGTATGAAAGAGCTCGAAGTAAGGAGAAGGTTCAGTAAAGGGACTATCATGGCGACAGAAAGAAAGGCACAGACGGCGGAGAGAAGATTCTTGCGAGGATGAATGATGGGACGCAAGGTTGTCCCCAGGGAGTGGGAACCCTTATGAGCGTAAGTCTGTGCCATTCGACGTCAAGCTTGTAACACATCAGCTGCCTCAAGGTTGCAGATACGAAGCTCCGAAGCTCCCTTTGGATTTGTGCATGTGTGACGGTGTGTTGCAAAGATCATTTACTTGTTCTTGCAGGGCGCTGGGATTGTTGACGTGAGTAGGAGTCGCACAAAGGCCTGGGAGTCTCGGGAGGGGGGAGGGGGGAGCTTGGCCATGTGACGCTGCGAGTTAAGTAGAATATTCCTTTTCGAGGCTTGACTCCCAGCTACTTTGGGGTTGGGTAGCCAGCATGATGCCATCAACCATACCCTCCAAAACCAGACCCACTAACATCATACGGTAGTGCAAAAATTGGTGTGGTAAGGGGTACAAGCCTTGGTTCTTCTCCACTTTACAGGTTACGGGATTTTGAAAGATGCGATCTAAGTCTCCGAATTCTTTTGAGTTGCTACTGCACGCCTCTGTTCATGTCTACCAAGTGTACATCCAGATATGCTGGCCAATCAGGAGCCAGGGTACTCCTCGTATGCGATGCTGGTTTGAGCGCTTCATCAACCATTTTCTCGTCCATAAAACCAGATGGCTCGTTGAACACAGCCCGCAGCTTCTCCTGATCTTCCTCCACCTCTTCTTGAATCAGTTGGCTGACAGCTGGGAGCGCTGCGCCATTTCTTGGCTGATAGTTGTGCAGGGTAGCATATGGGAGCTGCGGCCGATTCGCGATTGCCACATCACTCAGGATGTCCAGACGAGTCTGACCGCCAATGTTGCGTGTGGATCGGGTGACGTGGAAGTTCTGACTTGCTGTCCTTTCCATCTCGGGCGCTGCTAGGCCGTCTTCATCGTCTGGATTCGAGTCGTCACCAGAACCCGACGTCTGACCAAAATCTTGCTCCTTGGTGCGTATATCTGCGCCGTTAGTCTGTATTCCGGATTTGGAGGTGGAAAAAAAGTGGCGTGTAGCGATATGCGCTTGGTGTGATTGGAGATTGAGCTCCTTCTCCGTGAAAAGACTATTGATCGAGTAGAGAGGAGCAGTCTGGTGCGCCTGTATCTTTGCTTTGGCTCTTTCAGCTGGCGTTGAAATTCCATCTCTGGCCGGAGACCCAGGCTCATCGTCCAGTGCTTTCCGCTTTCGTTTGTTGAGCCCTTCTCCTGCCAGTCCATTCCCTAACTCCTCCATGTCAATCCTGTGTCTAGCATGCCGGGTCTTTCGATTTGTCTGGCCACCACTGCCTGGGCTAGACGGATTGGTGATGCTGAACTGGCTCGGATGTAGAAGGAGCGTGTTTGTGTCTGCAATGTCGAGTTGTTCTTTCTCTCTCATCAATCTCTGTTTGCGGGAGGAGAGCTGCTGTACGAGTCGTTGTCGAAGGGTGTCTGCTAGGTAGTCGCACTCGGTTGCCGCGAGGTGTAATCGATAATCGCATTCATGCTTGATCCTGTCAAGACGCTCCTGGTGTTCGTTCTATCCTATAGTGAGCGACACGACACCGGAGGCCCCAGATACACGAAACCTACCATAAGTTGCGTAAGTTCAATGTCCCGTGCCTCCTTTGCCTGATTGATCTCTTGAACAAATTCAGAGTACCATTTGCCTGCAAGCGATGACATTTCTGATTGATATGGTGTTCCCGCAGCTGCAACCTCAACGAGGCCGGTAATTGCTTCAGGCGAGTCGTCCAGCGGCTCGGGATTATAAGGATCGGCTTGAGTGATCAAGTTCATATCGTGTTGAAGAGCGACGATCTGTTTATGGAAGTATGCGCTTCGGTTCTCCTTAAAGTCGTTACTGAGATCCTGGAACTGCGCCATCTGCTGGTTGCGCTTCCTGTCTCTTTTTGAGATAGGCTGGGGAGGAGAACGTCCATGCATTGTTGGTGAAGTCGGAGAGGGAGAATTAAACGCCATGATGGATCTTCAAACCAAGGAGACATCCAGATCAAGGACCGTGCTGGGGAGGGCTGTTGCGTTTACTACGCAGAATAGTTCAAGGAAGACAGATGACTTAACTAACTAGCAGTGAGCAGGGGAGCATTTGGTTCCTGTTTTAGCGTCAAGCCCCATTGGGGAAATGACGTGCGGGGGTTATTACAGTGACTTTTGCTGCGGTCAAGTCGAGCCAGAAATGTGAGCATAAATGTGCTGGAAGTCTTCAAGTAACAGGTGCCTCTTTGAACAGAATCTTAAAGTTCCAGACTCATTATTCTAATATCACAGGTGCGGTACATGCATACTTGCTAACACAAGATTTATAATGCTGACAACTCCCTCTCCCAATATCAGGCCACTAGCCAAAACAATGACCCTCGTCTCCCCTTCTCCCTCAGAACGCCGTACCCACCACCAGTTGATCAATCCGCCCACAGTCCGCGCCAGTGTGAAGCTTGGAGTGTTGTACATGCCGACCGCAACGGCTATACCACCCGGCACATACGGATGTACGCTTCGTAGCGAGCTTGCTTCATCTTGCTCTGAAAGATATATGCGCAAGGATGTCAGGGCCACAAAGATGACACCAGCGCCAAGAGCAAATTGCCACGCCATTGGAGGTAGACCCTGACCAGTAACTAGTCGAGCAGTGAAAACCCAAACATATGCCGTCGGTACCTGGAACATCTCTCCAGGTACGGCGTAGACCGAAACGTAGAGTTTGTACACGGCCGCAGAGACGATTGCGCCAACGACACTCCCAATGACCTGGCCATAGAACTGCGCTTTGGGACTTGCGCCAATGAGGTGACCTGCCTTAAGATCCTGCAGCATGTCACCGGCCTGGAGTGCACCACTTTCGGAGACCGCTCCTGCAATGAGATTGATAATAATGGCATGGTCGTGGTGTTTGGACGACTTTGGAGGCACAACAAGCGCAAAGAATAATTGCGTGAGCTTTGAGATACCCGAAACTGGATTAAGGTCTGTTTCGCCAAGAGCACGGACACCCATGATGGAAAGAAGCATGGCGATGACGGTCGACAGAAGTGTTAATGAAATTGATATATAAGAGCCGAAGGTTAGCTGAATACAGAGAACACAGAAGATTAACGTCAAGGGCAGTAATATCGTGATAGTCTTTGTGGAAATGAGGTGATGAGGTGGAGCGTCGTCAGCTAGCACAGATGGCATCCCGTCAGAGGGCGTTTTGCCAGGGGACGGTCGCTGGTTCCTGAGCGCTGATGGATCCCCCGTCCCCACTCTCATGTAGCCTCTGTATGCTGGTCCTAAGAACAATTCTTTCCACGATCTGGAATTGGCAGAATGGTCCTTAAAGCTGCGACTCCAGGCTGGAGCGTGGTGCACTAACGGCTTGAGGACTAGCCAGGCCATGTTGATGATGGCATCTGCGAGCATGATGGCAAGACTCACCCACACAATCCAGCCTTTGCTGCCGTGTTCCCAATCAGAGGTCTTTCCAGGAGCATATCCTCGATTCTTTGCAAGTGGGCTGAGAATGCCCCAACCAATGATGGCCCCAAGCAGCATATGTACTGTGGTAGCAGGTCCCATTATTACCCCCTGACCTACATAGGCAGGCGAAGGATTCAGTGTCCAAAGCCAAGCAGATGCCAGCGTCGTGCCAAAGATAGGGATGTGGCGAACGGAGGGAACGAAATACTGGAACAGGGTATATAATGCTGAGCCGGCGAAAGCAATGAGCAGAAGTCGAATCTGTGCTTTCCAATCTGATTTATGGTCATACTCCGAGTTCTTCTTGGATATGGTATGGTCTGATTCCTCGATCTCGTAGTCTTCCTGGAGCAAAGCATGAACCTCCTCGGTACCTGCAGTTTCGATCTCATTGTCCTGTGCTCCCTTGGTTGCCCCATGTATTACTCCAATCATCAACGCCGTTGCAGTGCCGCTTGGGAACTTGAGCTTCTCTCTGATTATGACTTCTTTTCTCAATGGTACAGCAAAGACCACCCCAAAGAGACAGATTCCCAAGCTCCAAAGCATCAACCTGCCTATACCCAACTCAATAGGTGCGCCTTCTCTTTTCTTGAGCAGAAATTCAAGAGCAGGTATCACGCCCACAAAGCCACAGCCAAGAGGCATAGTTCCAACAGCTCCAGCCACGGTCTGGACAAGCACATTCTCCACAGGCGTAAATGGTAGAGTAAGGTGCTTCGAGATGGTTTTAAAGAATCCGAACCCAATCAGTGAAGCCGGCATAGCCATTCCAGATACCCAGCCAGTCTGGAGTCCGAAATAGGTGTTGGAGAAGCAGATGATGACACCAATGACCAGGCCAACCAAGGTACCTCGGAAGGTGAAGTTTGTGGCATCTGTGGCAGATTTCGATACAGCTAAATTGCGCGCATAGCATCCAAGGTCACTGCGGGTCTTGGTCAGGGTAGGCGATTTCCTTCTAGACAGATCAGTCTCGCAGTATTGCGCTGTTCCATGGCTTGCAACCTCATGCTCGAGAGCTGAGTACTCGTGGGAATCATCGCTTGGTCCACTCTGTGAGGAGCCTCTATCGGGGGCCATGCTGTGAAAGGTAGGTGAGTAAAGACGGATCTCATGTTCTATGAAGGATGCAGGATGGCGTGTGCTCATGGGCCGAAGGGCCGAAACTTCCCCCACCACACCCAATTCTAAGTACAATCAACGGGAGTAAAAGCATGTCTATTACATGCCATCCGCAGCGCGATTTGAGCTTAATCAACTCAATTCATTGGAAGGCGATGCGATTATCTTTTGTCTTAGTGGTGTGATCCAGATGATCATACTGGGCAATTCATAGAAGCATTAAAGGGATGAACAGACCCCATCAGTTCAACGCTACAACACCAAATACGTTGAACACTAGTCGATTGATACTCGCCGATCAGCTAAGTCTACCATCTCAAGAAGGGTGTGGCTCTGTTGGCAGCAGCCGAGCTGGTCGACCCAGCCATCCCAGACCCTGAAGCAGATCCATTTGGAGTCACAATGCCAGCAACGTTGGGAAAACTTGTTGCCGTCGGCTCTATGTAGGTTCCATTCGAGCTAGACGCCTGACAGGAGTTGGGCACAGTATTTGCAGCAGCCTCACCCCAGGATTGCGGCAGCGTGCTATTGCGCGCAAACTCCATGGTCAAGAAGCTCGCGTATGACCACGTCAGGTCTCGAGCAGACACCGCTGTGCCGTTCTCACGAGAGAACTGTTCTGCTAACGACCCATTTTCAGGTGTATATTCCTGCACGACAGCGACGAAACCATCAGCATAATCTCGAACAGCTGTTGTGAGAGTTGCAAATTCAGGAGAGTTCGAAGCGTAATTGCCATTCGTTGTGTTTGTGCCGAGGTCACTGAAAAATCCTGCATTCAGGTTGTCTACAGTGATGCTGCCGGTGGCGTTCCACTGATGGATTGCCGAGTAGAGCTGTTCTGCCGCCGCTAATGTGCAAAGATACCATGGGTTACCCTCATAATACCTGTCCTCTGTATATCGGCCAACAGCGGCTGCTTCACCAGGTCCCAAGTTCGAGTTGATGGTATATACGTTACGGAAGGAGTCGACAACCGCTTTATGATTCGCCAACGCTCGAGAAGAGCATGGCTGGAAGGTCGAGTCTGTGCAGCCTCCTTCAGGGTCGTACATGTGGATGGAAGTCAAAATAGAGTTACAATCCAGGCCACTGCGTTGATAATCTCCTTGTAAATTGATGTTACTGACGATAGATGTGCCGTTCCAATAGTTCTGGAGGAAGCAAAGAGTATTGGGCGCTTGCGAGTCACAGCCATCACAAGTCTCGCCTACCGATTGGGCGAAGTTAGCACCCTCAACAAGGGCTCGGTATTGTACAGCGGTTGTGAAGAAGGATGAGCCATTCACTTCCTCCCACAGATCGAACCCTGTCTGATTCCAGTACTGAGCAACGTAGCTGAGGTCGTTAGACACAATAGGCCAGATCACATCATGCACGGTTGCATTGTTGTCACTGCTAGCAGCCACGATGGCTTTGGAATATGCAATCAGAGCAATTGCGCGTAGAGCTGGGCCGTCTCGCTGCGGCCGGCCCCATTCTCCTTCGAAAGCAGTTTCATTGGTGTAATATTTGGGCTCCCCAAGACCCTGGCCGGATGCGAATGTGCCTGAAAGATTATCCACAGTTTGAAGCCTGCCCTGAGCCAAAATGTACTCCTGTATGAGAGAGCCAAGACCTTGGTTGCCCTGGATGTAGGAATCAATGAGGAATTTGATGGTCAGAGCGGAATCTCGTGTCCAAGTATAGAAGTAGTTTGGATCCTGCGTACTTGGGGATGCGACGACAATCCCAGAAGAGGCTCCCTCGACCAATGACCCATTCGCACCTATGTTGTTGAGAATTCCCTGCAAAGCAATTGGGCTTTGCCTGGCGATAAAACTGTTCACATCGTTGCTCTGTCGTGACAGCACATTGAAACCCGTTGCTCTTACAAGCTGTGATAGAGAGAAATCACAAAGCATGTACCTATAGTCATGAGTATTTGTGTGTTTGTAATTGCTTTTGGACGCGTACAACAGAACATCATTCCACAACATCATGACCGATTAGTAGTATAAAGGTTCCACTGGTGCGCCGAATAGTTCGACAGGGGTTCAAGCTCCGATAGGAACCATAACAAGAAGCATGGAATTCAACCACTTTCTGGACAACACTGATGACTGCTAGGTATGACAGAGGAAATAGAATGTTGGAGCAGACCCAAAGGAGATATACTTGTGAGTTACACAAATGAAATTGGTCTTGATAGCTCTGAGTAAAGAACAAAGTTTCTCCGCATTGGCCGCAGCCATTTAGCAAATTGACGTTTGATTGCTCCTGTCATCTGCCTCAGACACACTTTTTGATCCCTGACCGGAGCAGCAGCGACCAGGGGCCTAGGGGACGGAACGGAGTATCCACCTTTCTCAAAAAGACGCAACTCATGGTTGTGGAGTGACTCAATAAATTGATCCCTTTAGCACAGTAGGTCGTGGAATGTGTGGGAGAAAGTTATGCTTGCTGCCGAGGTTGATTGTCAGTAAATGGTGCCTGAGAGTAGTATGGGAACACCGGAAAGCGCTTGCGATGAAATTTCCCGCCTAATGTTTCAATGCCTGGAAGTACTGCATATCAACTTTCGGAATACGGAGTATTCAACGACTTATTGATGCATTAGAGCTTCTCACAATCCGAAGATAAAGTGTCGTTAGTTCTGGCGCAGTTGGTAAGTGGACTATTGCCTCCTTTGCAAATAACTACGCGCTGTCCTCAAATTCCACGTACTATAGTACCGAAGTGGTCGTATTTCTTGCTTGGCAATAATTCTCTGGCCTGCGGTGCTTTTCTGAGCTTTGGATGGATCAAAGGTCATCAGTTGTTCAACCTGTACGCAAGCTGCGAACGTTATGGGCAATGAATCAACTCAGAAAGCAACACCGCCTGGGCAATACGATCTTGCTACCAAGGGCTACCAGCTGAATCTTCGCCAACTCGGGCCAGAGATGAGAGAATAGAAGTCAAGCTAAGATCTATCGAGATCTAGTCCTCGTTACTTCGGTTGATATCATTCTTCCATCGAGACAACATGTCACCCATTGACTCTGTAGCGATCCCTTCCAACGAAGTCCTACTTCGCGCTCAATCACAATGGCTATTCACATCAGCAGAGCTTCTCCGTACTCCCAGTATCCTCGATGGCCTTTCACCAGCCCAAGAACACTCCAACCGATCAAAAGGGGTCAATTTCATCACGCAAGTGGGCATCCTGCTGAAGCTACCCCAAATCACCCTTGCGACAGCTTCGGTGTATCTACATCGCTTCTATGTCCGTCATTCGATGGTTGATCTACCCTCACGACCAGGCCTCCATCACTACGCTATCGCCGCTACTTCCCTCTTTCTTGCTACAAAGGTCGAAGAGAATTGTCGGAAGATGAAAGAGCTGGTGGTTGCTTGCTGTCGAGTGGCTCAGAAGCAACCAAATCTGGTAGTGGATGAGCAGAACAAAGAGTACTGGCGATGGCGAGATACCATCCTAGTCAACGAAGACCTCCTTCTAGAATCCTTATGCTTTGATCTCCAGCTCGAACACCCTCACCGGCTTCTCTTCGACATCTTGTGCTACTACAATGTTCAGGATAACAAGCATCTTCGCAACGCAGCCTGGGCTTTCGTCAATGATTCAAATCTTACCACGCTCTGTTTGCTATTTCCGGCAAGGACGATTGCCGCCGCAGCTCTATACGCCGCAGCCAAGCACACCGATGTAGCTTTTCCTGATGATGAATGGGGCCGACCATGGTGGGAGCAATTAAGTCTTGATATTGTGGAGTTGAGGAAAGCGTGCTCAGTTTTGGCAGAAGCGTATGAAGAGAATCCGCTCCCGAGGCAGGGAGAAAAAGGGTTATATGCTAGAGAAGAAGACGACATCGATGAAAATGGTGCCAAGACAAGGTCATCCCCTCTTACTACCACCACCACCACCACCAATGGCAATGTTCAGTCAAGGGCCCTGGAGGAGGAGAGACCTGTGAGTATGAGCGAAGGTAGTGAGGAGGGGGAAGTGTGATTGATGACAGCTGATGTCAGCCATCCAGCGGATATGAAGACATGCTTTGACGACTCATGCATCATGGAATTTGGCGCCACTAGTACGATACCCCTTGACTCGAATCAACTCTTCTTGCTGCGATACCTGATTGATAGAAACAAAAAGTCATGGTTGGCCTTTAGATAACCCTTGGAGAGCCCAAATAAGGCTCCACATTCCATGGACTGTTCAGTTTAATGCGGAAATAGGAAGTTGATAATGCCGTTCTCTTTGACCTATTCTCTTTGAACTGGATCAATGTTGGTCTCAAGGTCACGTGACATGAAGGGTCAGTCGAAATCACGAGCATTCTTTGTTTTATTGATGACAACAAGCTCCCAGTGATGCATACCCATGCTGTCTTCTCCCTGATTACAAAACAGTTCTTAGTCTCCTTGCTGCAGCAGACAATCCTCGTCTTCCTTGTCTGGACTGTTGTATGCATAGGATACCGCGCAGAGACGGGGCCTGCACTGCTGTGGCTTTCCCTTTGGCTGCTAACTAAGCATGATGGCTGCAGCACTATAAACAACCAGCCCTGTCACAGGCTGTTAGGCTGTTAGGCTACTAGCCATTAAGAATGAATGATTGATTGAGGGGTTGGCTCCCTAGCGTTGCGGCAGATCAATCGGCTGAGCCCACAGCGTAAATTCACCGCCCATTCTCTCTCCCACGGCCAGTTCGCCCTTTCAGTGCTCTCACACAAATTTGAGACTCAGTACCTCAGCCAGAAAAAAAGTGAGTAGTAAAAGTCCGATCCCTCACCACCCAATTCTCCACCACTACAAACCCCCCTTCAACTTTCACTTTTTATTTCTCAACCATTCCACCACCACTTTCAAATCTGATGAATGCTCCTCAATTGCCCATCATTCAATGCCTGATCAAAACCTCACTGTCGCCGACCTTCTCTTCATTGACTGACAAGATGCGTGATAGCATTCACTGCTCGGATTGCAGAACACGGAATCGATAGCTACTGCCACAATATATTGTAAGTGTTTCTGCACAATTAATGTGTTCCTGCCTTACAAATCTATACGCGCACCATTGTTTTGGTCCTACATTTTATGCGCTACCCATTGCCCGTAATCATAGCACCTGCCTGCCTCTTTACCAACCCAGTGCAGCTTGACTACCCCCATCTACATTGCATTCTCCTCCGTACCTGTGCTTAGCACTCAACCGTTCTTGAGATCTACTCAACAAAATGGCCAGAGCAAAGGCAGCACTGACTGAGTCCAAGTCGAAGACCAACTCCAACGCTCCCGTGTCTGTCGATATGCCCAAGGCGAAAGCTACCAAGAAAGGCACCCGTGGAGACGGTGGCAAGAAGAAGAAAGGTCAGCAACCTCCAACCTCACCGCGCTCGCATCCTTGCTTACTGCCCTGTAGATCCTAACGCGCCAAAGCGGGGTCTCTCAGCCTATATGTTCTTCGCCAATGATCAGCGTGATACCGTTCGTGAGGAAAACCCTGGTATCAGCTTCGGTATACTTCAGAATTCCTGCTCGTCTCGATTAAGTCTGACCGCGATGATCAAACAGGCCAAGTTGGGAAAGTCCTCGGTGACAAATGGAAGGCCTTGAGCGCGAAGGATCGCAAGCCATATGAGGACAAGGCAACAGAGGACAAAAAGCGCTATGAAACTGAGAAGCTTGCTTACCAAAATGTACGTCATCTATACGCAGGGCAACATGATCAAGCTGACACCAAGCAGAAAGACGAAGATGAGGAGGAATCGTCCTAGTTCGCCGTCGAAAACCCATCTAGTCGTTGGAGATTGGTGCAAGCGTCTATCAAATTAGGGTTGACCTCGACGACAGCTCTTGTTGTGTTTCTGCCCCAAGAAGGTTTGGTTTGCTATCATGCTTGCACGTGGATGGAAACAGGGATATGGCGAATGGTTTCTAATTAGCTTGTGATCTGCGGACAATTCTCACCGCTATGGATCCCCAGCAGACTTGAAGGTCTGCCCAAAGGCTGGGATATTAAGGATCCGTAATAGTGACTTCACAAAGGTGTCAGTGTATATTAGCTTTCCAATCGCACCATATCTACCTCAAAATACTTTATTGGTCAGGTCTCGTAGTTTGCGCCTACAAGGAGGGACTCGCCAATACTTCACGCGTTGTTGTTGTTTCCTATTCTCGCGTCCTGTGGGACCAATGATCAATTGCCCAGGCGAAACAATGATGATAGAAACCGAGAGGCCACTTACTAGTACGTCTGTGCCCTCGCAAGTTTACTACGTATCTCTGGTACCAAATTAGATCTCCATTACAGATGGCTCTAAAGCATCAATCCTTCGAGTTCTGCCTTAGGCATCAATGGGGCGAAAGCTTCTGCCAACGTCGATATTTGATCAGCTAAAAATCTATAAAGACCAGAGACATCTCTCAATGTCCCGTAAGATGCTGAAGACCTCAACTTGACCAAGCATCCTATCAGCAGGAGCATTCTCACATTCGTCATGAAGACTTCCTCTGCCGATCTCTGATTGGCTACGATGAAAAGCAGCTGCTGAACAATAGTCCACCCATGAAGACTGGACGTCGTGCATAACATTTCCCCGGTGTTTCGTGTGAAACAGACGAATACAACAGCTGCTACCATCGAGCGCAGGCGAAAGCAGAGTTTTTACTCAAAGAGTGGCGCAAAGTTTGACTACATGCTCCAACGGATGTGCTATCGAGTGTCAATGTTCAGACGCCTGAGCTTGACTGCTCAACTGAAGACATACTTCCGCTACTCAGATAAGTTTTTTTCAAATTGATAGGAGTTTGGGGGCAAGTGCTGTTACCCTGCGGGACAAAGCATGAATACAGAAAATTAAAGTTCTTCCGTGCAGGACGCTTAATGTGGAGCAAATCGGCAGAGACGATGGCGTGTTTCCACCATTGGCTTCGGTCACTCTCCGACTGACACGTCAACTCCACCCAGAGCTGGAGGCTCTCCAGCAACATGTGTGACGGATCTTGCGCTCCTGGCACACATTGCAGCTCAATGCTTCGCAGGGGTCAGGAGCTGAAAGTATGCCAGCTCTGCTCCCTAACGACTTCGCGGGACGTTTCCGAATGTTGAGAGCCTCACTTTGATGTTGCGACTGTCACCATGACTTTGGTAGCGTATGCGGAAAAAGCTGAAGACATTGCCGAAGCTCTCAGCAAATTCAAGACCCATGTACCGGATCACGCAGCAGACATCACCGCTTCGATAGCAGAGCTTTATGCCATCGGATCCCATCTGCGCGCCATTGACAGTGCGCGTAACTCTGCCGAGTTCCATGGAAACTTTCCACTGATTGAGAAGGATCTGAGACTTGTCTGTTCGAGCCTCGATAACACCGTGGAGGACGTTTTCGATATACTGGGGTACCTGGGCAATGGATCACCTGTGCCCAATGCCGGAATGTACCGGCAGAACTGGAAGGACATCTATTATTTCTTCATGCAGAACGGACGGGTCGCCTTGACGATGCGCCTTGAGATATACAGACGTTTTATAGCGGAGCTAGCCAGTATTATGAAGAGGTTCGTGCCCACCACCAAAGCCATCTCGTTATTTGTGCTCATCATTCGAAGAACCCAAGGGCTCCTACTCTTAGGAGATCTTCGAGATGAGATTCAAGCACTGCTCCCTGCACAACCCAGATTGATGGAAGGTGGGAATCAGATGTCACTCCACCCACGATGTGCGTGTGTCCTCAATGGTGTGTGCCCTAGCTGACAAGCCCAGCGCTGCTCACGAGGCATCGCTCATTCGAAAGAGAAAGAGATCCACCTATCAATCCCCCACCGTTACAGACCAGTCCTCGAGATCCCTTCCCACCAAGTGCACCAGAAGTACCAGGATCTCCTAGCACAGGCACCCAGTTTACTAGCTCAAGTTCATCAACTAACTCGGACAGTGAGCATTGGGCAATGAAGGTCTTCCTTGATACATCGACGACCCCGTTCAATAGGACAGGCAATGGGTAAGTGCGTGAAGGGGTACTTTATTAGGAGAAGGGCTGAATCGGTGTAGTTCGAGATGTTATGGTGAACATACCCCAGAAGCCCGCGCACGCCTCGAAGTAGACTACCAAGATATCTTGGAGATCACGTTTAGCGGCCAGAGCGAGCTCACCGTTCGACTGTACTGTCGTGAAGGTGATCACCGCGCCCGAATTCTTTGCAAATGGCCTCGTGGCTCGGGAGGGAGCAAATATTCTTGCCTCCCGTTGAATCTCCTTGAGTTCCACCGATCGGAATCATCGTTACAAATTTGCATGAAGAGACATGGAAGTTCGAGACTAGATCTCTGGGCCAATTTGAACTTCAGCACCATCGAAAGTATGTCCCAAATATATGGTTCGTCGATTTTTATAGGAGCAGAGTTAATGTTGTCTAAGGGTTGGTTATCTTTCACTGCACGCTACTTTCATTGCGCGGCCATGATGCCTGTAAGCCGGTCACGAATATTCAAGATTACGAGCTCGCAGGCGAGAAAGAATATTTTACAGGGTAAGGATCCGACCTGCCGTACCCTTTTCCATCGATTGCGCGACTAACATCCACCGGATAGTAAAATTATTGATGATGATTACCTTCATGCCCTACGCATCTATCGAGATCGCGATACGAAAGCCGTCCGGTTGCACGCCTCTGTCCATAGAGGGGAGATGAAGAGGTACGCGCAAACCACAACCCTCTATGCTTGCTGCACCAGAAAATTTGATTGATTGACTTGGTGCCAGGACGCCTGTCTGGACCGCCTTCATTACTCACTATCTTCTCTCTCGTACCTGGTTGCGTCGTGCTGGGCGTACATTGGTCTACATTCGAGAGCTGAGGCGTCATGTATTCTCATCGGAGTATATGCCGCACATGACGGGTAGAGGGGAACATGTTTTGAAGTTCACTTCTGAGGGAGGTAAGTCTTGAAGATTTTACCGAATCTGATTGACGCTGCACGCATGGACTGATATGAGCAACTTACCCAGATACGGATGCCTTCATGAGCACCATCTATGATCTTGGAGAGCCACCGCCACCCCATGCCAGAGTGCAGCCACCGCCACAGCCGTAGAGTTTCGATTCTAAATATTGACATGCGGATGTCTCCTACCTCCTATCTCCGGAAATATCGAGATCGCGCGAGGTTGACCACCATGCTCCGCTGTTTCGGAAATCACCATATTCACGTGCACACCTTTTCTTATCACTACTATCTAACGATGACAACGATGCCTATGATGATTGAACGGGGCCACGACATGCTCATGATATGCAGTATGCACACGACTCAGACACAGACACTAATAACCACCAAAAGCCCTCCTCTCTGGTTCAGTTTGATATACCATGCTTTGCTTTCGAATGACTTTATATTTGTCTTTTTGTGTTCAGGTGTACTGCAGATAACTATTCAGCATTTCAACCCGCTATCATACATTCGTCGGTAACTGTGGGGACGATGGCGGTCGACGATCAACCCGCGAGAGCCTTCTTATGGTGTTCCCTTATGGTAGCACGTGCATAATATCTCTTTTTTTCTTTACACATGCATCTTTCTTTTGAATCCGCCGAAGGAAAACATTCACTCCGATGTATGCAAACCCCATGAATAGTGAATAGTGAATAGTGATTAGCTGATTTTCTCAATTCGTCGCGTGTGCAGTATATAAACATGCTATTTCTCATTCATCGACTTTTCTATGTACTCGTAAAGACCATACTGGTAGATCGTCCCTGATGATTAGGGTTTCCCTTGCCAACACTACCCAAGTACAGTAGTACTGCAGCGTAGAAGGAAGACAGTTGCCGAGGCCCGGGAAACTCTTCTCGGAGGACGAGGGAGCGGAGTCCGAAGTAAGGATAAGTGTACTTAAGTGTTCGTGGGATGTCGTCATCGCTCCCCTGTTTCATTAGCTGCTAGTGTTGTACATATCATGCTTCAAGATACGTCGTGTTTTCCAGACTTTTCCAGACTTTGCCAGACTTTGCCAGACTTTTCCAGACTTTGCCAGACTTTGCCAGACTTACTCCCGGTGCGTAGTACATAGTCTGATTAGTGAAGAATGCCAGATGGCGTTGCAGGCCAGAACTGCTCAGGGAGGGTACAGCAGGTGTGCTCGGAGAAGAACAAAGCAACGCAGGAAGATGATCTCCTCAAGCCGGTGAAGAGGTCTTTGAAGTCCAGACTAGTTTCTTTTCTATGTTATGTGCCGTCTCGTTGTCGATATGATCCGAACCAACCTTTCGAGTTCTCCATTGGCCTGAATCTTCTATTTGGTACTTACAGCGCTCAGCCCTTTCTCTTTCAAAGGCTATTGCTCACTTGTGTGTGTGCATTTTCTAGCCTTCGCAGGATGTTTCACCGTCGCAAACCTATATTACAATCATCCCATCCTCCATCTGCTGGCGCGTGACTTTGGTGTCACGGAGTATCAGTCTTCTTACGTGCCAACTTTGGCTCAGGCAGGCTATGCCGGTGGTCTTTTATTTCTGTGTCCCTTGGGGGATCTACTTAGAAGAAGGCCGTTTGTGCTATTGCTGGTATGGTTCACCGCGACTGCATGGTATGTGAAGCCTTCGGATCATATCTATTCCGTCCTTGACCATGGCCTTGTACTCATACTCAATTCGACAGGATCGGGCTCTGCGTGACCACCTCCTTTTCCGTCTTCTGCGCGCTCTCCCTTGTCACATCTCTGTCCACCGTGACGCCGCAGCTCATGCTTCCATTGGTGGGCGATCTGGCGCCTGCTCATCGTCGTGCAGCCGCGCTCTCCATAGTAGTCTCTGGGCTCCTTCTCGGCTTACTCGTTGCTCGTCTGCTCTCTGGAGTTGTGGCCCAATATGTCGGGTGGCGCTATATCTACTGGATATCTTTCGCCTTGCAATACCTGATTCTTATCCTGCTTTGGCTTTTCATGCCGGATTACCCGTCTACAAACCCTGTCAACAGCTGGGTGGAACTACTGCAAAAGTATCCGGGCTTGCTTTTTGATATCATCAGAATGCCGTTTCGACACCCGGTTCTGGTGCAAGCTTGTGTATTCGGCTTCTTGACCAGTAGCACATTTAATTCCTTCTGGACAACCCTAACTTTTCTGCTCTCTTCCGCGCCTTACAACTATTCTTCTCTGGCAATCGGTCTCTTCGCTTTGATAGGCGTCCTCGCCATGACATGGGGCCCATTCTTCGCTCGAACCTTCATGGACAAGCATCATCCACTATTTTCCGTACTCATCGGCACAATGATAAACCTCGTTGGGATTGTGGTGGGAACCTATACCGGAAAGATCAGTGTTGCCGGTCCTGTTATCCAGGCACTTTTTGTCGACATTGGCTTGCAGACCAGTCAAATTGCCAACAGAACTGCAATTTACCAGGTTGAGCCAAAAGGTCGGAATAGGGTCAATACCACCTTCATGGTCAGCATTTTCGGCGGGCAGTTGATGGGCACCGCCGTGGGAAATAGACTCTACGACCATGGTGGGTGGATTGTGTCAGGCTCGGCAAATGTGGGCTTCACCTGTGCCGCATTACTTGTCTGCCTGCTTCGGGGCCCACATGAATCCGGCTGGGTCGGGTGGAGTGGTGGGTGGAATATGCGGAAGGAAAGACATCCGCTCGAACCTAAGGTCACCGAACCAGACGATGTAGAGAAGCAAGCTGAACGGAGTCCTGAGGCCGAATCAGAGAAGAACTCCAGGGAGATTCCAACACGGGCTGAAGCCTGAGAAAAAGCACGGCAAAAAAGGAGGACGGATGAAATGGCATTGCACATACCCGTCTCAATTGATTCGCCCAAAGCAACAGCATCTCCAAGCCCTAAGGTTGGGACATCTAGCAAGCCAGCTATGCCTAAAAGGACAAGACCTGGAGCCCATGTCAACCTGAGAGGAAGCTCAACCCAATGGTCTGCAGAACCGCTACCCCAAACCCAGCTGAGGATGTCAACACCACCATTAACAATCAAGGGATAAAGACGGTGTCCCTCGCCTTTCCACAACCACAGATGTTACCATGCCGCCGCTCCAGTCCAACTCCAAGCCAGCAGCAGGAAGACATGCAGCCGCCCACCACGAGAAATCAACTAAATAACAGCCCATTCCCATGTCACAACGGCCATCGAACGAGCACGCACCGTCCTGACTCAAAGATTATCCGTAGCAACATGCGTGTGCAACCGCCGAGTTGGTTTGATCCTCAGGTCCGCAACAGAAACCCACCCTAAGGAGGTGACTGCCGAACGCCCCACCCTCCTCCCACCAACAAAGTGGATACGGGAGACCAAGAACTACAGCTGTCCTAGGTACTCTATGACCTGGCGGATAGATACACAAGGGAGCCAAAGGTCGGAAAAAGGGTGGGATAGGGTCCAGACCTCTTGGGATTTCACATCCACGTCGACGTTCACAACTAACTAGCCTACCTACGCCCGTACATGGGAACGAGGTCGATCTAGCAGGATCAGTGGATTAAAAAGAGCTCGATGCACGCCGCTATGCCGGGTTATACTGTAAAGCATTCAGTCAGCCCCGGGGAGAGGGGGGGCCGGTAAATCAATGGTCCAGACTTCACCGTTCCCAAGGGCCCTGACACAGGTACACCAGGGCCCTGAAGAAAAACCACCCACCCAAAAAACCTTTTATCAGCGGGAATCTGCACTGTTCCTCTGACGGTACGCAAGCATTTCTGAGTGGGCAGGTGGTGGGGAGGGGGAGGGGGCGATGCAATAGGGCTCTCGCTCCCACTAAGATATCAGTTAGGGAGTAGGGGTTGACAAAGGGAATATGGAGGAAGAAAGAAAAGGGGGAGGGGGACGCCGGTGTATACATGCATCGTCGGAAGGGGGAGAGACAAGATGAGCGGAAGTGGGAATCTGTACGAATGGGATTAGCCAGTCTACATGATTCACAGCCGAGCAGAATGGAGACGATGAACGAACCTCACCTCACCTCACCTCACCTCTGCCACCCCGTGGCATATAGCAAGCAAAAAAGGCAGTCGAGAATTAGGTCGTTCACTAGCAATATCATGACTGACTGACTGACTGACTGACTGACTGACTAATTGCCCAGCGATCTGTTCCCACCCCATCGAAGTGCACATGCACATGCATCGCATCAGCATCAATTAAAGCTACCATTCCTCCCCGCCCTGCCACCACCATCACAAGCGATACGCTCGAGAAAGGGAGAGAGACCGTTGCGCTCACCACTCATACCCATTCTCCTCGGATCGTATCCCGGCGAAGCCCCACCAGCACCAGCACCAGCATATGGGAGACTAGGCCAACCACCAGGAAACCCGTACCCTCGACTCATGCCCATGCCCATGCCGGGATGCATCCCCGCCCTGCCCCAAGGACTCACGCCCTCAGGGCCTAGACCTCGTCCAGCCCTCATCTGGCCCAGCACATCCGGGTTCCAATTCACAAGCCCACTCCCGTAGCCCAGCATCTCCAGCGGTGCCAACCCGCCATGTTCGCGTCTCCATGGAGACAGATAGGTTTCTTCGAATTCCGGTCCCAAGCCGTAGCCGAGACTTCTTGGGGCGCCGAGGCCTGGGAATAAATCTTGGATATGGAGCAGTTGGACGGCATATTGTTCGGCCAGGAGTCTGGCGCCGTAGAGTTCGAGGAGCTGGATCTGCTTGAGCCCGCGTAGCAGCTGGCGTTCGGCCGAGTTGATGAGCAGGAGACGTTCTAGGTTTTCTGGGTGGGGAAGGCCGTAGTGCTGACGGTGGCTGTCGATGAGGGGTTCTGCTGAAGATGTGAGTGCGTGTTGGAGTATAAGATAGAGGAAGGAGGTTGGGTGATCTTAGGGAATACGAATGGCGAGCAGTGTAATGACAGTAGACTGAATCCAAAGTGGCAGACAACTACTGCATCGAGGTCTTGCTTACCGTCCATATTGAAAAATTCTTGTAGCCTCAACGGCCTATCAAAACCCGGAGGAAACCGGCCAAGTGAGTCCATCATTGGGAGCAACATCATGCACTCGCCCGCTAGGCCAGCATTTCTTCTTCGCGCGATTTGATTGTTATGTCGAAGGACGTCCCGGTTATACGCATGAATCTGCTCGGGGCTCCACCTCACACCTCCAGGTTCCATACCTTGGAGTGGATAAGTGTAAGGGAGCCGCCAATTCGGGTCGGGCAATTCGAGATGATCTGCATCATCACACAGGTGTGGTAGACTCCTATATCGAGGGCTGTATGAAGAGGAGAGGAATGGCCCGTGTCTGTCGATGATAGCATCGTCCGAGGCCCCACCGAGGATGGATCGATGCCGAAAGGGGTAGCGTATATCAAGAGCATTGTCGTCATTAATATAGTGAGCGAGAGGGCGGTCCGAACACGATCGATGCGTTCGTTTGACGGGAACGAGAGCGTAGTCTCCACTGATAAGTCGAGCCTGAGGTGCGTGAAGTTCATTATCTAGATCATGGCGACAAAATGCTGGGTAATCGGCAAGGCAAGCCATGGAGAACCTGCTTGATTGACCGGGCTTGGAAAAAATTAAATGGCACAGAGATAAACATAAGGTTCCAAGCAAAGAAAGTACAAAACTTGACGAGATAGAGCAATTTCGAGGGGGGAATGAGAGATTTTTGTAGTCTTGCACTAAACAGGCTGCCAGCTTCCACAGCAACTACTATCGGTTCTGATGCATGTTAATGTACTGGGGGCGAATTTTGATGGACTGTAGATGAGGCATAGGCAGCGCAACGTCGCACAACAGTCAGACCACAGGGAGGTGACCTCGTGGTGTGCTCACCGTAGCTCATAGTCAACGCTTTGGATACGTTCCTCGGCAACGGCTCCAGCATCATTAGAAGACTATATGGTGAGGAAGATTCATGCAGGTCACAGCTAGAGTGACCGATCAGTGGGAAAGCTGCAGCAAACGAAAGACTTGATTCGTCCGGCGAACGTACTCAAATACTTCCGTATGGTCGAAGACAAGCAATGCTTCGAAGTAGCACTGTGGTAGCGGTACCAGACCGGTTTGGTAGCTTGACGGCTTTCAACAGTGTCTGAGGTACTTCGAAAACGATACTGTGCCTTTCCAAGGACTAACGGATGGAAAGTACCCCGAGGCCCACAGAATATGGACATCACTGGAGAGGCGTTGTTTGCTGCGACGTGACCGAACTACCGCCCCTCGCCATTAGCTCCACCACGAGCCGATGCTGACGGTAGTCCGCAAAGGGCTGGTATTAGCGAAAGAAGCGGTGTACTGATGAGTCACACACACAGTACTTCAGCAGACGATGCATGTTTCTGCGTGTTGAGTGGAAGATGCATGAGCGGAGAAACCGGATGAAAATTTTGCGGCACCTCTGAATAAAACCATATGATCGAGGCCGTCGAACCATTGTGGATCATCCATCAAATGCCACCCTGCTCGGACATGAATTCCATGGGAAAAGAGCCATAGATCTCTGTGATCGGAATTCCCATGCGAGAACATGGAAGAATCGAGGTAGTTTCAGGGCGCAGATGGCATGGTCTGACAAGTGTTTAGAAAAGACCGCGGCACTTTAAACAAGTTTGCTCCCTTTGCGTAGTACAGCACCGAGCTTGCAAAGTAATTTCTTTCCGAACAAAGCACACTCCAGCGAGTCGATAAGTTGCTCTGCGGTCATGACGTTCTTGAATTTTGATATGATGCGCTGGCCTAGGGTTTACTAAGACAACTGATAGGGGATTGAATAGCCTTGTATCCATTTTTGCTGTCCATCATGTTCGCTTTGAGGCATTTGCCCCAGAGCTGTGATTATGGCAAACCTTGTTACAGTAGAGATGTATTCAAGACACAGGCTCACTGCGTATGCCTCCATCTGGTGTAGCTGGATCTTCACCAACAGCTCCGTCCATGCTCTTGTCACTGGTGTTCCGACCATGTCTTCGCCTGAAGCCCTCTTCTCGTACCCGGCCCGGGCTCCCACTTCCCATGATGTCTGCGAGACTCAATGTGCGTCTGCGGGCGTCCTTGAGGCTAGGTGGTCGTGGTCGAGTTCTTCCTTGTGCTCGGCCACCCCAAACGGGGACCCAATGCCAGACCTGGCGGAAGACGTAGAGGAATAGATCAATTAGGATGGCAATAAGCCATGGGGCCATGTTGACAATGGCACAGAATATCTATAGGCACGAGCATGGTTAGTCTGTACTCCATGACAGATTGCCAACGCTCGAAAAGGGATTTATATTTATATAACTCCAATAAGCATCAGTACGTACAGCTATTCGGATGATCCAGGTTTCAACGACTGTCAGGTAGGGAGGAAGGAGTGAGTACCAGCCCATACTGGCAAGCTTGGAGGTTGCTGAACAGTTGTTAGACACATGAGCAGACCACAGCTCTGATTGATGTTTGTTTTCCCGGGAACAAAGAATGAAAGGAATTGGTGAATTGGTGAATTGTTGGCGGTCTGGGTTGAGCCTGTGACGATGTTTTCCGCATCTGCAGGGTGACTTTTTCATTGGCACATGTCAACCCCAATGCAACCATCAACCTCTTCCTGCCATTATCAACCCTCAAAGCATGCTTTTGTGCTACGGAGCCGCGGGAATATGGAATATGAGTTTCAACATCCACCATACCAAGAAGAGTAGAAAACTATCATTTGGTGGCATGTTATTCGTTGAAAGTGATGAGCATTACCTGCTAACCACGTTCTCAATCCAGCAGATCGGTTGGACATCGAACTCATCTCTCGATGACTCCTGTACGACAGTGCTTAGGTAGTTAACGCAGTGGCTGCTATCACTGAAGCGTTGGTGATTCCTCCTTTTCGTAAGTCTAGATCTATCCAGGTACGGATCCAAGCATGAGTATTCAGCCTATGCAAATGTCACATCATACATTCCCTGGTCCTATTGTGTGTATGATGGTGCTCATCTACAGTCTTACATAAGACGTCGTTGCATCCTTATGCAGGGCTTATATTATATTGCAATGAAAAGTATGATGATGCTAGATCCGCAACCTGCAACTCTGTCAACGTGGCAATTGAGTTACCACCTTTAGGCAACAAGAATGTGCACCAGTACAAAAGATTCTTTCTTCCTCTGTCAAGTCACCCGACCTCGTGCCCTTGAAGATCAAAGCCTATGGCCATGACTCTATCTCCTTCATCTCCTTCTCTCACTTCAGATCGCCTTCCTGTCCCTCAACTCGCGGAAAGACCAAACCCCTCCCTCCTTCATCTTCCCCTCGAGCTCCAATTGCGCATAATATCCAATCTCCCCTGGCCGGACCTCTTCGCTCTGAAGCACACGCATCCCGGTTTCTACCACAACATGCCCACCACTACCATCAGCCAGCGCTTAGATTGGCTCGTACGAATCTCCTGCGGCCCCTGTAGCCTTGGCTGGCCCCAAGGGAAAGTCAACATGGCCACAGACGCTGATTTTTGCCGCTCGCGTGAGATTCAGAGATCTCTGCTGCTGCGGCGCTGGCATCTGGCTTGTCCATCAAATGGCGAGCACTGTTCGCTTGTCCAGGGGAAGGACTGTCCGTCACCTGCAGACTTAGTGCCGAGAGGGTTGAGGGCTAAAACGGAGATGAAAAAGAGATGCTGGTGGAAGGCTGAGAAACTGTTGTTGGTTACAGCGTATTTGTGGTCGGTGATAGGCCTGCTAATCGCTGTGCTTGCGGCCTGGCTTGTGAAATAAACTTTGAGGCGACTTTGGCTCAGTAATTTTAAGGTAGAATTGTGAGTTGAGCGTCTGTCTGGATAGATGCTGATTGATGGATTCAGGTTCGCAAGCTCTCAACGGTCTGAAGTTGCAAGTGGTAGAACTTCCTAAAAGGTCTTGGTGAAATAATACTAGAGAATTGGGTTCCTGGGACCTTTGAGGCATGCCAATTGGGTCTCAAGTACCTGTACTCGGAACCCCAACCTCAAATGCATGGGTGGAAACATGCTCAACACAGCACTCTCCCAAACTCCACATGATTTCTGCTCTAGGTGATCATATCAGACGAAGAGGAGTTCTGATCCCTGCATAACCCTGCCTCATAAACTTGTATTTATTGGGTATAGCCTGCAACCGCCGGAACGCCTCCCTCACATGCTTCGGCTCCACTGGCGTCCTTCCCTCTTCCGGCATCTCAAATAACGATCCCATCTCTCTCTTCCGCTTCTTTGAATCCCCCGCGGTATTCGATGTGCGCTGATTGTGCAGATCCTCCGCCGCTTTGACCTTCAACGCCTCTTCGGTGAGCATCTGCACAATCTCAAAGGTCAGAAAGCCGAGGATATCGATCACGTCGTCGTTAGGTCTACTGTCTGTGACGATGCCGAAGCCGGCCCACTCCCGGAAACGCTTGGCTTTGCGGAAGGTAAATGAGGCCTGGCGGCAGTCGGAGAAGAAGACGTATTCTTCCCGGGTCATATTTCGGGTGCGTTCATCCGCGCTGGCGAGGCGGGCGAGAGAGGCCTCGTTTTGCTCTTCTTCATCTTCATCCTCTTCGTCTTCTCGTTCGGGTACTTGTTCCGAGAAATAGGAATGCACTTCCCATGGGAGGAGAAGCTTGGCCTTTTTGTTGGGCGCTTTTTTGGTTTCCATTGGTCCTCCAGCGCCGGGTAAGCCGACGGCCTGGAAAGGGAGGTGAGAAAAGTTCACATGGATACAGCGGAGAAAGGCAGCTTACATCATCACCAAAATCTGCGGCGTCGCCGGCATCGGCTCCTCCTTTGTCGTCAGAGTCTTTCACGTTCTTTCGTACATCTTTCCAAGAGAGAAATGTGCGTAGTCGGGAGACCTTTGCCTTGTCATGGCGAATTAGGAATATGAGATCAGCGACAGAGATTGAGCGAACGCCTCGACGATTAGCCAATGCCGTGGCTTGAGTTAGCTGCCAGAGGGTTAGCTATGGTTAAGCAAAGAAGGCCTCATTCTAGCCCAGAGATCTCGTAGACTTTTGAAGGTATTAGACCTGAGTGACGTACCATCTCAATGACCTGTTGTTTTACGAGTTCCTCTATCATGCCGGTAGTCTCTGCACTGGGTTCGGCAGTCTCTCCAGAGACAAACATCATCTGTTTGAAACACTCGGTTAGTCTCTCCTTGAAGCTTTCTTCGCTTTCGTCCTCCGCATCTTCGATCTGTGGTTTGGAAAAATGAGGATGAATTGGCTCCGATGGAGGTGGAATGTTAAAGATATCTGCTTCGCCTGTAGGTTCTGCGAGCTTTGTGAGCCCTTCCAGAAGGCTTTCCGTCATAGGTACACTGAAGGTCCGTTCAGACATCCTGTATTATGTACTAGCGGATGCGACGAACTGAGACTTTAATGCTAGAATTATGGAGTTGGAGATGAGGGCTTAAAGCTGGTCGTGGTTGATTTGCAGCCACAGTCCAGTATTGCGTCGCAAGGCCTAGTGTAATGCATTTCCCCGCCCGTCTCGTTTGCAGGAAACATATCTCTCTTTCCAGACGGCCATCTAGCTGGGACAACAAGTGGAAAACAAGAATGCATGGGGCACTGCCAGGCACGAAGTATGACCTAACACAGGAACGAGAAGCAGATAGCTTCATAGGGGTGATGAGAGGCGCTAAATTTTCTTGTAGATGCGGCAAACCATTCATGAGAAATAAATCTTACCTGCTGGATCTCCTGCCGATACTTTGCTGAACGTTCTCCTGCCATGTTCTGATACTGTGCTGGATCGTGCCAGGTGAAGGCAAGGCTAGCAGAGAAGGGCACAAAATGGGACTATGGCACAAGATAAGCCATCTGACTACAGAACGACAGTGTCACTGGTTTATGGGCATGATAGAGAAGGATTGAGTACAACTGCTGTTGATTTGCTTGGTCATCTGTTAAGGTAGACTATGGTTTATCTCCCACCGGCAAAACCTCGGTTCACTGCTTGCGACCCAGGCTGTACCACCACTCATTCCGGAAATCATCCTTCAAAGACTTTGACTGGTGGTTCCAGACATCAATTAACATTGGGCTGTATGCAAGATGTTGTATCTTGTCGGGCTTGGTCTCGCTGATGAGACAGATATCACTGTTAAAGGCTTGGAAATCGTGAAAAGAGCTGAGAGGGTGTACCTTGAATCCTACACAAGCATCCTGCTGGTGGACAAGAAGAAACTGGTAATTTCTTCTCACACGAAATACCTATATGAGTGAAAAGCTAACAGATATCTGACCCAGTAGTAGGAAGCTTTCTATGGCCGCTCCCTCATCACAGCGGATCGTGAAATGGTCGAATCCTCCAGCGATGAAATACTGAGTGGAGCAGAGGATGTCGATGTCGCATTCTTGGTCGTCGGAGATCCTTTCGGGTACACCATTATGTCCTCTTATCGGGGCGATGCTCATGCTAACTTTACTATGGTAGCGCTACCACCCATACTGATCTGGTTCTCCGTGCCCGAGAGCTCTCAATACCCTTTCAAGCAATACCAAATGCATCCATCATGTCCGCAATTGGCAGCACCGGCCTCCAACTGTACAACTTCGGCCAGACTGTGTCCATGGTGTTCTTTACTGAATCTTGGAAGCCTTCATCGTTCTATGATAGAATCAAAGAAAATGCGCAGATTGGCTTACATACCTTGGTCCTGCTCGATATCAAAGTTAAGGAGCAGTCATTGGAGAATTTGGCAAGAGGAAGAAAGGTCTACGAGCCGCCTAGGTACATGACAGCGGCGCAATGTGCGCAGCAAATGCTTGAAACAGAACATGAAAGAAAGGAGGGTGCTTACAACGAGAACAGTTTGGCCGTTGGGGTAGCTAGGGTTGGGGCTAAAGACCAGAAAATGGCGGCGGGGACGCTGAAAGAGCTATGTGATATAGATCTTGGTACTCCACTACATAGCCTCGTCTTGCTTGGAAAAAGAACCCACGAACTTGAAAGGGATTTCATCAGGGCTGTGGCAATCGACTCTGAAAGCTTTGACAAAAGCTGGCAGGCATTGAGCAGCCTGGACTGACAAGAGATGCAGAGAGAGCACGAACAAGGTATTGGTTTTGTGAGGTGAATAAGGATCAAGCCTGAAAAGGTAATATCTCTCGTGGGCATCAATCTATCGAATATTCCCTCCAATCACATGAGTGGTGTTTTTGTCTCAAATCTATAATATATGCTTGTTTTCTGGCATAGAGTAGATCTTCGTATCCATGCATAAGATCAGATTGCTTGTCCCTACACATCTCCGCTCCACCCCACCATGTCCGCTCCGCAAATCCCCAATCTTCACACTCTCCGTAGAGGTGTCGGCCGCAGAGGCGGTAGAGGTAGAGGGGTTGCATCTGGGGTAGCAGAAAGCAATAATGAGACCAACCAAACGAGAAAAGATGCAATAGTCCAGAGTACGGACACCGATGCAGCGACCAGCAGGTTGAGTGCTGTCGAAGCTGGCTACCTTGACGATCCATTTGCCAAATTGCTTACTCACGGTGGCAATGTCGACAGAAGGCTTCCGCTGATGAATAGAGGTTAGCATACCAGAATACCGTGGCGAGGATGCTGAGAGATGAATTTTTAGGTACATACGTTCGTACCGTCGCCATTGATCGCCTCGTCGATGAGTTTCTACGGTCAACCCGGAAATGCGCCAGACAGATCATCTCGCTTGGTGCTGGTAGTGACAGCCGCTTCTTTCGACTGAAGACCAAGTACCCGGATATTTGTCTCAGCTACCATGAGTTTGATTTTCCTACGAATACGGCTGCCAAAATTCATCAAATGCAGACTCCATCATTTGCGCATAGCTTGAAAGGACTATGTAACATGGACTTACCCTCAAGCAGCACGTCGCTATCGAACGACGGTGCTCAGAATGACTCGTTTCAATTGCAAGCCGACTCTTGCCACTATCATCTTCATCCTCTAGATTTACGGACTCTGACAAATCCAAAACGCAATCAAGACCAAATCAACTTATCTGGACTTGGCATCTCTCTCGACGTTCCCACATTGTTGCTGTCGGAGTGCTGTCTGATTTACCTCCCTCCTGAAGATGCGGATTCAGTGCTCTCATACTTCACCTCGGCATTCCACCCAGCGATACCCGTTGCCGTAGTCATCTATGAGCCAATACGTCCGCATGACGCATTTGGGCGAACCATGGTCTCAAACTTGACCGCAAGAGGCATCCATCTGCAAACGCTCCATGCACATGATTCGTTGGCGGCACAGAAGGAAAGGCTAGGGAAGCATGGATTGGGAAGCATGGCAGGCAAAGAGACTGGGGGCGCAGAGGCTGCAGATATCGACTTTATATGGCAAACATGGATAGAAGAGGCTGAGAAGGGGAGAGTGGAAGGGCTGGAATGGATGGACGAGGTTGAGGAATGGCGATTGCTGGCCCGACATTATTGTGTCGCTTGGGGATGGAGAGAAACTTCGGATAATGTTATCGACTCTGTCTTTGAGCCATGGGCTCAGCTGCCAATGCAAGATGAAGGAGCGTGAATCACGGAGCTCAATATGTCTGTAGTGGTCATTTCCCACTCATTCATAAATGATCAAGCTGTCAATTCAGACCTCTGCCAAGCAGGAAGAACTGGATCTCCATCTAGGTAACATCACCTGTGAAATCATATAGCGGCTGAACTCACTGGCCCTGACACCACGGCAAACATGATTTCTGATTCTCTATAAATTGCAATTCTTCTATCAATCATGATTAGCCGCTCAAATATTCAGATATTCCAGATAAAACGACAATGAACCGGCCAGAACCAGGGGAGCTAATTATTCCAACAATTCTCAAGTGGTAAAACGCGCATAACCTCTTCTACTCGATCCAGTCCTACCGATTGAACCCATCGAGAGAAGGTGGCAGTCTGAAAATCTTGTTCAAAATTTCGAGCAACTTGGACGTACTCGAAACACTGAATGGCATCGTTGAAGGGGCCCAATATCGGGAATGCTAGTCCAACGGCCTCGACCATCTCCTTGTTGTCTCAACTGTAATGTATATACTTCGAATGCTGAGGTTTGAGGATAAGATTGACGAGCTTTAGATATTCTCAAGGGAAAGAAAAGTAAAAGAATGCGAACATACATGTGTGAGTTCGCGGGGTTTGGAAGAGTACTTATCAGCTAAGGCTTCTATTTTAGGCTGTGCTCAGCCTCGACCAATCATAAAACGACATGATGTTCTTTAACTTCCGCATCTCAGCTGAAAACCAAAGATCTCACTCTGATTGAATCTATGAATACAGTAGACTCGGGCGCCTAGGTGTAACGCGCGTCGATCTGCCATCGCCCGCACATCCTCTTCTCCATCTGGACCACGTTACACTTCGAGAATGTCGTGATAGGTTCCGTACAATCAGAGCCCGACGTAATGCTGCGTGCGACTTCAACAATTTGAGAAGATACAGACAAACCTACCTCTACAGTATGGCAACTTCCACCCATCATGCGGCAGAAACCTTCAACACCACATTCGCGGGTAGGACGAACCATGGTCTTCAACAAGGCTCCTTCTCTGGTCAACAAACAAACAATTTTTATGCAGCTGGAAGCGGTAAGAAGCACTCCTGAAGATTGATACCATCTTAAGGACTGACCCTACTCGTACTTAGCAGCCTCATCGCTTCCACGACCTCTCCCTACTCCCTCGGCAATTATCCCTTTTCGCCGCGATCGCGATTTCGTCGAGCGAAATATCCTGAATGACGTGTGGGAACAAGTCTCCAAACCGGCGGCGCGCATTGGACTGGTGGGACTCGGAGGAGTCGGGTAAGGGCTTGTGAGGCGATGTTTACATGCGACAGCTGAAAGCAGGCCAGAAAGTCACAGCTCGCGATCGAGTATGCCTATCGAGTCCAAGAAGCCGATCCGAAGACCTGGATATTCTGGGTGCATGCGAGCAGTGCAGCCCGATTTGAGGAGAGCTACAAAAAGATTGCGGAGCGGGCACAGCTGGCCGGATGGAACGAACCGAAAGCGGACATTTTAGGTATGGTGTATGGATGGCTGTCAGACGAAAATAACGGGCGGTGGACGATGGTGGTGGACAATGCGGACAGCCGCGACGTTATGTTCAAGCCGTGGGATGGCGGGATCCGTGAACAATTACCACAAGCGACAACTTCGTCATCGGTGGGCCATTCATTGTCAGACTATCTCCCATCATCGGCTAATGGATCAATTGTCATTACATCCCGCAGCCGGGAGGTCGCAGAAGGGCTGACCGAGTATCCAGAAGACATTCTCGATGTGATACCAATGGACGAAGAGACAGCCGTGGCCCTTCTTAAGAAGAAGCTCAAGAGGCATGAAGAAGGTATAGCTCAAAATGACTCAATTGACCTCGTCAAACAGTTAGATTACATGCCGTTGGCCATTACTCAGGCGGCGGCATACGTCAATCAACGTGCCCCACGCATCACTGTTTCTACGTACCTCGAGACATTGAAGAGAAGCGACGACGACCAGGCTAAACTCCTACAGAAGGACATTCGCGATCCACGGCGAGACGGTCAGGCGTCAAACTCGATCATCACGACGTGGCATATCTCATTCGAGCATCTCCGGCAAACCCGCGACTCGGCAGCGCGGCTGCTAGCGCTAATGAGTCTCTTCGATCGCGAACGCATTCCTGATGACCTCCTTCGAGACCGATATCTCGATGAGCAGGACGCTGAGAGCGATTTTGAAGACGACATTATGATACTAAGGGCGTACCACCTGATTGGCATCAGCGTAAGTGACAACCGATTTGATATGCACCGACTAGTGCAGTTTTCGACAAGAAAATGGCTTGAAATTCATGACGAGCTGGTGGCGTGGCAGGAAAGATATGTTGATGTTTTGGGTAAAGCGTTTCCGACGGGAGATTATGCGAACTGGCCCACGTGTCAGGAACTATTCCCACATGTAGAAGCCATGGCTGGATATCAACTGACGAGCCAGGAGCACCTTCTTGTGTGGGCAACAATTCAGTACAAGGGAGCGTGGTATGCTGAAGTCAGTGGGTGGTACGGGGTATCAGAGAGGATGGCACAAGCAAGCGTTAAAGTTCGAGAAGCGGTGCTAGGGCTCAATGATGTTCGGACTTTGAAAAGTATGAATAATCTAGCATTAGTACTGAAGGCTCAAGGGAAGTACGATGAGGCGGAATCAATGAATCAACGAGCATTAGCAAGACGTGAGAAGGTGCTAGGGGTGGACCATCCTGACACGTTAACCAGTATGAGCAATCTGGCATCAGTACTGCAGTCTCAAGGGAAGTACGATGAGGCGGAATTAATGAATCAACGAGCATTAGCAAGACGTGAGAAGGTGCTAGGGGTGGACCATCCTGACACGTTAACCAGTATGAGCAATCTGGCATCAGTACTGCAGGATCAAGGGAAGTACGATGAGGCGGAATTAATGAATCAACGAGTATTAGCAGAATTTGAGAAGCTGTTTGGAGTGGACCATCCTGACACGTTAGCCAGTATGAGCAATCTGGCATTAGTACTGCAGGATCAAGGGAAGTACGATGAGGCGGAATCAATGGGTCAACGAGTACTAGCAGGATGTGAGAAGGTGCTAGGGGTAGATCATCCTTATACGTTGAACAGCGTACTTTGTCTTGCTAGGTTATTCGATGCAAAGCATGACCAACACAAGGCCCTTGAACTATACGACCGTGCAGTTGAAGGTGATATCAAGGTTCTCGGTCCAACACATCCAGACACCTTGCGATCTCAGAGACAAAGGGCATTACTATTGAAGAAGATGAACACCTCTTGACTGGAGTTGAAAATTTCCCACTTGATAAGCATGATACTACATAGAATCTAGCAAACAAGGAAAGACGCTTTTATCTTTAATAAATTTGTAAAGACGTACTGAAGTAATAAGTAATTGCGAAAAGATATCAATAAACAGCTATACCATAATATGAATATGATAATGAAATGCGCTTATTAATTGACGTGTGGATATGAGGAACTTGCAATGTATCCTCATGGGTAAGGCGGTTTCAGGAGCGACTGTAACCATGAGCTTTGAAGGGTGATGTGAAATACAAGTGTCCTGTGACAGTGGGATCCCAGGACCATCTTTCAGGCGTAGGACTATCGTACCCTGTACTGTGTTCCCAGGACCACAATCTTGTCTCGGGAGAACAGGGTCAAGGGGAGCCTCCGAGCCACTGGGAAGAATGTCCTAGGACAACATCACAATATTGTGGTTTTGGGACTGATGAACTGTCGAGGGAGAACCGTGGGTCTGCAAAGCAGCGGTTGGAGACTCTCTAAGTCACAGGACCATGTAGAGGTCCTGAGTCTGCCCCATGCCACTAGGATCCAGGGCCGTAATCTTGAATTCCTAGGCTAAGAAAATCGGTCCCAAGACCACCCGGAGCCGTATATCACGCCCATTGAACTTTGCGGATGAGCACCGATAGGGATTTGGCTGTTGAATTATGCCGCCTCTTCTTCGCTGAGTTAAAGGATGAGAGATCTTCAGGAAGCATCCAGGCAGCATCCAGGACAGTTCAGCCTCTTATTCTCGAGAGAGTTCGGTTTGAAAGACCGGGTTAGCTAGGAGCTGAAGAATCATGTTGCTTGGGCCTTGTGCGACTGTGGCCATGCTCGTCGATAAAGTGAAATTGCATCTCCTTGCCATCGGACCGGTGACTGTTACACTGAGAGTGAGGACATATAAGAGGCCAACGCCGTCCCACCAAGTATGAATCGACGTGCGCCTAGAGGAAATGGTCATAGCACCATGACTCGAACCGTTGCCCAGCCGTCTCAGAGATGTTTCCTAGGTAGAAAGGGCGATATCCTGGACGTATCAGGGTGTGGCAATAGGTGATTGTTCCGCATTTCTTCAAAGGCAGCTTTCGAAGGTGTGTCCAGCAGTGACTATCCAACACCTCTTGCCTAACGACCTCGTTGAAGCACAGATGGCAGTAATGGACATCAACTTCACAAAGAATGCCTTTTGCTTGCGGATTTTTGACGCACGCACGCATGCTTGAATGTGCTGGTTGCGGTCATCTTTTGACAGTCCAGAAAAGTCAGTAAGCAGCGTGGCAACCAGTTTTATGCGGGAGGTCTCACCGTTCGAGCGTCAATCGAAAACATTCTAGCGGACGGGCCCGCCAACGGGCCAACAGCCGGGATAGTGGAGTACTAAAGAGTCTCAATATAAAGAGTATAAAGCTCATCCATGGCGAGCCATTTGGTCTCTGCCGTCAGCCTTTCATCAGACGCCAACCTCTGCGCCAGGTGTACAAACTTAGGAAAGAGGAGACAAATTCTCTCAACGAGGTCGCTCCGACACAGGTCCTATGCGTGTTCTTTTCCCTGTGTGACGATCTCCTAAGCCCTGACGTTGTTGGATCCAATTTTCTTGATATTGGCGCAGGACACTGTCCTTCAGAGTCTTCAAGTAGCTGGCGAGGCGCATTTAGACTCTTTGAGGTTGAGAGATTCGTCTGAAACTTTCCGTACCTCAAACTCGAGCTCCTGTCGTTGACGATCCTGCCTTAGGCTCTCTTTGATGTGTACGAGAAGTACATGCGGTAGCTCTGCCTTTCGAGAAATTTCAAGACTTTGAAAATAGCCAACATGGCTATCGTCGACCTGTCCGCCAAGGAAGGCAGCTTGACCACCATGGACGACGTGTGGATGACATAGCTTTGACCAAAGATGTGTAGATCAGCGTAAGTGAGGTATTGAGACTACTGGGATCTTAGTGTGGATTGCGTTTATCTTCTTTGTTGACTATCGACGAATGGCATGAATTAAATTAGTACAGAAGTATCCCGCGTTACGAAATGTATTGTAGAGGATGTCTGTGGAGGGAGATCTGGACATGAGCTTATTTGTAGCACCATCAGCCTTAGTATACGGAGTATTTACGTAGTACGAAGGATTAGCTTGCTGAACATTGATTCTTTCAATTGTAGTACTAGTTTATTATCATTAGTACCAGGATGGGTAGAAATGACACCTGTCCACGAGTCAGAATTTCGGCATTTTGGGAAGACTGTAGGCACGACGCACCAGCAGAGGCTCATCCGGCCACCCGAAGGTGAGGGGGAAGAGTAGGTGAGCGCGAGGGTGAGGAGGGAGCGTCGCCAAGGTAAGCGCAGTTGGTGAACCATAACTAAACCTGATCTCTAAGAACCCTCAATCCTGTTTTCTTCTGCCGACCAAGGATCGAGATTACCGTTGGGAATAATCATTCCTTTGTAATACACGATTTTAGCTGTCAAATTTTGGATAACTTACCATACATAGTACAGGGACATGCGCTAGTCCCGATTTCGCACATCCTAGTCCTTATAAGGAAGGCCCTAGTCTAGATTAAGAAGTAACAAGCTTGGCAACTGCGAACAGGCTGGCATCCTACTCCAATGTTGAATATAGCGAAAATTAATACAACAGAAGCAGTGCCTTAATTGCAGCCAATTAATGCCATAGAAGCTCCGCAAACGAACAGAAACGCAGAAGAGGGTGCAGGGGAGGCCAGGGCGCTCCCAAAGGACCCACAACGCGTCGAAAACAGGCCAAATACGCCAAATATGGATATTTGGGCATGTTGAACTTTGAAAGTGCACAGTTTCGTTGAAAGGGATTGCAAGGGACGCTTTACTAGGCATTTCAATAGTAATTATCCCAATTCGACCCTAGCTGTGAGCTATCCTCCTAGCCGTAAGGAATCCCGTCAGGAATCGGTTAATTTACGTCCGACGAAGCGTACATTACAAACATACGAAAACGGACCTCGACCCCTGCTGCCTACCCAACATGAGAATCATTTCTTTTACCTCATCGCATCATGCACCCAAGATTCAAGCTTAGAGACATAAGACCACAGGACTTCTAGGTTTCGAAAACCATGTGGCCGAGACAGAAACTTAAGAAGAGATCATCGTCTTGCTGTGAAGATCAAATTTATGGCCACAGGGCTAAGCCTTTAGCGCATCAATAGTCGAGCTGTCAGGTGAAATTGCAGCAGCAACGGGCGACAGGCCTCGCGGTTCGAAAGAATGATTGCTGGCGAATCGCGAACTCGAACTAATCAGCTGAGCCCCGGATTAACAAGCTCGCCAGTTTCTCGATGAGCTAGCTTTATTATTGGTCTCCAGCTTCGACAGCGTTGCTTAATTTCATTTGCCCCTGATTCTAGCATGATGGAACTGGGGTCGATTGCACCAACAAGAACAGCCGGCTCCTATGCCATGGCCAATCTGATCAGTGATCACGTCGCCGTTGCTGTTTGCGGTTTGCGAGCCTTGTTCAACCGTTTCTTCTCTTCATAAACTTGGATTGACTGTTGCTCCTTACATGCTCTTTCCACAAAGCTCACCATAGTCACTCCTTTTGCGAAGTTATCGTCCCAAGTTATAGTGTTTCTTTAAAAGCAATGCAAGTAGCGACAGCGCTACAACATTACCTTCCACACGAAGACAATTGAACTTGTGGAGGAGGACGATACTCCATCGAATCTCTATTATATTTTGCTCTAGCCCAATCGCGCAATCATTCGAAGTGCATCTTAAGAGGACATCACCAGTACAATATACATGAGGTCAAGAACTCTCACGGCAAGCGCTAGCGCTCTGCTCCTATTTTCAGCCTCTGTCACGCATGCGAAGCACAACCATGTTCACTTGGACACCTTGTACAAGAGACATCATGCGCATCGTGAGCAGCATAGGTCAGTGCCCGAGGCCGGCGAAAGCGGAATCGCCTTGAGGTCACCGAATAAGCGGGATGGAAAGGGCGACCAATGTCGATTCCCAAATGACGCAGGGCTGGTCGCGGTTACACCACACGAACAGAACGCGGGATGGGCCATGAGTCCTGATCAACCATGCGTGCCAGGTAGTTATTGTCCATATGCTTGCCCGCCAGGTCAGGTTATGATGCAGTGGGACCCGGAGGCAACTTCTTATTCGTACCCCAAATCAATGGTCAGTAATTGTTCTCTGTCCTGACCTGCAGCATTAATGCTTTGCAGAACGGTGGGCTATACTGTGATAAGGAGGGAAAGATTCAAAAGCCTTTCCCTGAAAAGCCATATTGTCAGGACGCAAAGGCAGGGATCGGTGCAATAAGCAAGGCCAGCGGCCCGGTCTCATTTTGCCAAACCGTGCTGCCGGGGAACGAGGCTATGCTCATTCCTACACATGTGCAGGAGTGGACCGAACTTGCTGTCCCAGGGACGGACTACTGGTGTGGCACTGCAGCTCAGTAAGTATACATCTCGACCTGCCCTTATCTGCGCTTTCTAATGGATGAACAGCTACTACATCAACCCGCCTGGAACTGGATGCGATGAAGCCTGTGTATGGGGCACCAAAGACAACCCCGTCGGCAATTGGTCTCCCTATGTAGCAGGAGCCAATGTTGACAAGAGTGGGGGGTCCTTTATCAAGCTTGGCTGGAATCCAATATATCTGGAAGACGCAACACCTTTCAAGGATGAGATGCCAAATTGGGGTGTAAAGGTTGAATGCGATGGCGAAGGGTGCAATGGCCTCCCCTGCGCCATTGACCCTGCCAAGAACAAAGTGAACGAGATGATTGGCAGCTCTTCTGACGGCGCTGGTGGTGGTGCTTTTTGCGTGGTCACCGTACCCAAAGGTGTCACTGCCAGCTTTGTCGTCTTCGACGAGTCTGGTGGTAGCGGACCCATTGGGAACGGAGACGATGGCAAGGGACAAGATAGCCCTGAGCCAGATTTTGGTCCGCCCGAGCTTGGTTCACCCGAGCCTGGGCCACCTGAGCCAACCGCCGCCCCAAGCTCCTCTGCCGATGCACCAAGCTCCACCTACGACTCTCCTTCAGTATCGAGCTCTGGCTGGTCCGACATATCCTCTTCAATAGATTACAGCACTTACTCTATGGACGCGTCAAGATCTAGCACTAGATCTAGCACTGCATCAAGACCTATGTACTCGCCACATGAATTTGTCGAAAACTCAACTTCCACGTATGCGGCCAACTCTGCACAGGTCACGGCTTCGACCAGTCAAACTTCAGCGGTGGCTGCCGCAAGGACTGGAGGTGCATCGACGGTACAACTCTCATTCGCGAGCCTGTTAATGAGCTCGCTGATTGTCTTCATGACATTTGCCTTCGCGAGCTAACTTCTTTCTGTTATATGGATCTATCTCCCCCCGGGGCGGGTTTACATAATTGTCGTTCACAGCGGCTGGTGTCTGCACATTGACGGACTGGATCTAATTTTGCGCATCGGAAATATCTCTGTTAATCTGGTCTCAAATATGCGGATATCCGAACCTCTAGCGGTTTCTGGAGAGCCATAGGGGTTTGGGCTGGCAGGATGTATATTTATAGCTTGGAGAACTTTACGATGCGATGTACGATATATAGGGGTTCTGATATACCATTGAGAAGACAGCAGAACATAATATCTAGTTGAACCTGTTAGATATGATGGAGATCAACGTTCCTTGGGAGATTCGCGTACTGTGCAAGCACACACTAAGTTAGTGGTGAGTATCAAGACGGCTAAATCCCGGGTTCAGCCCCAAAGTCCACAGGCTGCTGCATTTGGTGGATAGCATTACTTGGTACCATCCAGCGCTCCTTGTTACAAAAAGTAGTGCAGTAGGGAGTATGAACCTCAATGATAACAACACGGCGAGGCTAGCAAAGCTTACACTGCCTCACGAAAGACCGTAATCATTCCTGTGCGCTGATCCCACAGCACGGTGTCTCTCCGTGGGAGCAAGTTCTCCCTACAATACACTATACGAAGTCCGCCCTGAGATCCTGCCCTGTCTCGCCACTTGACCACCAATCGTGTACTGGCTGAAAACCGCAACCATGCCCTCCACATCCTCACAAACAGTAAGTCCCACTCCCTCATCCCCAGCCAGGACCTTTCCTCATTCAACGCTACCCCCCTACGAGTCCCTCCCCCTTCCCTCCCCCTCAGAACAATCAGCCATCACCACTAACCCCCTCACCCCCCTTCCCCAGCTCAAACTCAAATCAACACTCCGCCTCCTAATCCCACGTCTACGCATGGCGCAAAAAAAAGACACCGCCGTGTCCATCTCGTCTCGGCGCGAGATGTCCGTCCTCCTATCCCAAAACCGCGAGGCCTCGGCACGCATCCGCGTCGAGAACATCATCCAAACCGACATCTGCGTCGAGCTGATGGAGATCCTCGAGCTGTACGCCGAGCTGCTGCTGGCGCGCGCGGCGCTGCTTGACGCGCGCGACAAGAACCAGAAAGACAACAATAGCGCCAGCATTGTCCGGCCTCCTAGCCCAAAACCGCGAGGCCTCGGCACGCATCCGCGTCGAGAACATCATCCAAACCGACATCTGCGTCGAGCTGATGGAGATCCTCGAGCTGTACGCCGAGCTGCTGCTGGCGCGCGCGGCGCTGCTTGACGCGCGCGACAAGAACCAGAAAGACAACAATAGCGCCAGCATCGCGGATTCCGCGATTGGCCCGGATACGGGGCTTGAGGAGGCGGCGGCGGCGATCATCTATGCGGCGCCGAGGCTGCCGCGCGAGGTGAGGGAGCTCGGCATCGTGAGGGGGTTGCTGGTCGAGCGGTTGGGGAAGGAGTTTGCGCTCAAGGCGAATATCGAGGGGGGTGGGGGGGTCGTGCCGAAGCGCGTCGTGGAGAAGCTGCGGGTGCAGCCTCCGGGCGAGGAGTTGGTCGAGGCGTATCTCAGGGAGATTGCGCGCACTTATGGGGTGGAGTGGCCGAAGAGCCGTGAGGCGGGAGAAGAGATCGGTGATGAGGCGGAGAGGAGAGGGAGCGGGAAACGGAAATGGGCATCCTCGCGAACGAGGTTGCCGACGAAGAAGAAGCATCGCAGAGTCGGAATCCAGGAGCGGATGATGACGACGGCAGCAGCGGAGGAGGAGGAGGAGACAGAATCACAGCCGCCCTCTCCACACCCATCAAGCCCAAATCCACCCACAGAGCAGGTCCAGGCACCGCCTTCTCGCGAGAAGAACTCACCCGCGCCACTCCACCCCGCGACCTCGCGCCCCAGGGTGCAAAGAGTCCCATCTCCGTGGCGCCTCCGGCTCCGCGGTCGGATAACCCGAGTCCGAAGGTCAAGATCCCGGGGGGAGAGGAGACGACGACGGGATCAGCACCAGCGGCAGCAGCGGCGACGAAGGCCAAGAACGTGGTGGTGGGCGGTAAGATACCGGATGTGGATGAATTGGCCAAGAGGTTTAGGGAGTTGAAGAGATGATGTTGCGACTCTACTACCGAGTAAAGTGAAGGGGGGACTGAGCGGGGAGTTTACGAGGAGAATTAGAAAGCAGCCTTTCGGTCACGAGATACTTGAAGGTGCCAAATTTTCGGTCTTGGGATTCAACGAGTGGATGCTCGTAAAAGGCAGTCCGACTGCTCTAGATCTTGGGTGCTGTCAGACGATAAATGATACAAAAGGCGCGGCAGTTGCCAAAGCACACATTCTATTCCCCAAACTTGATTTATATCCTGACGAACGAAACGAACGATCCAACGCCGACTCGAAGGCAATTGGCTCTCTTTTTTCTATCCCATTCGCGCCGTTACCGACCGAGCTCACCCGAGACGGCAATATCCCAAGCTCTTTTTGACACAATTCCGCAAGAAAACCACTTTTACGCCAAGGCGGCGACGCGCTCTAAGCCGCCAATGTCATTGTCCCATTTCTACTTAGCGATTCCTCAGGCAGAGGCAGGGCGAACAGACGAACCATCAACCTCGAGCAGGGGATTTGGGTTCGTTCGTCAACGAGCCTTCACTCGACGACTGCGACTTGGCGCTCCTTCTGGACTCGGAGTTGTCATTCAACTGCTGCCTCTTCCGTGCCGGCCTTGTCCATTCCCAGACGACGGTGATGAAGACGTAGATGCACCACATCACTCCGGCGCCGACGCCATATCCGATCGCGGCATTACGGGTGACGCTCCTGGCTTGGAAGGGACTGTCCTCCAGCATCTTTATGCCCAGGCCACCGTTCACGATTCCAAGAGTGATGAGACCCCTCCCCAGCCAGAGGTGGGCGCGGCCCCACATGGTGCGTCCAGGTCGTGGTCCACGGTTGGTCGTGGCCAGGGTTACTGCGCGTTTATGGTATATGCGATGGTGGATCCAGCCGCTGAGGGGTTGGATGGTGGCGACGATGAGAAGAACCAGGCCAATCATGGGATGCGGGTCGGCCCAGGAGTCGTAATATCTCGAGATGTAGATGGTGAGCCAGATGCCCATGCCGGCGGCAGCGACGTAGATCAGGTATGCGAACATCTGGAAATAGATATGGAGCTTGAGCATGATCGGGGATTTGATGTTGAGACGCAGCATGATGGCGCCCATGGGGAAGAAGAAGGCCCATGCTACTGTTGCTAGGACCGCGTGGGCGATTAAGACTTGGTTTCCGCTGGTAGGAATTGATGAGCTGTCTGTTCCTCCCGAGCTCGAACCTGATCCGGATTGCGAATCGCTCGAAAAGGAAGTTGGATCTCCAGAGTCTCCTCCCCCATCCCCTCCACTTTCATACTGGGGGGAGGCGATGACTGATGCAAAGAAGACGGAAAGAACCACGGAGAAAAGAAGACGTTGCATTTTGAGTAGAGCTGGAAAATGAGATACTACATCAAGTCCTGAGAAATATAGAGCTCATACGGCAAGATATTTCATATTTACCTTATAATCTGAACTGGTATAAGTTACTCCGTACAGTACTTCTTATCTAGTACGTCAATAATGCCAAGCTCCGAGGAAGCTTGCGTAATCAGGACCAACACTCGAACCCCGGCTGGGCATGCAAACTCCTTCCAGGCGTCCGGTCCGCCCTGGCAGGCAAACGACGCGCGGACGCAGGTCAAAAGTCTAATTTCTCACCACAGGTGAAAGCCATGCAATGCAGGGTTCAGACGATAAATCGCAGGTAATGGTCGTGTTGGCCATGATAGTAAGACTTGGCAGGGGCCTTAGATCTTGGCTTTCGGTTGGTTATTGCGCCGTTCGTGAGCAAGGAGGCTTTCCTAGAAGTCTTGGGGGATAGAAAGTTGGGGGCCTCGGGTTATTCTTAGATATTGGGCTCATTCAGGACGACGGACTTTGCAGCATTCATTCCCTATCGGCCGATCAGATAATTGTTGGGTGTGGAGCCCATGTTCGACGAACATCTATAGGAAGACTGCAGCGATAGGCTACGTTAGGATACTGGTTCGATATGGATATCCGGGTGGGCTGTGGTGGAACTTTGGCAGAATGCGAGCGGAAGGATTTTCGTATGGAATTGCCAAGGTGCGATCAGACCGTGGGAAAGGAAGCCTTGGGACTTGCGTCAGCAGCTGCAGAATTAGATCCTTTATTGCTGGCCGTTCACCGTTGAGGGGTTGTGGCGCCTCGTTTCGCGTCTGGTTAGGTGATGCTGCTCCTTTATCCAGCATACTTTCTCATGCTTGGGATTTTAGATTTCTATGGTATCGCAATCATTAAGCCAAGAGTTCTCGCATACCGACCATGAACGTGGCATGATTGTTGAGCAAAGAAGATAAGAGTCGCTTTCTCGATCTATTGCTCCCCAACGCGACAGGGCCGGAATAACGTAGATGCGAAGACAGAAATCTTGGTCACTCGTTGGGAAAAACGTCGAAAACTCTAATTCGAGACGAGTCGGGCTGGACAGCTGGATAAACCACCTATCAGAGAACTCACATGGTGGTATTTCATAAGCTTTGCATTCCAAGCTTCTCATGGATCACTGATCGCGCGTCTTCTGCTTAGAGCTCTAAAGAAATCTTCTTGGTGAAGGAGAGTCCAGTCAGACCATTGCATATCTCTTGCTGCGAGCACCATAACCAGGGCAGGAGTCATTTATTGCCAATGCTATCTGCATGCTGAGGTCCGTCACCGGATCATCGTAAAGGGCACCTCTTCACAGGGCCAGGAAGGAGTTCGGAGGACTCTGCGGTCGCGAAGCAATTGTGGTACAACCTGAAGAAGTGTCCTGTAGAGGGATGCGGAGAACAGCACTCGACGAGACTATAGGGATGGAAGCCGGGGCATACCTTGGAGGATTCCATGACTTGCAAAGCGCCAGTGCAGTCCTGTGGGAAGGACAAGGGCTGTAACGCGTATGCAGTCTCCCTTGTGATGGCAGATTCTGCACTCGATAGCTCGCTCTGGCAGAGACGAGCGGTGAAGTCGACATGATCAAGCTGGCCATTGCGAGATGTGAGATATGAGATATGAGATATGAGATTGTTTGCCAGCTGATGACCAGAGGATGGGGAACTGAATCTAGGTACTCCGGTACTTGAATTTCCACCGCAGCTGCAAGAGCGCCAAGGCCGAAGAGCTCGGTCTTAACGGAGCACTCCAGCACTCCAGCCCGGAACCCGGACAGACATCTTACGAGTCAAGTACTACATTACTATCCCAGTTTGCTTGTGTCCTGATCCCTTGTTCTGATTTGCCTGCTCTCCATCGTTACAACAGTCATGCAAGTTGGCGGATTTGTTCCTTCAGCGGCTACACAGTAAACGAATCACTGGATCGCAGCAATATCACGTCTCTACAACTCGTTTATGGACCTCGCCGTCGGAGCACTCCCAGAAAGGGACATGATCGACAGGTCCCGCCCATGTGCCTCAATAGAAAAGATTGATAGGCAGCTTCTCTTAAAGCATTTCACCTGTCATCCAACATCGCCAAATGGCCATATGACTCTGAAGCTTTCATTGGCGCCGGCTAACCGTCTGACATAGCTTGAATCGACTATAGCACCGTTGGAGGATTCCAAGAACATCAACACTGCAGAAGATGACTGCTGTGCATCTGCAACTACCATAGCTCTTCCGCTCAGGGTAACATCGACACCTGGTGGGATAGAGGTGTTGGAAGCGAAGATAGGCAAATATGAGATCGCTTAGCAGTTGTTCCTCCTCGGTCGAGTCAAGTGGTCGATGGTTCAATGCTATAAATTCAAAAGCAGTATCCTCTTTTTCTTGCATCTTCAGCCAGCATCCATCCCCAGGCTTTCCTGCAGCTCCTCTCATTTCAATCCTGTCTAGCTCCCTCTTCTCATTCTCCTAGCAAGATGCGACTTTCCACCGTAAGTGCAGACACATTCCAATCTAAACCAGCGCCACACCCCTAACAAACACGCCCCATAGATCCTCCTCCCCCTAACCTTCCTCTCCACCCTCACCCTCACCCTCACCCTCACCCTCACCCTCACCCTCACCCTCACCCTCACCCTCACCCTCACCCTCACCCTCACCCTCACCCTCACCCTCACCCTCACCCTCACCCTCACCCTCACCCTCACCCTCACCCTCACCCTCACCCTCACCCTCACCCTCACCCTCACCCTCACCCTCCCCAATCCAGAGGCTACTCCCTCTTCTCCTCCGGCGACGACATCAATTCCTACCCGCACATCTACAACAACTGGGAGGGCTTTGACTTTCCCATCTCGGGACCCTACTATGAATACCCCATCTTGAGGACCGGTGGCGATCCGGGCCCGGATCGCGTCATCTTCAACTCGAGGAATCAGTATGGTGGGTTGATTACGCATGAAGGCGCTAGTGGGAATGTGTTTGAGGATTGTGTCTGAGGGACTTCGTTCGTGGGTGTATGGATGGAGGCAGAGAGGAACTTGAAGGGGCGAAGGCGTTGCCTCTTTGGGAAGTTTCTCGGCTTTGCAGTTTTAGGCTGTGATGTACCCATTTGGTCAATTGGGATCATCCACCATGTAGACAAAGGTAGATCCGACGACTGTAACAAAGAAAAAAAAATGGTTCCAGTTGTAGGCACATGTATCTCTAATTCGCAAACATCGCTTCATGTGCACTTGGTCAAATATTACTATATATATAACCCGTAAATTAGCAGTAAATCCAGCACAACAAAAATCTCATATACTGTTTGAAGGCATTTCATGTATGTCCCGGCTGGTATGTATCCCATATTTACCAGTTGTAAGATCGGCACCCGTGGCCGGTACAGGTAATTCCACAACCTCTCTCTGCTGGAACCTCGACATGGCCTCCATCTCCCGCGGCCAGCTCCTACTTCCCGCCACCTCCATCGGGGGCGGCTGCGGGTGCATCGGGTCGTATTGATTGTTCATGTCATATGCTGGAGCGTGCTCGCTCGTCGCAGGCGGCTGCTGCTGCTGCTGCTGCTGCTGTCCTTGCATCCAAGTTTTGTGCTTGCGCCTGCGGCGGATGAAGAAGATCGCAATGCCGACCAGCAAGAGGATCCCGAGCGCGAGGCCTACAGCTATGCCGACTATGACACCAGTGGATAAGGAATTGTTGCTAGGTGATGCGGAGGAGTTTCGGGAGGTTGGAGTGGCCGTTGATGCTGCGGTTGAGGCAGCTGCCGTGCTTCTGGAGGATGATCCCGGAAGTGGAGGCGCGATGTTGAATGAAGGTGAGAAGTGGACGTTGCTTGAATTGGAGTCGTCTAGCATCTTGAATTGGTACTGTTGCGTGGTAGGGATGTCGGAGGGGATTTCAAAGGTTGCGCTGCCCGTATTTGTGAGCATTGCTGTTCAGCGGGTGTTTCTGTCAGTAAAATATCAAAAGGATTAGTTGGGTGAATGGCTCTATACATACACACAAGTGTTATAATCTCTCCACTGCCCGATGCCGGAACGAGCTGTATGGTAACCGTGCTGGAGTAGAGCTGTCAGCAGTTTGCAAAGCAACACAGCAAGACGTTGCCAGACCGTAACGATGGATTCGTCCATGAGATGGTGGTTGGCTGACCAGCAGTGACGTTAAAGCCATCTGGAGGAACGGTAATAGTGTTGGAGCCTTGAGCAGAGACGAGCTGGAAGAACCCGGCCAGCAGCACCAGCAGAAAGCATAACGAGCGCATTGCAGAAAATTATCAAACAAACTACATTTGCGACAATGACAGTATGCAACAATAAGTATCAAGCAGCAAGAAAAGTCATCAAGACAGGAAGAAAATCTGGAATTGCAGAGACGCGGGACATGACCTGATTTGCATGGAGTTGTTTTATCGTGACTAGTTAGCTGGGCCAGGCCGGTGGTCGTTCGTGGCTTGAGGCAACCCATAGAGGGGTTGTCCGTCACTTTCAGTAACATCGTCCGGCAAACAGCCAAACCATTCGTCAAACCTTATCGAGCCATCAGCTTCATCAGGCCATGGTGGATTTGGTGTCTTGTGGTTCGACACTGGTTCAAAGCTTGACAATGCACAGTACCAAATCTCATTCACAATGAAATTGCCTGAGTTCACCAACGCTAAGACTATTAGAAGCTTTTTAAGGAGTTCTTCGCCCCATAGCACGACCAAATTCAATTACCACACCTCTCAGTGTAGAAAGACAGTTTCTATAAACCTTTTTGGGGTTTGAAGCTGGAAATTTGAGGTTGAGAACAGCTTGCAATCATTGCAAATGTTCCAAACATCTGTAGTGGTTCGATAATGAGTCGATTCGTTCGGTCGAAGGATGGGTTGCCATCTGATCGCCAGCATTGTCCACGCAGGACTTGGCCATGTCAAAACCGGCAGTCCTCACATTTCTGTCTGCAGTGTTGGTTATGATCAGGAGGTCAAGAGCACCAAGCTAGAGGTACGCAAGCAATTGTGTTCAAAACACGTTAGCATGGTTCCTGAAATTACGCGATTGGGAAATGTTGATACTGACTGCTGTGTTTTGCTTGAGCTCTGAAATTACGCGATTGGGAAGTTCTGCGACTGACTCTGTGTTTTGCTGGTCCTTTCAAATTACCGATTGGGAATTGTTGCGACTGACCGCTGTATGTTGCCTGTTCTTTGCTTGTGTCCATTCGACAATATCCAGTGCTTCTTCGTCATTCTGTGGTTTTGTTTTCTTGGTCCATTTATTGGACTCCTGCTATCCGCTTGGGCTTTTGGTTTTTCTCCTCGCAAACTGACAGCAATAATGGCAGAAAACGACTTACCTTCCCTTCCGCCTCCGCTGGCCGATAGCTACCGGCACTACAAAGACCTGACCCGCTCCTTTGCCACATGGCTTGCCGGTACTGGCGAGAGATATGGATTCCGCCTGTCTACAGCTAATCAAACGACAAATCGTCCTTCTGAGCTTTCATCCGATAAAGCAAATCCCCGCCTCAAGGGCAAAGCAAGGAAACTGGCCAGAGATGCAGAAAAAAGAGCGCAAAATAAGAGCTCTTTGACAAAGACTTTGCTGCTGAAGGATTTCATTCCATTAGCCAAGCATATCGCCTCTTCAAAACCTCCCCCGAATGTACCTTCATCGGTCCTAATGAAGCTGGAACGAGCTATAGATCTGAGACGACGTTGTGCTTCATGGTTCAACACAAAAGTGCAATCAACTGCTTCACTCGCCAGCAACGCATCCCATGAGCACTTCATCAACATTCTGAATACCGTTCTAGACATATTGAAACCGCTATGCAGCCAAAGCACTGGCTCGGGACACGGGAAGAATAATACCACCAACGGCAACGAAGGGGAAGAAGGTGTTGAACCTCAGCTCACACTACATAACCAGTTCGAAGGTCTTACGGTGGAAACACTAGAGGATGATCAAGAAGAGCTCGAGAACGTTTCACAACAACGCACGAATCCTGCAAAGCCTGGTAAAACTGCTTCCCCAGCGACGACCATCTACACACCTGAACAGCAGCTTCCCGATGATGAGTTCATATTGGGTTGCTTCTGCTTCTTCCAAGACTTGCAAGATGTACGCGGTTTTCTGAAAGAAACATGGCAGAAATATAAGGATAAGCAGGTCACGCTGATCACGGCCTCTTTGATCACCACTGCTGCATTGGATTTTGTTCGGAAATCAGAGCTGAACTTCAAGACAACCTTCTCCCAATCAGGTGATTATTATGACATCTTTGTCGACCAAATGTTTCGCCGAGCATGCACAAGACAAGGACATCCTTTCGTTGCAAGGCGGAATTTTCGTGCAACAACCACAAATTTGCATGAGACACAGCCCTACGTGGATGACATGGTTTCTGAAGCAGAGTGGATCATGTTGCCATCTTGGCATTTGTTGAACTACAGTGCCAGAATTTTCCTTCTTGAAGAGGATGGGGTTCCATGCAGATTTCAAGCAGTTCTTGAAGCAGAGGATCATATGGTAAAAGTCTGGCAGCTCTTTGCACCAAACCCGGCACCAGAATCGGTATATGCTGACCGGCGGGAGCACCAATCATTCGATGCGTTGTTGCTCGGCATCGGCATGGGAACATTCAAAAACCAGTTTGATAATGTCGGAGTTGACCAATTCAGAACCGGGTTGGCAGAAATGTTGCAGACAGACATGATCCCTGCTTGGCTTGTTTTTGCCACCCAGAACTTCTTGGATATCCAGCACATTCTGAAACAGGACGTTTCCAGAGGCTGGCAGGACTTCAAATCGACATTTGCAATGCTTCATGATCGAGTTCAGCAGCATATCAATCATCTTAAGCCGCTCGGCGCAGAGAACACCGTGGAGGCTCGGGATTGCGAAGCGTTCGAAGCTTGTCGGGAGAGGTACTTTGAGATTGAAGTTCAAGGCCTCCAAACTGTCTTTCTGCTACATCCTGTTGGGGCAGGGCTCCGAGAGTTCTTCACCGTCACATGTTTCCGGCGCATTGGGACTTATACCGGAAACAGCAGCGATGTAATCTCTATGGCCCACCTTTATCATGTCTCTCAGCTGCAGAGCCAGTGTGCTACTTGGCCTGACATGGAGTTTGTCATTGGCACTCAAACACCGGAACATGTCTTCCTTGGAGGTCGGCCACCTACTTTCGAGCAATGCTGGCGCAAAGTTGAGCTTTCACTGGGATATTCTATGCGGAACTTCCTTTCGAGTGCGGCGCCGGACTCGAGCATACGACGTCGAAAAACCATTCGAATGCTGGACCCAGACGACCTACCAATCACCAGCATATTCTTCGCTAAGGGCATGGTACCACGGGTTTCCGACATTGAAAGAACGACGGAGAATTTGGAAACAGTATTAACTGCTGCTCTGCATGGCGTCGATCGAGCCCAGTTCAAACAAGACGATTACGGAAAGCTTGCCAATAGAGCCGAGCTGCTAAAACGCACCAGCAGAAAGCCAAAGGCGACCATGCGCCAACTCCTAGTCGTACTTGAAGAGAACCTTGTGCATGAACAAACTGCCCTGCATTTCGACTATTACAGCTTCCGAATTGTTTGTTACAAGCTCTTGAAGGCCATTGCGCAGCGAATAAGGTCTGCTTGGATACATGCGACTGGGCTCGAACCGGATGATGGATGCGAACTCCCTACGCAGCTCCTCACTTATCTGATTTTCAACATAGCGAATATGAGCTTTGTGTTATCGGTGGGTGCAGGCGTTCCGCACCTTGAATCACGGGTACTCAACGAGGTCACCGTGATGCTGGAAGACCACATCAGACCGAACGGGAGTACTCTGGTGAGGGAACTGCAGCAGTTCGCGTCTGGGGCTCTCCTATGGGCCGACTACAAAGCTCGATTCGGCGAGCCAGCATCGAGCCAGGAGCAAGAGTCGTCAGCGGCGCGACCAACAATCACTTCGATGACGGAGGAGGAAATGCAGCGCACACGTCGCATAGGTGACAGTGCAAACGGACTGCCTTCGCTCGAACCGAGTTATTTTCAAGTGACGCAGAGAAGGCGTTGATTGCATAGCTTTTGCTGGTCAGCTGGCGGCTCTGGGCAGGGCAATTTAGAAATTCTAGTAGCTATAGATGCCTTAGGCATAGAAATCCTACAGCTGTGACAAACGTATCGGAGCTCCATAGCGTAGCTTGTTGGTGAAACAATCATTATCAGAAATCCCGGCCGTCCTTTTTAATGATCACATGATGTGGGGGTCCCTAGTATCTCAGCCTCGCTGCATGCGTCCGAACGCATACCCATGATATCACCTCACTGTGTATCTCATCTTTCTAAGGCTATGATCTTCGGCGATTGCTGAGGCATTCCCTATGCGTGTAATCCATCGTTTCTGCCCGGGGTTGTTTGATGAAGAACGCAAACTGCTGCTTTATAGCAGGAGGGACTTCATATCCATACCAATGCTTGGTGTCTACCAGGTTGAGAAGGTTGACTTTTTTGCGAAACGACGTTTCTTTCGCTGCGGAGCTAACTACTAAATAATAAATAACAGCCAGGCACGCTTGAAAACTATCCACCTTTCTGTCACAAAATGCGCCTATGTTTTTCTTTGGCCACTACAGACGCGAGTGCACTCGGAATAGACGCTGACGAATGAGAAGTCTATTTAAAAACTTAATGCCAAATTAAGTAGAAGCTAGCGGCTATTTTGACGAATGAATAATAGGCGCATTTTATGACAGAAAGGTGGATAGTACTTTTGAGGTTGATCTTGTTCAATGTCACTCTGGATGGTGTCTTCACGGACTATGACTTTAGCCCCTCACACCGGGTCTCCCCAATCCTATAATCATTCCAGCTGGTACATGCGAGAGGTATGGACTTATTTCGGCCAACTGTTGCATGTCCACGAGGCTGCATCCACCACTCCTGGCCAATCTGGCCCCAGAGGTGGATCAAAGCTGCTATTTTCAAGTTTTTGAGCAGTTTGCTGTGGGACGATGGATCAGACTAGTTAGTCGAGATGATGGTTGGTAATCCTACATTGTCAGCTTTCCCAGGTTCGCTCCGCATGGAACTTTCGCTCAATCTCTTACCAGCCTCGAGGACTGTCTGCGGCTACCCAGCATGGCAGACAAATCCCTTCAGGACACATTTCATCAAAGAGCTCTTATCGATGACAACAGAAGCGCTTCCCTCATCGCTTGTAGCATCTTCTTCATCGTCTTCCCCACTATCATCGTGGCCTTTCGCTTTGTCGCAAGATTCATGAGGAAATTACCACTGGGGCTTGACGATTATTTCACACTTCCTGCCTTGGTGAGGGAGGTGCCCCTGCATGTCCGTGTGAGCCTGTGTCTGACCCGGAAATAGGTTTTCGTGATTCTCCTTTGCGTGCTCAACATTCTCTGTACGTCTACAGTCTTCAGGGCCACTCGCAGTCGCTGAATGTCGATTAGCTACCAACTATGGTGTTGGTAAACACGTAATTGCCGCCAACCCTGCAACGATATATGTGGTCGTTAAGGTAATGGCATAGCTATCTTGTTCACGGTATCAAATCTGACTCTTGCAGATTGGCTATTTCATCGCCATGGCCTACACCTGGGTCCATTTCTTCGTAAAATGGTCCATTCTTTTGCTTTATCGTCGCATCTTTGGCATGCACAAGAAATGGTTCAGGATCGCCTTCTGGAGTATCGGAGTGTATGTGACCTGCTGGGCATTGTCACTCTTCATTGTCGCACTGACTTACTGGTGAGTTTGTATTCGCAGGCTGGGCTGGTCCTTGTGTGCTCATGTTCTTAGCCAACCGATTAGTTTCTTCTGGCTTCGTGCCACACCGGCGGCCATTCAAGGTCGAATTGATGGCAAATGTGGTCCCGACGCCCCTAAGGTGGTCCAATTCACCAACGCTTTCAATTCGGTTGCTGATTTCGCACTTCTGATTGTTCCATTTGTCGCGTTAAGAAAGCTACAGATTAAATTTCATCGAAAAATTGAACTCATTGCTATCTTCACGATTGGTGCTTTGTAAGTTGGTCCATTAGTGATTGATGGATGCTAACCCCGACAGTGCTTGCGCTGCTGGACTTGTCAGGTTTGCAGCATCTTTGGACATAAAAGGATTGACCACGGATTTCACATGTATGTTTGTTGTCCAGAGCGGCAAGCGGCTCTAACACGCCTAAGGGGTTTATAGTGCAGCCTACAATTGGACAGCCATTGAAGCCGGTATTGGACTTGTCTGTGCCTGCTTCCCGGTCATAGCGCCACTCTTCAAGGCCCAGGCTCTCCAGCAACGTTACAAAATTGTGTTGGAGACACTCCGAAGTTCCCGGGCCGGTTCTAGAATCGGCTTTCGATGGTTCAGAAGCCGAAACAGTAGCGATAACGCCCAGGGCTCACGGAGTTCTGAAGGCACCTTGCATAAGAAGCTGCCTGTCTTTTCGAATTGCACGACTTGTGGATATTCGCTGGATGGCAAGTCCGAACTGCCACCCTTGCCACCGGCCCCACGCTTTAGAGAAGCGTTTCAGGGGAGACAGCTCCTCCACCCTGGGTTAGGCGATCCTAGGGTGGTGAATGAGGTGTATCGTGGGGTGGAACCCGGCAACATGGGACTTGACAAGGACAGGAAGCCGTTACCTATGGAAGGCATCAAAGTGAGAACGCACATCGAGACTGCCAATATTCCCAATTAGCAGTCCAATTGGACTTGGAAAGATGCGAGAAGGCTGATTCCATGGGATGCCCTCAACCGAGCTTGGCGGGAGAGGTGCAGTAGCTCAAATCCTGTACTGAGTACATTATCTCAAGGCGTCTTTTGAGGTGGTCTCCCTTTCCCTTATCTCCTGATACAGTTCATACATAAATCCTCACGCCGTACCCTTCCGCAAGGCTTCCAAGGATCTAGTCAATATGTCGTAGTGACGGTTTCATGATGATAGGTAGAGCTGGTGGATGAAGCGGCGCTGCTGAAGCCTTGACTCTTGTGACTGGGTAAACCATAAACATGAAAGATGAGAATAATTCAGCCTGTCCTGCTCGCCATCTGTTGAAGCCTTCCACCCCGCCCCACCAATTTGACGATAAGACGCTGCTTAGGGTTGCTTATTCATCGCTTGGTTTTACAGTCACGCGTGCTCAGGTCTCGAGGTAGAAACAAGATTAAAAGAGGTCAAGATTCGGGTGTGGGTATAATGGGAACCGTGTGCATTGCTTGTTCCTGTGTCTTCTGTTTCACCAAGCGAATCTCTGAGCGATGGTCCTCTCGCTTTCGGTTCCTACAGTTCTTGGATTTGATCGATTGGTATAGTTCCATCTGGAAATTCACAGATACCCTTTGCCACATCATTCGCAGAGAACTTCTTTACTTCTTCTGAGACCAAGCTCTTGAGAGGTTCGAGAACAAGGGCTAAAGAAGACGCTGTCTTGGCAGATTTGTTGTCCACCTAGACGGACCGTGAGTTGCATCAGGCACGAACTGGGTATGTCGAACGTTGCTACCACTCTGTGGAAGTGAGTTGAAATAGCAAGTTGTTCTATCTAAATGAGGGTGCATAGAGTGCATTCATACGTACAGTGTTGCGATACCAAGCGAAATAGCGCGAAACGCAAATACCGAAAATACATGCATAGCTCATGCGAAACGCGTATAAAGTCTGTAACAAAACACTAGTGCAACGCGGAGCAAAATGGGGCCAACTGTATTTTCGAGTTCAACATCTCTCTATGTACGTGTGGATTGGATACTGGTGGACTCCTTATTTCAAGATTCCAGAAAGCAGATCACCTTATAATCTAGTACTGGTGGCCTCCCTTACAATATGAGCAAGAATGCAATGGAACAAGTGACTTGATTGATTCTAATGAGGATGAAATTCGGAGAGAAGTTGCTGAAGAGCAGCGAGAGCTAATCTAAGTTAGGAGCGCCAAGTAGAGCTAACGTAACGCACGTGACAAAGGATGTGACGGTGGTAGCCAATCTCTCTCAACGTTCCCTGATGATAGTTTGCCCATGCATGTTACTCACGTACTGACTCTAGAGCCGTATTAGAGGTATGGGAGCGGATGACATCACGAATGTCTCGAAGGATTTCAGTTGTAAGCATCACCATCTGGTTGTTGTTTCCGCCGGAGCCACGGCTGACTAAATACAGCGCGTTAGTGAGTTACTCATGATGCAGAGGTTGTGCTTGCTTGTGTAGCCTTACATAGTCCCAGCACCTGAACTTTGGCATCCAAGGTTGATGACTTATCAAGACAAGCGATCATGGCGCCAGACATTCCATACCAGCCAGTGATTCGATGTTTCCATTTGGTTTCGCCTTTGCTTGGCGGGTCTGAATCAAGGCGCCCTATCGAGAGACTCTTACGGTCTGGAAGAAAAACCTGATGGAAGTATACTGGAGTCGTTGGGGTGTTCTCCGCTCGGGCTTTCTTCTCTGGTGTTAGATTGTTGATGACTTGCTTACGCGCGTATGGAAAATCTTCAAAGTTATGGTTCGAGTTGTACCCAATGGTAAAGGCTCCTCGACTGGCAAGCTCGGTACGGAAGTCAAGTCGATCTATACCTGGAAAATTTCGATCCAGATCAAAATGAGATGTATGGGGTTGCTGATCCTCATCAAGACAGAAGATAGCAAAGTCTCGGACCTCATCTCTAAAGACCAGATGAGCGGATGTACCATTGCCTGTCAGATAAATATTAGCGACTTTTCTGTAGGACTCTGAGTACAGAGCCAGGGAGTACCCAAAAGCTTCGTGTCTGTACGGATCTGGGTTCGCTTTGATCCACTCTTCTTTATCAATTCCTCAACAATCGCTGTGACTTCAAAGTGAGCACAGGTCAGAAAGAACCTATCAGTAATGAAGAAACCAGACAATCTCGTCGTCTGATTCTCGCAATAGATAAAGATGACACCAGCCGCTTTACTGGCGTCAGCTACAAGGCCCAGAGCCTGTCAGACGTCAGCTATTGAGGAAAACAGGCGACTCAGCAGGAAAAGAACAAGAGGACAAACCTTATCAAGATCAAGCTCCACGTTGCCAGCGGCGCTTCGGACTTTGTGGAAGGAGGTGTCGTTACTTGCAATACTGCCATCCTTCTCGATCTCGAAGCAGCTTGTCCAAACATTCTCATCTTCATCAAAGCATTGACCCGCGAACTCCAGTGGTGGAAGATTCTTCGGTGGAGTGGATGGCGGTTTCTTATCCATTCTTAACCAACCCCCAGGTGTGATTTTCCAGTTGTATGATTCTCTCAAATCTCTCTGGCGGGCAGTCTCCTCTACATGTACAAAAGCAAAGGACATGAGTTTAGGCACCTCATCTTCCTCCATTTTCTCCTTTTGTTGTCACCTTCTTCGTTTGCGTCTTGGTGCTGCTCTAAACTGCTTTGTATCAAGGTTTGCTTGGTTGTCTTTAAGGATTTGACGTGGGTATGCTGCAGAGAAAGAGATGAAGAGGAGGCAGACAGTCGATGTGCATATATAGGGTGAAAGAGATGGTAGGAGAGTGCAGCTTTATCTCTGTGGATGCCCACATAATTCACATGTTTATATAATACACAATCACCAGCCAACAAGATTCACATGTTTATCAATACACAATCACCAGCCAACAAGCAATACTCAAAAGTACCAGGAAACTGCGAACATTAATCGCGGCACTAAGCGGCCGACCGCGGTACTATTCCTTCACTTCCTTGTCAGAAGCTGTAATGATCGTCTGCACTGCACTGCACTGCACTTCACTGCATTCTTTGACCTGTGATTTCCTCCGCCTTCTCTGTCATCCTACCTTCTACCTGCTCTATGTGTCTTGCTCGTTCTTTCCTTTGTCCACTTAGGGTTAGTCTACCTTGACCTCTCTTAATTTCGGTATTGAAAAGGGGGTGACAAGCAAATACCCAAATCTTCCTGGAACCCCCGAGAGTACGTCTTCAAAATAGGCAGTTGAAGGGATGATAACAAGCATTTCCCAATGTCGACTTCTCCACGATATCCAGCGCCCCCCTTCTGCTCGGGTTTTCAAAAACTCACAAAGTCCAGATCTCCAGCTGCAGGCCCCCTCCGCGCCCAGCGACAGCTGACGGTACCCCTGCGCCGGTCACTTTTCCTGCGCTGAGACCGGGAGGCATGGGCATCGTGCTGGAGGACAGGACTCGTTAACCAAGGGCAGGCTGCAGGCCCCTGAGACAAATCAGTCACAGAGAGCATCGAGATCAGGGTCGCCATGAGCATGATAGTCACATCGGTTAATCCTACTTCGGGTCTACTCCCAATCTCGACATGAAACTCACGGCATGACGCGTCGCAAGCCATCTCCTCCTACCCACAAATCATAACAAGAGGATGGCAGAGATAACAAACCGCCATTACCAATCAGATGGCAGGGCTCGTATCTGCGCATGAATGAAATGTAATATGTTGAATGGCGAAAGACTCGGGTAAATTAGCAGAGCAGGGTTTACATTTGAGATCTCGATGATTCCAACGGCGGGATAAGAGCGCACTGCGAGAACGTCTCAAAATGGAACAGAATGCGCACCAATGCCCGTAGCAGACAGGAGTGTGGTAGAATACTTGAGTCAGTGATCAATTAAACGAGCTCTGGAGAGCAATTCAGCTGTCTATTATGAACTAGCGATTGAGGGTTATGCCCCGTTGGCCGAGACCCATGGCCGGCCACAGTCTCATCGCATTCCCAAAAGAGAACTGCAGCTTCAATGGCAGACAGATGCCAGGTCTGACCAGCATAGGGCACGTCATGCATCGTGGGCGACGGCAGAAATGGGCATGGTCAATTCGGGGATGCTGTGATCATGCCTTCCTGACACCATGGGGGGACAAGATGTTTTAACTGTTCCTAATGCACAGAACGCTCACCATTCACCCCCAGAGTCATTCAATCCGTACTCTCGATAAATTTCCGGATCGTGTCCTGACATTTCTAGACGCTGGCTGTGGTCGCTGTGGAGTTGGCAGTCCCATCGGTCGTGATCGAGTTGGGACTGGCCATGCTTGGTGCCACGGCCTTGCGTCTCCAACAATGATTCGGCGCTGACATCGATGACTCGTTCTGCCTTGGACACCTTATGCGGACGAACTCGGCGGAGTGCCGCCTCTCCTTTGGCACGTTGAGGCTTTGGATCTCGACGATTCGGTGAATGTGAAATGTTGCTCTGTAGGCTAGCATTCAAATCCTGTATGATTGGCTCAATTCTCGGAGTCGCCAGCTTCCGGGCACCTATAGTCTGCTTTTCAGGCTTGGCCTTTGAGATGCGAATATCGCCGAGGACGGCAGGACGTCACCTGCTCGAGTGGTTGCGCGTGGAGAACCTCAGAGTAACTTCCGGCGAAGGATCCGAATCAATGGCATCGCCCTCCTCGAGGGATGTCGGTGGCGTCGTTTCCATCATTATTCACTGCTTCTCAGTCCAGTCCAGATGGAGCTTATGCCACCCCAGGCTCCGTTCAATGTACGCTAGATCTTGCCGAACAGCCTTTGTGTTGCCGGTGCCGCCGTCTTTCTGCTGAGCCTCTTCCAGCTCTTTACCGTAATCACTGTCCCGACAGCCACAATTATGCCCGACAGTCTACAGTTGAATCAAGGATGCTGATGTAGGATAACGTCAAATGCACTGGCATGCCCAGAACTTACCTAGAACCTTTAACTAAGCTTGACTTCCGGTCAAAGACTTATATATCCCTATTCTTGCTATTGATGCAGCAGTGATATCTCTATAAATTAATAGAGTGACTAAGATCAGATATACCATTATGGTAAGACAATACTGAGAGATTTGAATCATTTCGGGCTGTAATGCAGGGTATTCGATATCCCAGCGCTCCCCTTGGTTGGAAGTGGTGCATTTGATGTCCTGCGGCAATTTGACGCTAACCACCCTAAGTTAGACCTCATATCAGCCCGAGCCCTGCATGGCACCAATGCCCATACGTAGCAGACCACTTCAATCACCGCAGCTACTCGAGTACGAATGGATTTCTGTGAGCCCTAAATGTGGTCAGAGGTCTGCTTTCTGCAAATAGGTCCTATCTATTTCTAAATTACAACCCCAAGATTCTCATTGATTTTCTTGCTTCTATTCTAGTCAACGAACAGGAATTGCCCAGCAATGGCTCCGCAGGCCAATATCAGCAAAGCTGTGTATTTGTTGGTGAATTTGTAAAGCACGCCCAAAGCCAGAACGCACAGTACACCCGCCGACGCACTCTGCGAGATTCTTTCGATAACGATATTGATTGAGTTTTCCTCGCCCCTCCGGGACGTCCCTTCGACACTGGACTTCAAGATCTCGACAGCAATTACAGCGATTACACCGATGACTGCGCCGCAAAGCCCATCGAAGAAGTCTGACAGAATCTACAAAGAGTTAGCTATTGGCTGCGATCTATTTGGAGAAGGGAAGACACGAACCTTGTTCCGGACCAGCTTCTCGAGCAAGTCGTGACCAGCAATGGTAAAAATGTAGCAAGGGAGAAACATTCCCAATGTGATGATGATGGCTCCAGCGAATGCATTTCCAAGGCCGTTGTCCACCAGACCCCCTTGAAAGCCAACAAAGGTCGCAAAAATCACAAGTGGCGCAGGCAGAATGTTACCAATGGCAATACAGTCGATAAAGACACGCTGCGACAACCACGCTCCTTTCAAGACTGCCTCGGTCTGAATAAATGGTATGGCTGTGTAGGCACCACCGAAAGACAGAGTACCGGCGACTAGTCCGAGGGCGAAGAGATTGATCAACGATGGAGTCTTTGCTATTCCCAGAGCAAGAGAGACTGGCGACGGAACGCCGCGAAAGACGACATAAATCGCGTATCCAACATACTGGAGCACAAAAAGAAGGACAGCCGGGATCCATAGGCGCCGTGCTATGAGTGAGTATATGATCCCATACAGGCCAAGAGAGATAAAACTATAGGTGTTTTTCGAAGTCAGCGGTGGACAGGACAGAATGGAGAGTAGGTCCTGCTAACATATTGATGCGCAACGCACTGTTAAGTGCCGTGAAGAGGGCGGCCAAGATGAGATATTGATTGACTTTGTGAGTGCTGTGATTGATTACAGAATGATCTGCTATCTTATGGGTCGCTCGCAGAACCTATAAACAGTAAGTCGAGAAACGTCAATGCCAGATAGGGCCGAGGCGCGCTTGCCATTGCAGCCACAATTGGTTGTAGGGCCCTGAAAGACCCATTGAAATACTTATTCTCTAACCCAGCCAGGGAATAGAGGTATGAGGCAAGGAGCATGAGTAGAAAGCCTGGAAGGATAAATGCGGTGCCGGCAACAATACCACCGATCCTGCCAGCTGACAGACATCCGAAAAACATGCAAAGCTCGACGGCTTCGGGGCCAGGAAGGATTTGATACACTGAGAAGACACGCTGGAACCTCTCAAGGGTAATCCATTTGTCTTGGATGACGAGTCGGTCTTTGATGAGGGCGATTTGCGCTACAGGACCTCCCCAGGCGAAGAGACCGAAGTTGTAGAAGAAGAACCAGAACAGTTTCAGCAAGGATAGATGGGGGACCTTGGAATTGTCTCTCATGCCAGCACCCTCGTTGCCAGGTGTGGGCGTATCGACGATAGTCGTGTCGTGCGATTCGATTTCTCGCTGGGACTCAATATCACTGGTGGGCAGTATGACGGGAGGGTTGCTTTTGGCATTGTTGGCAGCCATGGTTAGCCCAGGCATTAATCCTGTAAGTGACGGTCTTGAATTTCACAAATTTTAACCTGTACAATTCTCAAATGGGAAGTTTTCATCTTTCTGGCTCTAAAGACTACCTATTATATGCTCTATCCCAAGCGGGAGCAGAGGACAGACACCCCATATATGATTGGCTCTTTCTGGAGGGACAGACAGCTGTTGCGCGATTGGCCCTGCATGACGCCACGTTACCGGCATGACAGTGGCCCGTTGCAAAAGTGCTGTGTATTCTTAACGAAAACCTCGATTTGCTGGCGCTGTCTCAAGTGGCGGAGAAAAGTAAGAATAATTTCTTACGTACGAATGATGCGTAAAGATTGCTCAAAATTGTTTATAGATCTTAAAAATGTTTGTAGCATGTGGTCTTCATAATCAATTCATGAAATAGACAGTGGAGAGTTATTCTATATCCTCATCGTAACTTACCGGGACAGCACCAGCAAGTCAACTGTTTCGTCAAGGACTCACAGTACTTTTGCAACGAGCTATTCTTCATACCAAGGAACTAAACCAGCTTCACCTCCACCTCCGATCCCGCTATGATGCAGATATGATTATTACTCCACTGCCATTTCAAACCTCTTGAGGTTAGACACCTCCTTGATCTTCAATTGCTTCCTGTCCCTAATTCAGCACGTATCAGAAATGGGCTTGGTAGGAGTGGAGACAACTTTAATTCCTACCCGTAGATCATCATATTAACGACAATGTCAGGACACAGAACGAGCGAGCCGCGTCCGGGAAAACAAACGTCGTTCTAGAGCACGCCAAAAAGAATATACTGCCGACCTGGAGCAGAAGCTGAGACAGCTGCAGAGAGACGGAGTCCAAGCCACAATCGAGATTCAGCTGTCGGCTAGGAAGGTGTTTCAGGAGAATAAGAATCTGAGAGGCTTATTACAGCATCTTGGGGTAGATGAGAACACAATCAAATCGTGGGCTGAAAAGAATGCAGAAGACAATGGCGAGGGGTTGAATGGTTCGCTGCGGAGACACTGCTTGAGAGGACCAGCTGGTGCTGGTTACGGCCAGGCTAATACCAATGTTGAAAATCAGAGGCGGGAAGGACATCAGCTCTGGGAAGCTGCTACGTCTTGCGATCCTAGCTCGGAAACTACACCTCTCACGGGTCTCTCCGGAACGGGTCAGACAGATATAAGCGCTTCGGTTGTAGGAGGGCCTCCTCAGACTGCCACCGCATCACCCATACTCTACGGGGACGAACGGCCAATTGAAAGCGTACCTTTGCCACCAAGCGATAACCAAGGACCTTGCGACACGCAAACCAGTGACTTAGCTTTTGACCAACCGGACCACCATGCCTGCTCCGCCAGTACTTCATCACCATCCCAAGCACTTCCAACACCTTGCAAGCTTCTCACGCATCTGGCTGCCAGCCCCAGCGCTGATATAACCCAAATGCCCACAGTTCCCGACGAAGAAGAACAACCTCATCCTGACGGAGTTCCCTGCTCCCGCGCGTACAGGATGTTGATGCAGTATGCCACTACTGAGGCAAAGCTCGATCTTGCTGCTCGGTCTCTTGAGGAAGGGTGTGTGAAGAACCCGGGTCCAGGTGGAGGCTGCAGCGTTAAGAATAAGACGATGTGGAAAGCTTTAGAGGACCTTACGGTGTGAATCTGGTCGACGGGAAGCATTCTTGGAATTACCTTGGTGTTGGAACATTGAAAGAAGTCGCGCCTAAGGATCTTGAGTCCTTAGACAAATCTGCGGAGATTATCTTTGGGTGTGGACCTGTTTCGCCTAGGTACTCCAGGCCCTAGAGATCGTAGAACAGGTCTTTGGGTCGGTCTGCATTGGGGAAATCGACTCCCTAGGGACGATACGTTCAGGGGTGAGTCGGGCACCCGTTTTCTCTAGGCCTCGGAAGTCCCTATGAACAACAAGACTGGGGGTTTGGTGATATTGATGGCTATCAATCCCTAGGGGTGACAAATGGGAAAGGGTGGTGCTGTGGGTTGTATTGGATGCTACCACTCCCTTAGAACGACAGAAGAAGTGCTGGACGGAAGCGTTGCGAATGCTAGTCCCCTGCAACGACAACTGGCGTGGTGGTGGGGTCCACTGTTTTCATTGAGGAACCTCAAACTCACGAGCGATGATAAAAGAGGACTTTGAAAGGAGCCACCTTTGGGGATGAGAATGTTATCTCTAAGGAGTCTCGAGTCTCTAGAGATGATGAAATGGCGATGTGTATGAGTTGCCCTTGCTCCTGGGATCTTCGAGGGGCGAAACAGCGGTAGAGTGAAGAAGTCACTTATTAGGTGGGCCTATCAACATGGCAATATCAAATTCCTGGCAGAACGCTCAGAGGGAAGGGGCAAAGGTCCTTCGTTTGAACCAGCCTGTTCTTTTCAAGATGATATTTTGTATTGGGTCAAGATTTGAGGATATCGCTGGCCCGTGACATACGGTATCAGGTACATAGCGCTGTGTACAACAGAACATGGTTACAAGTAGTGCTGATCCTGCTGCTTCTGGGTGCTTGCGCCTGAGGCACGTTGACAAAATTGCTGGCTGTCCGCGGCTTCTAAGTAGTTATGCAACACACCGCCACAAAGTCAGAACTTCCCTTTGCCTGCCACAGCAATTGCCGCATCTGTAAGTTGGAAGTCGTACAGTCTTTATACGATTTGAATCTAGGTAGTAAGAGAGCTTTGCTGATCTGGTGTCCAGTGTTTTGAAGGAAACGTGAGTAGAATACCCCAGACTTTCCTTTTTGAGTTATCTTCAATCCAACCTCCAGGTACGACTTGCTTTTGATTTGATCGTCGATCTCTAAGCTCAGCCGAAAAGGGTTTTATCACACTCATGCTTTCACCCGCTCTTCCACAATCGGTCTCCTTCCCAAGAAAGCGTATACAGGATGTCAACACTCCACCACCTCCACGCTCTACAGCTTCGACTCCACGCCCAACAGCTACCGCTCCTGCGCGCTCCGCAATTCCCCCGCCGGATCCCATTCTTCCCTCTCGATATCCCAATGGTTGCAGATGCCAGACCTGCAAGCCAAACCGCTGCGTCGACCCCGAGTGAAGAACAGTAATCAGATTAGGGTTTCCGAACGGGCCATTCGTGGATCGATGCGTCAAGTCCTGTCACTGGTTTCTCCGTAGAGAAAAACGACGCTGCCACTGTGATCTTCTCCGTCATGTGAAGGGGTTTAGATGCCGCGGTATTTGTCTGGATTGTTGGGTATCCCGTGTACATGCGCTGCGTACAGAGAAGGCTAACAAGCGAGTGCTTCGGAGACGATTCCTCAGGTGGTGTCGCTGTCAGTGCTGCTGTATGAGTCGTAGTATGAGTTGGGATAACACTCGTTGTTCGATTTGGCGTAGCTGTTTGGACTGCAAGGAGGAGCGGCGGCGGAAGAAGTGATGGGCGTGCCATGTTTGAAGCCACGAGGGTCGTGGGAGCCATGAATCCAGGATAGGTTGTGTCCAGAGGCCACCTTTCCAAAACCGATGCTACCATTCTGGACTCATTTCGGATGACAGGGGTCCACCATGTACACTCGCAAATAGGCTGCCGGCGTGTTAGATGCAGACAAATAAAGATTATGGAATCCTAGCCACATTCGATTTGAGGAGAGTAGGCCACTGCCTTCGGCGTTTTTCGTATTCATCTCGCCCGCCAGGGGAGTTTGCTCTTGAAACGCATAAATATGCTTCGTCGACTTATTCGGGTTCCCACTCCCTTACTTCCACTTTTTTTCTCGTCTCCACTTTCTTTGCCGCCTCCACAGCCTTCGCCGTCTTCGCCGTCTTCACCGTCTTCACCGTCTTCACCGTCTTCACCGTCCGTCTTCTTCACCGTCTTCACCGTCTTCACCGTCTTCACCGTCTTCACAATCTCCTTCGTCTTCACTTTCTTCGCCGCTTTCACTGTCTTCCTGGCCTTTGGTTTCTTCCTCATCTTCACTCCCTCTCTCGCCTGCCCTCGCTGTCCTAATTCCATTTCTCTTTCTACGTTCATTCACCAAACGTAAACCTGTCACTGCTTTCATAGTGTCTTCGTGGTCAGGACCAAATGCTTTACTATACCCCTTCAATGCCTGCTGAAAGGCGGTCCTAGCCTTTACCAGCCTACCCTGGTCCCTGTAGACAAGTCCCAGATTATACAATAAATGAAAAGTGTTAGGATGCTCTGCAGTTAGAAGTCTCTTATTTCCTTTCAACACTTTCATGAACATCTTCTCAGCGTCAACCAGCTTACGCTGCGCCCTGTAAAGCAAGCCCAGATCAAGCTGTGCATATAAAGTCCAAATGTCGTCAGCACCCAATATCTTCTCATAGCCTTGGAGTGCCCCCTTCAACATTATCTCCGCCTCATTTATCTTGCCCTGAGCCGAGTAGACAGGGCCCAGCTGGCACAACACATAAAGTATCCATTCAGTTGCAAAGCTAATGTCCCGTGTCTTCTGAGATCCTTCAAGTAGATGCTGATACAACATTTCCACCTCGGTCGTCTTATCCTGGCCTGGGGACACGTTGACCAGAATATTGAATATATCGAGCTTCAGTGTACCGATATGGCTGGAATTCACTATCATTATACAGCCTTTCAGCGCCCTCTCGAACATCATCACAGCCTCGGGTAGCTTATTCAGTCTCCGGTAGACCATTCCCAGCGTTCCGGCCAGGCGATAGGTTTTTAGGTCATTGCTACTTAATCGCTCCTCGTGACCTTGTAGAGACAACTGAAGTTTCTTCTCCGCCGCCACTAATTGCTGGTTAAATAAGTGTAGATAGCCTAACTCGTATAGATCCGCTATATCCACACCACTCCAGTCTATCAACCCTTCTAGCCGACCATGTTCCAGCCGTGAGACGTGTTGACCAAGTCGACGAGTGAGCTTCCAGAAGTCTGCGTCGTTGTCATGATGCTTGGTGTTTTGCGCAATACAGTGGATGGCCAGCAGGCAGAATTCTGCATCAAACCCGCGATTGAGATATTCCAGCGTCCAGTCATGCACACAGGTGTGTAAGCTATAGGTTCCTGCCCCAACCTCCACTAGTGAATACTCTTGAAGTTTAGTTATGGCCCTATTGAATCTTGGCTTGCTCTTCACTACATCCTGCAACCAGGCTGGCCCGGATTCGGCCCCTTCTTGGAAGAGTTCGTACCAGAGGTCCTGATTGCTTAGGTAGGCCATCAATCGCAAGAGATTCGCCGCCTCAGGATCTTGATCTTGAACCTGTTTCAGGGACATATTCCATGTAGAATAAAGAGTTCGATCCGCATATTCGAGTAGCTCGTTGCTATTGTCCGCGAGGTCGTCCCAGCTCTCTTGGTACATCTGTAGGTAATCGCTGAAGCTATCTGTCGTCTTCCTAAGGTATGATCCTGCCGTGGTCAACGCCAGCGGCAGCCCAGCTAGTCGGTTGGCAAGTTTACGTGCACCTGGGTTTAAGAACGGTAGGACCAGTAGTCAGCTACAGGATGAATATTTCCTTAACCGTCAACTCATACCTTCTTCAGTCGACCGGCCCGACCAATTTGCCAGAATGGTCAGGCTTTGGTCTATATCCTCAAACTTGAGTAGCGGTAAACGATTGGCAAATGTAAGACCCGAAAAGCGTGTTGTTATCAGGACGGAACCTTGGGTTCTTTCTGGGAAAAACTGCCGGATATCATATCCAGTGGAACTTTTGATTCCAGGCATCTGGGGATCGTCGTAATTGTCGTAAATAACCAGCCACTGGTCGTTCTCTGGCTGTGATAGCCACCGTCGTACATATCGAACCGCTTGATCTTCATCGGGCTGGTTTTCCTCGCTTCTACGCTCTTCTTGGCCGATGAGCCACAATGCCAACTGAACATAGCCAGTTGTAAGAGTGGCTGCATTGTTGGCGTTGAACCAGAGTACCGAAGAATAGCTTTTATGGTGATGTTTCGCGAAGTGGATGCTTAGCTGAGTTTTGCCCATCCCTCCAAGACCTGACACAGCAACAATGTTTTGTTTTGTGGTCTTTGGTGAAAGCCACTCCTCCAGCTGTTCGAGTTCCGGTTCTCTTCCGACAAAAAGATCATCGTCAATTTGCGGTGCCTCGCTGAGCCTCAAGCCAAGCTGGTAATTGGGAGTGATTTTGGTTGCTGATCAGAAGAGGTACGTAAGCGTAGATTCAAGGAATTTTACTTGACTTCAAGATGAGAGCTCCGAGCGACGAGGCTCGGGCCGCAGAGAAGCAAAGCTTCAGTTGTGACAAAGACTACAACATACCTGATTCGATATTGAAGACATTGTTGATCGTGCCGGAAGAAATGCCGACTTGGAGGCCTTGGTTTCGATCACCTGAGAATGTTGCATTGTGCCCCATATCCAGTATCTTTGCCTGCAGGGCGGTCATTTGGGCAGCATTTGGGCGAGCTGCGAGATGGAGGAGGTCTCCGTTCTTGCAGGAATCTGCTCTCACCATACGTGCGAGAACTTAGAGAGCTCGTGTGATCACGGTTGTTGACACCGAGCTCAGGTGCTCCTCATAGACACAGTCTCTGCGAAGTGTGAGGACTCGGAAAAGCTCAGCAACAACTGCTAGCCGCTGACAATTATGGGCGGCCCCCACAAAACGTCAAGACCCTGGTCAAGCACAAGGCTGGCGATCGTGTTGGATGTACTGAAAGACGCTAAAGGCGAATTTCGCAAAGCAGATCCAATCGGAGAGCAGCTGTCGGGGTTCTGCACCTATCAGTGTATGGAGGCTCAATGCTGGCCTGGACAGGCGGCATATACATAAGCCCACTATGCTTACTGAGCATAATACCAATACAATGATGAGATCCTCCCACCGCTTCCCAGGTTCTCTTCTCTTGTTGGAACCTGAATGCCTGAGATCGGTCGCTCAAACAGTTGATTGACCATTTGATATCAGCGCTCTCCAGGGGCTAGAATCTCCTTGAGTGTACGCTATGGCCACCCGAAAGCAACTCTCAGCAGCTGCCTATACAGTTGGGCTTATCTACGTCAAGCCCCTCGAGATGCACGCCATTACTGTGATGTTAGATGAGGAACATGACCCTATCACCCTACAACAGGGAGACAGCAACGAGTACACGCTTGGTCGCATTGGGGCGCATAATGTCGCTATTGCAGGGCCAGCCCGAGGTGCGCAAGGGAAAGTTGCTATCGCTGACGTGGTAGGGCGCATTCCTTTGACCTTCACGAACATGACAGTAGGACTGCTGGTCGGTATTGGGGGCGGCATACCTCATCTCCCGAAGATGGATGTGCGTCTTGGAGATGTCGTCGTTGGGGCGCCTGAAGTTGGGCCTGCGGTCGTACAGTATGATCTCGGAAAGCAGCTTTCAGACGACTTCGAGGTCACCAGAACACTCAATAAACCTCCAGCGCAGTTACTCAAGGTTGTCAACATATTGGAAGACAGGTACATCCGACAAGAACAAGGGGATGAAAGCTTCTTCACGACCCACCTAGATCGATTCACCAAATACCCGAGAATGAAAAGGTTATACAAACGACCAGCCACCCCAGATCGATTATTCCTTACCAGCTATGCCCATGAAGCCGGCACACAGTGCACGCAGCACGATAAGCAGTACGAGGAACAGCGACCAGATCGCGATCCAGCAGATGAGGTACAGATTCATTACAGCACAATCCTGTCTGGCGATCGGGTCATGAAACACGAGGTCACCAGAGACCAGATCAGCGCAAAACATAACAACGGCCTTTGCTTCGAGATGGAGGCCGCCGGGCTGATGGATGTCTTCCCCTGTCTCGTGATCCGAGGGATCTGCGATTACGCAGACTCGCATAAGAACAAAGACTGGCAGGAGTATGCAGCAGCGACCGCTGCAGCCTATGCACGAGAGATCCTCCTTTCTATGGCTGAGAGAGTCGTCAAGGATATAGGGACCTCCACCGCTCCAGATAGGAGTGGGGGAAATGTCGGTACGGACGCTTCCAGCGGGCACGGGGGTAATTCTTCCCATGTGGTCTTCTCTGGCAGCAACAATTCAGGCGTCCAGTTGGGGCACAACACCGGCACCATCAGTGGATTTACATTCGGGAAGCAGTAGATACATCAAGGGTTTGGTCCAACATGAGAGTCCTCGACAACATACCACTTTCGGAACCCAGCTGGTTGTCCGCTTTGTATAGACCTTTCGCATGCAAGGAAAGAATACCACCGAAGTGTTCTGCTACTAGTATCGGGGTACTCCAGTACCTATCTTAGCTCACATACAAAACCTTTCAGGAGAATGGGAACAATTATGTGTCTTAACTTCGCATCCAACCTCCCTAAGGATCTGCAAGCAGACGGCCAGATCCTTCCTACACAGAGTTATCCCTATTTCGGAAGCGTGCCTGAATGGAACCGGTCCCGGAGGAACAAGACCTGCAATAAAATCATGTATTTGCAAGTCCAGCTATATCAGACATATTTATGGCTTCCGCCCAGTGCCGGTCTGGAGTGCATGCTACTCAATGCTACGATCAAGATACCAATTCACTGCGCCTGGATTCCGATAGACCCGTCAATGCCTGTCTATTAGTCCTTATTGTTCTACCCAGATTGCTCCATTCCGTTCACTCCGCTTCTCTAGGTGTTGGTCCCAGCTGAGGTTGTCACAGCGTAAGGTGTAACTGGGAAGCGAGATCATGAGGCCTACCCCTTCAATAATTCCTAGTTGATCTCCCTGTCATCCTACATCGAGCTGTGAAAGCCAGAAGGACAGAGAAACCTGAGGCAGAATGAAACTCTCGCGTCTTGGCTTCGAGTGAATGAGTTGTCATTGTCGGGCTTAGATATAGTAACCTATGTCCACCTTCCCTCCATATATCACCTGGCGCTGGAACGCTTCAGTCATCACCCCTCGGCAGCATCAAACATATCATTCTTTCTTCGTCCTTCATCCTCTATAAAAGCTCAAAGCTCAAAAGGCAGGCAATCAGTCCATCAGTCCATCGAACAAGCCAAAAACCCTTCCGAAAGCTTCATCAACCTGTCTCTCGCTACCGGAGATGCCTTCGGACCTTTACCCTGTCGCAACGCGTCCCTCAACTGGAAGACCTCCATCACAAACTCCGACCGACAATATGAATCCTTTTTCCATATCTCCCATTTCTGGGCCTCTGATTCCGGTGTTATGATCTGCTGGATTGTCATCTCTCTGAGTAGGGCTCTGTAGGCTTGGGATTGGGGCTGTGGTATTATTGATGGAGGGGGTCGGATTGGGGCTGGAGGCCGCTGTTGAGACTGCGAAGCAGCGGGAATCTGTCGCTGCTGTGCTCCTGGGACTTCATATGTCGCGAGAAACGTTTCTGCCGACTCGAGTAGTGCCCGCTGTCCGTGTGGTCTTGAGCGCGGGTCACCTCCTCGCAGATTCTCAACCAGTTCCGTAACATCTCTCTTGAACTGTGGCCGGAATGTCAGCTGTTCTTTCCACTCTTTCCAAACCCATGCACCTTGTTCTGCCGACACTACCCCCTCCTGGATCATGTGCTTTATAAGCCCGCTGGCCTCATTATACCGTCTCTTCAATTGACCTCGGATCTGTTGCTGGTGAGTGGGTGGGGTTGATATATCCCCTTGAGCTGTGCTTCCGCAAGCTTGAATAAATTTTTTGCTCCTTCTCAAGAGACTCCGCTCGCCTTGTGGTAGTGATCCCGGATCAAGTGACTCAGCCTTTTGTAGCGTGTCGATTGCTGATTCCGTGAAACATGAATGGAGTTCTGGGAATCTAACCCATGTCTCCCAAGCTCCATGGCCTTGATCTCTTGTCATCCTTTCCGTTCGTATCATACCTTCTATTAGTGATTTGCATGCCTGATCCTGCGACTCGGATGACATGTCAGAATTACCCTGTGAGAGCCCACTTGCTTGGGTTGAGGCTCGTTTTGGTTGAGCTGGTTTCAGACGCTGAAGCTCTCGACCTAGGATCTCTCGTTGCTGATCCAGGTTGTGCCAAGCTGCAAGAAAGGCTTCTGCGAGCTCTAGTCTTCTCTGCTCTTTCCGTGACAATCGCGATTCCGAAGGCCCAGCTTCATCGTCCTCTTGTAACTCTCCTAGCACATTGCACATTACATCACAGAATACGTCCTGATACATGGGGTCTGTTCTCCATCTTATCCACTTCTCCACAGCTTCTTCTCTTGATATCAAGCCTTGCTGAGCTATTTCACGGAGGTACGCATGACACGCACTGGAACGAGGTGAGAGAGCAGGTGGTTTCTCCTGTTTAGCAGGCTGTGCGCTTTTAGGTAAATATATTAGCCTGCTGAGTGCTGAGACTGCTGAGACTGCTGAGACTGCTGAGACTGCTGAGACTGCTGAGACTGCTGAGACTGTTGAGACTGCTGAGGCTGCTGAGGCTGCTGAGGCTGCTGAGACTGTTGAGACTGCTGAGAATGCTGTGACGTTTGACTCGACTGCCGCGGATCTCGGGTCAAACCTGATTGTTGTTGACTTTGACGTTGTTGTTCTCCTATCCCTTTGGCTTGCTCTGGCGGCTTTTGAGCTTCTGGTGATCTCTTGTCTGCTTTCTTACGCTGTTGAGGTGGCTCTGGAGATAGCTCTCCTAATTCTTGTTTGTCCCGTTTCGCGCCAGCGGCAGGTGCATTTTTCGTGCCACTTGGCCGCATTCTGGTTATCCTCCTTTCTGAGAAAGCTTTTTTTGTGTCTGTTCGATGGATGGATAAAATCGAGGGCTGGCTCTGATCAAGATTATATAGCCCATCCACTCAGGGTCAACCAGAAACACCCAGCTGGGATTGGAATGATAAGCGACCAAGGATCAAGGAAATCTTTTGTCTGAAATGGGACTCGTCTGGGATGGGATTTGACAGAATCCCATCAGCCAAAACACAATCCCATGGCCGCAAAAGTCTTATTGGCGGAAGTATCATCCTACAGCCAATTGTGACGTAGAAGCTTGGAAGGAAAAAAAATACCTAACCTGCATGAAACGTAACGCACTATGTTCCCAAATTTGCTGTCCACTGCTGCCGGATGTGTTTGCCGGAAGCTGTTGCCATGGACTTTACAGAGAGCAGAAATTCACAAGCAGAGATGGCGTTGAATTTTGGCGATAACGAAACGCATTGTGTTCCTGGGCTTTTTCTCCGGCGACCTTTCAAGAGCCCCTATACTCAGACGCAGCCCATCTGGATAGTGCCATTTGCTCATTGTCCGCAAGCTTGCTATCAGCCTGTCGGCCGTCCAATAGCTCAGCCACTTGCCAAAGCCACCGCCGCAGTGATCAGTGTCCGATTGTCTAGAACAAAACTTCATGCAAGCGACTCATCCACGAGGCACATTCGAGCAACCAGAAGCTTACCGTCCAACCCATCGGGAAATGCAGGTGGAGCTCGAAGTTCAACCCTGGACCAGGGACGCGGGGTTGTGCACCACAACTTACACTGCTAATTATACCTTGCAAATCCTGACACACATCGTTTGAGAGTGTCTGGGTTTCGGCAGTCTGAAACTGGCGTTGTGTTGCTGGCTGGTCTCTAGCAAAGCTGGGCCATGCTTTGCATTGTAGATCCACGCAACTCTACTATACGGATCGAGGCGGAAAGCTCAGTGCAGAAGAGGGGAAGACAACGTTGGCGATGTATCGGAGAGTCTACATGAACAGGCCCTTGTGCCAGATGCTTCCGAACCAACCAGGACGGGCTGCCGGGCTGCCGGGCTGCCGGTCAAGCTTGGCGTACTTACCCCTGCCAAGGAACGGAGGTCGTCAGACGGGGAACATCCCTGCGCCATAATCCGGGGCTTTCATGCTTTGTGTGCTGGGAGCGGGTAACATAAAAAGTTTCCGGACCAGTTGGCCTCGCTTAACACTGGGATGGTGCGGGACTTGTCCAGGTGGCTGAGGTAGATTGGCACGTTGATGCTTTTCTTAGGCATGGTAAATCGAAGCACCACGCTCAGGAGATTATTTGTGCATCTTAAGATGGTAAAGTGCGGTATCAGGTTTGCCAATACTGTCGAAAGAGAGCTTTGCGTACCTTATCTCTCTCTATCTGCTGCTGATGGCCCAGCTGCTCAGCAAGTGTACAACTCACGGCTTCCAGAATCACAACCCTTCTCATACACTTCATGAGAAGTTCAGCCCCACTTGTTTTGCGCCTCCCTCCGCCCCTCCTTTGCCTCTTCAGTCTCGACAAGCAGCTCCATTACGTCCATGCTGACAACCAGTAGGACGCCACAATAGTACACATATAATCTGCTAGTAAGGAAGGTCATTTGACGGGGCTCACAGACCTTTGTCAATGAAGCTTCAGCTATCCATTCCCTGGCCAAATCTACGCCCTCATCACGTGCTGATCATACGCTAGTTAGTACAGAAAAGCTAGCGTCTACTTATCCTAGTTAGCAATATTCATAACTTTTGATGCACGACTTCGTAATAGCTGTAAAATTACACCTCCTTGTCTGCAGACGACCCTCCAGTCCTTACGTGTATTGCAAGTATTATCTTACCATCAGCTACGCTGCTTGCATCTTTCATATACGGCCTAGAACAACTGACAATCAGCATCCAACTATGTGTGCTTAGTGTTTTAGAAACACCGCACAGCGCCCTCGGGCCATTATTACGGCGTCAATTTTTCAGGGCCTGGATGGCTAAGTAGTTCATCAGTACGGAGTAGTTTGACGCCACAGTGGATTGCCACGTGAAGTCCGGCTGCGGGTAAAGTACAACTCCGTATGTTACCTCCCATTCAAGGGTGCCGGCCTGTGAGCCTTGGAACCCTTCGAAAAGGCTGCAATAACGTGAGTAGACATAGTTGCAAGAAATGGCATGCAAGGCAGGTTTTGTCGCTGCGTACGTATAACGCTGTGTTTCCTTGCTGATGGCGAGACGCAAATCGCCAGGAATCGCCAGGTTTCGCCATCCTCGATCGCCTTTGTGTATAGAAAAGGCAGCCTCATCAAATACGCTCTCCATGTTCAAAGCCCCGGTGGAGCAGATGCCATGGCATTGGCTGCGAAAACTGCCGACCGCAACAACCGGTCCGCGCTACCACCACCGTGGGCGCCCAGCCAGTTGAATCAACATTCTGTCCCTAATGAAGATGCCGTCTTCTCGGAGAGCTCATGGTCTCAGAACACTACTCACAGCGCCAGGAGCACAACTGCGACCTCGTTCAATATCCAAGGATCATGTTCCAACGCTGAAGCCCAAGCTTTAGGTTCCCTGTCTGGGGCAGACATAGAGCTGTCTTCTATTTCTGGCCATGGATATCCTAACGACGACCCTCCTCAGCAAATCTCGGAAGACAGCACTCAATTCCACGATTTATCCGTTATTGTGACCGAGGAACAAAATGAGTCACGCAACGCTTTGGAGTCTTCCAACCGGCAGTGGTCATTTGCCACATCCTTCAAAGACTCACTGCGTTCCGCTTATCAATATATCCCGAAATACGAGATCACTTCAAACACGATGGCTCTGATGGCTCTCATTCTAACTGCATTCTTTGGTTATGAAACATACAAACTTGCACAAGAGAGCAATCGGCTGGCCAAAATAGCCACAGGGGCTCAGCTTCGCCAGACCTGTAAGGATGAGAAGGTTGGCGGAGACTGGAAGAATACATGAACAGCATAGCTAATATGTCACATAGGAAAAGGGAGCCTTCAGCGAGGTGTGCAAGCAGGTCTTGAGCTCTTCTATTGGGTCGCCTTACGTCCCTGAAACGTCGAATGTCGTGAGGCGTGTGCTTGGATTCCTCCAGCACCATCGAAATTCCTCAGCAGTCATCTATCCAAGACTCTATGAAATTAGCACTCCACGTTGGTCATTTGTATTTCATGGGTTTTTGATCAACCTCGTTCTGCTCATCACCGCATGCACTATATCTGGGCTCAATGGCGGTGGCTTCCAATCTATCAGGCGACTACGACGAACCCATGGATCTCAACCAAGCGCTTTCAACCCAGTTGACATTAGCCTTGCGCGTATTCAACCTGACGAAAATGCTTTATGCTTCGCCAGCGCGTTGCAGGGACATCGGCCAAGAGCTCGGAGAAGGATCGTTCAATACGCATACAAACAAAACCATGAAGAGTACAGTAGCTCTCGAAGCCTCAAATCTCAATTGACCGCTTCTGGTCCCTTTTACGATCGCTCCATACATTCTCAACCTCCCAGAGATTTTATGAGCCTCGACAACGGGGTCGTAGACAACTCATATCAAATTTCAGAGGGGAGTCATTCATGACATACGTGGAGCGTCATCTATAGAGCACAGTAATTCGCGAAGCCTAGGATCTCAATCGGCTGCTTTTAGTCCCATTCATATTCGCCTCCCACATCCTGAATCTCGGATAGATTCTGTTGACTTTCGCACTAACTCGCAGGCATCTCAGGTTGCACGTCAGAAAAGAGCTTTGAAAAGAACGTTTTGGGAACCGTCTGAAAAGGTCCGTGGCACAAAGAAGAGGTCATGGCATCCAAATTGTGAGATAACGATCCACGTTTCGACTGGCCGTGATCGTCTAAGAGGTGTCAAAATATGGTTGTGACATTATCGGCCTGTTCTAAAGGTTCAAAAGTATCAACTGCGTTCATCGACAACATCACAACCTTCTCGTAGCCTAATCATCACCCGATATACCCCCCATACCTTGCAAACTCCTCATCCGCCCTCAACCTCTCCATATCTTCCTCCCTCAAACCAATCGCTACCGCAATTTCGCTGTCCCGCGTCCTTGGCATCAAATATATCAAACTCTCAACCGGGTCAAATTACGGTCTCCGCCCCGCCTCAGGTTTGCCCAATCCATAATTGAAATCAAGCTCATAACAGTCTAACTGTGCCCACGAACTGAGCATGAGGTCCGCTAAGTCAAACGTCGCTGTGATGGACGAGCGTGTGGTTGAGCAATGTTGCGAGGGCACGGGTATTGTATGCCAAGTTCGATGTGTTGGGGTCTAAAGCTGAGCGAAACTATGATGCGACACCACCCAACGGCTCCTCAACCAGCTTCTAAAGCGAGTACGTATGATACGTTATATTCTGCACAAGTCCTGGGTATGTCTATGGAATATTCAGATCATGTCGTACATTGACAGCGCGGGCACATGTTGACTCGTCTGTGGGATTCAGGCCGGGGAGGCGGGCGCGGATGACGGATTGCTAGATAAAAGCTCAGGGCGTCGTTGGTGGAGATGTAGCCTAAGGGGGTTGTGATGGTTTTGGTGGCGAGTGACTTCAGAGCGGTGAGAACGTGGACTTTGGAGGGGAAGGTGGTGCCGGGTGGACATTCATGCTGTTGGTGATCGGATGGGACGGAGTGGGCTTCACAATCTGATGAGCGAGCTCGGAGCCTGGTTTATGGGAGTTATCGAGTAAGTGGATGAGACTGCGGCGACCAAGGTTCACGCATGAAAGTTGTTCGCTTGTGAATTGTTCATTGCGACAAGCTTTGGAAAAGAGATGGATAATATGACCTTGGCCAGTCATGTCCATTGTGTTGTGCTGACCAACGATGGTAAGCAAGAGCGCCGCGGTGATGAAATTGGCTAGGCGGGAGACTGGCGCTGAGTCTGGTGCGGAGTCGTCAGAGCTTCCTGGAAGGGTGTTGCGAGGTGCAATGATACTTTCGTCCAGCATGCTGATGGGGAAGTCGGCTCATCTGAGATTGTCCATTGTCGGTATGGAGGGGTCATGTCTGAGATCTTTCACAACCAGAAGAGGAGCTTTCCCAGTGGCTATGAGGACTGCTCGTCAGTATGTTGTCAGCAAAGGTTGGGCCGACCGCCCTCTACTGTGCTCTTGCAGGGCCTGGTATCCACTTCGCTCCCTGAGATTGACTGTTCGGATTCATTTCGTGAGCTCGACACAATAAACGTCCTGGAGGCAAGATCCAAATGTTGTACGAATTCGTATACTTTATTTATCACAGGTGTTCTCGTGTCTGCTCCGTCATGCTTTATGCCAAGACCTCAACTGAAGTCGGCCTGGTGAGTACGGGGACTTTCTTGTCCAACATGAGTCGTGAGAGGCCATCCGCGTTGCGTTGAGGGGCTCGAGCCTCTCGGCTGAAATCTTCTCGTGGTGCTCACCCATTACGCAGCTGCTTCACAACTGCATCCCGGATCCCTCCGTGCCCTTCCTTCGTTGGGTGAAAGACTCTCGCCACACCCATGTACCACTTTCCCAACCCGCCCAGGAATACCTCCTGTGAGTGAGCACGATGGACTTCTTCTGCGACTCTTTCATTGCCACTACCATAGTCCAGGTTGAAGAACCATGTATCCGATCTCATGTCATCCGGCTCGCTGACCCCATCTTCACAGAAGCGATGACCCTCGAACATCTCATCCATATCCACGTACTCGGCTCCAGCAGTCTCGGCGGCGGAGCGAATGACATGATTCAGCATCCTGACAAGATGGTTCAGGTCCCTTCTGAGTTGGCGAGTCAAGAATTGCTCTGGATTTCGTATACTGAAAGTAACACCATCGCATGCCGTAGTCTCCTCGTTGAAGAAAGTTGCATAACCGGTTACCAAAAGCCTGCCGCTCGGCTTCATTCTCTGCTTGGCCAGTCTAACCATCCTGGCATAACTGTCAACGAACCTCCTGCTCTCGATCAATCTCCTACTCTTCCGCAACTCACACTCACATGTCCCCAGAGGCCGCCATTGATACACGCATTCGTTCAGGACGCCAAAGAAATCCACTTCATTCCCACCAACAGTCAGCGTCACGAGGTCACTATCCCCAATCGAGTCGAGCTGATGCCAGAACACGCTGCCAGTGGTAGCTCCACTGCAGGCCGCGCTTTGAAAGAGAACTGGGCCAATGGCTTTGGCGAGCTGAACGGGATAGGCATCTGAAAAAGGGCTGCAGAGCGAGTGACCATGGGTGCCGGCCCCGTTGCCGGTGGCATAGGAGTCGCCTAGGGCGGTGTAGGTTGTTATGATGGGAATTGAGGATGTGTTTAACTGGAATGGAGAAGCGAGTACGGGTATCAGGAAAGCGCAGAGATAGGTGATGATGAAAGTCATGGACGTCATGATCGAGGACAGTCTTGAGGCGGTTGACATGGTTGGTACAAGTCGCAATGCAAGCGTTACTGAGAGCTTCTTCTTGGTTCGCAGCAGTGCTTCAACATGTCATTGACATGGACGGGTGGTGAACCAACTTCAAAATATCTAAAGAAGGAACGTAGGTAAATAGACTGATGAGGATGTATTAGATCCCGGAAACGGCAAGGTAGATAGATCCGGTGGCGGTCCGTCCCGAGCCAATGACGTCTTCACAGACGCCTTGAAAAATCGGAAGACATTGAAGTTGGTAATCATTTCTCTCCTGATCATTGTCTAAGATAATTAGAGGCGAATCCAACAGATGCAAGTCGAATGTAACTCTCCCTAACTTCGATTTGACGTAAACGACAGCATCTGTTGGACAATCTGCCCCTGGACATCTCCACCACAGGTCACTACGATTGATGTGTCTGGCCAGGCTGGCACCATGCAAAATTCATGTCTCTAGACACCTGTTCCGGCGAGGTTACTCAATTATCTCATCTTCGCAAGATTGGCGAGTATCGAGTCTCACCGGTCGCGCCCAATCAACCCTATCTGCTCTATCTGCTCCAAGGAAGATGAAGGAAAAGAAGCTTAAGCCACGGCTGCACGTGCCAGACTACTGCGAAGTTGAGACAGTGAAGGACGAGGGAGGGAAGACGATATGGCCTGCTCCTGCTGACGCTATGGAGAGAGCGCGGGCGTTCATTAGAGCATGGTGTGCATTGCTGCCGTTGCAGTCACTTTGATGCCACGGACTGATCGGGTAACAGTGCCCAATCAGGCAAGCCGACCCTCCTTGTCCCAGATAAGGACGCCGATGGTCTTTCTTCCGGCGTGATCCTGCATCGGACGCTCACCGCCCTCGGTCTTCCCACTGACCTCATCTCAACCCACATCGTCACCAAAGGGAGTTCAATCCACGACTCCACCGAGCGAGACCTTATGTCTACAACCTACAATCCCTCCTACATCATAGTCCTAGACCAAGGCTCCCGTGCCGCCCCTCGTGTCATAGATAACTCCTCCACAAAGTCTCTGATCCTAGACCACCATCTCTCCGACTCTTTCCCAGAAGACGCCCTCGTAGTATCAGCATGCCACTACCCACCCGTCGCCACCACCTCCCTCCTAACCTACCTCACATGCCTCCCCTTACACCCCTCTCCCACCACCTTCACCGAATCCTGCGCCTACCTCGCCTGCATAGGCACCCACGGCGACCTAGGCAACACGCTCAAATGGCTACCCCCGTTCCCCGACCTAACTCCCACCCTAAAACAGCACACCAAAAAAGCCATCAACGAAGCCGTCAGCCTGATCAACGCCCCGCGTCGAACAGCGCGCTACGACGTCGCAAGCGCCTGGACCGCGCTCCTAGCCTCCACCTCCCCGAAAGACCTTCTCACCCACCCTCGCCTTCCTATCAGCGCGAGCCGAAATCCACGCCGAAGTCGAACGCCACACGCACAGCGCCCCGAAATTCGCCCCCGACGGCCGCATCGCCGTGCTGCGCATCCACACCCCCTCCCAAGTTCACCCCGTGATCGCAACGCGCTGGGCCGGGTATCTCTCCTCGCACGCGCTCGAGATGGTCCTAGTCGCCAACACGGGCTATCTGGCCGGGCGTGTGAATTTCTCGTGCCGGATCGCGCGGTGTGCGCGCGCGCGGGCCGC